ACCACCAAAATTGACATCTCTGGTATGAAGATCCCCAAAACTCTGAACGATGCCTACTTCAAAAAGAAGAAGCTGAGGAAACCTCGTCACCAGGAGGGAGAGATCTTTGATACAGAGAAGGAGGTGAGTTAACATGCATATTGTCTTGAATATTAATAGTACCAATGGTCTTATTTATATCCGACTACCTTGTTTTCTCTCATCGCCATCTGCAGAAGTACCAGCTGACAGAGCAGAGGAAAGAGGACCAGAAGGCTGTTGACGGTCAGCTCCTGCCTCTCATCAAGAAAGTACCTCAACTGAAAGGCTACCTGCACTCTTCCTTCTGCCTGTCTAATGGGGTTTACCCACACAAGTTGGTTTTCTAAATGTGTTGTAATAAAGACTGCCAGCTATAATACGGTCTCTAGACTTGTTTGTGACTAAATGGTTTGAATAGCTGGTATTGCATGGCCTTGAAATTACTGCAATCCTGGATTCATAGAATATGACTCAGTCTTGACATGTGTGTAATGGCAGATTCTTGGGTGTATTAGTTTCTTAGAATCTCAGCTGCCTATAAACATGTGACTTGATTATCAACCCTAATTATATGGCATACCAGAGGGCTATTGCACAAAACCGGGATAAGGGATTAAAGCTGGTATATTCTTTTTATCCTGGCTGAATTTCGCTTTGATTTGCATGAAAGCAGGTCGACTCAGCCAAGTAACTATGGCGATCTATTCTTTGCAGCTAACCTGCCCCGGAGCAGGCTAACAGCCAGGCTTAAGGCCGATGCATGCTTCTGCGTTCGCGTCGCATCAACGCGCTCGTTTCAATTCATAGTTCTGTGTGTTGCAGAGCATTTCTTCCGACAAAAGTTCTTAAATCTGATCCGTTCTCTCGTAAACATTCTTCGTTTTAATAATGGTATCGGGCTATGAAGGCGGAAATGTGAGACTCCGTAAAGGACGTAGTTAGCGGACCAATCGCAGCCTGGTGCGCTGCGGGTGCCTTGCGTTGCTTTCGCCGCAAGCCTAGAAAAATGTCTCGAACACGCAAGGTGTGAAAACGCAGATGCATAAATCAGGCTTAAGTCTGTTAGATCAGCTGCCGCTCTGATCCGTAACAAACATATTTACAGTGTATTCTATTGTCTTATGGGTTCTGATTATTTTTATTAACATGCATTACTTGTCACTATTGCTGTCACCAGTTTGATTAAGCTCTACTATTGCAGTTTAGATCGGTGGTCCCCAACCCTTTTCAGTTTTCATGTTGACAATTTTCCGTAGACCGGTCACTGTGGCGCATACATTCTCGCATTGTGAATAAGGGTTTGAAATCGGGCCTAGTCTAATTTCCAAAGAACATTAATTCCCTTTGTTCACTTTTAAGGCAAAGTAGGCTAAATTTTATATAGGGCTTTATAGTAAAACCAGCACATTTAGCGCATACAGCAATAAAACCAACACATAAAACATTAAAAGCAATTAAAACAGTCTACAACTTTCCTAGCAAGTAGATATTTTTAAATCCTTCTGCATTCGGTCGGAAGGATTGTCTGCCAGGCCTTTTCTGTTTAATTACTGTTCTTTTGCATATTCGATGCTTCACCTTCTCATACATTTCCACAATTAGTTGCTGCTCAGCGGGTGAAAAATATGCTGCATGTGTCTTCATTTCTGCATCAGTAAATCTGATCGATACCGTGGTCTATTTTAGAAAGCCATGGACGATGTGTATTTATTCCAGCTATGTACACCTGGATTGACTTCGCTCTCCCATCCTGGCTCAGCAAACATGCAACCAATTAAGCCGCGATGGATCACACAAGTCAAGATGCGCCTTTTCAGTTATCCTGGATTTCTTCATTCTACTTTTGTGCAATAGCGCCCAGATGTTATACCCTATATTCGCATCCCAGACAATGGTGGAAAATTGCTCTAAAAATGTTCTTGGTAAAAGAATCCTGGTTAAAATCATATTGAAATAGTGAAATGACAACACCAAGAATTACCCAGACAGCTTAACGGCTATGCTTTAATTAAAAAAATGACATGTCTAATGTAACAACACAAAAATAAATACAAGTTTTTTTTTTTATCTCTTTAACATGGCCACGTGTTTATCCTCAAAAACCGAACAAGTAGAAAGCAGCACAGAAAAAGGCAGCGGCCCCTTGCCAAGGAATGATAAGTGCCTTTGTTGAATCAGTCAGTACTGTATGGTCAACCGGGGGGAGGAAATGCATTTCCTCAGCCGGACTTGAACAGCAGGATGGCCACCTGACCCAAGTAGAAGTAGATGAAATGCTTGGTCTCGTGAGTCACGTAGCTGCCAAAGTTCCTCCCAACGATGCAGTGCCAGGTTGGATTGTATTTCTTGTCAAACTCCTGGAGGAGAAAAAAAAATACACTAGTGTTTGTCAAATAGTAATGCCGGGAGATCCATCATTAATGAACATCACCACATGCTACATCACAACTAACAAGCAAAAATTATTTCCTGCAAATATTTAATTGTTATAGCTAGGAGAACGTACCAGTATACTTTGACTAGCCTAACAAGCCTGTATCAAGGTTCTAACTATTGTTTTGAGCAAATGCAAAATACTTTACACTCAATTTGCAATTATGTTGACAAATTTTCACTCTGCCACCCCAACGTTACCTGGTTTATTGTGAGAAGTCTGGGATTTGTCTAAATAGAGCCTTAAAAAGGCATTGACAGGTAAATTACAATCAAGTGGAAACTTTCTGGAGGTTCTTTGTGTGACTTAAAATCAAAATGTATCCTTATTTTGATTTTTAGTATCACTGATGTAAAATACTGTATATTATATTAGCCAGTTTGTCAGCATGCTGTAGCTTCTGGTACCAGTCACTCCGGGAGGAACTGGCAGAATGGAAACTCTTACATCAATTATGCACACGGAGGCTGGTCAGTGTGTGCAGAGCAGGCTCACGCCACTGGTATCACTAGATGAGGTGACACATTTACCTTTTTGATGTATGCAGCTATGTCTTTCTCAATGTTGTACTTCTCCAGAGCCTGCGTGGCACACTCAACGGCGTCCTGCTGCATGTCCTCCGACATGTCGGCATTTTTGATAACTGCCTTTCTCTCAGACATGGTTGCCCTGGGAAACCAAAACACAGCGGAGGATTTATGCTCTGCAGAGACGCATTGGAGTACACACACACACAAACACAATAGACTCCGAACAGTCATCGACTCACTAATGGAACCGTAGGGTCGAATGGTGACGACGTTGTCATTAACGTTACATAATAACTGACACATACTATTTGAACTGGCCATTTCCACAAGTGTTAACGTTACATAACAACTTCCATCAGCGACACGCTCCGTGGATGCGCGCTCTTCGTAGTTTCTATGGATACGTAACATTTGAGATCATCGCCTGAATATTACCCCGAGGGTTTCAGCAAGAATCCGATGACACATGAAAAGCTGCGAAAGGAAAGCACATTCTTCAGCTGCCGGATATTGGCATGCTGCGATAAAGCCAGGCTGGTTCATCAAGCAGGGTGCCAAAACAAAAACCAAATCCCAGTTTCACACTCAGAATGTAATTTAAGCGTTCGCCATACAACCACCAAGCAGTAACGTTATCTGGATGACGGCCACTTAGCTAACGTTACATATTGGGCGGTGAGGACACGCTCGTCGGAAAGCCCGGTTATTACCGTTAGGAGCTCATTCAGCCCGCGAGGGGGGAAAAAACGTCTAACCGCGAGCACGGAAGACACCAGTTCAACCCCCCACACGAATTTAAACATGCCAAAATCTTGACCTTACCGTCTATTCTCCCGTTTATGGTGTTAGTCTAGTTTCAAACAGACGACCGGTCCAGCTGTGACAACTCCCGCGAAGTGGTTGACCAAAGTAGTGTGGGTGTGTGGGGTTGAGAGTCCGCCGCCATGACGGCTTCCGATTGGCCGGTATTATTGCACAGGGTGCTGTGATTGGCTCATCCGTGTCTATCTTTCAGGTGTTTCTGCCTGCATTTTATTTTGGACCATCATGCCTTGCGATACGTTTGTTGCCCGGGAACCAATGTCAATATCTTATGATGGTTATGAGCAAGATTGTCCGTACCTACTATGTCCTCTACTATGTGTACAGTTTGTTGAAAAATTCAGTCATCATTCAATATGTAAAATAAATAAATTAGCATGAAAAAATAATGTCGCAGTAGTGTATGCCATGAAAAAGAAATAAAAGTACAGCATATCAAAAACTAATGCTTTGTGGTCGTACACATGTATATGTTGTGTTTCTATCTATGTCCTTCCAGCATTTCAAGTGGTTATTACAGTGTTAAATTGTAATATGGGCGCCGTGACCTTGGACCACCAAATTCTAAATCGACTCAACCTTTAGTCCCAGTTTATATTTGTGGCAGATTAAAAATACAAACTATTTCTATGATATCTCATTCAAAATAATGGATTGGACGGGTGGATAGAAAGCCACAAAATTGATCCCTCTACTCACGGCTGTTTGCGACACAGATCCTCATAAATGTTATAGTAAAGTACAGCATTAAAACAGTGGCAATATATTTAAACCATAAAGAATTTTACAGTATAGCATAACATACTTTCAAACTAAAACGCATTTACTCTAAAATCCAGGTTTAGCAATCCACACAGTTATTTGAAAACATTGGTTGGCATCCATCATTACTTAGTTACAACTAAATTTATTGTGACATTTAGAAAGAACACTGTGGTGGCGTGGTCTGGCTCAGCTGCACCGTATGGGCTTAATTGTTTCTCTCCCTTTAAAATGAACAGAAGTGGTGATTCGGCGTGCTGGAGAGAAGGCTGAACAGAGATTGCAGAGAAAAAGCACAGAGAAAAGTTTGAAACCATAATAAAGACGATTACCGCCCACCGACAGGGTGTGTATCCGCATCCTTGTTACAGAGAGCCCACGAGTAACCGGGCACATTACAATCAAACAGTGAAAATTAAAAGAAAGGAAAATTGACATTGTATTATCAATCAATTTATTTTTCTTAAATATTTCCAGCAATATTTTTCATCCACCTAATATTTAAGTTTTGTGTTATAGATTAAGCTGTGTGTGAGCAGGGTACACAGCAACAGTATTTCAGTGAACTGGTCGATGTATATGTATATCGCTATTGTATATCGCTTTCTAAAGTACAGAAAATGCAATGTCCCGACTTCCTCGACACACATTATCATTTACACACAATCCCACAACGTCTACCAATGTAACAGTCATATTCACATATCAAACAGTAAAAAAAAAAAAAAATCTATGACCTAGATGTCCCAAATTAGCGTCCATACCCACAAATACTGTTTTAATCATTGGGTTTCTTTCAATTTTAGTTTAAATTAGGAGAATTATTTTGCGCCAAATTCAAAGACAAATACTACAGGTTTAAAACACACTCCAAATCTCCATGGTAAATTGTTTTTTTTTGGACTAAATACTAAAATAAAGTAATAACACAGCTGTGTTGACTCAAAGTGAAACAAGGAGCCATTTAAACAGCTCAGCTCAGCCGGTGTTAGTGGAAGCTACACTCAGAGGAGACGGTAGGATGACAACTGCAACATAAGCCAGTCCACTTTAAGACTACTCCTCTTTTGGGATTATTACCATCATTATGATTATGGTACAATACTTAGTGGGCAATTCAAAAATGAAATGTATCAATAAGCGAGAAGAATTGATCTCTTTATAAAAACGAAATATCAGTTTAGTTGTGTCCGTGTACAATACAATAGTCATTAAAAGGGGAAGATTTCCACTAAACATAGAAAAATACAGTACACACATTTAAATGACAAATGAGTGTCATGAGTTGAATAGTATACTAACACACACACACGCACACACATACATATATATGTATACATGCTTCTGATCCCATTTGAAAGAAGATGGCAGCTTCAATTAAAGGTGGAGTAATGACTAAACCATCACTGGCTACGCTCCTTTGGCTCTCTGTATTTGTAGTTGATGTATTCAAAGATGTCCCTCTCACTAGCCACAATCAGAGGCTCCCCGGCCACACCTACAAAAGACCCACAAGGAGAAATAGCTCATATCAAGTCTTTAAAGCACAAATGACAGAAGCAAAGAGACCACACACTGGAATAGAGTTAATTAAGGCAACAGGTCTTATCGGAACGGGACTCACCAGTGACCCCGAGCGGCCGTATGGTGTACTCATTGAGAGTAAAGCCCTTCTCCAGCGCATGAGTTCTCATGTTTTTATTGAAGATATCACTTCCAGTGAAGTAGAGGACTCCACAGTAGTACTGATCATTGGGGATCAACCTTGGGGACACAAAGAAAGGACAGTCAATGATCAGGAACGCCATTTCGACTGTTTTTGCATCATATCCAATTGTACAGTACTGAGCCAGTTCCGCATTGTAGTGGGCATTAACAATGTTTAAATACGGAAGATCATAGCTATGAGCAATAGAAAGTAGTGCACCTAATATCAATACGTCTGTGAAGGTATTCCTCCTCATCTTCATCACTCCGCTGCAGCTGGCAGACTCCCTAGAAAAGAAGGCCGAGCTCATAGATCAGTTGTACAGGTCATGGAATGGTTACTGTTACCAATCACAGCATCACACAAAGGGGTCGACAGAGGCGCATGGAGTAGAGAGGGTGCACCTAACCTAACCGCTGGGAACCGCAAGGTTGGCTGTTCGAGCCCCGGCTGCTCCATGTCCCCTGTTGAAATGTCTCTGAGTAAGACACCTAACCCCCAATTGCTCCCTGGGCAAAAATGTATAAAACTGTGGGTTAAAAATGCAATGTAAGTCGCTTTGGATAAAAGCGTCAGCTAAATGACCTGTAATGTAATGTAATGACACACATTAAGCTGAGCCCTCTGAAGCAAATACAACTCAAGACAGAACTTTATTCATAGCAAAGGAAATGTTTGTTCCAGGGGAAGAGTAAGAAAAAAAAAAATGAACATGTATGAGCGATAATGTCATTATTGAGTGTTAAAGAAGTAACACTGACAACTGTGCAAAATAAATTTAAAAACAATAACAGAAGGATAAATACAAAAGAAGAGAGTAAAAATAGGAGTAAAACGTTTTCAAATAAGTAATACTAACATTAGTGCCTGAACTAAAATTCCACTCAGAGTGATCATCAATGAGTTGTAGGGGTGTAACAATTCATTCACTGAATTGTTACACTCAATTGTTATATAAATCGATTAATCGATTTATATTCCTGCGATCCAACTGAATCGATCTGTGCTCCGCAAATCGGCATTCCGGACGACATATATCAATTACAAATCGAATTGAAATGGTACATAATCGATTGTATCGATACTTGGAAACTGCACATTGGATTTAAGTACAAAAACTATATGGATGTGTGTTTGTTAGCACTTTAGACACGTTAAACGTTACTCGATTCAGTCTGCCTGTCTGACGTCATCAGTACGCAGCGGCAGCCGCGCGAAACTCGGAAAAACAACTAAACACAGGAGGAGACGACTGCGAGCGAGACATTTACAAACCAACTTATTGATCCAGTGTGTGGAAACATTTTGGCTTTTGCAAACACGGAGGTGTTCTAAATAAGTCAGTCGCTGTTTGTAGAATATGTAGAAGCCAAATAAAAAAAACACAGAAACACGACGAATCTTTCGGGCCATCTACTAAGGCGGCGTGGGATTGAACAACGCCGACCGTCAGGACCTCTAGCAGCGTCACCGCTGCAGCAGCAGCAGGTAACTCAGCTCTGCAGACACCTCAGGCCTCGCCAGCACCAAACTCAACATCACAGTAACAATTGCCAAGTTTATCAGTAAAGACATGCGACCCTACAATGTGGTTGAAAATCCGGGGTTCTGTGAATTGATCCAAACATTGTGTCATTATTGTGTAATGTTTACATTGAAAATGGCACTTGATTCAAATAAAAGGTTAATACATTTGCCATTAATTGTTGTTTGTTTGTTTATAATATCCATAATTATTTTAAACCTGATTTCCTTACTAGAAACAACAGGAATCTCGGAAACTTTGCCTGCACTGTCCAGTAAAGTTACTGAATCGATTTCAAGTCACTCAATCGAATCGAATCATTCTAAATTAACCCAGATCGTCCATGAATCAAATCGGCAACCATGAAACGCGATTTGAATTGAATCGTTGTTAAAATGAATCGTTACACCGCTAATGATTTGTAATGTAAATTGAAAAGTATTAAGATGTAAGTTGTATTGCAAATGTGGAATATTAGCACTGGTCTCACCATGAACTTAGTGTCCCCTTTGGACAGGGTGTCGGTAACAAACCCAATGGACTCCAAATGCTCGACAACGGCATGGAGGAGCTTCGGCTGGAAAAGAATAAGATAAAGAAATAAAGAGTCGTAAAGGTATATGACAAGCCAAACTAACTTATAGAAGAGCAAGGCCGTACCTGCTTCTGACTCTCTGAGGAGTAGTCCGGGTGGGTCAGCAAAATATCAATATCACCACTTGATGCTGCACCTGGAAATGACAAACATGTGAATCAATACAACACAAGTTTGAACTGCTTGCATTGAAACACAAACTTAAAGGGGAACATTTTACCTCTCCTGTAGCTTCCACAGATTGTCCCAATATATTCTGTACCGACCTTCTTCAACTCTCCATGGATGAGAGTCTGAACAAAACACACAATGGAAGAGACACTCTCAACAAAAAGCAAAGAAGAAGACGACAAAGACTGAAGGGCTTCATCTTCACCTCCATCTGTTCCATTTCAGTACGCGGAATCCTTTTCTCAAATTCCTCAAAGTACCTGAGGGTGGCAAAATAATCCATGAAGCACACTCATGTTCACTTCAAGATATTCAGAAAATAAGAACAAATTTAAGTAAAAAAAAAAAAACATTCATTCAGCTGAACTTACTTGAGTCCAATCTGTTGATGATGATTTAGCTTGTTCTCAATCTTTTTCAAATCTAAAAGTATTAAAGAGCATATCTCAATTCCAGTCTACATTGTGCACATGTATTCAGCATGTAATGTACTCTGTGTTATATAAAATATGAAAAACCAAGAATAAAAGGTAAACATTCTTTTAAAACACTTCCAATAAAGAAACTTAACAAACCTTCTAATGTCTTTACTCCTTCTTCAAAAAACTTCCTGGCTGCAGCAGGGCTGAAGTCAAGAGTGAAGAGACGCAGTTTGTTACAAGAAGCACAGGCAGTGAAACTACACAAACACCTTTAACCTTTGCTGCTGAGACCGAGATTCCACCCGCTCCACCAAGTTTGAGTCGGCTGTTTCATGTCACGATGTCGGATGATGATTCGTAGAGCACTTGAGACCGCTACACTGACACTACTATCGAGAATCTATTAAAGAAAAACTCAGCCTTGGTATCTGGGAAAAACATATTAACCTGACACATAAAGGCCTGTTGTTTTGATATTGCCTGACGTAACAGCATGGCACCTTTAACTCAGTTGCTCTTTAAACACAAAGTTGTCATGCAAACAAATCTTTTGTTGTCTTAAGGCTGGCGCATGCTTCTGCGTTTGCGTCTGTGAGACTCCGTAAAGGACGTAGTTAGCAGACCAATCGCAGCCTGGTGCGCTTTCGACGCAAGCCTAGAAAAATGGCTCGACACACGCAAGGAGGTGTGAAAAGCGAAAAACGCAGAAGCATAAACTAGACTTTAGACTTAGACCAGGGGTGTTAAACTCATTTCCGGTTCGGGCCAGATACTGCCCACTTCGATGGAACGCGCGCCGACCATTCAAATCATAGAGAGGGATGGCGCTGACGATCCGACCGGCGGACGGTAGCCCTGGCGGGCCGGATATGGCCTGCGGGCCGCGAGTTTGTCATATGTGACAGAGACCTTACAACATACACATGAATGTGACATAACACATGAATGTCACGTGACATTCGTGTCACATTCATGTGACACGTGAATGTCACATGAATGTGACATTCATTCATGGTCTCCAGTTACTCAGTGACATACCCGATTCCTGTGACTCTGGTGAGGAAATTGATAGAAGAGCTGGTGTCGTCGTTACGGATCTAGAGGAAAACATGTAGCAAGTAGCACATCGGTTTGTGTAATACATTTCAATTGAGCTACTCTTCAACATGTAGCTATGGAGTTTGGCATGGATCATGTGTTAACATTCCCAAAACTTACCTTTTCCAGTTTCCGTAGCGTGCCAGTTTGTAGGAACTCATCAATCTTTTCTGCTATTTTAGCTCCAACACCATCCTGTTGACGTGTGAAAAAAGCATGAAGCTCTGAGATCTGCTGCAGTTATGTTATGGCGCGTTTCCACCGAGCGGTATGGTACGTTACGGGTCGGGTCTGTTAACCATGATTTGGCGAGCGTTTCCACCGCCAACAGTACCCTTACTTGATAGGCGTGGTGTATTTCAGAAAGTAGTGATAACGTCACTTGATAGGCGTGGTATATGACAGAAAGTAGATCGACGTCATTCGAGTGCGCGAAAATTGAAAGCTAACCGCAAACAACAATGGAGGACATACAGCCGATCCTGTTCTTGCTTCTCGATATGTGGCTGTTTGTCACAGGGAGACGACAATCTTTGTTTGAGCAAAGGCTACATGCTGCAAGGAAAAACACAGCGGAAAAGGCGAATGACGACACTCTTTCAACCAATCAACGTTCTGCGGTGAGTCTAGCTCCACCCTTTAGTACCAAACAACTGTGCCAGGTACCCCAACGGAAGGGTACCCAAAAAGTGGTACGGTACGGTTCGGATTTTAGGTACCATTCTCAACTTTTGGCAGTGGAGACACAAATAAAAGGGTACCGACCCGACCCGTCGTACCGCTCGGTGGAAACGCGCCATTAGTTGTCTCGAGTGCTGCTGTTGACAGCCAAAGGTTACAGCGGGGGGCCTTGGATAGCAAACTACTACAGCAACATTAGCTGGAGAACAATGAAGGAGAGATTTACAGGTTCCAGGTATAAGTAAGTCATTGAAGCTGCTGAAACTAAATTAGCTCTCTGTGTCTACACAGAAAATGTAAAATGCCTAATGCAAGTAAATGAAACAGGGGTTATCATGCGTTCATCAAGCAATTCCTCTTCAACTATGATAACTAGGGCTGCAACTAACGATTATTTTGATAATCGATTAATCAGTCGATTATTTCTTCGATTAATCGATGAATCTGATTTTTTTTTTAAACGGCATTAAAAAGCTTTAATTTCCAACCCTTTATTCTAAAAGAGAACCTCAAATTCGTCAGATAGTTCTCTATACTACACTCACAAACACACCCTCATGTTCACTTGAAACATATTCATTAAATTATTACCATCATTGTAGTGCAAGTTAAGTAAATGCATACAGCTAAAAAACAACCAAGTGCTATGAGATGAATTTAAGATGGCATTTGTAAATAAATGCATTAGAGGCTTCTTAGTTGATTTAATGGATCACCGTGTGTCTCCCTTTACAGGCGTAACATCAACTACCGTATAACCCACAGTAAGCGCACTGGACTACCATATATGACAGCATTAAAAAGTACAACACACACAAATATATTTGTCAACAATAACCGATATGGGACAAAGCACAAAATATCAGACAACACATTGAAAAATGAATGGTCCAAAAGAGGCGAGTAAATAAAAACGTGTCTTAGTCTTGCTAACTGCTTTACTGCTGTTATTAGCGAGCTAACGCTAGCTTGATCAGCTGGATGACGAGTAAACAGGAGACTTGTTACGTCCCTCACGTCAAAACGGGACAACGTGGACCGGGACCGGGACCGGGACCCCCCCCCCACGCTCGCACACCTTAGACGAGTAGTCGAACAGACGTCTCTCCCTGCGGCATGTGACTCACAACAACTGCCGGCTGCCCTTTCCTCTACGTCGGCTCAGCGCCTTTATTTTTATTTTTGCTCCGCACGCATCTCCGCAACTCATTGAGTGACGTAATAATCGCGCGACACAACGAATCGATAATGAAATTCGTTGCCAACGCTTTTAATAATCGATTTTAATCGATTTGATCGATTCGTTTTTGCAGCCCTAATGATAACCCTGATCAGTGATCAGATCTGACCAGTGTTTACCCATGTTATTTTATCAAACAAACTATATAACCCTATGTTATGTATCTCATTTACACACCAACGGCAAATGTGTCGCTCTAGTTCTACTCTTCTAAAACTTGAATAACACAGGACTTTACCTGGACATTGATGAATTCACTTGAGCATACATTAGGTATCCAAAATATGTGTATGATAATTACAAGAGATGAAGTCATATTTGGTGTGGAGCAGATTATGACCTGTTTAGGACTCAACCTTCCAAACGGTACAATTTATTGTGGGACGGCATACTGCATTGAAGCGTTTCAGTTTGCAATTGATACACCAGATTTCTTTATGCAGCTGAACAATTGTCACCAGGTCAAATTTCCACATGTGTGATGGCTTGTTATATTAAAAAGGGTAACAACTGAAAACCTTTTCTGGTGCACATACCAGTTTCTTGGCCTCTTCACCATTTTTGATTTTGTTTGGGTACTTGGAGATGGTAGATGCTGCTTTCCTGGGCAGGGAATAGGCAAAAGATAGATTCTATTTAATAAGACTTCAAAATATGAAGTAGAAAAGAGTATGTGGTGATAAAAAGCTTCTGTTGGATGATTCAACAGAACCTCTCGGCTAAAACTGCATCAACAGCCTTTATCACAATCAGTACAGTTCTCTTTATATGACATTGAGTGTATTACACACTTAGTTATCAGTCTAAATGCAATAAACCTCCATTAAGGCTAATAGCTCACAATTTGATTTAGAGAGGTTATTTTAACTTCACGGCCATTTTGGAGGCTGTAGTCTTCAACAACAGCTACTAATAATCTCCATAAAAGTGATTAAAAATCAAATGTTATAATATAGCGACATGATCGTTACCCTATGCATCAAACCTACCACACAGATTAGCTGTTTCCAGCATTAGGTTAACATTACATTCGTTCTTTGGAGCTCACCTGTAAGCGTTGTACTTGTGTATCGCCCTGTTGACGTTTTTCTCATAATTGGCCAGCTCTGGAAGCAGAAGGAACATATCGCATGGCTTCATTTCACACTTCACATTAGCACTATTGTAAGAAGCAGCCAACTCAGCTGAAGGCTGCAGGCTTTTAATGTCTGACTGAGAAACTTCCCAGCAAACCAAATTACATTCTGAATTGGTATTTATACTTTATGCACATGCACGGACGTTACTTGTGCAGTTATTTTGATATTTTACTTCACAATAGAACCCGAGGGTCAGGCTATCTGGTGTTAGCTAACGCACACTCAGTCGTCTCTCTTCTGTACTTACCGACAAGAAAGTCCGTTATTCCCTCATTTGGGGATTCCTGCGGCGCTTTCCTTTTGCTCATTGTTTCTTTCGTAAGCTCTCAAATATGCTTTATAAACTTGAACGACTTAATATGCATACGTGAAAAGTGAAAACCTCTGAAATCTTGGCTAGCACAGGCTAAACAATGACCGAGAAACGTTGAGGGGGGTGGAGCGTGCGTGACGCGTCATACGTCCTCAGGGTTGTGACGTAGGGATTCAGAATATCGATGATCTTATTCTGCACTCAGCGGCATACAACCTTTGTACATATGATATGCACAGTAGCATGCTACCTTTTAATACACACACATTTAACGATAATGGTATACAATGACTTTTACACAAAAATTAAAATAAATTAAAACAAAACTCCTCTTTTGATGAGCCAGCAGTTCAATCATGTATAAAAATGTATATTATTCAGTAGCACGTATACTGTGACTGAGCAGTAACCCCAATTCTTGACCTCACTCAGTATATAACTTAATGATGTCAACGATGGTTAAATCATCATCTATTAACATGGTTAAGCTTTATGTTACATTAATGCAACTACAAAATGAAAATGTACATGAATAAAGCAGTGTATTTTCAGGGCCATCTAAGGCTCTTCCCTTCTTGTGTGTTAGGAATCGTTTTTCACATAAACTTTGTCCCTGGAGAATATTTTAACAGCCTCCTCAATTTCAGAGAGTCTACAATCAAGACAAGCCCGGCGTGCTCGAAGGCTCAGATGGTTTGCTCTGAGAGGGAGCGACAGCAGTTCAGCCACGAGAGTACGATGGGCTGAGGAAACATAAAAAAACAGGAGAATGAGAGAAACAGATATTCACAATTCATGTAGTACTCAAATGTAGGCAAACAGACACAGAGACATACTCTCTTTAAGGGACTTAAGAGTTTCCTGTCTTTCACTCTCATCCATCAGAGTGTGACCAGCTGGGACTGCGGGATCAGGTGCGTTGCTTCTCCTCTCCTCCGCCTCTTTATGCCACTGCTCCTTCCTTTCCTCGAGACTGTGTGTGTGTGTGTTTAATAATCAGGGAGAGGGAAGAGAGAACTGAGCAACAGCAGTAAAAGTCCACCCTGTGTTTTCATTAAATAGAGTGTGTGTGTGTCTGTGTCTGGGCATGGGAATACTTACTACTGAGGCACCTGTCCTTTGACTGCACTGGGGACAGGCTTCTCTCTGAGGTTTGCCAGGGACTGGGACCGACGCAGCACCGTTCTTCCAGCAGACTGGGCATTGTGTTTTACAAAGTCTATTGCCTGGCCTTGCACTTGTAACTGTATCAACATACAACAATGTTTGGACTCAAAACTAAAAATTATATAAACAGCAAAATGAAAAAAAAAGAAATCCGAAAAAGAATAGTTCACCACTTGTCCACCATTACTTCAAATCAATGTATCATACCACTTGACCGTGTGAAGCTGTATATACTGTACAGTATACACAGATAATCTTTTGAAACTCTCACTTGCACGTTGCGGTCATGTATGGAGTTACAGGAGATCGGGCGTCGCAAAGCCACAGGAGAAGATTTGGAGTGAGACCTTGGTGGGGCAGCAGAGTGGGCCTTCAGAAAGTTTTGACACTGTGGCTTAGAGGTTGGACTGGAAGTCTGCACCAAAAAGACTGCATAATAAGTGACCCAGAAGAAATATTAATAACTCAAGGCCATGCATCTTTTCGGGTTTGCTTCCTTACCTGGAGCTGGACCATGACCCTGGATGGGACGTTGTGGTATTTGGAGGAGGTCCAGAGGGCTTTCACAGGAACCGGACGAGAGTGTGCCCTCTCAGCCTCCTGCTCCTTGCAGCGTCTCTGGATCTCCCTGAGCCGGCGTACATTCTCTTTACCAAAATCGTGTACCCGCTGCTCTGAGGGTCAACAATCCCAAAAGTTGTCTCACTTTTACATTTTTGTTCAGGTTTACAGAACGCAATCCAACTTTGACTTGTTTAAAACCGACCTGAAGAAGTGATTGTCTTACTCTGTTTGGGAACAGGGGTGATGGCGACACCGTCTAATTTGAGCAGCTCCCCCACCACCCCTCTCTGTCCGCGTTCGAGGATATGAGTGGCGTTAGGGCCGATACGGGGAGGGTGCGCCGCGTTACAAGCACTGTAGCAGCCGGGGTACATCACAGGATCCGGGGCGAGGGGCCCCGGGAGCAGGGCCAAAGCTCCGTCTTGGTTTCCCTCTAAACGGCCACGAGCTGGAGAGAAGATGAAACAGCCAAACCAGGTGACCGGGGCCGAAAATTGTGACAAAAAGCTCACCAAATGTTCAAACTCGGGACAAACTCATTTACGATTAGCACTCGTGGATGTCAGTAGACTGACTACAAAAGCTGTTGATGTGATACCTAATGAAAAAAGGTATTTGCTTTACGTGTACAGATATTAAGTTTAATGCCCCAAATCACTGGAATACAACACAGACTGTTTTATTCACCTTTCAATTCAGACCATATATATAGATTAACAACTGGTGATCCCTCTCATCTAACCTGAAGCTGGTCGTCTGAAGTACTCAGGGAACAGAGAAGGGTCTGGGGGGATGGGTCCAGATATCGTTGAAAGTCCCTCACACATCTGAATCCGTAGAGTAGATTTTAGGAGGGAAAAAAGGTTAAAAAAACAACAACCCCAAAACGTTAGTTTTGTTACAGCTAGGTTACGTCAAACAACAGTCTTTACAATGGTGAAGCTGAGGATTGGTTCGTATTTGACAAGCAGACAGTAAACCAACCAATAATCCAGTCAGCCTGTAAGTGGTGTAATGTGTGTTTTGTTCCTCTTAGATCCCAGAATGAAGGAAGAAAAAGCTGCAGAAGTGTAACTAGTTTTTTAAGTGTATGTTTTGATAGTAGGCATGCGTTATGTGTAAAAGGAACGAATGAATGAATGCATCATTCCTAATCTTTCTTTACCGTACAGCTATGACGTACAGCTAGACTATTACGTGCATCGTTACGTTGTCGGACGTATTCCTCCCCAGAATGAAGCACAGACACCAGCGTTTGGCGTAAAAGTTATCGGCAAAGCGTTTTAAATTAAAATGCATAACTTTACCTTTGATATTCCTGCGAGTTTATCTGTTGAAGATTTTCTTCACGCCAACTGACGATTAGATATCAATCGTATCAACGCTTGTTTACGTATTGCTCACCATGGCAACGGGGCACTCGAGCACAGATATAGATCTGTTAGAAGAGAGGTACCCCAGCCCGCAGTCCATGTTAATAAAGACTTGCATCGAAAAACATCCAGATTTATCCTAATAATTTCTCAGATTGTGTCACATTATTTAGGTGACTAGCTGTAAAGGGAACGATGTTAATTATAATAATAATAGTTCATACCGTTACTGCTCATGCTTGAACTATACTGACTAGCAAGTGTATTTCTATAGTAATCCTGTTGGGGTTACACGTGGTTATATTCCCACATTTTTGCCTTGCAGGTATAGCAAATACACATTCAATGAAGAACAACTAAAACACCCAATTCACAACTACACTTTTAATCCGTAGTTTCCCTACACGCGATTCAAAATACAACCATTCAATTGGTTGAGCTAGCAGGGGACAAAGTCTACACTGTGCTCATTCTGACATTACGATCTGCCTGAAAGCCTTTCATCAGGGTTTATATAATGTTTTCATTGGGGATAATATAGATAAAGGTCATTGCCCCTAGCGTCAGTAATACGTGTCTTATTACACCAAAACAAATACAGCATTTCCACAATTGTGTTTCCAATTATTGCAATAATTTATTATCAAATAATTAATATAACATATTATTCTATGGCCAGTGTGAATGTGCATTTGTGAACATTTACAAACAGTACAACTGAGTGTCCTGTAGGAGTCTTTTTAATCAATGTCACTTGCACAACGGCCCCGCCCTCGGCCAGTGGTCTGCCTCACGCATGCGCACTGCGTGCTGTGTGAGCTGTCTCCTTCACTGCGCCCCGCTGCTCCGAACAGCCCCTCACACTTTGCACTCTGCGCCCCCCCGACAAAGGTAAGAAACAACTCAATTGCCTCTTTTTTACTTTCAACAAACGCATTGTCCACGTGCACTCATCAACGTGACGGCTGTCTCCTCTAACTGTGAGGGAGAGCCCCTCACAGGACGGGGTGCGTGCAGCAGCGGGTCGATGGACCAGTTCAGGCCCATTGGGGCCATGAGTGGGAACTGCAAACTGCAGGAAAACTTTTTAGAGAGGAGTTTTTCGAAATGTATTTGCGTCACTGTGATGTAGGTGTTAAGTTGTAATGTTTGACATATTGCTGTGATTATATTTAGTTTTTAAATAAAGTTTGACGCGTGCGCATACCGCACTATTTTAACCAGAAGTGGACGCATCTGGCTGTCTTATCCTGATGCAGAAGCACAAAGTCCACAGCTACTTAACAAGGACCCTTATCTTCTCCCACTACGGCCTATGTACTAGCATCGAAGAGAGGTCGGTTATTTATCAGACATAACCTCACAGAGCCAGGGGCGTGGCCACGTGGTGGCCAGGGGGGGGCCACGGCCACCATTGGTCAGAGAATGGCCACCCTGCCGCCCCACCCCCTCCCCAACCTCACGGGACGGCAAAAAAAAAAAAAAAGTAAATACAAAACCCCCTCCTGAACAGAAACGGTATAAAGCTGAAATAAATGCATTAGTATTGTTTTTATCAAGTCGTCTTATATTGTCATTTGTCACTTATGCTACAAGCTACATCAACAGCGCAAGACACAAACCAACGTGCCTGCATTCTGACAGCGCTTCAATGGAGACTAGCAGCTAACTACTGGAATCCAGTGACAATCAAGTGCCACCCCAAATAAAAGACTGGCCAGAACTGCCCCCCCCCCCCCCCCCAAAAAAAAGTCCCGGGTACCCCCCTGGCCAGAGGTCTCAACCTTTCCAAAAAACCTGGAAAGAAATTTTGGCGGGGGGGGACCTACGGCCCAAGGGGGGGGTGAAGAGGAACCCACGGCGCTCAAAACCAAGTCCCAATTTTTTTTTACACTTGAGAGCCCTGCCTCATGATCCGGCTATGGAAGAGTTTTTGAAATGATATCAGGTCATTGGTCTCACAGTCTCTCCAGGCTGCTGCAGTGCGCGCAAAGAGCCCCAAATCCCACCAGTCAACAAATGTGCCCACTCACATGCGCCGGATGAGTGAGCAGACCACGTTGTGGAACACATGCATCCCTACCTCATGCTCCTGGAGCTATAAATTGTCGTAGTGTAACTTGACTTCAGTCGACTTTATCTGACAGCCACATGCCTCTGGTTGAACATGGTTTCACCTTATCTCAGGGTCCAGTGTTGTGTAACTGCCTGTTTAGGCTATTTAACATCTGATTTTAGTTCAGCATGCTCATTATTAGGGTTAGTTATTGAATCCACGCCGTTCTTCAGCTGCAATACATGTCCAAATTATTGCTACATGTGGGAATTGTCAGGGAGGTGAATAACCAAGCCCAATTTGGATGATTGTTTTGAATATTAAATACAATAAAAATGTTCACCAAACTGGCTTCAGGGTCACAAAGTAGCAGTGGGTGGTTTTGTACCATTTTCCCCAGCAAAGATCAGACTCACTGGCCACTTTATTAGATAATCTTGCTAGTAAAAGGTTAGACCCCCTTTGCCTTCAGAACTGTCTTAATTCTTCGTGGCATACTATCAACAAGGTGTTGGAAACATTCCTCAGATTTTGGTTCATGTTGACGTGATAGCATCACACAGATTGGTCTGCATCTATGATGCAAAGCTCCCGTTCCAACGCATCCCGAAGGTGCTCTTTTGGATTGAGATGTGGTGACTGGAGGCCATTGGAGTACAGAGAACTCATCCTTATGTTCAAGAAACCAGTTTTAGATGATATAAGCTTTGTGACATGGTGCATTATCCTGCTGGAATTAGCCTTTATATGGTACCCTATGGTCATAAAGGGCTGGACATGGTCAGCAACAATATTCAGGTAGGCTGCGCCATTTAAACCATGCTCAATTGGTACATAGGGGCCCAAAGTGTGCCAAGAAAATATCCCCCACACTATTAACCACCACCAGCCTGAACAGTTGATACAAGGCAGGATGGATTCATGTTGTTTATGCCGAATTGTGACCCTACCATCTGAATGCCGCAGCTGAAATCGAGAGTCTTCAGACCAGGCAACGTTTTTCTGATCTTCTTTTGTCCAGTTTTGTCCAATTTTGGTGAGCCCGGGCGAATTGTAGTAAGTCTAAGTTGGGCTGACTAGCAACTTGTGTTAACAAGCAAATGAACAGGTGCAGCTAACAAAGTGGCTGGTAAGTGTAAACCTGTATGATTTTTATTCAGTTTGCATATATCTATCTATCTATTATATATATATATATATATATATATATATATATATATATAAATATGAATATATAATCAGCACCAGTCAAAGGTTTGGACACCTTTTATCGTGCAATTCAATGAGAACGTGTCCAGACCTTTGACCAGTACTGCATATGTTTAAATTTGTCAACATATTGACAGCTGTACTCAATTTTAAGGAGCAGGGGCCTCATTTATAAACGTTGCGTACACACAAAAGAAGGCGTACGCCGCTCTCTACGCAATAATTGGTATTTATATAAAAGCAAACTTGACGGAAAAATGTGCGGTCCTTCACGCAAGCTCGGACCCATGCGTACGCACAAAAACGGGTGAAATGAGAACCGTCGGCACTGCCTCGACTGCACTGGAGGAAGGTTATTGTTTACTCCTGAAAGGTGTGAAAAATCGTGCTGGCGTGTGCTGTGCTACATAATGTGGCACAGCTTCCAAACGTGCCAATGATCATTTTGACTTTACACTGAGTGAAGTTACGTTTCTTCGTTTTCCTCTCAGTGTTTGCCATGATTTCGCAATCGCTGAATATTAATTTGTGGGCGTTCCACAGACTATAAATGGACAACTATGGGCGTGACATGAAGCCACAAAAGCTGCGCTGCATTTAGAAGTGATTGTGATTTATTAAGGGAAAACTGAGTAGGACGTGCGTGCGCACGGTTTTATAAGTCTGAATATTTCTGTGCGTACGGACGTCCTACGTTTCATCCGTACGCCACTTCTGGCGCAAATCATACGCAAGGTTTTATAAATGAGGCCCCAGGTCTCTAATAGATGAAGTCAAAACATGTCACAAGTTTGACGTGTGGTGACATCAAACTTGCACACAAGGAATACTAAATACTAGCACATACAACTGTCATTTTAACATGGACTAATATCACACTTCCTACTGTTCTGAAGATATTATTCCTCTTACTTGTCCCCATGTCGGTGTTTGTGTGGGCGTCATTTTGACCTTTGAATCAAGGCCGTCTCCGGGTGGCGGTTCAGGGGTTTTGTGTATGACTCCAGCATGGAGGTACAACCAGGACAAGTGTCATACAATGCAGGATCCAATAGGTTGAACCTGGAGGTGGACACATGCAGACACATTGGGCCGGTGTTCTTTCTTCTAGTCTTAATCCTCCCCAGCCCAAGTCTCATGTGTTGGGTGTCGGGTTCACCTGGGCTAAACTTAGAGGTGCATGCTTCAAATTGAGGGATGAAGACCAGGAGAGAAACGGGCAGACATAGTCAGCGTGGTTACATGGATTCGAATAACTGGCTTGGTTGGACTGAAATCGAATTATCCGTTTCATGTAAACACCTTTGTCCGACTATGTGCGGTCTGACTACGATCCGACTAACACCCCTGGATAACTCGATCCGATCCAGTTGATAGTTCGACTATTGCGGCATGTAACGGTGAATCGGATAAGGAACTGGACTTTGCGTCTTTGCGCAAGCTTGAGATCTCGACGGCGTCTTCTCTCCGTTATCAAATCAGCCAATAGCGCCATTCGCATTCGCTGTACTCCTATTAACATCATGCAAAAATAGTAGAGGGATGTAGCTTCACTTTGCTCTCCGCTCGCCATCTTTCTCGTAATGTTGATGTTGTTGTTGGTAGTGGTGAAGAGGTCAAGTGGAAATGGCTGTATCACAACTAGTTGTAATGAAAACAGCGCCACCTATCGTATCGGATATGACATGCTTTCGGCCAATGATTCGATTTATTCACTGCCATGTATATTGGGATAATAGCACTTGCCCCGAAAGATAGCATAGTCCGACTAAGCAAAGATTCAAATTATACCATCATGTAAACACACTAAGTGAGTGAGGTGCAGGAGAAGTGACAAATGTCATGACATAGTCATAGTCAGCGATACGCAGGGACTTTGGCTTAGCGTTTTACACATGAAGGCAGGAGAGATGGGACAGGACCTCACGACACACACCATGATTCACAATCATGGTTTTGTGTGTGAGAAATAGAGATCTTTAAGGCCACTAAAATAATGTTGGTCATCCAGTGTCTTATGAGAGGTACAGTACCTGTAATGCTGCACGATTATGGTCAAAATCATGATGATTATTTTGATCAATATTGAGATAACGATTATTTATTTACAACGTCCAATAGGACTTGTGTTGTCTATAGGTGACACGTGACAGGTGAATGTCACTTTCACGTCTACTTGCATCACAGTGCCCGTGTAAAAAGGGGCAGAGAGGTTTCTATTTATTTCACCATATCATTGCCTGTCCATCCTCTGCTGTGGGAACATGCTAAAAATCACCATCAGTTCCTAGGCACGCCCACATATTGTGCACAGGGCCGGACTTCTTGTCAAAAGTTTCCTTTTGTCCCTCCATGCGTTTCCTGTCCCCCGAGGAGACATGGCAGAGAAAGGATCAGTGTGCGAGGTCCAGCAGGACCAGGCAGGGAAAGGCAAGCGGGCAGTGACCAAAGACCACTGTGGGACATGTCAGCAGCGCACTCCCAACGGACATGGTGAGTGACGAGGGGGGTGCACAGAGGGACATTATCATGCATCATCTGGGGCCTTGGATTGAGCTTTGGCTGCAGTAACAGGGATCTCGTGAGGGCCAGATTTGCATGTGCATGTGTCAATTTCAGCTTCAAGAATGAAGCGAAGGTAACTGAGGCCACATTACCACCAGCGTCCCTCCTCTGCAGAAAAAATGAGAAGGATTTGATTGGTGATTAGATCTCGGCTGCGTCCTCCAACAACCGCATAGGCTGAACTGAGTGGTCTCTGAAATGGGACGGTCTGGCCTACGGGGGGACTTCCTGCCTGCGTCATCAGCTTTACCTCCACTGCTCCCGCAACCTGCTGCGCTTGACAGTAAAAGCTTTAAAAGCCAAAAAAATTACAAAGTTACAGATAAAGAAGATAATCTTAGTTAATTTAATTTAGGAAGATATGTTTCTCCTCCGGAGCATGATCTATTTCAGGCTGAGAGAAGAATAATACAATCTCAAGGCAGAGGAGATTCCTTCAATACTGTTAATAAAAACCACAACAGCAAACACATTTATTAACTTGTTTGCATCCATCCATCCATCTTCAGCCGCTTATCCGGGGTCGGGTCGCTGGGGCAACAGCTCCAGCAGGGGACCCCAAACTTCCCTTTCCTGGGCCACGTCTACCAGCTCTGACTGGGGGATCCCAAGGCGTTCCCAGGCCAGCGCAGAGATATAATCTCTCCACCTAGTCCTGGGTCTTCCCCGGGGCCTCTTCCCAGCTGGCCGTGCCAGGGGGCATCCTCACCAGATGCTCAAACCACCTCAACTGGCTCCTTTCAACGCAAAGGAGCAGCGGCTCTACTCCGAGCTCCTCACGAATGGCTGAGCTTCTCACCCTATCTCACCCTGTACACTTCTGACTTCTGTTACAATACAGAGTCTTGCCACATGCAGAAGTTTTCAGACGACACTGCAATAGTGGGGTGTATCAGGGATGGCCGGGAGGGGAGTATGTGAGCCTGGTGGAGGACTTCGTGCAATGGTTCAAGCACAACCAATTACAACTGAACACTGCGAAGACCAAGGAAATGGTGGTGGATTTCCGCAGGTCTAAGCCCACCATGCTACCAGTTTCCATTGAGGGGGTCAATGTGGAGGTGGTAGGCACATACAAGTATCTCGGGGTGATCCTGGACAATAAACTGGATTGGTCTGCCAACACTGACGCAATCTACAAGAAAGGGCAGAGCCGGCTGTACTTTCTGAGGAGGCTGCGGTCATTCAATGTCTGCAGCAAACTCCTCCAGGTGTTTTACCAGTCTGTCGTGGCCAGCGTCCTCTTCTACGCGGTGGTGTGCTGGGGAGGAAGCACTAAGAAGAAGGATGCAGGGCGACTGAATAGGCTGTGAAGAAGGCTGGCTCTGTGGTTGGTGCTGAACTGGAGTGCATCTTTCAGTCGCCAACAAAAGGACCCTCACCAAACTGCTCACCATCATGGACAATGGAAACCATCCTCTCCATCAGTGCTGAGTGAGTCTGATCAGCAGGAGACTGCGCTCGCTGCCATGTAGGACTAATAGACTGTATAAATCATTCATCCCCTGAGCCATACAACTTTATAACAACACAACCCGCCTAAAAAGTTTTCTAGTAAGCCATGTTTACTGGCTATGTTAGCCTTTACACAGCCCCCCCCCTCCCGACTACTGGCTATGTTGGCCCTTTGCACAACCCCCCTCCCCCCTCCCTTTTTTGCACAAACCCCCACCCCTCCCTCTCTCCACCCCCAGCCTGAACTCTTAATGTGTGTTTTAACTTTATTCTTTCTTTGATAAACCCTTTTTAATAGTTTAACTGCATGTGTATATTATGTTGGTGTATTGTCAGGAGCTACCTGGATCTTGAATTTCCCCCCGGGGATCAATAAAGTACTTCTATTTCTATCTATCGCTAAGCGAGAAGCCAGCCACTCTCCTGAGGAAACCCATTTCGGCCGCTTGTACCCGTGACCTAGTTCTTTCGGTCATGACCCATCCTTCATGACGATAGGTGAGGGGAGGAACGAAGATTGACCAGTAGATCGAGAGCTTTGCCTTCCGGCTCAGCTCTCTTTTCGTCACAATGGTGCGGTAAAGCGAGTGCAATACCGCCTCCGCTGCTCCGACTCTCATCCCGACCGCTTCACACTCGACTGCGAAACGCTCCAGTGAGAGTGGGAGGTCACAGACAGAAGATGCCATCAGGACCACATCATCTGCAAAAAGCAACGATGAGATCCGCATCCCTCCGACTACGCCTCGATATCCTGTCCATGAAGACCGCAAACAACATTGGTGACAAGGCGCAGCCCTGGCGAAGGCCAACCCCCACCGGAAACTCCTTCGACTTACTGCCGAGTTCCCGAACACAGCTCTCGCTTTGGGCGTACAAGGATTGGATGGCCCCAAGCAAGGACCCCCTCACCCCATACTCTTGCAGCACCTTCCACAGTTTCGGGGGGACCTGGTCATACGCCAAGTCCACAAATCACATGTGATGAGCATACTCCCAAGCCCCTCCATAATCCTGGAAAGAGTAAAGAGCTGGTCTGTCGTTCCACGACCAGGACAAAAACCGCATTGTTGCTCTTTAATCCTTGGTTCGACTATCCGCCGAACCCGCCTTTCCAGCACCTTGGAGTAGACTTTACCCGGGAGGCTGAGTAATGTGATACCCCTGTAATTGGCACACTCTCTCCGGTCCCCCTTTTGAAGAGGGGTACCGCCACCCCGGTCTGCCACTCCTTTAGCACTGTCCCAGACTTCCACGCAATGTTGAAGAGGCGTGTCATCCAAGACAGCCTCCCAACACAGATCTCTGGACGGATCTCTTCAATCCCCGGGGCTTTGCCACTGTGGAGTTGTTTGACTACCTCAGTGACCTCCACCAGGCAAATTGAGTGATCCCTCCTCCGCCTCCAGCTCCGCCTCTACCAAAGAGGGCATAGTAGTTCCTTCCACCGCCCGATAACCTCCACCGGATACCCGGAAGGCCTCCTTCTTCAGTCGGATGGCTTCCCTGACCACCAGTGTCCACCACGGCTTCGAGGGTTACCGCCCCTTGATGCACCTAAGACCTTGAGGCCACAACTCACTGCCGCGGCTTCAGCAATGGAAGTTACAACATACACCACTCTGGTTCAATGTCCCCTACCTCCTGTGGAATTCTCTTCTACTTTTGATTTCTCACAAGGGCTTAATCCACATGGATTACAACCACAACTTCCACCCCACACACCACAAAACAAAAGGAACAAAGCAAGTTCAGTTCTTTGTGTATTTATTCTGACGTTACTGACTTAGAAAGTGATATTTCAAGTTCATAACAAAACACAGTATATACAGGAATGGAGATGTTGTTCATGTTGGAAAAACAGCAAGAAAAAGCCCCCGTATGACGCTTTGTGATCTTTTAAAACAATATTTGCTGCACATTTGGAGTCTCTTCCTCTTAGAGAATCAGGCGCATTAGATCAGCAACATTCGCTGCTTGTTAATGGGCCGCAGCCGGGCAGTCAATAGGGTTCACATGCAAGAGGGAGGGGAGGGGGAGCTGGAAATCACCCAGGCCACACTCCACTCCCCCCCACCCCCCCTTCCAGATGTTGAGTGTATCCCCAATTAGGCTAATGTCATGTATAGCAAGGACTGTTTGCTGGTAGGCCCTGTGGGTGAGAGAATAACGCTCTTCCCATTAGTAGCTGCTTGTATTCCTCCATCTTCAGCCTGAGACGTGTGTCCTCATGCTTTATGGAAGCGCATGAAATAATTGCTGGACTATTTCTTTAAATAGTGTGCTCTTTTTTTCATAACCTGCTTGTCTGTCCCCTCAGGCACAATGACTGTTCCTCCTGCATACTCAGACTTGGGGAAGTCTGCCAAAGACATCTTCAACAAGGGCTTCGGTAACTCATCATCATAATAATAATAATAATAGTATGTATGACATGATGCGGTTATTTGTTTGCAACCGTTTTGGACGAAGCTGTCCTGAAGCACTGCTGCAGCTGCTTAAGCACCATGCGGGCAGCGCAAGGAAGATGTTTTTTTGATGTCACTAACTTTCTGTTCTTTCCCAGGATATGGAGTTCTCAAGCTGGACGTTAAGACCAAGTCCCAGAGTGGTGTTGTGAGTACCGCTGTTGTCTCTGTCAGCGTATTTGAGTTTCATGTTCGGGACTCTCAATTGCCGATTTACCATAATGGTTGACTCATCGGAGTCTGTTTGCTACCGTAGGTGAAGTCAGAGTAACCTGCACACGCACATTGGCACTGTCTGCCAGAGATTTTTCCTTTAGACACAAACATGTTCATGATGTGTCTGTGTTCCTATATAACACTATCAAACACAATTCACATATCCCTCTAAACTTAAAAGAATCAAACGTAAATGTCTTCCCTCCGTGTCACGTTTGGACCTTCCATTTTCACATAGAGCATGTAGACCTTCTCCTTAACCCAATCTATTTTCTCTTATTTATTTTTGCTTCCTGCTTCTTTGGACGTTCCTGTCAGATGGTAAGACAGTGTGCGTGGTTGTGTGTGTGTGTGTGTGTGCGCACAGGCCAGCGGTTCTGGCTTTGCGTTTAGTATGACGCGCAGGCTTCCTGTACTTCCTCCTCCTTTGCAACGGTAGCTCAGCCCCCCTACCCCGACTGCTCACTGTCACCCCTGGGTTTCCCAACTCATTCCTCCATCATAGAATGGGGAGTTTGTCTTTTAAATAACCAGCCGTGTAAATCCGAGAGTAGATTAGAGAGTAGTAGTGCGTCGGAGGTGGGGCTTGTTTCTACGGCAAATGGGAAAACACAACGACATTAGCTTCTTACGGAAAGGGGAGGGCCTTATAGCAGAGGACGGACATTTCTGATTGGACTGAAGGACTGTCTGTCTTTTAACCCTCTTAATCCGAAGCCTTTCGCCAGCGACGGAAAGTGACATGGAGGATTCAAATTACCGTGACTCCTTTACTATTTCCACAATCGGATTCTCAAAGCTGAGAAATGCCACTTTCTAGATATTATGGCAATCAAGAAATCAGTGGCGGGAGAGCCTGTGAGGGAGGACTGGAAGTGAGCGCTACGGCCGACACTGCTCGGGGACCGGAGTCTGATTCCTTGGCGTGAGGACAAGAGTCCGAAATACGTGACACTTGAGAGCCCTGTATCATTTCCTGTTAAAGGACAATCAGAAGGCTCCGTTCTCTGCTATAAGTCCCTACCCTTTCCGTGAGAAGTTTATTTCGTTGTGTTTCCCTATTTGCCGTTGTGTTTTGCACTTCAGGGCCACCGTATGTTTCCGTATTCTTTTCTCCCTGTATGTTTCCTCCCCAGTCTTGCTTCTAGTTGCTGTAGTTGAGCACTGATCTGCCTTTCTGCTTACCTTCCCGCCCATCGGCATCTCCCCCTTCATCACTTCACCCCCCTCTCCTTCCTTGCAGGAGTTTGCCACCTCTGGCTCCAACAACACCGACACAGGGAAGTCGGGAGGCCACCTGGAGACAAAGTACAAAATGAAGGAGCTGGGCCTCAACTTCCAGCAGAAATGGAACACAGACAACACTCTCAGCACGGAGATCACCATGGAGGACCAGGTGGAGTCGAATGTCACCACGTGTAATATATCGATACATTTACTTTCACATAGATAATTCATCACCAATGGCCTCTCCATCTTTCTTACCGTCACGTTCTGTAGCTGACTTTGGGCTTGAAGCTCGGTCTGGATGCCTCATTCGTGCCCAACACCGGGTAAGAACAGTCCTGGGCACGCTGAGCTTTTTTTAATGTCTTTATTAAATTAGTCAATTCGTCTATGATAAAACATTACTGCCTTTTCTATACCCCTTCTGTAGCAAGAAGAGTGCCAAGCTGAAGTCCGGCTACAAACGGGACTTTGTGAATGTAGGCTGTGACCTGGACTTCGACATGGCTGGTCCCACCGTCCACGCGGCCGCCGTTCTGGGCTACGAGGGCTGGCTGGCGGGCTACCAGTTGGCTTTCGACACGGCCAAATCCAAACTGACCCTGAACAACTTCGCCCTCGGATACAAGGCCGGTGACTTCCAGCTTCACACCAATGTGTGAGTCGCTGCAGCGCAGCAAAGAGAGGGGGAGTGCTGGAGGTGACACACGTGAATCCGGCAGCACGGAGAGAGGAAGTTCTGATCGCGACCTTTTTGTGTTTCAGCAATGATGGCACAGAGTTTGCGGGCTCCATTTACCAGAAGGTGAACAGCAACTTGGAGACAGCGGTGCACCTGGCCTGGACAGCTGGCAGCAACAACACCCGCTTTGGAATCGGAGCCAAATACCAGCTGGACAAGGATGCCTCCCTGTCTGTAAGCAATCAGCCCGAACAACGACTGCAATGCATTTTACTATTACAATACAGTATGTACAGTATTTGTAACAAATTGAAGTCTGTGAGACTATGCAGTGCCAGAGGAAAGGTTCTATGACCCGCAGAGCCAGTAGGATTCTTCCTCTGGAGGTCGCTGACGTTTGCCCCCCTGCTTTCCTCCCCATTGTCTCACCCGTCCACGGGGTTTCGTTTCCCCTCACAGGCCAAAGTCAACAACGCCTGCCTTGTTGGAGTTGGCTACACACAGAACCTCAGGCCAGGTAAGCCGGCTGCTGGATTTTTTTTAGTCTCTCTTTTTTTGTTGTTGTAATAAACAAAGAGCAAAAGGCATTGCTACCTGATACATAAATGTGACGATGCCCCCCACCGTCCACAGGTGTGAAGCTCACCCTCTCGAGTCTGCTCGATGGGAAGAATGTGAACGGCGGCGGGCACAAAGTCGGCTTGGGCTTCGAGCTGGAGGCATAGGGAGGTCAGCGGGAGAGAAGGGAAGAAACACTGGGTAGCGGCGACGAGCCCGAATGTGACAAACAGCAAGGGTCCGCTCAGCGACCCCGTCGCCCTACACACGCACACACATGCACACTCGTTTGCCTTATCCCTTGAACCCAAAGCCATGCTTCAAACCCTTCCGCGCTGTAGTTTTGAAAGAGCCATGCAATATTGTTATGATGGTTACTTTTAAATCCAAGCACATACATTTTCTTACTGAAATAAGACATTAAGCACCTTTTCATTTTGGCTGTGTAGTCCGAATGCTTTTGCCCAGATGTACTCTTTAGATTATTATAGGAAGCTGCTCTCAGTTTGTTGTGGTTTTGCTGCATGCTTTCGAGGATAGAGAGACAGGGTTTTCTTTCCAGATGTCGCAGAATAAGAGGCAATAAAAGCTGGAGAGAATTAGGCAGAAAATAGATCCTTCTGGGATCTAGTGCTCTGACTGTGATTCTACTCTTTGACCTCAGTTTTGAACAAGGAACCTTCAGTTGCCTTTCAGGTCCTTTTTTGGTTGATCGAAATTGGAGACAGTTCCCTCTCTGTGTCGTCTTGTTTTGTGTCCTGTACCTTTTGGACCTTTACTACTACAGTTCCCTAAATCTGTGCTGTGTGTAAGCAAGTTAGTCAACCATCAGGACCTCAAACTGATTTGAAATAAAGAATATAAATATAATATAAAACTTGTGTCTGTTTTGATGGGATATGTAAATAAGAAAACACCACTTACTTAAGTAAAATACTGTATTCAACATAGAAAAGTGTACTTTTTTTACATCCAAATAGACAAGGTATTACAAATACTTGACGTATGTAGCACCTGTCATTACTTCATAAGATCTACGCACAGTAGTCCAGTGGTGGAGTTCCATGTAACGGGTAACAGTTTTGCCACGATCTATGAAGTTGACTATTTTTCCAAAAACATAATCTTTGCAAAACAAACATTTTTTTCAAACCCATACATATCTTTTGGTAATCTGCATTATGGACCAAGCCCAACCTAACCTCTCAGGATGGGTTCAACATCACAACAGTTTCAGCAAAACAGGACTGCACGCTATTATACAGTGCATCCGGAAAGTATTCACAGCGCTTCACTTTTTCCACATTTTGTTATGTTACAGCCTTATTCCAAAATGGATTAAATTCATTAGTTTCCTCAACATTCTACACACAACAACCTATAATGGCAAAGTAAAAACTGTTTTTTGCAAATCTGTTAATAAAGAACGAAAACATAACATGTACATAAGTATTCACAGGCTTTGCCGTGACACTCAAACTTTAGCTCAAGTGCATCCTGTTTCCACTGATCATCCTTGAGATGTTTCTACAACTTGATTGGCGTCCACCTGTGCTAAATTCCGTTGATTGGACATGATTGAGAAAGGCACACACCTGTCTATATAAGGTATCACAGTGGACAGTGCATATCAGAGCATAAACCAAGCAATGAAGTCCAAGGAATTATCTGTAGACCTCCGAGACAGAATTGTATCAAGGCTCAGATCTGGCAAAGGGTACAGAAAGATTTCTACAGCATTGAAAGTCCCAATGAGCAGTGGCCTCCATCATCCAGAAATGGAAGAAGTTTGGAACCACCAGGACTCTTCCTAGAGTTGGCCGCCCAGCCAGACTGAGCGATCGGGAGAGAAGGGCCTTAGTCAGGGAGGTGACCAGGAACCCGATGGGCACTCTGACAGAGCTCCAGCGTTGTTCTATGAAGAGAGGAGAACCTTCCAGAAGGACAACAATCTCTGCAACACTCCACAAATCAGGCCTGTTTGGTAGAGTGGCCAGACGGAAGCCACTCCTCAGTAAAAAGTTTGCAAAAAAGCACCTGAAGGACTCTCAGACCATGAGAAACAAAATTCTCTGGTCTGATGAAACAAAGATTGAACTCTTTTGCCTGAATGCCAAGCGTCATGTCTGGAAGAAACCAGGCACTGCTCATCACCTGGCCAATACCATCCCTACAGTGAAGCATGGTGGTGGCAGCATCATGCTGTGGGGATGTTTTTCAGCGGGAGGAACTGGGAGACTTGTCAGGATTGAGGGAAAGATGAATGCAGCAATGTACAGAGACATCCTCCATGAAAACATGCTCCAAAGCGCTCTGGACCTCAGACTGGGGCGACGGTTCATCTTCCAACAGGACAACGACCCGAAGCACACAGCCAAGAGAACAAAGCAGTGGCTTCGGCACAACTCTGTGAATGTCCTTGAGTGGCCCAGCCAGAGCCCTGACTTGAACCCGATTGAACATCTCTGGAGAGATCTGAAAATGGCTGTGCACCGACGCTCCATATCCAACCTGATTGAACTTGAGAGGTTCTGCAAAGAAGAATGGGAGAAACTGCCCAGAAATAGGTGTGCCACGCTTGTGGAATCATACCCAATAAGACTTGAGGCTGTAATTGCTGCCAAAGGTGCTTCAACAAAGTACTGAGCAAAGGCTGTGAATACTTATGTACATGTTATGTTTTCGTTCTTTTATTTTTAACAGATTTGCAAAAATTTGCAAAAAACAGTTTTCACTTTGTCATTATGGGTTGTTGTGTGTAGAATGTTGAGGAAAATAATGAATTTAATCCATTTTGGAATAAGGCTGTAACATAACAAAATATGGAAAAAGTGAAGCGCTGTGAATACTTTCCGGATGCACTGTACATGTTTAGATTTATGACTAATTATTTTACAGACATAAACATCACCCTTGTTATTCAATGATTTCTTACTAAGAATAACATTTGCAATTAAAATATAGCACCAGTGGCCGCATACATATTTTCATGTAGGCCCACAGCACAGTTCAGAGGACCTCTTTAGAAGATCCCTTTTTTTAAAACGTGGGATTAACGTTCAGAAAACTATAAAATATAATATCCACATTTTTCTGATTCAAGTTCCCCACATACCAAAAAGTGAAACCAATGTAAAAAAATCATGTTTCAAATTGTGAAGAGAATTACTTATATACCGTTTGCCTATTTTGGTAACAATATGTATTTACATTGACTTAAATTTGAGAATTAAAGCAGTTCTCCATCTGTTCTAAGGAGCATACTGGCACACTGCAGGAGTGTGCATTGGTGGGATGGGACTGGGATTCTATGAAATATTTCATCTGGTTCCTCTGTGCAATAAGAAGGGCAACTGTACAAAACATATTTCATATTTTGTTAAAATGTATAAGATCCAGTTTAAATGAATCCCCCTGATGCTAATCCATGACACAAACCACTCGCTGTTCATTTTCTGCTTCTACAAGTTCAGAGTCCTGAGTGGGTTTACAAACTTCTTAATCACATTAAGCAAATATATGCCAGCATCTACAGCTGTAGTCTGACATCCCATCCAGACAGGGGCAGTAGAGTACCACATGTAAGCAAAGAACCCCAACTCAGGAGAGGTCGCTGGAGAAGTTCTGACTGCTGTGCAGCCACGTCCACTCCCTCAACACCTGGGACAAAAACACAAAGAGGCGCTCTTTTAATCACTCATTCATTGCACAGAAAACCTTTTGAAATGATCCTGAACAACACAACAGCTTGGCATCCAAACAAGTGCGAGTACCTCCATACTGCTCTGTGAATCCTGGATGGTGTCGTGCAGCAGGCTCTGGAGCCGACCCTCGAAGGTCCTGCTCTCCTCCACCAGAGACTCGTCACTACGGACACACCCACAGGGATTCATGCAGACTCACAACATAGATCCTAGCTCATCTGCGCGTGCGCAGGAGCCGTGCCTTTTATTCCCTAAAGGAGTCCTGAGCAACGCTCAGGAAAGCTGAAGTAAGGTAGTTTGTAGCAAGATTGTCAGCATACAAAGAAAAATGTCAACAGATTGGACAAATGTCTGACATACACAGAGTGGTGAAAACAGAGGTGCGTCTCTGTAGAGACTCCTTTCTCTAGTCCTTTACGAGTTTCAGACCCCAGTGTGTGTGTGTGTACATGTACGTACATACATACATACAGGTATACATACAGGTCCATAAATATTTGGACATCAAAGGTGTGCTTTGTGCAAACTTTCAGGTTCAATTTGAGGGTATTTACATCCAAATCAAGGTAAACGGTAAAGCAATTACAAGACATTTTATATGTGATCCATAACTTTTGAATGTCCAAATAATAAGGAATCTCACTGTATGTCTGTCTTTGTGTGTGTGTGTGTGTGTGTGTGTGTGTGTACTCACAATTGCTGCAAGCTGTGTCTTGGGGTCAGCAGAGGCGGCACCGAAGAGGGGGTTGGTAATCCATCCGGACTCCCACTTACCGGACTGCGAACCTTACTCTGCACAAGACAAGACCAGAGCGTCCTTGAGGACCTGGCAGGTGAACACACACTGAAAAAGCGGCATTCGAGAATTAAAGCCACAGTGAAACACGGAACTTAGCTACAGTCGGCTTCTGCACTGGTACGTATCCCACAGCCAGACGGAGTACTCGATGGGTACAAGAGATTTGAATATAATCTGTTGCATTTCATCGGGCTGCTGTGGGCGGGATTAACATGTTGACTAGAATATAGTCACACACACACCTCCCTTGCTGCTCACATTGCAGTTTGATAGATTGATGGAAATTCATAAATAAAAAGTGCACAATTTTAAACTCGAAATTAAGCTTTTATGCACCTGCAGCTGTTTTACGATTATTATTTGCAGAGACTCCAAAATACATCTCAATGATGTAATCATTTTTAACATTTGTATTAATATGCAATAAAGACGACCGTCGTCATACTAGAGCATATTAGAGAAGAGTAAGAGTGGGAGAGAATGTGTGTGTGCGCATGTGCGTGAGCAAGTCATGCATCCTCACACAGGCCACTTTGAGCAGGTTCCAAAGCTCCCTCTGTCGTCTCTCCTGCAGACTCATCAGGACCTGCTCGCTCTCAACCATGCTTTGCACCATGCCCTCCACCTTCGGCAGCAGCTCCATCACGCGCTGACGACACACCGCGGTCTTACTGCATTACACACCCAACCAGGAAAGGGGGGGGGGGGGAACGGACGCACAGGGAGAAAAGTTGTGATCAGGAAGCATTGATCCCGTATATGTTGAACCACCGAGCAGATTGCTTACATTCAAATCTTCTTTACAAATACTAGGTATCCAATAAAATTTCCGATTTGCACCTGAGGTGTGTGTAGAAGTCTCGGAGTTTCCTCTCGTAGAACTGCACGGCCTGAAGCACCAGGCGCACCACCTCCTGACTGTCCCCTGGGAGCCTCTGGTCTGAGCAGGAAGGAAAAAAGCAGCCAGCTTTATTTTCTGCATGGAAGCACAGAAGCACTGGGCATTAGGCCAGAGGTGAAGGGACTAGTGCCAGCCAAACCTCTGGGTTTCTCTCGGAGTTTGCGGAACAGCTCCATGGCTTTTCCTTCACTGAGGACCGAAAAAGGGCAAAGAAGAGAGAAGGGTTCAAGATCAACAACCTGTTTAGTTGTGGGTTTGTTTTTCTTTACTGTTAATTTTGGTACAGACTTACAGTGTGTCCAGAGCCTCTCCACTCCTCCACGGCTGCCGCTGCACATCCACTATGTCGGGCTGCAGCTGCATCATCTCCTCCTCCAGCTCGCTCACCTTGGCCTAGACACCCACGGAGGGGTTTGGCCTTTTTAAAGCACAATTCAATACTCTTTCACCTTACACACAAAAACACACTCAATTCTACCTGACCACAGCTGACAGCAGTCTGCTCCATCTCCCTCCACACGCCCATGAGTTTCTCTGACGCTAAAAAATGTAGAAAGGCTATTATTAGCCGGTGTTCTAGACACTTTCCATCATATTAGGATATGAATAATTCTGACTACAGGGTGGTTTCAGTGCAGTTTTGCCAGCTGACGTGTAAACCTGCCCTGTATCTACCAGCATGTTGTTTGTGTGGCGTAGTACCGATCCCGGTGGCTGTCTGCTCCTGGTATTTGTCCACGTCGATGTGAAGGCTGGTGGTGAAGAAGTCCAGCTTGGCCATGAGTCTCTGGTGCATGGACACCATCTCATTCTTCTGTTTGGACAGTGAGGAGTTGTACCTCAGGAGGCTCATGCTGAAAGACACACGTTGGTTTTAGACATACAGTTAAAGCAGGTTTTGTGTGGGAGTTTGGAGTGTGTTTCCCCTACATAGCGGCCTTCTGGCCCTGCTGCAGCCTCTGCCAGTCGTCCTTCAGGGAGCGGATGGTGTGCCACGCCTGGCCGCAGGTCCTCCTCAGAGGGCTGTAGGCCAGAATTGGTTTATGGCAGGTTTCTGTGACAGAGACAAATACAAAAGGTTGCATGCTTTTTGTTATGCTATTTGTAACAGTTTGTATCTTTCCCGCTGGATTTTCATTATAGGCATAAACTAAGGTTTATGGTTTTAACATTAAAATATCCCATTGATCATACCTGTAAGTGATCCTAACCCTGAATACGGAGGGTTGGGATGTTGGTTTCAATTTGGTCAAGGGATTGTCTTTATCTTCTTCATTTAACAAATCACCTTAAATGAAGCATACATCCTAGGGGCCACATAAGTAAATCACTGCTTGAGTACTCAATTCATTTGAATGATTCTCGGAAAAGTGTTCTCGATGTTTCAGACCCAACTGAAATGGAGCCAGCAGACCAAGAGAAAAGCTTTCAGGGATTTACATGACGTTTTGAAACTCTTTTTTGCTGTGCACTCACGGATGAAGCGGATGTTTTCTGGGAGGGTGCGCGGAGCAAACTGCGGTTCATAGCTGCAAGAGGAACGATCAAACAGGAAGACCAGAGGAGAGTCTGTCCTTCGCCCGTCTATCTCCTACAGACACAGATTACCAAAGTACTTTGATTATTACACTGTGCTATTGACGATGGTGTGACAGCATCGTTGTATTGAGACATTACCGTGTAATCAACGGCACACTGTGTGGCCAGTCCGTGAGGCTCAAGGGCTAAACCCGCCTCCAGCAGCAACTCCTGATTAGTCGCAGGGATGTTGGAGTCCTTCTCTATTCTCAGCTGTAGGTCTGCCACGGTCTCTTCTTCTGAGACGGAGTACGTCAAAATTTTAGCCGAGATCATGTTCAGGACATGGACCAGCTGTAAGTAAATGTTCAAATATTGACAGTGATATTTCAGCATTATTTAATAAGAGATTAGACAGAGGGCAATAATAACTGATTTGCTCAATTAACCTTGAGTTGCAGAATGACCTCCAGCTGGGAGAAGCAGTCTGAGGGTGTGGCGTTGGGGTCTTTGCCTCTCTCCTGAGGACACCACTTTAACATCAGCTGGAGCCACCTCTCCAGCCTCTCTGATAACAAACTGCCCAACACCCTTCAACCCGTTAGACTGAGGACACAACAGTCTTGAATTGGATTTGTCTTTACTGTGTGCGCCCGTGTGTGTCTGTCAGATAGAAATCACCTGTTGAGGTCGTTTGGCTGAGGGAGATGTTTAGAGAAGTGGACTTCCCCTGTTAAGTCCTCATAGACCACAATATCATCCTTCTGCTTCGTCCTCAGTTTGTTGTGCCTAAAAAGGATACAGATGGATTATAGGAGAGAAAAGCGCTCCAAAAAATATTTTGCATTCTTTTTGTATGCAAGGTATTTGTTTTGCATTCATAAATCCCCTTGCACCCCACCCATTACATCCTCAATTTTATCACCAAGCTGTGAACGTACGTGCCAGGAACGGAACTTGAAAGTAAGGGGTGGTGTTTTTTAGTTTTATGTAACCAGACTCCCCTGGAGCTTCAGATATTGTATAGTAATAATATTATTGAGGCACAAGAGGAATTGACGTTGGCTTAACCCACACATCCTGTGAGTCTTTGCTTTGGCAACCCCTGAATAGTATTATGTTCCCTATGAGAGACAAAGCTTAACTTTCAAAAACTCATTGTTAAGCTTGTTTTACAAAAATAAAAAGGAAAAAGATAAATATTTCATTTGAGAAGAGAGAACTGTTTGACACTGGTTTTGGAAAACAGAACTCAAACTTCCGTGGGATTTAAATTCCCCAAAACTTTAAAAAAGAGGAATTTCTAAATAGTGGTAGTACCAAGGAATGGGCTGCCAGGTTGGTAAGAAAGGGCGAAATCCTGTAATACACTCAAACACCAAAGTCCCGAAGCTCCAGTAGTCCACAGTGACCGTGTACTTCTCTCTCTCAATGAGCTCTGGAGCCTGGAGGACACAGAGGAAAGACATTCGGCTGTTACTGTCAAGGGCAGTGTGAGAAGATACTGTGGAAAAAGGAGCCCCTCTTGTTTGCATCACTTACCAAGTACTGAAGCGTTCCCACAAAGGAGGTGCAAAGGCTGCTCTGGTCCAGCTCTTTGGCATAGCCAAGATCTATGATCTTGTGGATCAACTACAATTAATATAGAGAGCAAGACAAAAAAAGTAGATGTGTTAGGCTATAATTACAAATGGACACAATTTGCCATAAAGTTGTTCTTACACAAACTGACTTGTCTTTTGCCAGAAACCGTTGTCTTTCTTTTTTTTCTTCTATAATTTGGTTTTACTATAGAGTTATTTTGATACCAGTAAACGCCTGCAATTTAGCGTAAAACGTTAGACCGGCAACGCCTACGACTGAGCACGCCTATGGCCCGATGTCACTTATCCGCTCATATAGGAACATCAACCTGTGTCCCTCTCTGCCTAATCCGATCAATAGCGTTGCTGCACTTGTCCAAACAATGATTGTGAACAACAAACCGGTTTGTTGGTCGTTAGCGGTTAGCAAACAGACTCATCCTGCTTGGCTAAACAACAGCGATAACAGCAGTTAACGGAGATTTCATTGAGTTCCATTATGATCATTTCAAACTGAGTAAATATTTGTTGACCCTTTCCTGTATTTAACTGACAGATACAACAGTGGCTTGTCATCAAACGCTGCAGCAGAATCCTGAGCCCTAAAATTCATTTTGAATGTTTTTCTGTCCATTTAGTTGTAACCTTCCCACAAATCCCAAAACAGAGTTTGTACATTGGATTAACAGTTGTCCTGGTGTGCCAGTTTATGCAAAACTATAAACTTTGTGCAGCAAACTTCTGTTTGGGGGAATTTCCATAAACTCAGCACTATGCATAAACATGAATATATAACCTCTTTAATATGTCTGGCCTCATTTATATAGCATTCTTCATTTCCCTGTGTCCTAAGCATGCTGGAGGATTTAATTAAGAAAATAAACGTCCCAGTACTGAAGGTAAGAGCAGGTCAATCCTAAACCTTAATGGTAACCGCAATCGTCCGAAGAATTGTATGTACCACAATAAATATTCAGTGCAGCAAAGTTGTGCCAGTAAACATGAGAATGTGACAGGCGAGTCTCCTGCACTTAATCACACTTAACACACAAAAAGAGGGGAAAAAGGCTTTACTGTGTATGTCGTCTTTGTTGTGGTGTGGGTGTATTTGTCACAAGAAGAAGGCTCACGGTGTATTTAACTCACTCTCTTTTCTCCGTGCTGCAGCACAATGTTTTCTGGTTTCAAATCTCTGTGGATAATCCTCTTCTTATGGAGGTAGGTGAGAGCCGAGGCTGAAGGGAGGATAAGAAGCAGAAGAAGAAAAAAAACAATGCAGAGTTGTTCGAGGGGTGGATTATTTGATGAAGATTCCCTGTTTACTCTCCTATGAAAGAGGTTAAAACGAGAGTTTAACCGATAAATTATATCAGCTGACAACATCACAGGACTCATAATGGACAGATTCTGTTTACTTTGCCTCTACTATAACGTGACACAACTTGGGGCAATTCATCAGACCTTATTCAGGTTTCTCTGGATCGTCTGAGTCTTTCTCTATTCTCAGCTGTCGGTCTGCCAGGATCGCCCTCTGGATCCTCTGAAACCGTCACATTACTTTTCTTGACATAAACAATCGATTCAAACTCAAGGTTGAAATTCTTTACCCTCACTAGTTGAAAGTTTCATGTGAGTTTCATATCTGATCGGGGATGGGTGTCGTCAGACAGTGTGCTCTCTTTCGTAAAACCAGGGATGCAAACACACGTATGGGGGGGTGGTGCAGACAGTACGGTCAATGGGGGGGGATTGGATGTGTGGCGGGAGAGCGTGACTAAAGACCGAAATGGCCGACTGTCACGCTCAGTACGTGACACTTGAGAGTCCTGCATTATTGTTGGTCAGCTGTTGCCGCGCACATTGCTGTTGATGAAATTATAATCAGACCCCCTCCCCCTAAAAAAAAACTCAGATCTGCACGATTCACACGAGTCACCCAAACTGACGTGACAAAAGCGGGTGATGTCACAGCGTAATGCACTGCCTGAAGTTCACCTCTACTTCGCTGCAGCCAGAAGGAAGACGTTAGACCACTAGAGGCCAGCAAAAAGAAGATCTTCAGCTGGGGCCATATTTCTCTTTAATAAAAGATCACTGATTATCAGGAAAATTACACAGCTGGATCACAGGAAAAGGAGTTTCTCTGTGTGCATGTGTGTGAGTGTGTCTCTGCTCTACACTGGAGCTACATGTGATTCATACCATATGATTCCTCTCTCTCCACCTTATTTATACTACGAGTGTCTTGTTGTTAGAAGTATTTGTACATTATGTCAGCCGTCAGAGCGTGAGTGAGCACTCAAAGGGGAGACTCAGAGTTTGGTCAGTCATCAGTGACATCACAATACTGGCCGTGACTATTTCCTCACCAATACAGGACACTAATCACGCTGTCAGCTCACTCATTAACACAATCAATCTATCACACACACACACACACACACACACACACACACACACACACACATGAAAGTGGTATAACTGCCACAGTGGAGACAGGAATTGTGCATGATACTCACAAATATCCCGTAACAGGATCAAAACGGAGCCCTCTCTCATTCCACAGCAGTTCTCTAAGAGGTTCAGATGCTGCAGACATAATAAATAACATCAATCAGTCTTCTTTATTCATGTTTTACAACTTCATGCTCTTCAAAAAAAGAAGAAAGTCCATTAAGAACATTGTGTTTGGAAGGAATCAGACATTGGAAGTGCTGAACAGGGACTGATTTGAGCTAAAAACAAACCAAGTCTCAACATTCTCTCAACACACAAATAGAGGATTTTTTCACAAGGCATTTTTTTCACTGTTCTTAAGTTCACTGTTCTAAGCGCATCCAAGGTAGCAATTTTAAACTCAAGAAGTCTTGCAAATTGGCCTATCAGTACTTTTGTTGTTGCTGGAAACCTGTGGAGGCGTGTGGAGGCGTGACAGAAGAAGCAGCTGCTTAGTTTTGGGCCATCCTGGAGGCCTCGAGTTTTAATGTTTTTTATGACGGTTGGCATTTTCCCTCTCTGCTACGACTGTTGTTTGTTGCCTTGAGGCTACACACTCAGGTCGGTCTCGGATTTTAAAGAAGTCTTGTAAGCAATCGCCAGGTTTATGATTCAAACACATTCCGACAGTTACATTCAATAGTCTGACAATAGGGATAAATAAGCATTGTGGTTTCACTTTTGATCGGCCTGCACAGATGTGCACACACTCCCACCAACATAATCAAACTTTGACCTTTCTCAGATCTCCTCCCTGACAGTACTCCATCGCCAGCAGCGGCAGGTCATTGGTGGTTATCATTTCCTGCATTCCCTCAGGAACCTCTCTGGCTGCGACAACATTAATGTGATCCAACCTGTGTGGGGCCAGAATGAGGGGAACTCAGTTAGTCCTAACATATCCATTCTATCATATTTGTTCCAGTGAGGGCAAAAATGAATTAAAATAAACAAAGTAGAAAAGTAAATTGTCTGAGCTTTTGAGATTACTTCATTACAATGAAGCAACGCATACTTGTCATCCTGGTTGCGTGCAACTGTCAATAGGTTGTAACAAGGTCAGACTTATTTGAGTAGATTTCAGGGGCCAAAAAACATAAAATGATCCAGTAATTTACAAGAAAACTAAAACGACTAGCACAACATGTTGCAGTTTAACCTCTGTATGGACCGGATGGACAGACAGATAGACAGACGGACAACCAGACGACATTCCAGAGTGCAGAAAGTTAGGGATGATTCATTTTGTCTGCCATCTCCAGTCTTTATGATCACACTGTTTTTTCAACAAAAAGCCCAAAGCTTTTTTTCAGTGGATTTGGGGATTATTGCAGAAAATAAGCTCTATGGAAAACAAACATTTCTCATATTTAGTAAACATTTTTTATTTTTATGGAACACGCCTTTGATTTGATGATTTTTAAAGAAAAGCGAACGTTCAACTACACCGCAGGCAGATGAGCGCACACAGCGAGGCTGTGGAGGCAATGGGTTTAAAATAATAAATAAAAATTTAAAAAAGGAATTAGGGACGAGTGATCCTAAAGGGGATATAAAAATGATAATTTATTTCCGGGTTTTAGAAATCGTGTCTGCAGCACTCTACGAAAGTAAAGCATTTTGTGCAGCTAAAACACATTTTACTCTTCTGCCTTAATCTGTTGATTGACTTCTTACATTTATCGTGCAGCCCAAGAGTTGGGCCCAACAACTATACCTGCATTAGACATGTAGAAATGTAGATCTGTTTTATTTGCTTGCACTATGGTTCATAACTTTGATTGAAACCATGTCTTTCAGGTTGAGCCCTCTTTGAGAAAACAAATAAGAAGTATAATAGATGACAAACTCATTCCAGATGTTCCAGGAAAATGACTGTAAATGCAAAATTGGACAACGTGCAACAATGTGTCTGAATGGCTACAATAGCAGGATATATATGATAGCAATCACTAGTATAATAAGATGTGTTTGTTAAGTTATTATGAGCCTAATGGCAAGACACTAATGGCTCATAATTACTTAATGTCTTCTGGCGCAAACCAAACTTGACTAATGGAAATATTTCCCTCATCTTCGTTTTTCTTCTTTTCAGCTCACATAAAAAATGTGTTCATTGGATAGGGTGGAAAAGAAAAACTGTTGGATAAATATATATCTATGTTATTTTTGATTTACTAAATCATTCAGCAAATGAAACAAGTGATGTAATATGACTTCTATTAACACATTATAACAGACAAGAAGCTTTCATAAGATCGCATACGATGCGTGTTAAGTAGCTGTAATAGTATAATAGTAGGTTGTATACGTCCCCTGCCCTGTGGTTATGCACCCCCGAGTTGAGCGTGGGTGCCCTGAAGGTCTGTGGTCGTGACCATGTCTGTCTGAAAACAACACTTGTTAAACTGGGACTTGGAAAGAAATATTTTATACTCATGTTTGCACCAAAGAATTAGAAAACACACACACACACATGAGCTACTATTCAACTCTAGTGACTCAACACCCAACCCAAAACTGCTAAAAACGAACACAGACGCATGTGGAAATGAGATATTCACTCCCTCGCAGAACAGAATGAGGAGGCGTCCAAAATATCAAAATAGCCAGAAACCTCAATGCCGTCCGAATTATTCAGACGTGTCTGATTTGACCACTTTGGGATGCAGTTTTACAACTTTGAAAGAATGTATTGAAGTCAATTTAGTAGATGGAAATGTACCACCGTGTCGCTACATCTCCCGTACCCAAAACAAAATTAAGCTGAAGTGAGATTTTTTACTGCTTGGTTTGAAAGACAGAACATTAAAATAAACAAGTGATTTTACCTTAATATCAGGGCACGTCATACTTTTTTACCTGATCCCGAGGGCGGAGAGCAGTGTCAAAAATCTACTTTATGGCTTTATTATTGTAGTAAATGTCGGGCTTATATGGTACACTGTCCCACATAAATTTCTGTTTATAGCACAGGATAATACTGGTTGGAAAGTGTCTCTTTGTCCGAGTAGGGAGGACACAAACACATACAACATAGAACCTGGTTGCGCGTCATCCCCCTCGCTCCACCGTGTTGCTATAAATGAATAATGCTTGCTATGTGCCTGTGGGGCTTAAGGCTCTTTAATAGGTTGATGCATGTAAACGTAAAACTGACCTCTTCATGATCTGGATCTCCAGTACCCATCTCTCTTTGTTTCTCTCGCTCAGCTCCTGACGGCACTGCTTTATGGAGATCTGCTCCTCTGTGTCCTAAAATCACACACACACACACACACACACACACACACACACACACACACACACACACACACACACACACACACACACACACACACGTTGTTTGATATATTACCTACAGGCATTATGTACAAAAGGGAAATTAATGTTGGCATTCAGTTACCCACAATATTCAGGTGGTCATAATGTGAACTCAGTGTAAGTAACATTTAACTGCTTATGAGACGTCTTAATTGAATATTTGCATTTATATAACCCAGATAAGTAAACTAGACTATCAGCCAGAGATTTCTTTACAGTGGTTCTCAAAGCTCGAATTCCGTGCAACATCAGATGGAATTATCCCGTTTCACAATACAGCCCAGACAGGAGACTCAGGCCCAATGGAGGGAAGAACCAGGAGAACCAGAACCAGGACTAAGAGAAAAAGACTGTCAGACCCTGCTGCAGTGGATTATACTATGTTCACACCAAAAGCGAATTTTGAGCTTTACTCAATGGGGTCAATGTGGCGCAGGGGTAGAGAGAGGGTGCGCTGGGAACCGCAAGGTTGGCGGTTCAAGCCCCCGGCTGCTCCATGTCCCATGTCGAAGGGTCCCTGAGCAAGACACCTAACCCCTAATTGCTCCCCCGGCAAAAATGTCGCTTGGAATAAATGTGTCAGCTGAATAACCTGTAATGTAGTGAAGGGGGGGGGGGGGGGTGGCTTGTCTCCTTAAAAACAGTTATAATTTCCGTTCTGTACTTGTTGGAAAACCGCAAACGCCGTTGTGTTTGGGTTCATGACATCCCGTGTAGCCGCACACAGCTGGGTGAAATGAATTGATGTCCTCCATTGTTTCGGATTCAGTCACAAAAGAAAGATTGTAAAAATGAGGATTTAATCTTTAAAGTTAACGTATTTAGGAATTTATGTCTCGAGTCACTTTCACATCACATTACATATCATTTAGCTGACGCTTTTATCCAAAGCGACTAACATTGCATTGTTAACCTCAGCAGTGTGCAGCCGTAAGGGCTGCCCGGGCAGCAGTTAGGGGTTAAGTATCTTGCTCACGGACACAGGACCAACCTTGCGGTTCCCAGCGCACCCTCTCTACTCCACCGCGCCACCGCCACCCCATCTAAGGTTGCAACTACTAATTGCTTTCATAAATGAATCATATGCCAATTACTTTCTCAATTTACATAAATTTGGTCCACAAGACATCAGAACACAGTCCATCACAATCTCCTCAGGCTCAGGGTAACAGATCTCATATTGGGAAGAACAGTCATAAAGAACAAAGATATATCTAATTTACTGGAATGCCAAAACAAAGAGAATCCGTAAATAATCACATTTGAGGAGCTGAAGGAAGAGCTTAATATTTGTCAGTTTTGCTCAGCAAATGACTAAAAGGAACATTTAACTAATAAAATAATAATGTATCTTCTGTCAATTGACCGATTGATCAATTTCTGGATTCACAGACAGAGCACAAACCTCGACATTTATACAAATGCATGCTGAAACATCATGAGCAATCTCACTCGCGGTTTCTCATGGCATCACCCGGGACAAGCAGGACCCCACCCTGCTTCCCATAACTTGATCTATAAACTAATAATAGCCCCCAGCATTGTCATTCATACAGGAAGACGGGACATTTCCCAACAAGGAAGTTCAGTCATCAAGAGTCAGAAGGGGTAACTATATCATAAGACAATACCAACTTACTCTCTAGATGTAATCTTGAAGAGAACACATGAACACACCAAACAGGTGTGATTCATGCTAAATAACAGGGGTATAATCAATATCAACCAACTACAATGTGTGTGACAGTCAACGGTTGGGAACGCGCCCACCAACCGGTCAACAGGCTTTCTAAAAAAAAAAATTACATTTGAATAAATTTTTTCTAAAGTTATCATATTCATGAGTGCTTCCCTAAAGTTTCTGACTCCACGTCATTTGTATTATCCGCACTCCCATAATGCTGCAGCCCGGCTCCCCGTCAGCTCTGGGTTTGCCTTGAAAGTGAGTAATACAAATAAAGAACCGTTTTAAAGAGAGGAAAAGGAAGGTCCACTAAACGGGTGTGTTCCAATTCCCATAGTGTCCTGATGCATCTCTACAGTGCTCTCATCCTGTGACCAGGACTCGGGGCAGAAAGACAGTTTCCTGGACTGATGTCATAGTATTTGAAACAACGCTGCAGCCGAAAAGTCAATTTAAACACATTGGTTTTCATTAATGAACTGTGTTATGTAATTTGGATTATGTAAGACTATTTTAAAACAGCGAGGGATTTTAATTAACACAAGGATTTGGACAGTGCACTTTTTTATATTAAGTCAAATTCTCCTTTATATGCGGGATGATGAGAGATAAATATGAACATATGTTTTCACATCCCTCATTGCACTGAAATTAAATTTAATGTAATTTTTTACAGCTAACCCTGTCGGGAAATGTTAACAGCACAACTTTAGTTATCTTCCATCTGTCCACTTGTAATACTCATACTAATGATTTTTTTTGGTCAACGTTATGATCTGTTACATAAACATTCAACTTTTTTTCCCCCTTTCAGTCTACTATGATGCGTTGTCACATCCACAAACATCCTTCTATAGATAGCAACAGGTGGAACAGTGCCTTTGAATAGTAGACCGTCTACCTTGTTTTGCCATCGTGTGACATTCCCAAAGCCTCCGGTGCCCAGACGCTCCTTCAACTCCCAGGACCCACAGCTCTGCTGTTGCAGAGTGACTCGATTCATGGCCTCCTCCGCTGGTCCTGCACACAACGCGACCAATAACAAGAAGAAAGGCTCCTCAGACTTAGAGGCACAGTGAGACAAAAACATAGCAGGGGTAGTAAATGGAGAGACACCGTTCAAAGTCTTAGATCTTCATTATAGAGAAATGGATTGATGTTATGAAAAGGAGTCAATGTTCTCCACAGTGGATCGGTCTCAGTTCTACATTGTCACTCCTTTCATCTGTGGAGGCTGATCTCTGAGCACACCAACACCACTGCCATGCTGAAAACATCCTTGGAAAAAGGTATAATAATGCGCTACTGTGAAAGTTCAGCACGTATTTCTAGTGTTAATTTCAGCATGTTAGCAGTGATCTAAGCACAGCTCAGGCTTTCTTCTGTGAATCAGCACTGGAGTTTTATCTCACATCGTCACGTTATAGCTGATGTTAAATCACGTTATATCTCAAGTTAGAGTTGTATCTGACGTTGTATGTGACGTTGTATGTGACGTTAGATAACTTTTCCGGAGGAACAGTCAGGAGGATTTTCAGTCACGGAGGATTGTAACGCGCTCATTACAAAGCTGAGCACAGCAACCAAAAGAAAACACATCCCTTCTGTTTGAGTTTCCTGAAGTTATCATAATGCACAGTGAGCGACGGACATGTTTCCTACAGTATGGTTGTTATTATAAGGTATTATTTCAACTAAAACCTACCTTAAACTTGGCCGGCAGCTTTAACAATGCGTGTATCTGGTCTCTAACCGACTTAAACTTTGACCGTTTCGTGGTTATTCGGCAACACAACAAATCTGGAAAGCTTTTTACTTCCTGATTCTCTTATTTCCTGTAAACCCGGCGGCACCGCCCACGAGGACACGCAGCTGCTTCAGGTTCTCTTTATTTCTCCCACATACAATGAATCTGTTTCTAGACGTCTTTATGTGAAACCCGGCACATGCAAATGTAAAATATATTTTATTCTTTTAAAGGCAAATGTTTTTAACTGCTAGTCGGCAGTTAAATTCACACAGCTTACTTAAGCTGTCCCACATGAAACAATTTAAAATATGCAATTCATTAAGTTTAAGAAACACTGCTAAATATGTATATATTTACAGTTGCATAAAATGAAAATACCATGCCATAAAATTGTAGATTATGATTGGTTTGGAGGTGGCACAGTAACACACATGGAGAGAACGTTTTTAGTAGTTCAAAACGTCTCTTAGAAAAATTTAATTTAAATTTTCAATTCTGCGAATATTTTGCTTCTGTGTATCTTGTCTTGCAGTGCTTGTATCAATTTATATTACTCACAAGGTCCAAATACTATATCTCAAACGATTTGCTAACACCATTTTGTAAAACAAATCTTATTACTTTCTTCTTGGTTAGGTTTACCAGATCTAATCACATAGATCATCCAATGTCTCAATTAGGTTAAGATGTTAAAACCAAGCCAAAAGATACCTATTTGTGCCGTTTCATGTCAAATATTAATTTCAGTAACATTCTTAATTCATTTGTTTTACAGTGTCATCATTGACAATCCAACGGATGTTGTAGCTTGAGAGGGTGCACTTCAGAATTTCCAGAGTACAGCAGGGATGTTTCTTTTTGTAACCTGTTATTCTTGGATACATGCGTGAAGACCAATAGCTCACTCTGACTCAACCCACAAGTTTCATCTGTATGTATTTACTTACTTGAGTGAGCCTCTGACGTTAACTGTCAGATTACAAATGTTTGTTAGAAAAAAAACAACTTTCTTGTTTATACTTAGTAAATACTATAAAAACATGATGCTGCTTCCTGCTCTTTTCACAGTGTGAGCACAGTCATGCACAATAGAAAAGTTAAGAGAAACTTATTATGAAAGACCTTTGTTTTTTTATTTACTTTTGTTTGAGCATGTAAACATAGGCTGTGGAAAAAGTCCTACTACCTAATTATCTTCACGTGTTTATTTTCCATGAAATTCATGTTTTGATTTCACCACGACACGTCATCTGGGCTAAACATTCTATTGCTAGCAGCAACCGTTCCTTGCACAATTCCTCATATAGATAAGTAGTCCCATTCCCCAAATTCCCTGATTGGAGCATAATGTGTACATACCAGTTTGTAGGTGTCGATGTGTGCAAAGAAAAAAGTTAGCATTTAAGTTATACATTAAATGTGCTCTAGTTTGACATTTCTGCCGAAAATGGTTACTTGCCTTCCTGCTTAAAGCTCCAGTTTTATGAGAATATCAATACCACTGCCATATGTGTGTTCTAAATGTCACTCTAAAGCCAACAGGTAGTTACCTTAGCTCAGAACATACTAGGATATCCCAGTGTGTAGCTTAATTTTACTTTTTTCCTGTGCGCAGCGACTAATACCTGAGAAACTGAACCAGGACAGACTGCATACCTTCATTATATGTTTATGGTTGTGGCGTGTCTCAAACTGAGGAATTGTGAAACCATTTCCGCGCACAATCAGACAGCAAACAAAAGTGTTTAAAACAGCGGTTTGTTGTTTTTGAAATGCCTTTAACTACCAAGCATTGCATAACTAGAGGGCAATAGAAAAAAGGGATAATTTAAGTACTCAACTTTAACATGAGAGAGGAGGCTTGCAGTACATGGTTGGTTGTGTTTAAATGCATTCATAACTCAAAGAGATAATGGTGCTGAAGGAACACAATCTAATGCAAAGTTTTGGGCCATCTATAATAAGTTCTTTTTTTTATGTATTTATGTGAGGGATTTTCTTCATTAAGATGTGGGAGGAAGCTTTAATGTAACACAGATGGAAACAAAGAGGAAAGGCACCAAACCAGCAACCACCGCCCATCACATCCTCAAGTATGTCCTCAGCTATTTAATACAGTGTTAACAGACAGTAAAAACGTGAGCGGGAATTATCCAATACAAATAAAATCCCTGTGAATACTAAGAAGGGATGGTGATATTCTTAGAAGGCTAATTGTGACTGATTTCCTGAGGAAGGGGACGGGTTGGATGACAAGGTTTGTGGTTGCAACAAATGGCTCCTGGTGCCAGGAGGTTAACTTGCACAGACACAGATACAGTGTTACCCGCACCCATCCACAGACTGCAGATCAGTTTATATGCACCGCACACACATCAGAGTCACTTAAAAAGCTTGGTCAAAAACACAACAATATGATCAAATAGGCTGGATAGTTATACTCTAGAAGCTATTCTTGTTTTATGAGGTTACTTCCCATATAAACAATATGCATTTGATTGTCCTTGCTTTTTGTTTGGATACAAATCTTTACCTGATCAATAACATTTATCCTATCCTGTCATAACAATATCAACAAATAGGCTTCTTATGAATGTTCCATAGAATAAACACAAAGAAAAGCATTCCCCATATACCAAATTGACTAGATTATTTATATTAAACTCAATTAATGTACATATAGTATGTACATATAGTAGTTTTGTGGATTATTATAAATAATGCAAAACCCAGGATACAAACACTGGCTGTTGTGTTTACACAATTTAGAATTCCTGCCCTTTTAAAGACTTCCTGATAAAATTCCAGAGCAGATCTTGTCCTGTTAGTGTGATTCGCACCAGTGTGCACCTCCTAAGAGGAGTTTTGGGACGGTCCGCCCAGCAGTCTGCTGCGACGTCACTCGGATGGCCCTCCCCTTCCACCGCCTCCTCGATAAATACTGGGAAGAGATGGGGCCATGAGCTCAGTACCAGCGACGAGTCCTGCTACAGAGACACTGAGGACAAGTCAGGGGCCCGCAAGACTTCTAATTGGTGAGAGCTGTTCAAAATCTGTTATTTAAATATTCCTCTTTATGTCTCATGCATTGGGCTGTTTTTCTCGTGAGAGTTCTTATGTGTTTCATCCTGAATCCTGCAGCATTATTACAATGTAAGGCTGTGGAGTTCATGGGATAGATAAGATGATGATCACCAAGCTTGGATGCACTTTATTTGATAAGAGATCAAATTAGATTAAAACCAATTAGGATACAACAACCAGTACTAATTATTATATTATTATTAAGCAATAATCATAGTTGGAAACTATTGTATAATGATGTATCATTTTACATCATTACAGAATAGTATCCAGCTATGATTATATGAATAATGTCTCCTTCCACACCGTATATAGTCATCTACTCGTAATAATCAATTAAATTCTCACATGCTGTATATGCTGGATATTTATTGTGATTATTGTGACATTCTCTGGGTCAGCTTTCTAGTTACCTCTCTCTCTGCCTCTATCCACATCCACCTGTTCAACCCACCGTGGGAATATTTCCTCACCGCCGTCACACAATCGCTCTTTGCTCCTCGGGAAAACCAAACCGCTGCTTAGTAACACAACACAAATGTTACAGGAACACAGAGATTTTGTACCTCGCTGCTGGACTCAGTGTGTGTGTGTGTTATCGAGGAACATGCTGCGATACTGGAGTGTGTATCTGTGCACAGGATCACTGACATGCAGCATTTTATCAGGCTAATGAGTAGGAACCCCCCCGCCCACACTGGAATCCGTAAGCGCTGATACACTCCGTCATTTCGTTGAGAGAAAGAGGAGTTTGTATATCCATTATCTGCCTTTCCGGGCTGCATGATTGGCTCTGTTTGTGCGCTGCGCTGATGTGACTCACAAGATCAGACGCTGTAACATTAAGCGTGGGTCAGAGGGAGGATAATACCAGGTTATGGGAACAGTTGGTCCCAAGGATGACATTGAAACCAACACTGAGCTGCAATTAAAGTTTCACTCAATTAAAAAAAGAAAGATCTCTATTATTCCTTCTAAACTTCATCTTTCACTCTATGGCCTCGATTACCAGTTCGAGATCCCATCAATGCCTCATCTGTGTCTCTTCCGCCAGGTTGCCCTGTGTAGTCCAGGAAGCTGAGATGACTCAGGAGTACTGTCTCTAGTCTTTCTTTGGACCTTTTTAATTTGATCTCCCTCTCTCTCCCTCTTGTTGTATCCTTCCTTCTTTCCTCTCTCCAAATTAGTTTCATATCCTCCCTGTTAGGAGGTTTTCATACAGTTGCCATTTACTGAATTGTGACGTCGTCAACATCTGCTCTGTCTACTTGCCTCTCTTGGCTTTGTGAGCAGTTTCGTGTGAGTTTTTTCTGTCTGATAAGGAATGCAAGGCTCTGTGTTGTTGCACACAGCAAAGCTGTGCAGTGCAACAATGTGGCCCACTGTTCGTGGGACCTTTTTTTCAGCTTGGTTGAAAACTCCCGGAATAAAGAATGTATAATTTCTGCTAAGCAGCTTACAGACAAGACATTGCATGTCACAATGCATCATTAGCAAACACGCAAAACTCTTAAATGAAGGCGCCGAAACTGATGCTGTTGTGTCGGTTGAATACAAGTTTGGGGATCCCAACAGGTCAAGTGAGTTTCGAGGCGTGCTGTCAGGTTCAGATTTGCAGCCGCTGCCAACCTCCTTTTTGATTTCACAATCAAAGCCCACGATTGTCGAGCTCTCAGGGAAGTATTGTAAGAAAACCAACTTCGGCGCCACAGGAAACAAGACGGTAAAAGAGCTACAACGGTTCCCGTGAAGGTGTTTCCTCCACCAATCCGTCCCACCAGGTTCCAGCAGTGGCGACACTTCTTGGGCATTTGGCATTGAAGAGAGTCAGGAAAAGAAAAACCTCAGAGATGCTTTCAAGTGTGCAGTGAACCCTAACTTGAAATTCACAGGCAGATGGAAACTATGTGTGCCGGAGCGCCGTCTAACTGCTCTCATCATTGTCAGATTTTTTGGGCGGGGCCTCCTTCCTGGAAGTCGAGAATGTCTCACCTATGACCTTCACGGCCTCAGAACGCCATTGTCGTTACACATCCTCGCCAATGGCTGCAGGGAAATTCATTGAATTGTCATTCAATGGCAAGATTAGCGCTTAAGAGTATCTTTGACTAAGCTAATAAGAAATGGATTGACATCGGCGTGGCACATTCAGTGTTCTGTACATAAAAACCCTGTGAGCGTGTTTGTGTGTGTCTTTCTTATCGCCCACTGCACGCGTCTGCCCTGTCCACGTGGTGCCTCTCGAAAACTGCTGGCGTGAAGCTGCTGCTGACTCACAGTCTGGCTGCTGCTGATTCCAAACACGTTTTCATTTCAGTTTTCAGAGACCACACTCTCCTCTGTGTTTCAACTATTACTGACAAATGCTTTAACTCAGCATGACTCGAGTAAAACCTGCAGGATTTGTAGTTGAATAGTTGTTGTACAGCTTGTATAGCCTATTTATCTACTTGTTGTTCCCAAGCCCTTAGTATGTAATATTACACCAGCAGATGAACACCCTTTCTAATGGGTCATATTTGACTCCTTCAAATAACTCCCCTTTCTTGAAAAAGATCCCGGTCAGCACATCAAACGGTGAAGCTGGGAAGAGGTTTCATACCCCAGTAAGTCATATGAATGCCAAACTAACACGCACTAAAAATATGTTTTGGCCAGCGTTTCCAAAAGCTTATCACCTCTAAGAAGTTAGTTCAGCTTTATAGTACATTTATTGAAAGAGAGGCCGTAAATTAGAAGTGTCATGTCTTTCCCCATGCATTAAACGTTGTAGGTTTGGCAACCAAAGAAGGTTGTGTGGTTGTAGCAGAGTAATGGCGCCCAAACAGGGCCACTGCTCCTCAGATAAAAATGGTGGAGTATATCTCTATATCTCTGTGTTTGCACGTCTCTGACTACCCGGGGCCCCGAGCACACAGGGTTTCAGCAGGAAACATGTGTTTTCAGCTGACAGGGCCGGGGGGTGGGGTGGGGTGGGGGGGACGGAGCTCAGCAGCTGCACAAAGGAAACAAAATGCTTGTGTTGTTGTCGTCACACTGCCAGTGAGGCTCGGTTTGGGGAGGAAGGGGGGCTTAAAAGCGAGGAACAGTGTTTTTATTTGAGTGAGGCGAGTTGTGCTCTCAAGGGACCCGTCCTCTTAATGGTGAGTGTGCGAGCGCTAATGTGTGTTTTAAGTCAAATCCTGAAAGGGACATTTTTGCTTGAACAATGAGTTCAAGTAGTAAATCTTGCGTGTATGGCGCTGTAAAGATTAGCTCCATGTACTGAACACTGTGGATGTGTGTCTATGTTTTTATATTGATGTCATCTCTGCTTTTCAGCCCTTATTTTGTGCAACTATACTTTTTCCCTTTCCATTTTACTCCCTCCCCCACCCTCACATCTCCTTTGGTGACTCACATTTACTCACACTTGACTGAGGGAGTGAGTACTTTTAAAAACCTCTAAAAACTATAAGAGGAACAGCTTTGTTATCAGACTTGCCGTTACAGGTGTAGAAAGGGGAAATTTAGGGGGAGTTTAGTTCTCGCTTGGAGCTTTTGCTTCTGCTTTCTTACTTATGAAGTCCTGAGTCACTTCATCGTCCCGCAGCTGCTGCTCTGCTCTGTTAGAGAAGGAATGCGGTCACTAGGCTGCAGAAAGTCTCTGATGTGTTTCAAGTCTCCCTTCTGGCTTAAATTGAAGACGACCTGCTTTCTTGGAAGTTAGTGATTCATTAATAATCAATATTGTTGTAATTTAACTGGGCAGGTTGTTAGAACTTGCTGTCTTGTTTAAAAAGTCAACACAACTTCAAGAACCCACCTTTCCCAGCCTTTCCTCTCCAGTGGTCTCCTCAGGCACGAGGGAGGTGGTGGTGGGGGGGGGACCAGGTTTTCCTGTGATTGTTAGCTCAGCATTTAAACAAAGAAAAAATGACAAAGGATCTATACAATAAAACGTAGACAAAGTCACGCAGCACAAACATCACCTCTCGGTGTCAGTGCTTACATTTCGCCCACCTTAACTGCGTTTGCTTGTCAAATTGTCTTTGTTCCTTTCTAATATGTGCTATTGCTTATATTCTGCCTTCAGCTAATTGAAGACCACCTGAGAAGCCATGACCAGAACACTGATCTTGCTCCTGTCTGCTCTTTGCTGCTGCCTAGCGGTCAATGTAAGTTCTACATCTTCGTCCATACATACACACATACATTTGGTCTGTGTTGATTTAAAGATGCAACGTTAGACAGCATTTTAAATGCAGAGAGTTACTTCAAAAAAAAAAAAAATATATATATGGCTGTAAATAATTATGAACTATAACATTTTGAAACAATATAGCTCATGATCTCCAATTTGCTGCTGTACAGATACTGTTCTCTGTTGCAGGTGGAGCTGCTCCGCTCTAAGAGAGGCACTCGTTTTTACAGAGGTGAGCCTGACAGGCGGCCAGCCAGAAGAACGCTTTTGATTATTCATGTCCAGAAGTCTTCACCCTCCTTTGAAACCTCCCGTGAGCCCCACACACTGTTTGTCTTTTCTATTAACACCACCACCACCACAACCATCATCCTCAGATTCGTTAACTCACTTGTTTGTGTACCTCACAGTTATTGCACCATTTGTGTTTGTAACCTCTTTTACCCGTGACAATAATTTCCATTTGCTGTGTCCTGTTGCGTCGTCTGTGTACTAACTGTTTGTGTCTTCTCAGTACATTGTGTGGACGCTGAGACGTCAGCAGTCCGTATTTTTGGGGACACTTGGCTGCGATGGAGGGGACAGCGTGTGGAGTATTGCCGTTGTGCGTTAAAAGGACGAGAGCGTTGTCATATTGTGCCCGTCATCAGTGAGTGTGAATTGTCTCTTTCTGATCCAACCCTTTTTTTGTGGGCGATGTAATCTCCTGTTTTTTCATTTGTCAGTCAGTCCGCTTGCCTCGGCCTCACCGACCATGCTTGTGTGTTTCATTTCAACTTCACGTTACCTCTAACTTGCTGTTATGACCTCAGATGATTATTTTCTTTTTGTCGACATCCTGGCCTCAAGAATCACAAGTCCTGAGTTATTCCTGTGCCTCCAAATGTAGAGCCATTGGACTTTCCTGTGTTTCCATTGGGTCTAGTTTAGTCTGAGATTGTTTGAAATACTCTTGCCAGACGAGCCGTGGTGGGCACGTCCCCCCCATTGACGAATTCTGTGAAGCTAAATCGCCCCACCTTCAGACAAATTACAACCACATTATTCAGCTGGCCAAGCTGCACCATCTGTGAGCTCATACCACTGGGAACGAGCGGGGCGCTGTTATTCTCAACACCAGACTTTAGGAAATGTTAAAACAATAAATAAAAAAAACACCCGTTCCACTCCAGAGAGAAACCCATTGGCATGACAGTGTTTGCAAAAGCAAAGCATTTTAGAGTGTTTAAAGTCTGAATGAACCACGCGCACAAACCTTTCTGCAAAAATGTGACACACAAGGCCGGACGCACAAATTGAAACCTCTCTATTAATCATGTCTGTGATTATATAATTAGTGTTCTGAACTGGATGACGTATGACTGACTAACCTGGCTCTCTGTCTGTCCCTCCCAGACTGCTACGTGTCTCAGTGCTACAATGGAGGAACCTGTAAGGAGGCCGTGTACACTTCGGACTACATTTGCCAGTGTCCTGCAGGCTACAGTGGGACTCAGTGTGAGATCAGTGAGTGCTCGAACAAAGTCCTTGATCTACGGCACAGCCTCTGTCATGGCCAATCCATCAAACGTCTCTTGCTTAACGTCAGAGGTTGGGTCCAAGGTGTCATCTTATTTTGTCCCGTCCAAATCCCCCAAATTTACATTTTGAGTACATGCAATTTTAGTTTGGGGTTCAAAATGTAAACCCAGGTCTTTAGGTCTAGCATTCAATTACTAGCCCCGTAACCCAGTCATGTCCATGATAAGCTGGCTGGTGACCACACTGATCAACACGTTCTACATATTGGTCAGTGACTGTATATAAAGTCACAGTCGAACTGTGTGACACACAGTAGGTGTCATGGCCCTGTGGTTTAGAGCAAAGCATCCTAAGCCATGGAAAGACTTTTTTGGGATATGAATGTTTTTGTTTCTGCGGGTGACAAACTCCCAATGGGATAATTACACAAACCCCACTGGTCACAGCCAAGTGACTTCAGCCAAAAAGTAATACGTTATGATTGGCCAGATTCAATAACTGTGACGGCATTTACAAACGTCATTTATGTTTGGTCATTGTTTCATACCTGCTCTAATTGGGAAGAAATTACTGCATAATGTCATTAGAGTTTAATGTCCTATATAGGAAATAACAATGTTATTGTTATATTTTTCCAGGTCCAATAAACATCCTTTATTGCAATCGTTCTCAACTGGTGGGACTGGTGGTCGGAAAATTTGAGTCACAGCTTGTCATTAAGTTGTGATGGTGGATACCGCAGCCAGACCAGTTGAGAACCATTGCTTTATTGGGTCAGAATAAATAAATAATTCTCATCCTCACATATAAATAAGGGACATTATATACAATTTAGCGCTGTCCTTTTCCCCAACAGACTCCAATGAGAAATGCATTGTGGGGCAGGGTGAAGGGTACCGCGGCACATGGAGCATCAGCCATTCGGGAGCGCAGTGCATCAACTGGAACGCTACGTCTCTGAGGGGAAGGAGGTTCACTGCTAGGAAAGTCGACGCCAGCGGTCTTGGATTGGGCAATCACAACTTCTGCAGGTACATTGTGGCCTCGTCGATCTGTTCAGCGCCGGAGTAAACTGCGAGGATTTATAGTCACCATGCGATTAAATCAAGGTGGGAAATTTGATCATCCGTAACATGCTGGTCAAATTTCATTACCCTGGAAGAAAGATGTGTTTGCCAATGTATCAATTCAGTTAAATGTATGTATTGATCAGGTTGTCCTCAAAAGACACAGACTAATATACGATCTTTGTAACGTAATCAGTTACTTAAAGCACGACTCACATACAAGGTAGATTTTACTGGGTCAAAGACAGCGACAGGAAACCAAAACAGGTAATCCAAGTGGATGGACACTCTGAGTTTAGGAAAAGCCGTTTCACTTAATTTCATTGACGTGAACCATGAATGTGCTTGCTCATTGTCCATGTCTTTCTTCCTCGTCTTCCTCCCAGGAATCCTGACCACGACAGCACTCCTTGGTGTTATATCTATAAAGGCACTCAGATCACCTGGGACTTTTGTTCCATCACCAAATGTCCAGAAGGTACATCTTTACTGAAAAGCCGGGATAAAATCTGGCTAAGCAAGCGTTTAAACACTTCGTCTCTTTGCACGTTTTGCGGGTAGATGACTACAAAGAATGTTTACGGGGCTCCGGTCGGTCATACCGAGGCACGGCATCCGTTGCGAAGAGCGGCTCGCGCTGCCTCCCCTGGGACTCTCCTGCTGTCAAGCACAAGCTGAACAACGCGTGGAGGTCCGACGCATTGGATAAGGGACTGGGCAGCCACAGCTTCTGCAGGTAGACCCGCCAGCCCCGTTGTTTATCGTCATAGGTTCCCCTAACAAAAGACGTATTAGAGTAACTCAGGTCTCCAATGGTGTTCTTCTTCCATCATCGAATAGGAATCCTGACGGTGATGCAGGTCCGTGGTGTCACACATACAAGAGCATGCAGCTGACGTGGGAGCTGTGTGACATTCCGAAATGCTGTGAGTTATTTTATTCATATTACAGCATGTTAAAACAAGGAGAGCTGACATGGATGGAAATGGATTTTTCTTTTTTTTAGCGAGACGTCCATCCATCAGCAGCACTCTGGGCCCACGTGCCCCTACCACCAACAACAATAATGGAGGTAAGAAATGTTCGCATCCAATGAAAAACCTTCATTTTTCTTATTTGTTGGCAAGGTGTGGAAAATTTATGTTTATTCTGACCCATCGGTGCTGCAAACCTTCCCCGGTCCGTAAGCACCATGGCGGGCCAACGCTTTAGACAACCCGTTTGAAATCGCCCGTTGTTCCGCATGTTCGGGTGGTAGAGAGAACGGACATCCCAGAGCAGCCCATGGCAGGTGGCCATAAATGTTTCCCCAGGCCCTCCACAGAAAGCATTTTCCCGCCGGCGGAGGAATCCCTCATTGACTCCTGCTGGGTCCTGTCTGCTGCACACTGCTTCGAAGACAAGTAGGAACGCCCACAAACACAAACACACACACACACACACACACACACACACACACACACACACACACACAAATATACAGGATTCAAAAGGTTTGGACAATGAGAAAATGTGTCCAAACCTTTGACTGATAGGGAAGAGTGGGGTGATTTGTGCCAGGGGGGGAGTAGATCCACCCCCTGTTTCTGGAAAACCATGGAAGAAATTGGTCATGTGATCACATAATTCTGAAAAGCTATCCATTTTACTCATCAAAAACTAGCTCTTCATGTCAGGCCACATTTTTCCCAAAAGCTACATGGCATGAGAGGTAAGCACATTTTTGCTCAAAAAACTGTTTATTTCCTTTAAAAGTAACATTTCTATAATGAAAGTTTTTTGATTGAGTGTCTAAACAATTATAGACAAGTTTGAAAACATTTCACACATGTTTTAGTCCTTTAGCAGACTACACAATGGGCTCACAACTTTTCAAGAAACCTTCGAGTGACATTTTGTCGGCAGTGGATGCTGCGGGGACGCTCAATGCGTGACACTTGGGAGCCCTGCTATAGTTAGCATGATGTTAGCTCTTCATGCTAGTTTTTTAAAACGTTTTCGCCCCAAAGGCCACATTTTCCCCAAAAGCTATATTTCTGAAACAATTTATTTCAGATCCAAAGTTATTGTTCTCGGGGATGCACCACATCCTGAAATATATGTATATCCTTTTGTTGAAGGCCTACTGTCATGGCCTCACTTTAAAGTCACTTTGAGTAAAAACTGGCACACCTCACCCCACTTTCCCCTACTGTACAAACATTACATGTCATTTAGCTGATGCTTGTATCCAAAGTGCATTTTAACCATAAGGACACAAACTCAAAAGAACAAGAAACAGGAAAGTGCAATTTCATCAAATAAGCCGATTTATAACTTTAGTTATAGATCAGAGGTCTTCAACAGGGGGTCCGCGACCCAGGGGGTCGGTCGCGAAATTTTTGGATGATAAGACAGTTATTTTTATTTATGTTTTTTAAACCAATTTTTCCCCACAAACTTAAATGTCTATACAATCAGAATTGTATTTATTGTCTTTAAATACACATCAACATATTGTAGCGAACGGATAAATTGATGGAGAAGATGTTATCTTTCAGTCTGCAACATACACATTCAGCTTCCCACAGGAGCTCTCTCAAGCTGGGCACCGGTTCGCTCACAGCTCCTTCATGCAAATACGACAGTACAGGCACTCATCAGATCGCGTTTATGCTCACGTCTATAGAGCGCGAAGCTCAAAAATAAAAGATGGCGGACCAAACCAAATGTAGGGGGCCTGTCTCCATCTCGCCATCATCATCAGACCCATTATAAGTAAAACATTTAGTTGCAACAATTTGTTAGTGTTTTTAGTCAAGGTATAGTCTGAAGAGGTGTGTCTTTAGTTTGCGGCAGAAGATGTAAAGGCTCTTCATTCAATGTCTTTTTTTCTTTTCAGTGACAAAGCAGAAAAATTGGAAGTTATTTTAGGAAGAACATTTCGGAAGCAGAATTCCAGCAGCGAGCAGATTTTCAAGGTGGAGAAGTACTGGAATCACGAGAAATTCCACAACGAAACATTTGACAACGACATCGGTGAGTGAACATTAACAGGCATAATTTCAGGTGTTTTTATTGCATTTAATCACAGCAGGGCCGAGATCCTCCTTGTGGCAGTAGCAAGCAATGGCAAGTGAGTGGCAAGTCCGTGGCGGGCGTCACAACGGCGCACTGAGCGAGCAAAGTTTTCCCAGAAACGGCCGTTGTTTGTACAACAGGTCAGCTGCTGTAAATAAAATTTTTAATTTGAGACCCGTTACGCTACGAACCCCCCTCCGCCCCGCACACAGACCCCGCCAGGACTTGAGATAGAAGTGGGCAGTATCTGGTCCAAACCTAAAATTAGCCCCTGCTCTAAGAAAACGGTGGCGCGGGTGTCTCAGCTCGAGAAGAGGGGCTCACGTGTCTTAAATAAGATGAAATAAAACTTTAAGGCAGCTGACCTGTCGTACAAACAATGCCCATTTCTGGGAAAACTACGCCCACTCAGCGTGACGTTGTGACGCCCGCCGCAGACTTGCCACTGATTTACTGGCGATTGCCACTGCCTACCACAGAGTTGCCACTAACTTGCCATTGCTTTCCACTGCCACACTGTCGCTCTTCAATTATCACTATAGTAATATGCTTAAAGCTACGGTGGCCCCGAAGTGCAAAACACAACGGCAAATAGGAAAACACAACGACACTTCCGTAACTTGTTACGGAAAGGGTAGGGCCTTATAGCAGGAAGCAGAGGACGAACCCTTCTGATTGGACAGACTGTCTGTCTTTTAACTCTGTGACATGGAGGATTCAAATTACCGTGACTCCTTAACTATTTGCACAATCGGATTCTGAAAGCTGAGAAATTACGCTTTCTAGATATTCTGTCAATCAATAAATCAGAGGAGGGACTGATAGCCTGTGATGAGAAGGGTCCAATCAGTCCAATCAGAAGGGTCCGTTCTCTACTATAAGGCCCTACCCTTTCCGTAAAGAGTTCATTTCGTTGTGTTTTCCTATTTGCCGTTGTGCTTTCCTATTTGCGTTGTGCATTGTGCAATTCAGGGCCACCGTATAAAGCAGCTAGTAGCTAGCTAGCTAGTTTTGTTATGCTATGATGATAATTGAGCAGTGATAATATGGAACCTTAAGTAGGCTGCAAATGCTTCATAAAACACTGAAATCCTCCCTCATTTCCCCAATGCATTACCCTGACTTTGCCTCTGGTCACATTCCACTTGCAGCTCTCTTGAAGCTAAAGACGGACATTGGCATCTGTGCTGTAAACTCTCCAGAGGTTCTTCCCGCGTGTCTGCCTGAACGTGGGCTGGTCCTGCCTGACTGGACCGAGTGTGAGATCTCAGGCTACGGAAAAGACTTTGAATGTAGGCAAACATTGGGTACTCTTTAATTCTGCACAAGTACTATTGTAGACGCATCTCTTTCTGGACTGACCAGCAGAGGGCGGTGTGAGCTTCTGCACTAATCCTTTAACAGCAGTATTTTGGGGATAGAATACTCTAATAGAACGCTCTCCACAGTTGCTGCGGAGTTCTCCGAGCGGGTCAAGAGAGGTTTTGTCCGGCTGTGGCCCAAAGAGCGCTGTGTCCCAGACGTGCTGTCCCAACGCACCATCACATCCAACATGCTGTGCGCAGGGGACACCCGAGGCCTGGACGACGCCTGCAAGGTGAGGACGCTCCCCCCCTTCTCTACCTCCTCATCAAATCAATGCTGATGTACTCAATTTAATATTCCTTTTTCTCTCTCTTGCTCCATTTCGCATCTTGGCGTTGACCCACAGGGAGACTCTGGTGGCCCGCTTGTCTGTCGGAACAACGACAAGATGACTCTGATGGGTGTGATCAGCTGGGGCGACGGCTGCGGGCAGAGGGATAAGCCTGGGGTCTACACCCGTGTGACCCATTACATTGACTGGATCAAGAGCAAAATCAAAGCAAACCCTGTCTAAAGTAAGAGAGACTGCCAAGACAACGTTGATGGACGAGCATACCCAAAAACTAAACTGTTAAGCAGCCAACGCTGATATGTGGATCATTGGAAGGTTCACCAGACAGAACCACAGGAGAGAACCACAATTCCTGCGTTTCATGAATACTTTGTCCAACAAAACTTGAGGTTCAGGAAGAATAGTGGATATCTGTGTATTCCTCTGCTCATTTGGGAAGACTTTGTCCTGGTTTATACAAATAAGTCTCTGTTGGTGGACTTCAGGTCAGTAGCTAGTAGTAGTAGTAACTTTTAATCCAAAAGCTGTGCAGATTGCAGTAAATCCAATAGATTTTTTAACAGGTTTTGTGCAAAGATTTTCTAGATGTGAGATTGTTGCCTCAATTACACATGTTCTGCATCAGCTCTCTCCGGCGCTTTACAGGTTCCAGACCAAAACAAAGCAGATCTGCTGGCTCAGATTAACTTTTGTTGCTTCTATCGGCTCCGTGCTGCCTTGTAAATTCGGAAAGGTGGAAGTTATGAGACACTGATCCAAGAAACCCGTGCCCTGTTCCTTTTCCTACGAGTTGCTTTTAACTGAGATCTCCAGAACACTCCTCACCAGACACCTGGGTTGAGCCCAGCATGTATATAACAGGTATATTGTCTGAGTATTAGTTTTTATATTGCAAAATAAGTTAAAGTTACATAAAATTAATATTTATGTGTTATGTATTTTATATTGGAGTAACTACTTTTGTAGTGTGTAGTTTGATAATGTATTGTCTCTGTCATTATAACCACATCTGGCAACATACTCCTTTGTCAAAAAACAATATTTGTAATAAATATTTCTTGCTCATTTTATCACCTTTGATAAATGATTGAGAATTTAATCATGTCATGGCTGAAAAAATCTTTTTCAATTTAAACAAATAATATTCAAGGTTAAAGGTAAAGGCTAGATTTATTCACCTATAACAGATATGGAAATCAAAGTGATACCATTCTGATGAACAATAATCACAAGAAAGTAGCGAATAAATGATAAACAAAACAGATAGCAGTAACAAACAAAACCACAACTCTGATGCAAATTAAATATAAATGACACTTTACGGCCTCAAATCCTTCTGGTTCTTCGCACTGTCCCTGACGTAAAGTAAACCACAGATTTATTCACCACTATTTTGTTGAAGGAAAATGATCAAATGACGAGTAATGCGGTGCACTATTGCAAAAAGAAAAACATTGGGGTGGAATTAAAGCCTTCACAGTTGGCAATTCAAAGTGCTGCACATAAAACTGAAGTAGAAAAGCAAGGAGATTTAAAAAACAGTCAAGAACATTGATTAAAACATAGAAGGAAAAACAGTCATTAAAAAGATAAAAGACAATAAAAATAGAATTAAATAGAATGAAATTTGCTGTTGTTAAAGCTGATCCTTAAAAGGTTACATTCTAATTTCATTTGATTGTTCTATGGCCCTGTCTATTTTCATGATGTTCCCTGTACAGTTTAAGAAAATAAAAGATAAAGTCAGTAAAAATGACATGATGTTCATCATTTCCCTACCCTTGAACTCTTTTAAGCAGATCCTTAAAAAGGTTGTATAAAAACTTTCCGGGATTGTCACTCAAAACAGTTTAATAAAAATATTCTATCATCCTTACAGACACATTAGGTTAATGTCAGGTGTCTGTAATGATGATAGAATATAGTGTATGTAGATGGATTGTGATTCACTGACTTTGTTTAAAGATGTGTATTTCCACTACCACAAGAAATACTGCTTATAATTAGGGATTGATAGCAAGAGGACTGTGACTGTAACTTGTTTGTGACATGTGACCACAGCCATGCATCGATGAGAATACTGAGGCAGATGTGATTCCAATTTTCATCGAGTAGCAGCAGCAATTACCTGTGGAGGTTTGTGTGGTTCTTCAAGAAAGCAGAAACTATGGTTGCACATCACTTAAGCCTCTGATAAGCGGATCCTTAATAAATGTTAGTATGTGATTTGCATTAGCATTTGACTAGTGGACTTTATGCTTATATACATTTATTATAGAAAAATACTTTACACATAAATACACACCAAAGCACATAACTATGTAACACCAGGACTTACTGGACGACCACATGTAAGAAACTCTGGTGGCTTTGTCCTGCCTACCTCTCTCCCAACTGAGCTCTGATTGGCTGATTCTTTCAGTACTATTAACAACGGTAGTAGTAGTTGTAACAACTAGTAGTTGTTGTTTAAATCAGGGGTCTTCAACGTTTTTCAGGGCAAGGTCCCCCTAACTATGACGAGATGGAGCAGGGACCCCCTATTCTACGGAGTTCGGTCCGCCATCTTTTATTTTTGAGCTTCGCGCTCTTTAGACATGAGCACGAACGCGATCTGATTGGCTGGTGCCTGCGCTGTCGTATTTGCATGAAAGGAGCTGTGAGTGAACCGGTGCCCAGCTTGAGAGCTGCTGTGGGTGGCTGAATGTGTGTATTGCGGACTGAAAGATAAGGTCTTCTCCATCAATTTATCCGTTTGCTACAATATGTTGGATTCATGTCAATGTGTATTTAAAGACAATAAAGACAATTCTGAAGACATTTAAATTTGTGGAAAAAAAATTGGTTGAAAAATAAATAAATAGTCTCATCAACTAAAAATTTCGCAACCCCCCCTGCAGTACCTCCACGGATCCCCTGTTGAAGACCCCTGATTTACATGAAAGGGATGAATAATAATAATACTTTTTTTAATAGCACTTTTATGGGTACGCAAAGATACATACAGACACGTACATACATACAGATAAGAGAAATAGACAGAAACACTAAATAAAAATGAAATAGATCTGGAGAATGAGGTTAGCATTTGAAAGCAAGTTTGAAGAGGTGGGTTTTGAGGGCTTGTTTGAATGATGATACGGTGGGAGCCTGGCGGATTAGGATGGGGAGGGCGTTCTAGAGGGGAGGCCGTCGTACTAGGTCCGGCGCTTGGTCCGGCACTTTGGCCTAGTGGTCTTCATGGTGTTAGCATTGGCGGACCTGAGGCAACGGGTTGGGGCGTGGAGGGGGAGGAGGTCTGAGAGGTAGGTAGGGGCCACGTTGTTTAGGGCTTTGCAGGTGATGAGTAATATTTGTATTACAGCTATTGTGAAATACTGTAAGATAGTTAAAGATCCACCGTAAATTTACAGCGAGTCGTTGTAAGTAAACATCTTGCAGAGCAAATTGTTGTTTGCTACTGGACCAATGCTCAAACTGAATAACCTGTATTACTCCTCTAGGACGTCTCAGCTTACTTACCTTCATTGATAGAATGTGTGTCTATCAAAAGGTACAAATGTATTTCCCCTTTGGAACAACGTCTACAATGACATGTTGTTTATCAAGCGGCCGTATTTGGCCATGAGCAGTGATCGGTAGGGAAACCTGGAGCCAAGTTTGAGCTGTGCAGGGCCTGCAGCTCATTTAGAGGCGGTCCACCACCTGTCTGGCATAGGTAGGGAATGCAAATGAGGATAGTTATGTCTGCATTCCCTCCGTATCGCTCGCTTTCATTCACTTCTCACACCAACTGTCTGCAGCCAAAGCAAAAACACTTCCCTCGTGACTTGAGCTGAGTGACTGGACCCAAAATCATGGCAAAGGTAAAGTACGGTTACATTTTTATGACAATACGTCCTGAAATCTTTGGTTGGAGTGAAAAGGAAGTGAGCAGGTGAGTTTTAGTTGTCGAAACAGACCTAAGTGTAAAACCTCCCCAGTAGTTGACATTTGAGCATTTTCTCTGAGGGGGTTCTGAATAATGGAACTGTACAATGCCAGCTACGAAGTATTGATTGTGTGGGACTTTCAAGGGCAACGGTAATAATTCCCGGCAACACACCTGTTTGCCGAGAGAAAACACCACAAACATTTCAGGTACGAGCTTCACGGCACCCTAGCTTATGCAACTATTCTTTTATGTTTGTTCTTTTCTGAACTGATCCATCAAACTAATTTCTTAGTTAACTAATCTAGCCACTTAAACACACACTGTTGGCTTCAGTAGTGTTGAAGCCAGTGTTGGATTTGAACTATACACATATTTGAAATTGATGTACTTTGGATACAAAGAAAACTGCAGAGTCTGTATTGGATTGAGTTTGTTTGTTTGAACCTTTTTTGTTGGTGGTGATCTTTTTTAAAAGCATTATCCTTGAGTCTTTTGCAAATTTCCCAATGGGTCTTGTTAGAGATTCTAGTGAGTCACAGAAAAAAATTGAATATGTCTGATTAGGTTGGGCAAAATATATATTACTATATGGTGACACAAGGCTGAATATGTTGGATTTTGTATATCTTAATATCGCATAAGGGTTGTGTTTTCCTTAATTCTCTGAACTTTTGACTAGCTTTTCTATAATTTGCTTTCCCCCAATTTCTTTGTGATAACACAAAATCTTAACGCTCCTCTTTTAGTGTCAACAATTAATGCAGCTAAAATGTTATGTGTTTGGAGGAGTACCCTATATGTCATCATCTAAAAGAACTGCTCATAACAACACAGATAGTGACACATTTGATAGTGGTGGGAGCATCCTTCATCAGATCGGAGCATTACTTTTTCCTTTGTCCTCCAGTTGGCTTCGGGGGACACCGATATGGTGTGACTTTTTCACACCACATAGTTCAGTTAGTACATAGTTCAGAGACACAAGGCACAACATTAGTTATTGTCGCTGGCTTTAAAATGCAGATATTTTGGGGACTCCTGTCCGTGAGACAAAAGGTTGTAAATATTAGAACAGCAGCAAATGTCTCTTCTGACCTTGTTACCACATGCTTCTCGTTTATCAGTCCAGCAGCTGTGACCCATTGCCTGTGTCAAGATAGAAACTGTGCAGTCACTCCGCCCCTCTCTATCCACCTGTAATAATTTGCCTTACATCAACACTTCCTCTACCGTTGCCTGGCACTCAGACAGAGATACTGCATCTACACTTCCTAATTTTGCTCAACATGCTTGTTGTAACTGCAGCCACAGGAGCCTCTTTGTTCTCGACTGACAAGCAGGAGAGGATCTCAAACAGGTGTGAGGAATTCAAGACCACAATCAAAAAAGAATAAATCTAACCAATAGTCACCTCTGCGAGGTCTTGACAAGAACCATAGCAAAATATTCCAGACAAGTTAGTTGTGGTCAAAAGTTTACACACACTTGTAAAGAACATAATATCATGGCTCTCTTGAGTTTCCAGTTATTTCTACAACTCTGATTTTTCTGTGATTGGAACAGATACTTCTTTGTCACAAAAATCATGAAGTTTGGTTATTTTATGACTTTATTATGGGTTAATAGAAAGTGACAAAATCTGCTGCGTTAAAAATATACATACAGCAACATAAATTAGCAATTTTGGTGACATAGAAAGTTGTGTCAATGACATGCGCTTCATAGCCTCTTAACTTCTTGTGAGTGATCATGAGTGACTACAGCTGGTGACTTCTCTGAGTCCATTTAAATAGGGCTCATTGGATACAAATGCCCACAAATGCTACAATGGGAAAGTCAAAGGACCTCAGCATGGATCTGAAAAAACGAATCATTGACTTTAACAAGTCAGGAAAGTCACGTGGAGCCATTTAAAAGCAGCTGCAGGCCCCAAGAGCAACAGTGCAAACAATTGTTTGTAAGTATAAAGTGCACGGCACTGTTTTGTCACTGCCATGATCAGGAAGAAAACGCAAGCTATCACCTGCTGCGGAGAGAAAATTGTTCAGGAAGGTGAAGAGTCCACCGAGAAGCACCAAAAAGCAGATCTGCCAAGAATTAGAAGCTGCTGGAACACAGGTGTCAATTGTCCACAGTCAAGCGTTTTTTGCATCTCCATGGACTGAGAGGCTGCCGTGCAAGAAGGAAACCCTTGCTCCGAAAGCGGCACCTTAAGGCTCGACTGAAGTTTGCTGCTGATCACATGGATAAAGATGAGACCTTCTGGAGGAAAGTTCTGTGGTTAGACGAAACAAAAATGGAGCTGTTTGGCCACAATGCCCAGCAATATGTTTGGAGGAGAAAAGGTGAGGCCTTTAACCCCAAGAACACCGTGCCTACCGTCAAGCACGGTGGTGGTAGTATTATGCTGTGGGGCTGTTTTGCTGCCAATGGAACTGGTGCTTTACAAAGAGTAAAATGGGATAATAAAGGAAGATTACTTTCAAATTCTTCAAGAAGTCATCAACCCGAAGGGTGGGTCTTGGGCGCAGTTGGGTGTTCCAACAGGACAATGACCCCAAACACACATCAAAAGTGGTAATAGAATGGCTAAATCAGGCTAGAATTAAGAATTAAGAATTTAGAATGGCCTTCCCAAAGTCCTGACTTAAATCCCTTTGAGAACATGTGGACAATGCTGAAGAAACAAGTCCATGTCAAAAAGCCATGAAATTTAACAAACTGCACCAATTCTGTCAAGAGGAGTGGTCTAAAATTCAACGAGAAGCTTGCCAGAAGCGCCTAATTGAAGTGAAAATGGCCAAGGGACATGTAATGAAATATTAGTGTAACGCATCACAGGAGACCGGAGTAGGCCCAAGCGCAGAGCGCAGTTTTAATGAACAACAGGGAGTAGGCTTAGTGGTATCCAGAAGACAGGCAGGAGGTCGAAATCTAGGAGAAAGGCGAAGGTACAGACAGGGATCGGGCAGGAGATAACGAGGTCAGGAACAAACAAGGAGTCTTCAATGGGAGTACAAAACAGGAGATCCAAATAACGCTCAGAATGTGATGTTTACTTCACAAGGAGCACAGCGGGATAAGGGGTATATATACAGACCAGCTTTGATGGGGAACCAGACACAGGTGTGTAGGGATGAGTGGGCGTGCACAACAGGCAGACACACAATGGAACAAACCAACACAAAACGGGACAGACCAACTAGACCGTAAACAGGAGGGAGTTTGGGAACCAGATTTTGAAGGCCTCAGTACTTCGGGGAAGGGGACCGCTGGATCGTGACAATTAGCACTGCCATATGTATATTTTTGACCCTGTAGATTTGATCACTTTTTTTGTTAACCCATTATAAAGTAATAAAAGAACCAAACTCCATGAATGTTTTTTGTGACAAAGAAGTATCTCTTCCAATCACACTATCAGAGAAAAATCTGACTTGTAGAAATAACGGGAAAAGACAGCCATAACATTATGTTCTTTACAAGTGCATGTAAACTTTTGACCATAACTGTAAATGCGTAAGTGTTGGGAAAATATATAGGCTAATAAGTAAAAATCATGCATTTGCTTTTTTATATGAGCATCAAAAGATACCAAAAATAACAGCAGGCTATAATAACAATTCCGAAAAAAATCCAGCACTCTTTACTCACCCACCCTTGAATTATAAGCAAACTTGTATTCAACCAACAGAAACATTTCAGACAAGAATATGTTACCTAGTAGGTGTTTTCACCTGGTGCACTAAATAAAGAGTCTGTTGTCCATCCCCAGAAAGCAGCCAGTCACTGACTGATGCCCGAGGATGAAGCCAATAGATAAGTTAACGTAAATGATTAGCAGTCTGGAATTCAGGTATGTTTATTTTGGCCTAATCCCATAGTCCCCCCTAAACCCTGAGATTTAACTGATGTCACCTTTTAAGCGGTTGAGTGTGAGACTCTGGGAGGGCTTGAAATAATGTGAATATGAATGGAACAGCACTTTTCTGTCACATCACCATTCCAACGTCAAAAAACATGAATTACAAATGAGGGTATTTATTTTATAAATTTTAATCTCAGATTTGAACTTCTTCCATCAACTTGAATGAAAAAATAAATATTGGGGAGATTGGGGGATTGAGCATATGTGGTAAATTGTTGCCTATACTTTTCAGAACTTCTTTGGAAAACTGAAAAACCTGTGAGTATTATGTCTATAAGAAAAACTGTTCCTGATAATCTTTATACATGAAAGAACCTTCTCACAGCTCCTCTTACCGTCACTCACAGTGGACCTACAGCTCCACCCAGGAGGACAGGTGAGATTTAGCCTAAATTAGAATTGAAGGGGCAACTTGTCTATTCCCCTAGTCTTGGTTTATTTCATGCATTCTATTCATCGTTATCTATTATTGATGTATTCTTTCCCCAGATGACTATGCAGGGAATGAGTGGCCACAGAAAGAGTCTGTAAGTAGAAACACAACAAGTTCTTCAACTAGAAAATGCACAGTTGAGAAAAGCTTAAATGAATTACAAGAAATGGCAGAAACTGAAATTATTTTTATTTTCAAAATATGGCTGAAAATACAGAAATGACAAAAGCTGAGATGCGTTTTAAAATGTATTGTAAATGTCTTTTTTGTAGTAATTTTGGTACTAGTAATACTAGCAGTAGAAGAAATAGTTTTAGTATCAATAGCAGTGGAAAAACTAGAATGGTGGTTATGGTTAGTAGTAGTTTTATCAGTTGTAGTACTAATATTATTAGTCATTGTAGTATTTGTAGTAAAATGAGTAGCAGTTGTATTAATAGCAGTATAAATACTCATACTTTTTATAGTTGTAAGAGTAGTAATATCAGTTGCAGGGTCACTACTGGTAGTACTTATAGTAGTACTACTGGGAGTCATTTTAATAGCAGTAGAATACTAGTAATATTAATAGTAGTTGAAGTAATAATAGCAGTATAAATACTAGTACTACTTCTTTAGAGTAGTAATATCAGTTGCAGTGTCACTACTACCGGTAGACATTTTTAGTCATTCTAGTATTAAGAGCAGTTGAAGTACTAGTATTATTATTAATGGTAGTAGCAGTGCTACTACTACTACTAGTAATATTAGTGGTAGTTGTCAGCCGTATGGCCCCTCTCTTATATCGGTACGCCCAGGACACAGAGACCACAAGGGATATATATATATATATATATATATATATATATAAAAATATTTTTATTTGTATAAAAAGGTAGGAATAAGTTGTATCTTAAAATTTTAGAGACGGTTTATCTCTTAAAATCACAATCCTCTAACCAGCCACATATCCTTCTGGAACAATCCAATCTTCTGGGTGGCCAAAGTTTCACCTATCCAGATTATCCTCTGTTCCGTCCATATTCCTCTCTGCGTTCCGTCCGTGCTTCTCCTCATCCTCCGTGCGCCCCGTAGTGGCAGTCGTTAGCTCTTTTAAACTCCACCAATCAGCCACACTCCGCATTGCACCTGGTTCGCCAGTTGATTATCAAGTATTTCCAGGTGGAAGCAATAGAGTTATTTTGTCAGCTAGAGGAAGTTTACATAAGGGACAGCAGTCCTTACAACTCACACAAAAAGCATGCAGGTAAAATAAGGTACGATAAAATAACACAACACACTAATTACTGCAAACTAAAAGAAACACACAACTTCATTCCCAATAGGCTGACAGTTGTAGTGGTATTTCAAAGAGCAATAAGTATTTCAACAAAACCGCTTCATTCTGAGCTCCATGGTTAAGGTACAGATAATCATTGAGGCCTTTATTTTGAAATGAAGGAATTGGGTGAGGGGGAGAGGGGGTTGGGAGACAGAATGTTTTTAATTCATAGGCCTCAATCATTACAGTAACAATTCTGTTTATTTTGAAATTATGGGATGGGGGGGGGGCATTAGAACTATAACTCAAATCCAAAAAATGATGAGATTTGACGAGACCCAAGACTCACGAACCCGGTTATTTTACATGTCTCTGCGGTCATAAATCCAGCTCAAATAGCAGTTGACAAAACGAGTGTCTTCTGTTTTTTTGGAGAAGTATGTCAGCAGATTTGTATTAGGAGCCTATGGAGCTTGAGGCAGACGTTGTCTTACTCTCGGGATTCTCAGGCTAAAAGTAAGTGTCTGTGGGATTCCATAGCCACATGAGTACAACCAGCAAAAGCATGACATCATTTTGATCCATCAATGAAGCCTGAAGAGTGAATATTGTGGCAATGAGGGCAGAAGAGCAATATTTTTTTTAACTTCAGCGCTCACTCTAAGAAACGCAAGACACACTAATGTAAAACTCAAAAACGGACTGAAAAACTTGTAAAAAAATCACTAATATTGAAGAAAGTTGAATAGATTTTTTTTTAATTTGGAAAACCCTGTTAAAATAGCATTCATACTAGTACTTTCACACCATACAACAAACACGTGCTAGATGGCTTCTCTCACTGTGTCACTCCCTTCAACACAGCGGAAAGCCCCACAAGAAAATGAAACATAAAAAGGCCCATGGAATTGGCTTATTAAAAAGCCTACCACATACTAAATAGGGGAAAACAGTGGTTGTCCCCAATTTCTGTTTAAAACAAAAGAAACATTTATATTTAAAATAAAATGTCATGTTCCATGTAATTACGGAGTACAACACCTATCTGGACTCACAGTCCCTTCCCCCCACTGGAACAGGTAATTGAGGTAATTGCTCCTCGCTGAGCAAGACTGATAAACAATGTATTTGTTTAAAGTTATTAGCTAAAAGATATTCAGTGTTAAAATCCTGTTATTGGGTTTCGGAAATGTCCCCTGTAAGACCATGTCCTGTCAGACTGCAGTAATCAGCTAATACGGAACAGCTGTCAGGCACCATGGTAACGGCGCACATGCGATCATTAACAAGCTGTTCAGAGGGGAAGGAGAGACAAAAAACAAATGAACCAGGAATCAGGATCAGGAATCAGGAAACATTTGTTGGCAAAATATGTCAAACATACAAGGAATTTGTCTTGGCGGTTGGTGCGTGACAGTAGACAGTGTAACAATAGACAAGGCAGCAGTACACAAGTAATAAAATAAAGTAAAATGAAATGCTAATGCAATGGGTTAGTAGAATAAGGCTATGGGTTAGAATAAAACAAGAGAATAACGTTAGAGTTAAAAATTTAAAATATTAAAAAAGTTAAAAAATATTGAGCATAAAGTGCACTAGCGAACAAGTAACAAAGTGACGAGTGACGACAAAGTGACGAGAGACGACAAAGTGAAAAATTGCAGTTAAAGTGACATGTGCAGTATGAAGGGGAGTGACCGGTGGAATGTTATAGTCAGTCAGTGGGGGACCGGGCTCTGTTGATGAGCCCGACTGCCGACGGGAAGAAACTGTTGGTGTGCCGGGAGGTCTTAGTCCTGATGGACCTTAGCCTCCTGCCAGATGGAAGGGATGGAATGGAAGGGGGACAAACAGTTTTTATCCGGGGAGAGAGGGGTCGGCTACGATCTTTTTAGCTCGCTTCAGAGACCTGGGAGCAAACAAGTCCTGCAGGGACGGCAGATTGCAGCCGATCACCCTCTCTGCAGAGCGGATGACACGCTGCAGCCTGCTCTTGTCCTTGGCTGTGGCTGCAGCGTACCAGACGGTGATGGAGGAGCAGAGGATGGACTCGATGATGGCCGTGTAGAAGTTGACCATCATCGTCTTTGGCAGGTTGAATTTCTTCAGCTGCCTCAGGAAGAACAACCTCTGCTGAGCCTTCTTTGTGATGGAGCTGATGTTCAGCTCCCACTTGAGGTCCTGGGTGATGATGGAGCCCAGGAAACGGAAGGAGTCCACAATAGTGACGGGGGAGTAACACAGGGTAATGGGGGAAGGTGGGGCTCTGTTCCGCCGGAAATCCACAACCATCTCCACTGTCTTTAGCGCGTTGAGCAAAACTTCAGGGGCTTGACGGACTGGTGACTGGAGGTGCAGCTGTTGGTGTACAGGGAGAAGAGCAGAGGGGAAAGAACGCAGCCTTGGGGGGAACCGGTGCTGATGGTCCGAGAGGCTGAGGCATGTTTCCCCAGCTTCACGCGCTGCTTCCTGTCAGACAGGAAGTCTGTGATCCACTTGCAGGTGGAGTCGGGCACGTGCAGCTGGGAGAGTTTGTTCTGCAGCAGAGACGGGATGATGGTGTTGAAGGCAGAGCTGAAGTCCACAAACAGGATCCTGACGTTGGTTCCTGGGGAGTCCAGATGCTGGAGGACGTAGTGGAGGGCCATGTTGACAGCATCGTCCACAGACCTGTTGGCTCTGTAGGCGAACTGCAGGGGGTCCAGGAGGGGGTCGGTGAGGGACTTCAGGTGGGTCAGGACTAGCCGTTCAAAAGACTTCATGACTACAGAGGTCAGGGCTACAGGCCTGTAGTCATTGAGTCCTGTGATCCTGGGCTTCTTGGGAACAGGGATGATGGTGCAGGCCTTGAAGCAGGCTGGTACGTGGCATGTCTCCAGGGAGGTGTTGAAGATGTCAGTGAACACCAGAGACAGCTGGTCAGCACAATGCTTCAGGGTGTGAGGGGAGACTGAGTCCGGACCGGCTGCCTTACGGGGATTTTGTCTTTTAAAGAGCCGGTTAACGTCTCTCTCCAGAATAGAGAGGGTCGTTGCTGGTGGGGGAGGGGAAGGTGATATAGATGAAGAGGCGTGAGCCCCTGATGGGCTGGGGGAGGGAGGGGTGGGGGATTGCAACAGGTTGGTGGAGCTGTGGGGGATGGGATCAGGACATTGTCTTTCCAATCTGCAGTAGAACTCATTCAGCTCGTCTACCAGGCGGAGGTTATCCATGGAGTGGGGGGTTTTTGGCTTGTAGTTTTTGAGGTGTTTGAGGCCTCTCCAAACCGAAGCAGAGAACTGTTGTTGGAGTTTCTCAGAGTACAGTCGTTTAGTATCTCTCACCGCCTTGCTAAACTTGTATTTTGACTCTGTGTACAAGTCTTGCCTGGTCCTTCTGCAGGCGTAGTGTTCTGAGTTCCGATGTGAACCAGGGTTTGTCGTTTTTGTAACTCACCCTGGTGCATGATGGTACACAGCTGTCCTCACAGAAGCCGATGTAGGAAGTTACAGCCTCTGTGAACTCATCCAGACTGTCAGTAGCAGTCCAGTCCAGTCCTGAACGAGTGATTATGAAAAAAGTCAAATGGAAACCAACAAGCTGTTTTTTATAAAATAGTTTAGACTTTTTTCAACATTCTACAATTCAAATTGTGTCTGTAGCTGAAAGATTGGGAAAGCAGAAGGATTTGAAAGTTGAAATTTAAGAGGATTTGAGAATAAACTCCATTGGAAAACCATGCTAAAAAAAGCGTGAATTTCTTTTATATGTATTCACGCATAAGAAGGAATGTCTTGAAGGAGCTGAATATTTTAATATTTGAACGGTTTTAGGAGTTGAGAGGTGCCATGGAAGAAATAGAAGATGACATAAAGATTCGAAAAACAATACCTGGAATGCTTTGAAGCATGCTTTGAAGCATTCCAACAATAAAGATTTGAAGAACAATTCTTAAAGGTGCTAACTTTTAAAAGGTCTTTTTCCTTTTACACAACCCTTATTGCATTTCGTTTGCATTTTTTTGTAGGAGCAAAATTAACCCTTAATATTTTTTTAAATGGCAGGATGATGACGAGGGTGACATGTATGAGGAACCTCCCCGTGATCCCCAAACAGTGAACAGAGAGAACAGACCGAGAGAAGAAGAGCCTAATGTCTATCTGGGTAAGACCACCGCACTGAGTCCTTTCTGCAGATGAATGTTAACAGTTCCTGTTCACTATGGACAACTTTTCTCCTGAAGGGATGTCCTTCGATCCTGCTTTATTTGCAGAGAGGCCGGCGGCTCCCTCGCCTCCTCAGAGGCCGGCGGCTCTCCCACCCAGACCAGCCAAACCCTTGGTAACAACAGCTCAGTCTTTTGTGTTTGTTCATGACTGAATGAATTGAAATCATTTTGAAGACAATGCATTTCTGTTGATTACCCAGAAACCTCAGCAACATGGTGAAGATTTCTTCTTTGATCCCCAAAACAAGAAAGGGGAGTGATCTTACTGACGCACAAACTGAGCATTCGTCTTTTCTTTGCTGGTTAATTTGCTGTATAACCCGTCTGTAAAGCTATTATACCCTTTTCTTCAGCACCTAAGAACAGAACTGAGAAACCTGTGAGAGAGAACATGATGCCTACGCCCCTAGTCCGCTCCGCTCCTGTTCCAAACCCTGCGTCTAACACTGAGGAAGGTACAGCAACCACTTCTACCACACACAAATAGTCCTTTCATACTGTAGAAGTACCTGATCAGCCTGTAAATGACTGAGGACTGAGAGGAATGGGAACGTAACAATGACGTGTTATGACAACCACGTATTTGTTTTTATCAGCCATATGCCATTTGCAGAATTACACTAGTTCCACTAAAGATTTTTACATTTACTGTTACTGTACACATGCAGGAAGAACAGACAAAATAACGTGTTTTTGGGCAGCGTTATCTTATGTGGAATGAATAGAATAAGCGGAGGTATTAATCAGGAGTAAAGCAGTGACTGGAACAAAGAAGAGAGTGCCACCTGCTGTTAGATTGTAATCTAATATCGGGCCAATCAGCTTGGTAGAATCAGCAACCCCTACGGCAGAACAGCATGGCCTGGTTGTGAGCAAGAGAAGAGATAAGATAGTGAGCTTGCCTCCACAGGTTCCTCATTAACTAACTGCCCCGTTCCTTATACATGGTTCAACTAAGTCGATCAAATGTCTTGCTGTTGATGTCAGGCAATCTCGGTTCCTCAAAGGCTGATCAGCGCTCAAACAGTCACCTTAATTTGAAACAGATGTCAGTCATAAGGATAATCGCGCGTGCGCGTCCTACTTCAGAAGGTGGAAGAGTCGATCATCAAAACCATGATTTTCTAACGATACAACAGCAAATGAACTGAAAGGAAGAGCTTATTTTTTCTCTGCTGATGAGCAGGAGATGATCATGAACACATGTAAGGAGTTCAAGTCCATAATAGGTATATTTGAATAATTTCTGTCGTATAAATTGAACGTATTGTGCATCTTTTACGTTGTTCCTGTCTCTCTTAAAGGTATCTTCCATTTTTTTTTCTTCCCATGGAATGTTTTTTCATTTTTGGGGGAGTTTTTCCTGTGCTGATGTGAGCGTTTCGGGCAGAGGATGTCAGATGTGTACAAACTGTAAAGTCCTCTCAGGCAATTTTGCGTTTCAGGGTATAGAAAATAAATTGAATTGAATAATCATGGCAAATCTGACACTGCGAGGGCTACAAGCCCGACCAAGTATCTCAGACAAGTGTCTCAAAATGTATAGTCTCATTTTAAGTGCCTCATCACTTAAATCAATCTATCTAATATATTTTTTTAATGTGCTTGCTGGCAGTAGGCCAATGAGATCTTGGTAGCGAAAATAGTTTTTTTAAGATGTTCTCTGCATCGCAAGACTGTACAAACATGTACAGTATGACCCAGTATGAGAGACAGTGTGATGTTTTCACCATGTACGGCTCGAGGAGGTAAGGATGTAAGCATCGATAACGCTCGTACAGGTCATCATGATGTGATAACGAATCCTGGTGATCTCGGAGAGGACTCGTATAAAAAGGTTAATCTAACTATTATCGCTCCTTCATCAATGAGGAAGAGAGCTGCGCTTTTTCCCAGGGGACTGGCGAGCTAATCCAGCTGGCTCAAATGAGCCTGTGTGGGAACAGGTTCAGGTTTTTGGATGTGTTGCTATGGTGATTTTGCCATACTTGCTTTGTGTTAATTTTGGCAGCTATTTTTGATTTAGTCTTAGTCTTCAGACGAAAATACATATTAGTTTGAGTCACATTTAGTCATTTTAATCCTTCTTAGTTTTAGTCTAGTTTTCGTCGACGAAATTAACACTGCTTTGGGTAACCGAAAAGCCTGATCTATGTAATCTTATCCTGAAAATTCTCCAGCAAACTCAGTTAGTACAAGGAACGGGGCCCAGGTCTAATCAGTCCTGCATCCCGCCTACAACTCAACAAATAAGCACAACACAGACAAAATGTACAGCACCACCCTCACGCAGGGATGTAACCAACAATCAACAATCTCTCTGTTACACATTTCTGAATACCTTAAACCTTTCCCATTGATCCCACAAACCCCAGCTATAGTAATTATATCAAGGCTGGGAAGACAGAACAAAATTATGTGTGACGAAAGATCATTCAAAGCCTGATGAAATTGACAAGACAATAGAAAAGTCCTTCGAAAAATAAAATGTGGTATAATTTCCCATTAAGAGACCACAGCTAAACAACAATCAACCGCTGAAAAACACCAATCGCTGCCAGTATTTTTTCTTTCTCTATTTCAGGTGAGTATGTGGATCCAATTGAAGCACAGGTGAGATAAGGGAGACACCAGCAATATCAAAAGCTTAACACACGTGGGAGAAGCCAGCATTGAGTGTCGGTGTGAAAGTGTGATGGGCTATACTGGGTTGTAAAGGCCATTTACGGTTGAATAGGATTGGATAGGTTACCACCCGCACAGCTGCGAATGAGTCCATCATTTTGGAGCATAAATGAAAACTAATGCGTTCCTTCCTCGTTTTAGAAAGACGTGTATGTGAAAGCGACAGCTGGTATGTTGACATCTCACGTCACAGGAACTAGCTCTGTGCTTTAAGTTTGCATGGATTGCAAAGTGAGTTACAAGTAGCCCTTCTTCCTGCTCCTCAGCTTGCCCTCCCCCTCCCCGTGCGACGAAGATGAATCCGTCTCCCATCACAGGACTATATATATATATTTCAGTGTGACTTTGTTAAGGTCTGCATGAGAAATGGAAGGTTTTATTCTGACTGTTGTTTACCGTGCTACGTAGGATAAGAAAGTCCTCAGTGGTGACTTTATATTTCCTTCCTTTCAGAATTCCCCCTGGCTTTCCTCGAATGAGTTAGAAACAGGTAAAGACAGGTCAAATATCAGTACACACTCACACACTCAAAAATAAATGATTTGGAGCATGACGGTGCACATCTCGTCTGTAGCTTCTACAGTTGAAGTGAGACACAAACCCCTCCTCTCCAAACCCCCCCCACCGACTCCCAGTATTAAGCCCCCTCTACCGGCGAAACTGAAGCAAGCTAAAAACAGGTTTGTTCAACGGATGAAACGTTATGCATACGTTTCTTTTGTGATGATCCATAGCAATTACATTTATTACATAACAAAGAGTATGTTAGCTTTGTTTTGGTCTTCATGTCACCCTTCTCAGTCCTCCTGTGAAGGACGGTAAGCCCGCTGGTAAGCTCCAGTTTTTTATATTGTGAGGGACAACTGCAAATTTGGTCTCTGCTCAAATTCTTCATCTAAAATAATCCAAAACATGGCACGGTTCATAATTTTTCAAACGTCTGGCTGCTCCCCAAAGAACTCTGGGGTAACACATGATGGGTTTTCTATCTTTTTCAAAGTCTCCTTAGGTGGAATGAAGGCAACCAAACAATGGGTGAACGAGGTATAGTATCAATCCACACAAAATAAAAACTAGTTAGGGAGGACTGTTCACTATTCGTTTCACATTCCAGGACAAAGAGTGGTTTGCTGGGAATTCCAACAGGAAGATGGCCGAGGATCTTTTACTGAGGGTCAACAAGGTGAGCCACTCAAGGGTTCTATGTTTTGTTTCATGTTTCATTACAATCTGCTCATCAGGTAATTTTAATTTAACCATTCTATGGTTGAATGCACTTATTGTAAGTCGCTTTGGTTAAAGCGTCAGCTAAATTACATGTAATGTAACCACGCAACAGAAAAAGAGGACATTTGCTGAGTTTTCATGTGCATGTTGTTAGCTGGTACTCAAATAGAGGCCATCCCCTGATTGAGACACTTACTTTGTATACTTTGGTTTTACTTTCCACTAACTTCTTAATCCATTGCGCATGTTCCAATAATCTATTTCTTGCCTTCGTTCTCCTATCAGACTTCCCCAAAACATCCCTTCTCCATTCTATTTTTTATTTTCTCCCTTACACTCAGTGCTGATCATTCTTACTGTTTTTTCCCTCCTTCGCAGGACGGCGCATTTCTGATACGACATAGCTCAGCTCAGGGCAGCCGCCAGCCGTACACTCTCGCTGTGCTCTACCAGCAAAAGGTGTACAACATTCCCATCCGCTTCCTGGGGGAGACTCGAGGTTACGCTCTTGGAAAAGAGGGCAAGAAGACCGAAGAGGTGGGGATGGGGGGTTGGGTACAAAAGAAGGAGACAGGAAGAGAGTGAGATTCTATGAGGGATTCCATCTTTGTATTTGATTACTTCACTTCTTGTCTTGCAGATTTTCGGCTCCCTTGACGAGATGATTTCCCACCACAAAAATAACCAGCTGCTTCTGATAGACAGCAAGAGCCAGGCCAAGCACACCACGTATTTAACGTATCCTGCACGCCCTTCATTCTAAGATCTATTCAGATGAGAATAAGGATAAAAGCATAGTTTGAAAGTTTTCTGTAGGTCTATTAATGTGTTACAAAACTGTAAATACCACTAACTGCTTTAACATCATCAAGATGTCATCTTTATAAAGTAAAATAGATTATCCAAACTTCTAATGCACCTAGAACAGAGAATATATGTTACAAACTGACTTGACGACACCTTGAGGTTCAAGCTCAGAGATATTCCTGTTTTGTTATCAATTCATAGAAAGGACTACAAAGTTTTGCTAAAACGTTCACCGGTGAAAAAGGAAAACCTGTTGCCAAGTGATGATGTTGCTGTCTTATCAACAGAATCTAACTCCCATTGAAACATTCAGACTGTATAATTCTGCTGATCATCAAAACAGTTTTCATCTGAAATGTCATGATCAGTTCCATTTAGTAATGTCTGATGAAGCATTAAAATAAATGTCTGCATCGTTTTAATGTTTGTGATGAGTACATTTTTTTACATATTTGGTGTGTTTCTTTGCACAGGATCAGTTTAGTTTGACTCAGATTTTCAATATAAGCTATGTGTTAACAGGTGTCTTTTATTTGATATTGTGAAACAAAGAATAAATCATTTCTATTCCATTCATTTTACTCCAGTTCATATTTACTGTTGTTGACCAGTAACAAGGAGTTAGCCAGAATAATGGCCTTCATTATGCTTTTTTGTGGCGTGTATTTGTGTAACGCTTCATGTGTGGACCCAACGGCACTCACACGACTCCAGCGATCTTTTGACCTTTTATTTAAAGCTCCAGAAACCGCATTTAGTGTCAGGGTTTTTGGACTGCAGTACCCCAAAGGACCATGTGGGGTCCTCAGTGATCCAGTTTATCCTGTCACATGTGTGTGGTCTTGATTGTTTTCATTGTGTTCATCTGTGCCTTGTTTTCTAGCCTTTAAAAGGCCCCCTGAGTTCCTTTGTGTTTGCCAAGTCTTGGCACTTGCCACCTGGAGCTTAGCCACGTGAGATTCTAGATGCGCTACCTCTTATCCTTTTTGGTTTTTGAGATCTTTTGTTGCCTCTCATTTGGGACACCCTTAGGTACCTTGTTAAATGCCCAGACCTTGTTTTTAGTTGTCTAGAAATATTTTTGAGTTACTGTCAAGCTTATGGAATCCTCTGCTCTTTTCAAATAAAGAAACCTTTTTTGATTCCCTACAAACAACTCGTCCCTCTCTGTCTCTGCACCTGAGTCACCATCACTCGTAGCACAGTAGTAGGCAATCCGCCTGCTACACGGAGACCCAGGTTTGGATCCCGACGATCATGATAATTTAGAGTAACGGTAAGACAAAGGGCCATAGGTTTAACGGGAGTTGGGCTGGCAGGTTAAATATGGACAGGGTCGTGTGAGTGAGTGAACTTTATGTGTACGTGTGCCATCACTTGTCCACCAACCAGATGCTGCTGGGAACACCTGCTTCCTGTTAGTGTGAAATCTAAAATGCCTCACTGACCCGACCAATCCCTATTCACTTAATATTGCAATACATTCAATGATTACCCCTTTGACCTGAAGCTCCCTCATGTGAACAGAAAAAAGCATGCGTAATACATCATCTAATAGCTAATACACTCTCATCATAAAACTTCTTAAATCATTACATTTCATAACATCTTAACCATTGTGCTTGACTCATGTTTAACTCATTTCATATGGTCCAAAATTAAAACAATTTCCTTGCCGGGCTTTCCTACATCCTTTGCTCCTAAACGGCCTCAGGGAAAAAAAGTGATCCATTATGGATGGATGTTATGTGTACAGTATCATATGACTTACAAGATATAAGAGTCATTCTACGAAACGGGTGCCATTTCTACGTTGCGATTTTTTCAATTTTCAGTAAGAACTTTTTTTTTTACTTACAACTTTAAAGATATGTTAATCTTCCAAAAAAACATATTTTCCCACCTCAGGCACAAAATTCTTAGTAATATTATCCTTTTTATTAAGGCAAGGGAGTCTTTCTTGTACCACCCCGTCACGGACAATATGTGTGCCAGTAGAGTTGTAAAACAAGAAATTTTAAAGATAATGTTTTCCTAATAGTAAAATGTCCCTTTTATGTAAACCATCAATAGAAAGTCTGAAATTTAATACATTTTTTGTATTCTTAGTTTTTTATCTTGAAATATGAATTCGACATTTCAATGGCCTCATTGTTTGTACTGAAAAAACAAATACACTTAAAAAAATTGAAATAAAGTTTCATTAATTTTATTAGTTCACACAACACGAAAATTATTAAACATTAATTTATGTAAAATTTAATTTATTTTACATACATTTTTAACAACATTACCCCGTGACGGGGTGGTAACTGATGTGACAGAGTGGTTCACTGTGACAGGGTGGTATGGACACACTGTTTCTCTATTTCTGATTTGCTTGTTTTAAACTTTATACAACTGGGGGAGGGCAATTATTAAAATAGGAGATTCAATGGAAAACATTGGTCATGCTCTGAAAAACAAAAAACAGAGCATCATATCAGTGACAGGGAGAGTCGCATCCACACATCTCTCTGTATTTCCATGTGGCGGGATGTCACAGGCTGTGGTGCTTGAATGATTTCGAGCACATCATCGAAGAGATACCACAGGAAGTCATCTCTTGGAGGCCAGAAGAACCTGTTGGCACCAACACGGTGCATACACTTTACAAGGGCATGTGTTTCATCTGTTTCCATGACGATCCCAGGATAAAGGTCACTGTCATATTTAAGAACGCACCAATTCCCAATGAGATCTCCGCTCCCAAGCAATTGCTTCTGTTGGCACCTTCTGGGCTGTTTTGTTAAAAGTGAAATGCTGTGTGTTGAAGCACTGACATCTCAGCTGCTTTTGCGTGGAGCACATGCAACTAACTTCCTGGTAAAGGATTTCTCCTGGAGTGAATGTGACCACTTGGTGGGTTTTCATTGTGGATGGCACTGGTGGAATCTGGCCTGGCATCTTTTCCATTGCCTGCTCCACTGCTTCAGATGCTACATAAACAGTAGCAGTTGTAGATGTTTCAGAGAGGGCCTTATAGAGCTCATGGGCATCGGGTATGTCGCGGCCGTTGATCACCAGCTTGTCCGCTGTTCTTTTCAAGGTTCCCCCAACACCGTCAGGGGCCCCCTTGCCATGGCTTGCCTCAAAAAAGTTCCATGTTCCACCTTTCAGGCCTCTTCTTGCAAGCTCTGTGCTGAAAAGAAAGAAATTCCCTTTCTGTTTGTATTGGGTATAAGGCCCATCACTCAGAAAGTGTAGAACAGATACATCTGGGTATGTGGCTTGTAGATAATTCAGCACTGGATTCATGTGTTCCCATATAGCTGGGGGGCTTTTGTGTTTAGAGGGTGACACTGTGCTAAGACAGATGGGCTCTTTTTCACCACCTATGTAGAAAACACCAGTGTGCAGAGTAGCTTGTTGGTGTGAGGAGCCAAAGTGGACAGCTTGTATCTCTGAGCTGTATTTGCATGTGTAGTTTTCAGAGAAGTCAAAGTGGATCACTGCCTCCTCTTTTGACAGGTTCTTCTTTGACTCTCTGCAGTACGAGTACTGTTGATTTATGTTGAATGTGTGTCTTTTGAATTTGCGGAGAAGAGTGTGGAATAACTCCACAAGATTGTCTTGTGTGTCCTCCATTGTTTTCTTCACTTGACAGTGGTCGACCCTCCCTTGCATCTTCCCTTGCTTTCTCTGCTGTGGCCCATTGAGTGAACGCAACCTTCCCTCGAGGTATCACAGGTTATCATTTTAGTCAAACTCTGTAGATCTGAAGTCTATCTATCTATGAGCCTCAAATTATGCAATTTCTCAATGACAAATCTGAGATTTTCATGGATCTTACACCGGCATGTGTTCCGGTCAGAGAGAGTGGGATGTACAACCCAAAATGGGCGAAGCTTACAGAAAAGGGACTATGATATGTTGTTTGTGTTTTCAGTAAGACATTTTTCATTGTGTCAGCCAGAAACCTTTTCTGCTTCTTCACCTTGTTCTTGTTCTTCTGTAATTGTTTGTTTTCGTCCCGTCGTTATCCGACTGTTGTCATCTTGAGTGAAGAAAGTTTTGACTTTGGACTTGAAAGCAGCAGTAAACCTGTTTGTGGGATTTCTGTTGGTGGAACAGAGGTCTTCACTCTGAACACTGCAACGCTTCTTTGAAAATCCAAGGACATTTTCGGCAAAACCTTGTAGCCTGTACTTCTTCACAATCCTCCCTGCTGTTACCTTTGCTATAGGGTTAGGGTTAACCCGTCGCTTCGCCACCGCAAATTGTGCAACTGTAATACTGGCAGCCTTGTGGAGAGGAGAGGAGGGAGCTGCACCCATGTGATTGGTTGAAAATTAGGGCGACGTCTGACTACAGAAAGAGAGTCCGTGTTGAAAAAAGTGCATTTGCATATTTGCCACATCAGGGGCCTCAAAAATCCTACACACAAATGTGGCGCGATCCACAAACAAATGATTGAGTCAGGAAGACTGGAGAAGCCTATGCCTGTGCCAGGGGCCTCTTCCCCACCTGTGGGTACGCAATCAGTTGATGGGCCTGACCTGTATTGTAATGTAATAATGGGGGTGGGCTCGTTGAATACTTGCTAACCAGACATGGGCACTGTTTCTGTAAACCAATTGCATCGGTGCTGTCCAACATCAAAAGCGGTTCTCCGCTCTGTTGCTGTCAGTTGTCATTTCATCAAGCTCCAGAGTCAACCCTCCACCACCCCTCCAATCAGCAGGGAAACCCGGTATATCAGGGAACGGGAGTAACTTATTCACCGCCACCACCACCAGTGTTTGGACTCCAAAAGGGGGGATAGACCTCCTCCCTTCTTGGCATCCCACAGCTGGATGGAGTCCAAGCCCAAACAATTTGCACTTTAAACATTTATGTCTGTTCATTTAAGGATAAGATTACATAGATCAGGCCTTTTGGTTCCCCAAAGCAATTTTGGCAAAATCACCATAGCAACACATCCACAAACTTCAACCTGCGCAGGCTCAAATGGCTCATTTGAGCCAGCTGGATTAGCTCGCCACTCACCCGGAAAAAAAGGGCAGCTCTCTTCCTCATGATGAAGGGGTGATGAAGGAGTGATATCAGATTAACATTTTATAGGAGAGTTCTCAGAGATTACAAAGATCTGTTATTCAATTCAATTCATTTTATTTTGTATAGCTCAAACTCGCAAATTACAAATTTGCCTCAGAGGGCTTTATAGTCTGTACACATATGACATCCTCTGTCCCGAAACCCACCATCGGCACAGGAAAAACTCCCCAAAAAATGGAAAAACCCTTCCAAGAGGGAAAAAAAGGGAAGAAACCTTAGGGAGAATGTCAGAGGAGGGATCCCACTCCCGGGATGGACAGACTACAATGGATGTGTACAGAATGAACAATGAATAATACATGCAATTCCTATGACAGAAATGATTAAAGTAATTGCGAGTAGTAAGCCAGGTGCACAGCAGGACCACTGCATTACATTACATTACATGTCATTTAGCGGACGCTTTTATCCAAAGCGACGTACAATAAGTGCATTCAACCATAGGGTACAAACTCAGGAGAACAAGAAACAAGAAAGTGCAATTTCCTCAAATAAGCCAATTTACAATTTGCTATAGATGAGTGACGTTACAAGTACAATTTAAGTGCTACAATTTATTAGTATTTAGTCGAGGTAGAGTCTGAAGAGGTGTGTCTTTAGTTTGCGGCGGAAGATGTGAAGGCTCTCTGCGGTCCTGGTGTCTTCAAAGAGCTCGTTCCACCATTTCGGCGCAAGGACAGCAAAGAGTCGAGATCTAGTTGAGTGTTTTGCTCTCAGTGAGGGAGGGACGAGTAGTTTTGCAGATGCAGAGCGGAGAGTGCGGGTTGGGATGTCGGGTTTGACCATGTCCTGGATGTAAGCTGGACCCGATCCATTCACAGCATGGTACGTGAGCACCAATGTTTTGAACTGGATGCGGGCGGCCACCGGTAGCCAGTGAAGAGAGCGGAGGAGTGGAGTAGTGTGGGAGAATTTCGGAAGGTTGAAGACCAGTCGAGCTGTTGCATTCTGAATGAGCTGTAGAGGTCGAATGGCGGTGGCAGGGAGACCAGCCAGGAGGGAGTTGCAGTAGTCCAGGCGGGAGATGACAAGAGCCTGAATCAGTACCTGCGCTGCCTTCTGAGTGAGAAGGGGAGAGGGGGACGTATTCTCCTGATGTAGGGGCAACCACCATCAGATAGAACCACCATCCACAGAAGCCTGTGGGGAGGGAGAGCACAGAGACTTAAGGACAGGGTAATGTTGGTTTATGAGTACAGTAAAATGATTAATATCTAAAATAATAATGATGATGATGATGGCAGCAGCAGGCATCAGCAGGGCCACGGCCACGGCCATCTACGGAGACCTGCTAGGGGAGAAAGCACCAAAAACTCCCGGAAAGAAGCTGAATTAGTCATGTGCATTAATAAAATGTGAATTATTGTAGAACGAGAGCGTGAGAGAGGAGCTCGGTGTGTCCTAAGAAGTCCCCCGGCAGTCTAAGTCTATAGCAGCTTAACTAAGGACTGGTCCGGGCTAACCTGAGCCAGCCCTAACTATAGGCAGAATCAAAGAGGAACGTTTTAAGTTTTACTTTAAAAGAGCTGACCGAATCTGCCCCTCCAGACTGAAAGTGGAACCTGGCTCCACAAAAGAGGAGCTTGATAACTGAAGGCTCTGGCCCCCAGCCTACTTTTTAAAACCATAGGAACAACAAGTAACCCAGCATCTATGGAGCGCAGCTGCCTTGTAGGGCAATAAGGTGTTACAAGCTCTTTAAGATATGACGGTGCCTCACCAGCAAGTGCCTTGTAGGTGAGGAGAAGTACCTTAAAATCTATTCTTGATTTAACAGAGAGCCAGTGCAGAGAAGTTAATACAGGAGTGATATGATCCCTTTTCTTAGTTCTTGTTAATACACGTGCTGCAGCATTCTGAATAAACTGGAGAGGCTTAAGAGATTTACAAGAGCAGCTTGATAACAAAGAATTACAGTAGTCCAGTCTGGAAGTGACAAACGCATGAACTAATTTTTCTGCATCACTTTGAGACAGGAAGTTCCTGATTTTTGATATGTTACGTAGATAAAAAAAAGGCAGTCCTTGAAGTCTTCTTCATATGCGAGTTGAAGGTCATATCCTGGTCGAAGAGAACTCCCAGATTCCTGATGGTGCTGCTGGGTACCAGAGCAATTCCATCCATAAAAATTGTATCACGTGACAGCTGGCTTCGAAGGCTCTGGGCCTATCAAGATAACTTCAGTTTTTTCTGAGTTTAGCATCAGGAAGTTGCCGGTCATCCAAGTTTTGATGTCTCCAAGACATTCTTGAAGTCTAACTATTTGGTCCGTCTCTTCTGGTTTGATCGACAGATACAGTTGAGTATCGTCTGCATAACAAAGGAAGTTTATGCGGTGTTTCCCTTATAAGATCGCCCAAAGGAAGCATATAGAGGGTAAATAAAATCGGTCCAAGTACAGAACCTTGTGGGACTTCGTGACCAACATTGGTGGTCTTTGAGGATTCACCGTTTACAAGCACAAACTGGGATCGATCCAAAAAGTAGGATTTAAACCAGCTGAGTGCAGTTCCTTTGATACCAATTAAATGTTCTAGTCTCTGCAACAGGATACAATGGTCTATGGTATCAAATGCGGCACTGAGGCCCAGCAAGACAAGAAAAGAGATAAGTCCATGGTCCGATGCATGTAGAAGATCATTCGTAATTTTCACCAGTGCTGTTTCTGTACTATGATGCGCTCGAAATCCTGACTGGAAATCCTCGAACAAAGCATTGTTTTGTAGAAAGTCACATAATTGATTGGCGATGGATTTCTCAAGGATCTTAGAGAGGAACGGAAGATTAGAGATAAGTCTGTAGTTAGCCAACACCTCTGGAGCAAGAGTAGGTTTCTTAAGAAGAGGTTTAATTACAGCTACCTTGAAGGACTGTGGTACATGTCCTGTCAACAAAGACAGATTCATAATATCTAATAAGGATGTGCTAACTAAAGGAAAAACTTCCTTAAGCAGCTTTGGTCGGAATCGAATCCAAGAAAAAAGTAGAAGGTTTAGACTTTGAAAATAAAGAAGTCAGTTGATCAAGGTTGATGGAAGAGAAGGCATCCAAACAGGCATCAGGGCCCACTGCTGCATCCAAGGACAGGTCAGCACTGGTTACATCTGAGGACAGGTCAGCACTGGTTGAAGGCAGGAGACCATCAATATTCTCTTTGATAGTCAGAATCTTATCATTGAAGAAGTTCATGAAGTCGTTCCTAGTGAGGTCCAAAGGAATACACAGCTCGACAGAGCTGTGACTCTGTCAGTCTGGCTACATTGCTGAAGAGAAACCTGGAGTTGTTTTTATTTTTCTCTATTAATGATGAGTAATAAGATGCTCTTGCGTTACGGAGAGCCTTCTTATACGTTTTAAGGCTGTCTTGCCAAACTAGACTAGATCCTTCTGATTTGGTGGAACGCCATAACCGTTCAAGTTTCCGCACAGTTTGCTTTAGGTTCCGTGTTTGAGGGTTATACCACGGAGCAGACTTCCTTCTTGTTGCTATTCTCTCTTGTTATGACATCACGATGACTTCCTGCACGAGCACTGTTGATGCTGAAGACAAGGAATCATTTATTTTCAAGAAGATGTTCTTGAGCCGTAACGTTACATGAACACCACACCACGCAGCCGAGCAGACTCTCCCACAGACTGTCTCACATACTGTCCATGTTTGTCCAGTTTTGCGATGCAGAGAACATCTGAAAAGCCACTGCATGTCATGCTCTTTGTAAAGCTCTGTTCTGTTTAGTGGGGCTTAATAATCGGATGTTCCATGCTTCACTTGTTAAAATTTCTGATTATGAGTAATACATACTGTTTTTATGAACACCTAATATGCAGGATTATCCTGATGAGTGAAATCTGTATCAAACTAACGAGACGCGCAGATCAGCCTTTGAGGAAGCGAGATAGCCTGACAAAAATCATCTGACCTTTTGGTAAAATGGTTGACAAAGTCTCCCGGAAGGGTGAAGGAGGACTTGTGGGTTCGAGGAGGTTGGAGAAGATAGAAAATAGTTTTTTGGGGTAAGAAAAAGGATTAAATTCTAGATAGGTAGAAAAAGCTTTTGGCAGCAGAGATAGTATGGGGCGCCGTTTGTAAAATGTTGCACGTTCTAAAATCCTCCGCAGTTTTGCTACATTTAGCATTATCATATGAACAAAAAAGCACAACAATATTCATATGTCACTTTTCAAACATTTAGAGAGAAATTCATGTAAATTCATGCAATAACTTTTCCAAGGATAATGTTTGGCAGTAACACAAATAATCTAAATGTTAAATCTAAATGTTATATCTAAATGTTTCAGTCACAGGTTCCACACTGACAGCAAGCAAGTGTTACCAGCAGCATCTGGTTGGTGGACAGATGATGGCACACGTACACATAAAGTTCACTCACACGACCCTGTCCCTGTTTAACCTGCTAGCCCAACTCCCGGTTGGTAACTTAGGGTGTCCCAAAAGAGAGGCAACAAAAGATCTCAAAAAACAAAAAGGATTAACAGAGCTAGCGCATCTAGAATCTCATGTGGCTAAGCTCCAAGACTCTGCGAACACAAAGAAACTCAGGTGGCCTTTTAAAGGCTAGAAAACAAGGCACAGGTGAACACAATGAAAACAATCAAGACCACGCACATGTGACAGGATAAACTGGATCACTGAGGACCCCACATGGTCCTTCGGGGTACTGCAGTCCAAAAACCCTGACACTAAATGCTGTTTCTGGAGCTTTAAATAAAAGGTCAAAAGATCCCTGGAGTCCTGTGAGTGCCGTTGGGTCCACACATGAAGCGTTACACAAATACACGCCACAAAAAAGCATAATGAAGGCCATTATTCTGGCTAACTCCTTGTTACTGGTCAACAACAGTAAATATGAACTGCAGTAAAATTAATGGAATAGAAATGATTTATTCTTTGTTTCACATTATCAAATAAAAGACACCTGTTAACACATAGCTTATATTGAAAATCAGAGTCAAACTAAACTGATCCTGTGCAAAGAAACACCAAATCTGTACTCATAACAAACATTAAAACGATGCAGACATTTATTTGAATGCTTCATCAGACATTACTAAATGGAACTGATCATGACATTTCAGCTGAAAACTGTTTTGATGATCAGCAGAATTGTACAGTCTGAATGTTTTAATGGGAGTTAGATTCTGTTGATAAGACAGCAACATCATCACTTGGCAACAGGTTTTCCTTTTTCACCGGTGAACGTTTTAGCAAAACTTTGTAGTCCTTTCTATGAATTGATAACAAAACAGGAATATCTCTGAGCTTGAACCTCAAGGTGTCGTCAAGTCAGTTTGTAACATATATCCTCCGTTCTAGGTGCATTGGAAGTTTGGATAATGTATTTTACTTTATAAAGATGACATCTTGATGATGTTAAAGCAGTTAGTGGTATTTACAGTTTTGTAACACATTAATAGACCTACAGAAAACTTTCAAACTATGCTTTTATCCTTATTCTCATCTGAATAGATCTTAGAATGAAGGGCGTGCAGGATACGTTAAATACGTGGTGTGCTTGGCCTGGCTCTTGCTGTCTATCAGAAGCAGCTGGTTATTTTTGTGGTGGGAAATCATCTCGTCAAGGGAGCCGAAAATCTGCAAGACAAGAAGTGAAGTAATGAAATACAAAGATGGAATCCCTCATAGAATCTCACTCTCTTCCTGTCTCCTTCTTTTGTACCCAACCCCCCATCCCCACCTCTTCGGTCTTCTTGCCCTCTTTTCCAAGAGCGTAACCTCGAGTCTCCCCCAGGAAGCGGATGGGAATGTTGTACACCTTTTGCTGGTAGAGCACAGCGAGAGTGTACGGCTGGCGGCTGCCCTGAGCTGAGCTATGTCGTATCAGAAATGCGCCGTCCTGCGAAGGAGGGAAAAAACAGTAAGAATGATCAGCACTGAGTGTAAGGGAGAAAATAAAAAATAGAATGGAGAAGGGATGTTTTGGGGAAGTCTGATAGGAGAACGAAGGCAAGAAATAGATTATTGGAACATGCGCAATGGATTAAGAAGTTAGTGGAAAGTAAAACCAAAGTATACAAAGTAAGTGTCTCAATCAGGGGATGGCCTCTATTTGAGTACCAGCTAACAACATGCACATGAAAACTCAGCAAATGTCCTCTTTTTCTGTTGCGTGGTTACATTACATTACATGTAATTTAGCTGACGCTTTTATCCAAAGCGACTTTCAATAAGTGCATTCAACCATAGAATGGTTAAATTAAAATGACCTGATGAGCAGATTGTAATGAAACATGAAACAAAACATAGAACCCTTGAGTGGCTCACCTTGTTGACCCTCAGTAAAAGATCCTCGGCAGTCTTCCTGTTGGAATTCCCAGCAAACCACTCTTTGTCCTGGAATGTGAAACAAATAGTGAACAGTCCCCCCTAACTAGTTTTTATTTTGTGTGGATTGATACCATACCTCGTTCACCCATTGTTTGGTTGCCTTCATTCCACCTAAGGAGACTTTGAAAAAGATAGAAAACCCATCGTGTGTTACCCCAGAGTTCTTTGGGGAGCAGCCAGATGTTTGAAAAATTATGAACCGTGCCATGTTTTGGATTATTTTAGATGAAGAATTTGAGCAGAGACCAAATTTGCAGTTGTCCCTCACAATATGAAAAATTGGAGCTTACCAGCGGGCTTACCGTCCTTCACAGGAGGACTGAGAAGGGTGACATGAAGACCAAAACAAAGCTAATGTTACTCTTTGTTATGTAATAAATGTAATTGCTATGGATCATCACAAAACAAAAGTATGCATAACGTTTCATCCGTTGAACAAACCTGTTTTTAGCTTGCTTCAGTTTCGCCGGTAGAGGGGGCTTAATACTGGGAGTCGGTGGGGGGGGTTTGGAGAGGAGGGGTTTGTGTCTCACTTCAACTGTAGAAGCTACAGACGAGATGTGCACCGTCATGCTCCAAATCATTTATTTTTGAGTGTGTGAGTGTGTACTGATATTTGACCTGTCTTTACCTGTTTCTAACTCATTCGAGGAAAGCCAGGGGGAATTCTGAAAGGAAGGAAATATAAAGTTGCGTCACCACTGGAGACTTTCTTATCCTACGTAGCACGGTAAACAACAGTCAGAATAAAACCTTCCATTTCTCATGCAGACCTTAACAAAGTCACACTGAAATGTATAAACACACTCACAGACGGAGCTCTGGGAACCGGAGGCTTCATCCTACAAAGAAAGTGTGTTCACTTTCATCACATGTTTAATGCCAAGAGTTAAGTGCAATGCCACTTATATTTCTGCCACATTTGCTTTTTAGCTGATGTGTCACGGAGCATGAAGCTTAGCAGGCTAGATGAAATCAGTGGTTAGTGCATCTCGCCATGCTCTAGTTTGGCTGCTGGTTTGGACCCAAGTTGAGACGTGCACTCACATGGATTGCACGAGTCCTGTGATGGGAGACGGATTCATCTTCGTCGCACGGGGAGGGGGAGGGCAAGCTGAGGAGCAGGAAGAAGGGCTACTTATAACTCACTTTGCAATCCGTGCAAGCACAGAGCTAGTTCCTGTGACGTGAGATGTCAACATACCAGCTGTCGGTTCCACATACACGTCATCGCTGTCTTCCTAAAACGAGGAAGGAACGCATTAGTTAATTTATGCTCCTTAATGATGGACTCATTCGCAGCTGTGCGGGTGGTAACCTATCCAATCCTATTCAACCGTAAATGGCCTTTACAACCCAGTATACCCCATCACACTTTCACACCGACACTCAATGCTGGCTTCTCCCACGTGTGTTAAGCTTTTGATATTGCTGGTGTCTCCCTTATCTCACCTGTTCTTCATTTGGATCCAGATACACATCTGAAATGGAGAAAGAAAAAATACTGGCAGCGATTGGTGTTTTTCAGCGGTTGATTGTTGTTTAGCTGTGGTCTCTTATGGGAGATTTTACCACATTTTATTTTTCAAAGGACTTTTCTATTGTCTTGTCAATTTCATCAGGCTTTGAATGATCTTTTCAATGGGAAAGGTTTAAGGTATTCAGAAATGTGTAACATAGAGATTGTTGATTGTTGGTTACATCCCTGCGTGAGGGTGGTGCTGTACATTTCGTTTGTGTTGTGTTTATTTGTTGAGTTGTAGACGATTGGATTCAGGACTGATTAGACCTGGGCCCCGTTCCTTGTACGTGGCTAACTGAGTTTGCTGGAGAATTTTCAGGATAAGATTACATAGATCAGGCTTTTCGGTTCCCCAAAGCAGTGTTAATTTTGTAGACGGAAACTATGACGAAAATTTTTCGTTAACGAACCTTTTTTCCACTAAAACGAGACTAAGACGTGACGAAAATGTTCTGAGTTTTCGTCGGCGAAAACTAGACTAAAACTAAGAAGGATTAAAATGACTAAATGTGACTAAAACTAATATGCATTTTTCGTCTGAAGACTAAGACTAAGACTAAATCAAAAATAGCTGCCAAAATTAACACAAAGCAAGTATGGCAAAATCACCATAGCAACACATCCAAAAACCTGAACCTGTTCCCACACAGGCTCATTTGAGCCAGCTGGATTAGCTCGCTAGTCCCCTGGGAAAAAGCGCAGCTCTCTTCCTCATTGATGAAGGAGCGATAATAGTTAGATTAACCTTTTTATACGAGTCCTCTCCGAGATCACCAGGATTCGTTATCACATCATGATGACCTGTACGAGCGTTATCGATGCTTACATCCTTACCTCCTCGAGCCGTACATGGTGAAAACATCACACTGTCTCTCATACTGGGTCATACTGTACATGTTTGTACAGTCTTGCGATGCAGAGAACATCTTAAAAAAACTATTTTCGCTACAAAGATCTCATTGGCCTAAGCACATTAAAAAAAAATATTAGATAGATTGATTTAAGTGATGAGGCACTTAAAATGAGACTATACATTTTGAGACACTTGTCTGAGATACTTGGTCGGGCTTGTAGCCCTCGCAGTGTCAGATTTGCCATGATTATTCAATTCAATTCATTTTATTTTCTATACCCTGAGAGGACTTTACAGTCTGTACACATCTGACATCCTCTGCCCGAAACGCTCACATCAGCACAGGAAAAACTCCCCAAAAAATGAAAAAACATTCCATGGGAAGAAAAAAAAAAGGAAGATACCTTTAAGAGAGACAGGAACAACGTAAAAGATGCACAATACGACAATTAATTAATACAACAGAAATTATTCAAATATACATATTATGGACTTGAACTCCATGTGGATGTGTTCATGATCATCTCCTGCTCATCAGCAGAGAAAAAATAAGCTCTTCCTTTCAATTCATTTGCTGTTGTATTGTTAGAAAATCATGGTTTTGGTGATCGACTCTTCCACCTTCTGAAGTAGGACGCGCACGCGCGATTGTCCTTATGACTGACATCTGTTTCAAATTAAGGTGACTGTTTGAGCGCTGATCAGCCTTTGAGGAACCGAGATTGCCTGACATCAACAGCAAGACATTTGATCGACTTAGTTGAACCATGTATAAGGAACGGGGCAGTTAGTTAATGAGGAACCTGTGGAGGCAAGCTCACTATCTTATCTCTTCTCTTGCTCACAACCAGGCCATGCTGTTCTGCCGTAGGGGTTGCTGATTCTACCAAGCTGATTGGCCCGATATTAGATTACAATCTAACAGCAGGTGGCACTCTCTTCTTTGTTCCAGTCACTGCTTTACTCCTGATTAATACCTCCGCTTATTCTATTCATTCCACATAAGATAACGCTGCCCAAAACGTGCAACACGTTATTTTGTCTGTTCTTCCTGCATGTGTGCCGTAACAGTAAATGTAAAAATCTTTGGTGGAACTAGTGGAATTCTGCAAATGGCATATGGCTGATAAAAACAAATACGTGGTTGTCATAACACGTCATTGTTACGTTCCCATTCCTCTCAGTCCACAGTCATTTACAGGCTGATCAGGTACTTCTACGGTATGAAAGGACTATTTGTGTGTGGTAGAAGTGGTTGCTGTACCTTCCTCAGTGTTAGACGCAGGGTTTGGAACAGGAGCGGAGCGGACTAGGGGCGTAGGCATCATGTTCTTTCTCCCAGGTTTCTCAGTTCTGTTTATCTCAGGTGCTGAAGAAAAGGGAATAATGGGTTTACAGACGTTTTATACAGCAAATTAACCAACAAAGAAAAGACGAATGCTCAGTTTGTGCGTCAGTAAGATCACTCACCGTTCTTGGTTTGGGGATCAAAGAAGAAATCTTCACCATGTTGTTGAGGTTTCTGGGTAATCAACAGAAATGCTTTGTCTTCAAAATGATTTCAATTCATTCAGTCATGAACAAACACAAAAGACTGAGCTGTTGTTACCGATGGTTTGGCTGGTCTGGGTGGGAGAGCCGCCGGCCTCTGAGGAGGCGAGGGAGCCGCCGGCCTCTCTGCAAATAAAGCAGGATCGAAGGACATCACTTCAGGAGAAAAGTTGTCCATAGTGAACAGGAACTGTTAACATTCATCTGCAGAAAGGACTCAGTGTGGTGGTCTTACCCAGATAGACATTAAGCTCTTCTTCTCTCTGTCTGTTCTCTCTGTTAACTGTTTGACGCTCACAGGGAGGTTCCTCATACATGTCACCCTCGTCATCATCCTGCCATTTAAAAAAATATTAAGGGTGAATTTTACCCCTACAAAAAAATGCAAACGAAATGCAATAAGGGTTGTATAATAGGAAAAAGACCTTTTAAAAGTTAGCACCTTTAATAATTGTTTTAATAAATGCTTCAAAGTATTCCAAGTATTTTTTTTCGAATCTATATCACATCTTCTATTTCTTCCGTGGCACCTCTCAACTCAACTAAAACCGTTCAAATATTAAAATATTCAGCTCCATTCAGAGTCTTTTTTGGATTTGAGTTATAGTTCATATACCGCCCCCCCTCCCCCCATCCCATAATTTCAAAATAAAGTGAATTGTTGTTGTAATGTTTGAGGCCTATAAATTAAAGATATTCTGTCTCCCAACCCCCTCTCCCCCTCACCCAATTCCTTCATTTCAAAATAAAGGCCTCAATGATTATCTGTACCTTAACCATGGAGCTCAGAATGAAACTGTTTTTTTGAAATACTTGTTGCTCTTTAAAATACCAGGACAACTACCACTAATATTACTAGTAGTAGTAGTACTGCTACAACTATTAATAATACTACTAGTATTTCAACTGCTCTTAATACTAAAATGACTAAAAATGTCTACCGGTAGTAGTGACACTGCAACTGATATTACTACTCTTACTACTATAAAGAAGTATTACTAGTATTTATACTGCTATTAGTACTTCAACTACTATTAATATTACTAGTACTACTAGTATTCTACTGCTATTAAAATGACTCCTAGTAGTACTACTAGGAGTACTACCAGTAGTGACCCTGCAACTGATATTACTACTCTTACAACTATAAAAAGTACTACCAGTATTTATACTGCTATTAATACAACTGCTACTCATTTTACTACAACTACTACAATGACTAATAATATTAGTACTACAACTGATAAAACTACTACTAACCTAACACCATTCTAGTTTTTCCACTGCTATTGATACTAAAACTATTTCTTCTACTGCTAGTATTACTAGTACCAAAATTACTACAAAAAATACATTTACAATACATTTTAAAACTCATCTCAGCTTTTGTCATTTCTGTATTTTCAGCCATATTTTGAAAATAAAAATAATTTCAGTTTCTGCCATTTCTTGTAATTCATTTAAGCTTTTCTCAACTGTGCATTTTCTAGTTGAAGAACTTGTTGCGTTTCTACTTACAGACTCTTTCTGTGGCCACTCATTCCCTGCACAGTCATCTGGGGAAAGAATGCATCAATAATAGATAACGATGAATAGAATGCATGAAATAAACCAAGACTAGGGGAATAGACAAGTTGCCCCTTCAATTCTAATTTAGGCTAAATCTCACCTGTCCTCCTGGGTGGAGCTGTAGGTCCACTGTGAGTGACGGTAAGAGAAGCTGTGAGAAGGTTCTTTCATGTATAAAGATTATCAGGAACAGTTTTTCTTATAGACATAATACTCACAGGTTTTTCAGTTTTCCAAAGATCTGAGAAGTAAAGTAACAGAAAGGTAAGTATAGGCAACAATTTACCACATATGCTCAATCCCCCAATCTCCCCAATATTTATTTTTTCATTCAAGTTGATGGAAGAAGTTCAAATCTGAGATTAAAATTTATAAAATAAATACCCTCATTTGTAATTCATGTTTTTTGACGTTGGAATGGTGATGTGACAGAAAAGTGCTGTTCCATTCATATTCACATTATTTCAAGCCCTCCCAGAGTCTCACACTCAACCGCTTAAAAGGTGACATCAGTTAAATCTCAGGGTTTAGGGGGGACTATGGGATTAGGCCAAAATAAACATACCTGAATTCCAGACTGCTAATCATTTACGTTAACTTATCTATTGGCTTCATCCTCGGGCATCAGTCAGTGACTGGCTGCTTTCTGGGGATGGACAACAGACTCTTTATTTAGTGCGCCAGGTGAAAACACCTACTAGGTAACATATTCTGAAGTCTGAAATGTTTCTGTTGGTTGAATACAAGTTTGCTTATAATTCAAGGGTGGGTGAGTAAAGAGTGCTGGATTTTTTTCGGAATTGTTATTATAGCCTGCTGTTATTTTTGGTATCTTTTGATGCTCATATAAAAAAGCAAATGCATGATTTTTACTTATTAGCCTATATATTTTCCCAACACTTACGCATTTACAGTTATGCAAGGATATAACATTATATTATATTATATTATATTATATACATAATATTACTAATACTTCTTTCACTTCATCTCACTTATTACCACCACTAATACTTACACCTGCACTTTACATATACTTATCATACCTACACTTCTTACCTCAATTGCTGCTATTCTTGTCCCAATTACTGTTCATATTGCGTATCCATTTCTTACTGTTCATATTGCATATCTATTTCTTACTGTACATAACTATTTATTCAATTATTACACCTCACATATGCACATACTCTGCACTTTTTGCTATTTTGCACTTGTGGTTGGATGCTAAACTGCATTTCGTTGCCTCAGTACTTGTACTCTGTGCAATGACAATAAAGTTGAATCTAATCTAATCTCAAAAAAACATTATGACTCTTCCTGAACAGCCATCCCAGTTATCCCCTGAATATTTAAATATCTTGCTGCACTCTTTACTATTATTTCAATCTCAGATCTCCCTTTTGCTTGAAATGTGCAGTTAACTACTTCCGCCATTAAATATACAAAGTTCTCCTTATTTACTGTCAATTCATTCCCATCTCCCCTTTGACTCTTTGTTAAAGGTTGTTCATTTGCCTGCTGAGACGGTTCCTTCCTTGTTATATCTCCCCCCTCTCTCCATTCTACTCTCCCTATGAACCATCTTTGCTGCTTCTGCATATGATATATTCATTTTCACTTTTAGCTGCTGCACTTCCACTGCCTTCTTTCTCACTTCACACCCACCATAGGCCATGCTATGTGCACCTCCACAATTTGCACATTTGAGCTCTGTCCCGTCCTTACATTTCCCATACTCATGTTCCCCGCCACATTTTCCACACTTTTGTTTGCCTTTGCACACTGCTGCATTATGTCCGTATTTTTGGCATTTGAAACACCTCAACAGTGGTTGGACATAAGCTCTTACATTGTACCTCATATATCCCACAGTGACTTTATCAGGCAACACTCTCTCTTGGAAATCCATCAACACTGACAAACTATAAGCCCTTTCTCCCCCTCTTCTTACTTGCAGACGTTTAATCCCTATAATTTTCCCCCCTCTTACACTTGATCTCAAATCTTCCACCCTTTCCTCCACTGGGATACCAAATATAACTCCTCTCACAAAGGGCCCATCATTTATCTTCTTAGCACTCTCAACCACCATGTTGCACACCTTTTTCAGCTTCATTGCTTTCTCTCTCTGCTCCTCATCCTTACATTTGATCAACAAGCCGCCATCAGCCAGCACCTTGGCCATCAAAATTTCACCCACTTTCTCCTTCAACCCGCGAGTCAGAGCTACCGGACTCACTTTCCTAATATCATTACCTTCCTTGAATCTCAAAATTACTTTGAACCCCACATTCTCAACAATCCTCCTCCTCATCCCCCTGCCTTCCTCTCTCCCTTCCAAACTACTACCAGATACACTATTACGATTCCTGGCTCGTTTATTTCTTCCCACTTCAGTCCAGTTATTGTACTCCATATCCTCACTCCTACTCTCTCCATCACTGTTCTCTCCCATTCTTAGTCCAGTCACAGATCAGTTTATGCACAATTCGCTGATACTATTTCTCCATGATTTACGTCCGCGCCAGACCGCGTGCGCTCCGACTGCGTTCTCTTTGTGGGCATTTATATCCAATGAGCTCTATTTAAATGGCTACCAGCTGTAGTCGCTCATGATCGCTCACAAGAAGTTAAGAGGCCATGCTATGAAGCGCATGTCATTGACACAACTTTCTAAGTCACCAAAATTGCTAATTCATGTTGCTGTATGTATATTTTTAACCCAGCAGATTTTGTCACTTTCCATTAATCCACAATAAAGTCATAACAGGTGGATAGAGAGGGGCGGAGTGACTGCACAGTTTCTATCTTGACACAGGCAATGGGTCACAGCTGCTGGACTGATAAACGAGAAGCATGTGGTAACAAGGTCAGAAGAGACATTTGCTGCTGTTCTAATATTTACAACCTTTTGTCTCACGGACAGGAGTCCCCAAAATATCTGCATTTTAAAGCCAGCGACAATAACTAATGTTGTGCCTTGTGTCTCTGAACTATGTACTAACTGAACTATGTGGTGTGAAAAAGTCACACCATATCGGTGTCCCCCGAAGCCAACTGGAGGACAAAGGAAAAAGTAATGCTCCGATCTGATGAAGGATACTCCCACCACTATCAAATGTGTCACTATCTGTGTTGTTATGAGCAGTTCTTTTAGATGATGACATATAGGGTACTCCTCCAAACACATAACATTTTAGCTGCATTAATTGTTGACACTAAAAGAGGAGCGTTAAGATTTTGTGTTATCACAAAGAAATTGGGGGAAAGCAAATTATAGAAAAGCTAGTCAAAAGTTCAGAGAATTAAGGAAAAGACAACCCTTATGCGATATTAAGATATACAAAATCCAACATATTCAGCCTTGTGTCACAATATAGTGTATATATAGTAAGATATATTTTGCCCAACCTAATCAGACATATTCAATTTTTTTCTGTGACTCACTAGAATCTCTAACAAGACCCATTGGGAAATTTGCAAAAGACTCAAGGATAATGCTTTTAAAAAAGATCACCACCAACAAAAAAGGTTCAAACAAACAAACTCAATCCAATACAGACTCTGCAGTTTTCTTTGTATCCAAAGTACGTCAATTTCAAATATGAGTATAGTTCAAATCTGAGGGTGCAGAAGCAACACTACTGAAGCCAACAGTGTGTGTTTAAGTGGCTAGATTAGTTAACTAAGAAATTTGTTTGATGGATCAGTTCAGAAAAGAACAAACATAAAAGAATAGTTGCATAAGCTAGGGTGACGTGAAGCTCGTACCTGAAACGTTCATTGTGTTTTCTCTCGGCAAACAGGTGTGTTGCCGGGAATTATTACCGTTGCCCTTGAAAGTCCCACACAATCAATACTTCGTAGCTGGCATTGTACAGTTCCATTATTCAGAACCCCCTCAGAGAAAATGCTAAAATGTCAACTACTGGGGAGGTTTTACACTTAGGTCTGTTTCGACAACAAAAACTCACCTGCTCACTTCCTTTTCACTCCAACCAAAGTTTTCAGGACGTATTGTCATAAAAATGTAACCGTACTTTACCTTTGCCATGATTTTGGGTCCAGTCACTCAGCTCAAGTCACGAGGGAAGTGTTTTTGCTTTGGCTGCAGACAGTTGGTGTGAGAAGTGAATGAAAGCGAGCGATACGGAGGGAATGGAAAGTGCAGACATAACTGTCTTCATTTGCATTCCCTACCTATGCCAGACAGGTGGTGGACCGCCTCTAAATGAGCTGCAGGCCCTGCACAGCTCAAACTTGGCTCCAGGTTTCCCTACCGATCACTGCTCATGGCCAAATACGGCCGCTTGATAAACAACATGTCATTGTAGACGTTGTTCCAAAGGGGAAATACATTTGTACCTTTTGAGAAAGACACACATGCTACCAATGAAGGTAAGTAAGCTGAGACGTCCTAGAGGAGTAATACAGGTTATTCAGAGCATTGGTCCAGTAGAAACAACAATTTGCTCTTGTGGCAATGCTAAGAGGGAAGATCTGGAATTTTACTATTAAAAGCCAACAACACCACCTAGGGAATTTCACCCCAGGAATTAAAAAGGGACCACCAGTCTGAGGTCAATGTCAGGACACAGGTTCGGACAACACAGGCACTGGACGTGATTCCATAAACAAAATTATACAAGTTTATTTTAATATTAAGTTATTTTCTTAAAATACAGTTGCGATCACAAAGTTCAAATAAAATCTTTCTCAGTTTCTCAGTCATTCAGGTTACCATGAAATACAACATACAGGAGGGGGCGGGGACTGAGGGCTCACTGGCGGAGTTGACTTGCTGAGGGGGAAGGGGCCTAATGTTCCACCACACGTGAAAAACAAAACAAACCACAAACTATTGACACCGAGGTGCACTGCAACGAAAGAGGCATCTATGAAACAGCTGGACGAGGCCCATGTGCATCTAAGCAGTACAGATGAGACAGCCTACCGTAGGATTTGGATGCTACGCCTAAGGGGATCTGTACCGGCTTGAAGGCCACGCTTCCACCTCCAACCTCAGTCGGCAGACAGGCAGGCGCTGTCGATGCCGCGGAAGGGGGAGACACAAAAGACGCTCCGTGCAGCACATGGGACGCCACGCGCACAATGCGGCAGCCACGCTCCCTCGGGCCGCAACCTCCAGCCAGACAAGTGGCTGACTATAGCATGGGGCGCATCAGGAACAGGTAGGTTCTTTGACGGGGTTGCAACAACGGGTCCCCTAGTACTGGAGTTGCCAGCTCCAACTGCGGCAGATGGCAACGGGGTCTCAGAGACCATGACCCACAGATCTTCATCGCAGGAGGAGTTACCCTCTGGCACTGTTGGTAGCGGTGGCGAAGGGACCTGAGGAGGAGCGACCATAGTAGGCCCCACTTGAGCCTTCAACATGTTGCGATGCACATTCCTCACTCTCTCCAAATCGCCTGGTGCAATGGTGTACACTGGACCCTCGCCATAGGGCGCTCTGAGCACTTGGTATACTACAGAACTCCAAATGTCATGGATTTTATTACGCCCCCCTACACTGTGGTCTCTCATATAAACAAGCTGGCCCACATGCAAAGGGTCATCATGAACCCGCTGGTCTTGCCGCTCCTTACGGCGACCAGCAGCTGCCAACAGACGATCTTGCGCCCCCTCAAAAGCCGCCTTAAGTCTTGCCTGATGTTCAGCCACCCAATCTTGTACTTTCCCGGGTACAGGGTCACGGACTCGACCCAACAAAAAGTCAACAGGGAGCCCGGGGTCACGGTCGAACATCAGAAAGAAGGGAGACTCTCCTGTGACCTGGTGAGGCGTGGTGTTATAGCAGAACAGGACCTGCGGAAGACAGGAAGTCCAGTCTTACTTTCGTGAGACTGGAAGGGTGCGCCGGAGGTTGTGTAGGGCAGTGTTTTTCAACCTTTTTTGCGTCAAGGCACACTTAAGACACAGAAAAAATCTCACGGCACACCAACAACCGGAAATGATATGAAAATCAATCCCAAACATAGTTTCAGCATGAGCATAATATACTCTAAGAAATCAGGGAAACGCGTGTTCTATTTGTTGTGTTTTATTAAACTTAAAGTCTATGATAAATAAATAAACAGACGTGACTCTCTAGGTCGTCTTCAACAAAACACGTCACAACGACGCAGACGCAAACGCAGAAGCATGCGCCGGCCTTTAGACGCAAGCCTAGAAAAATGGGTTGACGCACGCAGGTGTGAAAAGGCACGCAAGGGACAACGCGAGGGGCTCCTGCGTCTGCGTGTCCTTGCGTCTCTCTGAAAACGCAGAAGCATAAACTAGGCTTTAGACGTTCAGACCACATTTCAACCCGATTTCAACGTTGAAATTACGTCTTGTGCTCACTGGGAGAGCACCAGCGCGCTGCTATCCCCCACACCTCCCCTGTACGGCCAAACCACTAGCCGTCACTGGAAAATGGGTTCTCGTTTTATTTATTTTATTTATGTATTTCGATACATGTGTCCCACTATTGTTTTAGCGTGTGTCTTAGAAAGCAAATTGCGGGTAATATTTGAAAGTACCTTTGGTTTCCCCCCGATGTGACTTGATGGGTTGGAATGGTCTTAAACAGTGCACACCATGTTGCTGCAGTGTTGAAGCTCATTGGTCAGGTGGGGGCAAGGCTTTGTGTTGCCTTGAAAAACTTGGGTTGGGTTGAAAAAATGGTACATTTAGAATCCTCTCCACATCTTTTACAACAGCAAGCCTCACTTACAGAACCAAGTAACAATGAAGTATTCTTAACTTGTCCACTGAGACTCCTATTCCAGTTTAAATCATGGGTTTTGATAAGGATGAGAGTAGATTAGATCCTGCGAGTCAACATTCAACAACACTTTTCTATAATGAGTGTGTGCGTGTGTGTGTGTGTGTGTGTGTGTCTGTGTGTGTGTGTGATCCGAAAGAAAATCACGGATAAAGGTGATTTCGAAGTTAGTGGGGGAAGGAACGGGCAGAGAGGGGGCTACAGCGGAGGGGTACGGACTGCACACCGACGCGCTTCCATTGACAGCTCTGAGGAGAGGACAACGTAAATAAAACGGGAAGCTCATGAGAGGTCACTGACAACATAAACAAAAATATGAATAGTATCATTAATCGTTTTGAAAGAGCATTCGTATGTAGTTATATGGCTCGTGGGGGCTGAGGGAGGGTAGTCTGCACACCGTTAGTAGTTGAAGCGGACTAGTTTTCTCAGCGGAGCTGCGGAGTTATTAAATCGGGACTGGCGTAATGGGGGCGGAGGGGGCAGCTGAACGGGAGCAGTCACTGGATCCGTGTGATACCGACGCAGGCTAACCGCCGCTGCCGACTTTTCTGGACGTTTTCGGGGCCACGAGAAGAACAAGTCCCCTTCCCCCTTTTCCTTCCTCGCGGACTCTTCGGAGAGAGAAAAAGCCTCCAGACATGGCTCAGATACTGCCGATACGATTTCAGGAACATCTGCAGGTAAGCAGAGACTGAAGAGAGAGGGGGGGCTTGGGGCTATAAAAATGAGTTTCAGCTAATTCATTTTTTCTGGCGCAGGGTGTTCCTCGCGCGCACTCCCTTGGCACGTGTCGCGTCTAGAAGGAATGTGAAATGTGGTGCCGGGTGGTGCTCAATGTGGCTAACGTTACAGGCCTAGTTTTAAAGGTTATTTGTACAAAATGAAACTCTGAATTGACCAGTCATGCGGTATACAGCAGCAGCTCAAATGCGGACCGGAGTGTGCGTGTATTGATACGCCGCAGCACCACCACCCCCCCAAGTGGAAAAACGCCGCTGTCATGTTCAATCCGCTCCAACGCGAACCGCGGCGTCCTGCCAGCTGTAACGTCGTAGCCGTGAACTCGGACACATTGTTGTCATGCCCTGCGGCGACCATGTTTGATACTTTGTAACCTTCAACGGCACCGACGACGACGTCACAGATGGACCCACCGTGGGTGAGAAGCGTTTATGTGCCAACAGTGGAATGACTTCCAAGATCTGCATCACTCCGCTGTAATAACAGCTTCTGAAAAACACCTTATTTGAGCAACGTCTTGATGTCACAACAACCCACACCCCATTATTGAAACTATGGTTTCATATTACAGCATCTGAATCTGCTTCATGTGCCGTTTAAGGGCTTTGACTGCGGGTTTTTCTGTTAATCTTAACGTACGTACAAAAAAATGGACAAGGCGAGCATAAAGACTTACTGTGTGGACATATGAATATAAACATAGACCGTGTATGTTTGAATATAAAACACAACTACAATAAAATGGAGATAATAGTGCAATGATGCTTGAATGCATATGGAAAGATTGTTACAGGATACTTTAAGTACATGAGGTGTGTGTGTGTGTGTGTGTATTAGTATAAATTATTGCACACAGCTGCCACTGGATGACTGATGAAATGTTCATCAGATTGAGGCCTGCTCTGCTGCTCTAATGCAGCTTCAAAATGTTTGACACGTTAAGCTTCAATCTGACAGTCTCATAAAAGTCCTGCATTGTAAAAAAAACCTTAAAACAACCACACTTCGAATGCCCTCTGTTCAAAAATGACAGAAAGGCCACTTATTTAGGTTATCCATGGAGGAACTATTTCCCCTAAGCCCCTGGCCCCTGTTTTTACATTTGTTTTTATAAACCTCTAGTTTGGTTATGACCGTTGTCCCACTGCAGTCCCCATAGTGCTTGCTGTCTTGCAGCCAGAGGAGAAAAGTTTTCTGTGATTCCACCTCTTGTCTGTAGCCTGTTGTTATGGTAACAGCAGGCGGTGAAATGGCCTTTCGCAGTAGAAAAAAGACCACCCCCTCCCGCCACGCCACCCTCACTCTTCTCCTCTCTTTTCTAGTCTTCTGCCTTTCTTCTCTTTTCTCCCCCTCTCCTCTACTTTCCTCTCTCCTCCTTCCCTCTCCTCAATGACAGGCCTGTTGTTGCTTTGCAGAAGGAGGAGTGCAGCTCAGAACATGGCGATGTCTGGGTTATGAGTTCACGTTGCTCTCAACAGCACATGCCATTCTCTGACAAATCTCTTTAAGAAACTACCCCCTGTGGCTGGAGATGGTCATAAGCAGCAAGGCCGCTGCCTTTACGTTCCACCTCCTATTATGAAATCCCAGCTTGGCCCGCTTGTTGTATCCTTCTGTGAAGTGACACAGAGTGCGAAAAGTGGTCGGTGGAAGGTTCCCTTTTCAGAAGGGCAGGTCCGATCTCAGTTGGGTATTTAGCAACATGGACCCTCCCCCTCATGCAAATTCCATGTAACGTTAAATGAGTATCTTCATGACCATGGGTTTGCTGTAAATGTTTTTTTCGAACTTCATTGAATATCTGGCACAACACAGCGACTTGCAAGTAGCGCAGCGTCTTCAGTAAAGTGAGTATGTAAAGCAAGACTTTAGAGATGAACACAAAGAAGGGAACCGACCGCATCCAGCGGACTACTACTCCCCTCCTATAATATGAACGGCTGGTCGCATGATCTGTAGGCACCTTCCTATAATATGTACGGCTGGTCCATGATCTGTAGGCACCTTCCGACCACTTTTCGCTCTCGGCGCTGCTGCCTCTGTGAATCTAGGTGGCTCCAGCAAAAGTCTCAAAAATGCTTGGAATTTGCAAACCCAGGACTTCGGGCCTCAAGTTGTTTAGCTTTCCTTTTTTCCTCTCCCGACCTCGTATTTACAGTTTGGAGTCAGCAGTCTGGGCCAGTCGCTCAGGAGTGTAACCCAGACCCAGATTTCTAGATGAAGCACCAGCATGAGATTAAGAGCAAAACCCGATGCTTCTAAATACCCCTAAACCTCCTCATCGCTCCGCTAGCACTGTAGCAGTACGTGTGAGTGCACAGAAATGTGTTGCAGCTCTTTGGAGCCTGAAAATCAGATCGTCAGAAGATTCCAACCAAGCTGCTCTGCTGTTTGTAGAGGCGTATCTGTGCCAATGCCGCCACGTTGACGGATGTGACAGCAAAGCGGGCCCTTTTTAAACAAATGACATTATTATGGGAAGCAGGATGACATGAGCAGCCCTAACAGGTCTACAAAAATTTAATACAACAAAAAGTATTAAATATTTATGGTGCCAAACGATAATGTAGTTAGTTTATTGTTTGTATGGCCCTGCAAACGAGACCTGCAGAGGACGGTTGCTTGCCCAAAGAGTTAAAAGGATTCCTGTGGATTCATGTCCTGCTTGTTGGCCAAACGGTGTGCCGGTATTACCTCCTTCCTTAAAAGGGCTTTTAACACTTCGGAATCCGCTTTATGAAACTAATCATTTTCAAGGATGAGAAAACCAAAACGGCAAAGTAGCGGGATGAAATGGAAGAAACCCAGAGTAGGAAGCTTCTTTGTGACCCGCATAGGGCAGCTGGCCCATAACCCCTTTCATATATACTCATCCCATCCAATGTTAGCAGAGATTAGTGATCAGCTGTATGATTTTCAGTATTATCTGTTACATACCTCCTGACCTCTACAGCTACACACACACACACTAACCTACAGCCTCCTGTGAGAAAGCGTGAAGAGGCTTCCAAGTTTACGCATCTTTTTTTCCTGCAGGCCTTTTTTTTATTTTATTGCGCTTGCATAACCGCGCCCCCCCCAATTCCAAAGCTGCTGACGCGACGTGTCAGTGCCTCGGCATTGCATCCGCCCACTCTATGACTCACCAAAATACTGTCAGTGCAGTATCATCAGGCTGCTGCCTCTGTTCACAGTAATCTCAATCTCTCTGATTGTTGATCTCAGCTGGGAAGAGGACTTGTGTGTGTGTGTGACTAGCTAAAGTGTGATTCTTTTTAGTCGGAAATGTTCTACTGAGAAGGGTAGGTTCCTCTGATAAGTCCGCTGCCTTACCCCGAGCTGAGCATTGTCTCATCCCGTCCTCCTCCTCCAACTTCATACCTTGCGAAAAAAACATCCATCACTCGGGCTTCTCTCCTAACACCAGCCCTCCCTTTCGTTTTAGGCGGCGCTGCAGGACTGCGTCTCCGGTTCCTCCTTTCACCCCCCCCCCCCCCCCCCATCTTTATTGGGGGTTCCCCACCCCCCGTTCCGGGAGTCTGTAGACTCCGCATATGGGTCCAGTCCTCCCTCAGGTCTTCTCAAGAGGCCTTTGTCTCGTATGTCTCTCATAACTCTCCAACAGCCAGCTAGCAGCTGAGTGGTTGGTTTATGTACAATAATCATTTATTCATAAAAAGTCAGACAATGTCCAAAGGGGATAAAAATATTTCTACTTGTGAGACTTTGGCGTCATTTCGTAACTTTACTGGACAGTGCAAGCAAAGTTTCTGAGATCCCTGTTGTTTCTTGTCAGGAAATCAGGTTTAAATTAATTATGGATATTATAAACAAACAAACAACAATTAATGGCAAATGTATTAACCTTTTATTTGAATCAAGTGCCATTTTCAATGTAAACATTACACAATAATTACACAAAGTTTGGATCAATTTACAGAACCCTGGATTTTCAACCACATTGTAGGTTCGCATGTCTTTACTGATAAACTTGGCAATTGTTACTGTGATGTTGAGTTTGGTGCTGGCGAGGCCTGAGGCGTCTGCAGAGCTGAGTTACCTGCTGCTGCTGCTGCTGCAGCGGTGACGCTGCTAGAGGTCCTGACTGTCGGCGTTGTTTAATCCCACGGCGCCTTAGTAGATGGCCGAAAAGATTCATTGTGTTTCTGTGTTTTTTTTTATTTGTCTTCTACATATTCTACAAACAGCGACTGACTTATTTAGAACACCTCCGTGTTTGCAAAAGCCAAAATGTTTCCACACGCTGGATCGATAAGTTGGTTTGTAAATGTCTTGCTCGCAGTCCATGCTGTGTTTAGTTGTTTTTCCGAGTTTCGCGCGGCTGCCGCTGCGTACTGATGACGTCACACAGGCAGACTGAATCGAGTAACGTTTAATGTGTCTAAAGTGCTAAAAAACAAACAAACAAACACACATCCATACCGCTTTTGTACTTAAATCCAATGTGCAGTTTGCAAGTATCGATACAATCGATTATGTACCATTTTAATCGATTTGTAATTGATATATGTCGCCCGGAATGCCGATTTGCGGAGCACAGATCGATTCAGTTGGATCGCAGGAATATAAATCGATTAATCGATTGAGTGAATGAATCGTTACACCCCTAGTTTGGAGAAACAATTAGTGCTATTGATAACATCCATGCAGCACAAATTTTCAGAATAGTGAACAGTTTGTGGGCTCAAAAAGAGAAAATGACAATCGTGTGAATCGTATTGTGTAAACGATAATCATTAGTGCAGGTATCACCTAATTGGATTAAAAATTTAAAACGAGTCATTTATCTGGCATGAATCATTTAGAAAAGAGCTTCATCACCAATCCTCTGCCCCCCACCCCCGGCCCCCCCCAAACTAAGGATGCTGATGCAATCCTTGTTCTAGATGATTTGTCCGTCCTGCTCAAACTTGCTGCCTGAAAGGGAGTACAGTCCTTTTTAGCAGAAGAAAAAGTGCCGACATGAGTGTCTGAGACGTAGTTAGACCTGGGAGTCTTCATCTCATTGAAAGAGCAAATCTGCTAAATAACAAAAAGTGGATTTGCTGACGGTGCTTTATTAAAAAACACTTGAAACGACAGCGCTGGTTTGGGCGTGATGAAGTGTAGCATCAGGCTCGGATACAGTGACTTTTGAAGGAAGACCAGACGGTGCTTACAACAGGAAGCGAAAGAAAACCTCTGTACTCACACAATTCTCAGAATAGTTCAGTGAATTCAGGAGATTACCAGCAGCTATAATAAGTGCGCGTTAACATGCTGTGGGCCCACTCACAATAAAATCCGTCCTCTTTGTTTGTTATCAAAGAGGGTATGACAGGCAGGATGTACTGGAAAAGCATATACTTTGCACCGACATCATATCTTATAAATATTACTATTACATTCCATATTTCAAAAACATAAATATTGACATTTTTTATAATTTAATATCATCTTTTCTTTGGCTCTAGGAGGGGAGCTCAAAGTGGGGCGATGCCCCATTGCCCTCAATTGGCCAGCTGCCACTGCCTGTCACCATATCTGGGTAAAGATCCCCCTTACTGCCTTATAAACCCTATATCTATATCTCCAGTTGCAGAATATGGGCGTGAACCCGGCCAACATCGGGTTCAGCTATCTGACCATGGAGTCGGACAAGTTCATCTGCATCAGGGAGAAGGTGGGCGATCAGAACCAGGTGGTGATCGTGGACATGTCCGACCCCACCAACCCCATCAGGAGGCCCATCTCAGCCGACAGTGCCATCATGAACCCCACCAGCAAGGTCATCGCCCTGAAAGGTGAGGGAGGGGGGGCAGGGAGGACCTCTAGTGGCTTCATGCCTGGCGGGGAGGCTAGATTCTTGTCCTTAGTGCACAAACACAAGTGCTGATCAGGAGGATTTGCCTATAATGCTTCTCTTCTCGCCGCTACCCTCCACCCCCCCGCCACACGCCCCTACCCTCTCACCTGTGGTCTCTCGTTCTTACCTGACTGACACTTTGCTTCTTTCTCCCTTGCTTTCTGTCCCCTTTCAGACGGTGAGTTGCTGTCTGTCTGTCTGTCTGCTCTGTAATGATGCTGTGGCCATTTTGCACTCATAAAAAAGCACCCCCCAAATTCACTCATTCCCTCACCCGTTTGTCCTTTTCATTGTATTGTATATAAACTTTTCTAAAACACATTACGTGAAAAGCACAAATACAACCAAACCTCTATGTATTAGGGCTGTCAAAATTGCTCAAAAAGGGACGTTCGAATATTCGCTTTAAAAAAAGACCGATATTCGAATATGTTCGAATATCTGGTTGCGCATTAGACGCGATAACGTCCTCAATAACAGGACAAATTTATACAATGAGACATAACTACTTGTATAGGTAATTTCTTTAAGTTTAAACCTATTTAACAACATATTACCGACACAAAAATAAGTAGATTAACTAACGGCCACGACCGCAGACCTCTTGCTCGCACACACAAACTCTCGCTCTCTCTCGCGCAAATGAACGACAACAATAAACAAATGCCAAGTCCTGATCAAGAGTTTTGTGTAATCAATTTAAGGTCGCGATTCTTGAAACTGAAATTTTTACAGTACCGACATTGAACGCTACGAGCGAGCTGTGCTGGTAAACACAGAACTTTTCCTTGGCATGAAACGGCAAATAATCAAACCAGTGCATGAAGCTGTTGTAGCCTATCTGGTCTATTTTATTCATGCAATATACAGTCAGTAGTCAGGTGCGCGCCCGCCCGCTAAGCAGACAGAATAGAATATTTATAGAATATTTGTTGGCAGCCCTACTATGTATACCTAAATATATCAAGATATGAGAGACTAAGTGACATTTTTTTTAATTTGGGGGGCCTGATTTGGAGCAGGAAAAAAAAAACGGGTGGAGAAATAATTATCAGTAAATACTTAATAGCCAAAATGGTGCTCCTCTCTAGATGGGTGACCAGATGTGCTGTGTGCACACACACGTGATTGTGTATCTATGTATATGTTTATATAAATGTATTTTATATATAAACGTGTATGTATACATGCTTGTTGAAATGTTTATTAAGGCTTTCAGACATTATTTGAGTATTGATGCTAAACATTGATTTGATAAGTGGAGGTAAAAAATTTGTGCTGGGCATTAATTCATCAATGCCAACACTTATTTTACCGTGCATTAGCATTATTTTTTTACATCGTTTTTTAGACTACTTTGCTGTTTTAAATACACACGTAAACACAAGAGAACAAACTGCTCTTAATTGTAACTACTCTGCAACCCAACCATGCCAAGTCACTTAAATTCCCCCTGGGTCCCAAGTCTCCCCATGTACTGCTTATAACGAAAAGCATCAAGAACATCAATATTATTTTGTTATACGTGTATTAACATACATTGCTGAGGCAAATAGCTTTAGTTTTATATTTGATTAAATTCATTTTTAAGATAAACAAGATGTATTTCCACTGCTACTGTGTGAAATGAATACTGCTGTTAAAAAGCACCTTATTTGTAAAAGTGCGTCTTTGCGATTAATCGAAAAGAACATTATGCGACTAATTGCAATTAAACATTTAAATCGTTGCCTAGGACTCAAGTTTTTCTCGCTGCCTGTCTGTCTCATGTCTGCTCTCCATCCACGTAGCCGCCAAGACGCTGCAGATCTTCAATATTGAGATGAAGAGCAAGGTAAAGGCGCACACCATGACTGAGGAGGTCATGTTCTGGAAGTGGATCTCTGTGAACACCGTTGCCTTGGTGACTGACACGGCCGTCTATCACTGGAGCATGGAGGGTGATTCCCAGCCCGCCAAAGTATTCGATCGGCACGCCAGTCTGTTGGGGTGTCAGATCATCAACTACAGAACTGACGAGCAACAGAAGTGGCTGCTGCTGATAGGGATTTCTGCACAGGTATGAAAACATGTTTACTCATGTGCCCATGACAGAAGACTGTCTCTGCCTCTTCTAGCTCATCCACAGCCTCATAGGACATAAAAGTCCAAAATCTTTTTGTTTTGTCTCTTAGTCCACAATAATCTTGCATTTTCACACCCAAAAACATGGTTCTGACAAAACATTTTCCATTGTGGAATCAAGTGGTTTGGTAGCTGTGATAAGTGTGAGCCAGCTTTGACTGAAACGTACTATAAATAATTCTAAAAAGAAGAGAGGGACTGATGAAATGTTAAGCAGCATAATTGTCAACATTAAGGAATACTGCCGGTTACATGCTTTTCTCAAGAGATGGAAGAAGAGATCCAGACATTCACCCATTGTTATCTGGAAAGTACTCTTATTTGCTTTCTTGACTAGAGTCTGTATGGTAAATATGAAGCTGGATCCAGTAGGATAAATTCTTAGTTTTGCATAAAAAATGTCTGGCTGACTTTGCTCAAGGGACAGTATGTAAAGTGAACCCCTTACCCCAAAGTTTTGTCGACTGCTGTTCTGGAACCTTTCTTTTTTTAATCTTGGTCTTTGGACCTTTTGGCTTTTTGCAACTAGAAGGGACAAAGGGGGCAGTGCAGACAAAAGATTGTTACAATGAACTTTGCTGAACTGAAAATCCACTGAAAGGGTTTAAAGTTCAAAGAGTAAAGCACAGACAATTCTTTGGAAGGGACATGTCAATCAAAAAGAAGCCCCGCCCAAAAGCATACCCTGCTATATTATCTATTTTACTCTAAATAGCATCATGATTTACTCAATGAAGACTTGAAACTAGTGATTGAGACCATACATATGTGTTGTATGGGCATATTCTCAAAGACTTCTATACAGTCAGACTTTCTATCAGAGAGTTGCCACCTCCCGGGCTTTAGAGAATGGAAGCGGACTAATTGAGTTTCCCAGATTTCAGGCTAGAATATCTATCTTCTCTTGGAATGCATGCAAATATGCGTATTCCTTTGTAGTGTTAATGACTTGAATGCATCAATGATTTCTTTTTTTTTTTTTTTTGCCCTGCAGCAAAACAGAGTGGTTGGGGCCATGCAGCTGTATTCCGTTGACAGGAAAGTCTCCCAGCCTATTGAGGGTCATGCCGCTGCGTTTGGGGAGTTCAGAGTGGAGGGAAATCTCAAAGCCTCCACCCTCTTCTGCTTTGCTGTGCGCTCACAGGCCGGGGGAAAGGTGAGGGCCCCTGGATCAATGTGTATTTGAAGAAACAACCTTTTATGCTTCATGTCTGTTAGTCTCCAAAATACAGGCCTGAAAATCCCTCACCTTTCGGCGAAATTCGCCGCTTTGAACCAAAAATTGGTGACCTACGTGAATCGTGTAGATTCGATGAGGTTTTTTTGGGGGGGTTATTCATATTCAGTGAACTGCGAACAGGTGCGCGTGCCAGAAGGGAGCGCGAGATTCAGTGAATTGCTAACAGGGTGAGTGACGGTTTCAATAATTTTAATATTTTCTGGTATATCTAAGTTAAGTTACCCAGGAGCTTTGTTTACATAGGCTTAGCTAACGTTAGCTACAGCTTGATGAATTGAGTCATTTAACACAGCAGGAGAGAACGCAACGTTGGCCAGCTAGCTAAAGCTCCGGTGGGAAATGATTAGTTAACGCTACCGTTTTTGAGGAGGTAGATTTTGAGGTGAGGGGGCCGACAAGGCAGAAGGTAAAGTGGTCCACCGTTCTATCAATAAGCAGACCTGCCAACCTGGTACGCATTTTGACTTCAAAGTACGCTAGTACGATTTGTCTCTCTAAACTACGCAAAAACGAGATGACGAGTATTTAATGACTTGTCCCCTATTAGTTGTTGTCAATTCCCATCCCCCCCTCGTCGGTACGCAAAAAATGATCCCTGGGACAAAACCAGTTGAAAACCCCTGCCCTAGAGGGGTAATATCCTTCTCACCTTTTTCACCCTTGACCCGTTTTCATGCCTGAAAATAGCTCAAATGGCTTTCTTCTTCCAGTTGCACATCATTGAAGTTGGTCAGCCAGCTACAGGAAACCAGCCATTCGCTAAGAAAGCAGTGGATGTGTTCTTTCCGCCAGAGGCCCAAACGGACTTTCCTGTAGCTATGCAGGTGAGGACGCCTGCTGCTTCTGTGGTACACTAAGGGGGGCAGCTGATAAAATCGCTCATCTCTGATCATTCTCCCTAGATTGGCAATAAGCACGGCGTCATCTATTTGATCACAAAGTATGGCTACATTCACCTGTATGACCTGGAGTCTGGAGTCTGCATCTACATGAACCGGATCAGTGCAGAGACCATCTTTGTCACCGCCCCTCACGAAGCCACCTCTGGCATTATCGGAGTCAACAAGAAGGGACAGGTGAGAAATAGGCCATGAGTAATTATTTCTCGACATGGTTTATACTAAATAACAGCTCTGCTTCTGATGTCAGAGACAAATGCTTTAATGTGCTTCCGGCCTCATGGAGGTTTTTCTATGCAAACCTATCCGTGGTATTGATATCTGCTTTCTCACCAGGTGCTGTCTGTGTGTGTTGAGGAGGAAAACCTTGTCAACTATGCCACCAACGTCCTGCAGAACCCCGATCTGGCCTTGAGGATGGCTGTGAGGTCCAACCTGGCTGGGGCCGAGGAGATTTTTGCCAGAAAGTTCAACACCTTGTTTGCTCAGGGGAGTTATTCAGAGGCCACTAAGGTGGCTGCATCGGCACCCAAGGTACGCCCATGCCTACAAATACGTCAGAACTAAGTCAGAAAAGGGGCCTCATTGTGTTTTTACAGTTGTCCTCAAAGGGGCAGTCTCAGTGCATCCAGTGGCGAGGTTTCAACTGGCTAACTCTCTCTGACACCTTGTACTGCTGTGGCCTTACGGGAACGCTAAAAGAGGCTCTCGCTTGAGCCTCTGTTTGGTTTGTCCGCTCTGGGCTACTGTAGAAACACGGCTGTGCAACAGAGTACACAGTAGTTCTCTTTATGCACTCTGGTATTTGACCCCCTTAGGGTGTTCTGCGGACAGCAGAGACCATCCGGAAGTTCCAGAGCGTCCCAGCCCAACCGGGCCAGGCCTCGCCGCTGCTGCAGTACTTTGGGATTCTGCTGGACCAGGGCCAGCTCAACAAGTTTGAGTCCCTGGAGCTCTGCCGACCAGTCCTGCAGCAGGGGCGCAAGCAACTGCTGGAAAAATGGCTGAAGGAGGACAAGGTAGGATGTGGGGGGATTGGTCTGCTGTAACCAATAAACGCTGCTGACCAAGCCGGGGTCATTGACCAGTCTCCTGACTATTTAGTGACCGAGATGTGTCTTGTGCTGCAGCTGGAGTGCTCTGAGGAGCTGGGGGACCTGGTGAAGGTCTCGGACCCCACCCTGGCTCTTAGCGTGTACCTCCGAGCTAACATCCCCAACAAGGTCATCCAGTGCTTCGCCGAGACCGGACAGTTCCAGAAGATTGTGCTATACGCTAAAAAGGTAACTGCCCCTCAAACGGCTTCAGTTCTCCACTCACATATCGGTTGTCACCGAATTTGCATTTGTATCCACTTTATCTGCGGTGCTTTTGTAGGTGGGCTACACCCCGGATTGGGTGTTTCTGCTGAGGAACGTGATGCGCGTCAACCCGGATCAGGGACTTCAGTTCGCCCAGATGCTGGTCCAAGATGAGGAGCCGCTGGCCAACATCAACCAGGTAACACCTCGCTGAATTAACAGCAAGCAGGAATGTCTAGCCTATATATATATATATATATATATATATATATATATATATATACACACACCACAAAGGGCCCTATGTGGGAGACTCCCTCTCTGTTATTCCAGATGTGCCAGCAATGCCCGGAATCCACTGAGTCAGTGACCCCTCCCCTCAAGCACTCACATGCGCATACATTTTTAAAAAGCCACATCATCGCTCTGCTCAGTCCACATCTCCAAGACTTGTGGCTCCTTGAAGTCCCGACCCATTTTTGCAGATGTTGAATAAGAAAAGCTGAAACATCTGGCCACCGGGGCTTGGGGCCCTTAATGGCGTGCAACGCTAATCTCTCTCCGTGCATGCTACTGTAGAAGTAATCAATTTGAAAAACCATAACATTTTTGCCCTCTTTGTGCCCCCCCCCCCCGCTTGCCTGCTAGATTGTCGACGTATTCATGGAGGGAAACCTGATCCAGCAGTGCACCTCTTTCTTGTTGGATGCTCTGAAGAATAACCGCCCGGCTGAGGGCCACCTGCAGACCCGTCTACTGGAGATGAACCTCATGCATGCTCCCCAGGTGAACACCCAGAATGCCCTGCTCTGACGAAATCAGACCGATCAGACTTTAATGCAGGCTTCTTTCCTGATTCCCGATTTCAGGTAGCAGACGCTATCCTGGGCAACCAGATGTTCACCCATTATGACCGGCCCCATGTTGCCCAGCTATGTGAGAAGGCGGGGCTTCTGCAGAGAGCTCTGGAGCACTACACCGACCAGTACGACATCAAGCGGGCCGTGGTACACACGCATCTGCTCAACCCCGAGGTACGGCAGTGGCCGACGCTCTCTTGGGAGCAGCCGTCATGTTTTGTGATGTGTTAAGTTACTTTTTGAGCCCTCCCCCCTTCTTACCCTCCTCCTCCTGTCCAGTGGCTGGTGAACTACTTTGGCTCTTTATCAGTGGAGGACTCGCTGGAGTGTCTGAGGGCCATGTTGTCGGCCAACATCAGGCAGAACCTGCAGCTGTGTGTGCAGGTTGCGTCCAAGTATCACGAGCAGCTGGGGACTCAGTCGCTTGTGGAGCTCTTTGAGTCTTTCAAGAGCTACGAGGGTAGGTGTCGCCCCTAGAATTCGTGGGTTGAATTTGTGCTTCAGGTTTGCGTAGATTGACATTGAGTTGACTTTTTGTGCCGTGTTTTTACCCCCTCCCCCCTCCCCCCATCTCAATTCAAGGCTTGTTTTACTTCCTTGGGTCGATTGTGAATTTCAGCCAGGAGCCTGACGTCCACTTCAAATACATCCAAGCCGCCTGTAAAACAGGCCAGATAAAGGAAGTGGAAAGGATCTGCAGGGAGAGCAACTGCTACGACCCAGAGAGAGTGAAAAACTTCCTCAAGGTAAAAACAGCAACAAAAAGATCCTCTGTGTTAAAGTGTTAATGGTAGGCAGCACTGCATCGCTGTTCAATCTCACGTTCCTTCCCTTTGTAGGAGGCCAAGCTAACGGACCAGCTTCCCCTAATCATTGTGTGCGATCGCTTCGACTTTGTCCATGACCTGGTGCTCTACCTCTACCGTAACAACCTCCAGAAATACATTGAAATCTACGTACAGAAAGTAGGAATTCAGACTTCATATGAATATCTGGTTATCACTTCATAATCCAGGCCTTTTATGGGCTGTGCGCCTCTTCATTTTCTATTTGTTGCTCTTTCAGGTGAACCCCAGTCGCCTGCCCGTTGTAATAGGCGGCCTTTTGGATGTGGACTGTGCTGAGGACGTCATCAAGAACCTGATCATGGTGGTGAGAGGGCAATTCTCCACTGACGAGCTGGTGGAGCAGGTGGAGAAGAGGAACAGGTGAGGACCAGAGATAAACCACCTGCACTGCTTTTATGCATAGCTGCTCTGCTGTGTCCTATTAGATGCTGGTGGACAATTGTGCGTCTAAGTGACTTAGTACCTGCTGCAAAAGCATCTTTACCCTGTGGGGGTGAGTAAACCTCTTTAATGACACATAGACGCTATACTGGCTGTGTTTACGCTGCAAGAGACGACAGGGGTTGTGTTCCGTTTGAAGCACTAAAAAAAAGCGTTTTTCTGAAAGTCACCATTAGAAAGAAAACCAGTGAAAAGTAACGTTGCAAGCGGAACTTTAGATATTTCTTCTAGTGCCCGATGCCCATAAATGTCCGAATGCAATGTCACACCGAGCGCAGGACACACCCAGGTGACTGAACAATGCTGATAAGCATATATGACATTTTTTTTTCATTTTCTAAGACAGGACTTTCATTACATTACATTTTTTCCAAGGCGACTTACAATAAGTGCATTCAACCATAGGGATACAAACTCGGAAGAACAAGAAACAAGATTTCATCAAATAAGCCAATTTACAATTTCCTATAGATAAGTGGCATTATAAGTACAATGTAAGTGCTACAATTTGTTAGTCTTTTATTCGAGGTAGAGTCTGAAGAGGTGTGTCTTTAGTTTGCGGCGGAAGATGTGAAGGCTCTCTGCGGTCCTGATGTCTTCAGAGAGCTCGTTCCATTTAGGAGCAAGGACAGCAAAGAGTCGTGATCTTGTTGAGTGTTTTGCTCTCAGTGAGGGAGGAACAAGCAGTTTAGCAGATGCAGAGTGGAGAGTGTGGGTCGGGATGTAGGGTTTGACCATGTCCTGGATGTAAGCTGGACCCAATCTATTCACAGCATAGTACATGAGCACAAATGTTTTGAACTGGATGCGGGCAGCCACCAGTAGCCAGTTTCCTCCACTGTTGATTCTTTCTGGGATTCTGGAGGCGTGTGGTGTTAATCCAACTCCCCACCAATGCTCCACACAGAGTGAAGCCTCTGGCATTTGAAACTCACTGTTAAAACGGTATGACAGAGAGAGAATGTGAGGATGAGCACACGGATTGTGCTCCACTGCCACCAAGTGGTGTGTGTGCTGCACTGCAATAACAGTAGGAGGCCGATGATTGCCCTCATAATTTCTTCATCCAACGTCGATGCACGCCAGTTAGAAGATTCTACTTCAATACTGGATGCTTGTATGACTTTAGCCGAGCTGTTTCTCTCCTTTTTTCCTCAGTTTAAAACTTCTACTGTCGTGGCTGGAGTCCAGAATCCACGATGGCTGCGAGGAGCCGGCCACTCACAACGCCCTGGCCAAAATATACATAGACAGCAACAATACGCCCGAGCGCTTCCTGAAGGAGAATGCATTCTACAACAGCACCGTAGTGGGGAAGTACTGCGAGAAGAGGGACCCCCACTTGGCCTGCGTGGCCTACGAGAGAGGACAGTGTGACCTGGATCTCATCAAAGTACGTAGAGATGCTGAAGATGATAATCTACGTCGTTCCAAACACTATTTAATCCCATTCTTTATTTGTTCTTTCTTTCGCTCAGGTGTGCAATGAGAACTCTTTATTCAAGAGCGAGGCCCGTTATCTGGTGCGACGGAAAGATGCAGAGCTCTGGGTGAACGTGTTGGAAGAAAACAACCCCTTCAGAAGGCAACTCATCGACCAGGTCAGGTGGAGTTAAGCTCAGCTTGTTGACGGTTTTCCCGCACACCAGATCCAAAGTATTAAGATACTTTGAGTTTGCCGTGGTAACAAATAGCTTTGGTTTTGTCGACTACGCCGGGTGGAGATTTAAAATGAAAATGTCCATTTGACAGTGCTGTACCGCTCTGAATTTTCTTGTTTAATGTGTGCAGCAGTGTTAAGCCCCTCCCAATGCTACCCTTTTCTGTTTTTTTATGCTTTTAACGCATGATCAAATCATTTTTGGAGTTAATGGATGGTTACGTAAACGTATTCATAACGTGTTAACGTGCCCTGCCCTAATTATTCCTCATGTTGTATCTTTCCTTTCGTCTTCCATCCCGCCTCAGGTGGTGCAGACGGCACTGTCGGAGACCCAGGATCCAGAGGAGGTGTCGGTCACGGTGAAAGCCTTCATGACCGCGGACCTTCCCAACGAGCTGATCGAGTTGCTGGAGAAGATCGTACTTGACAACTCTATCTTTAGCGAACACAGGTGCAGCACGGCCTGCAATGATTTAACCACCATAACCTTCCCTTTTTCTTCTTAAAAGAACTCTCTCTGTTGCGGGTATTTTCCCTCAGGAACCTCCAGAACCTGCTCATTTTGACGGCCATCAAGGCTGACCGCACTCGTGTGATGGAGTACATCAACAGGCTGGACAACTATGACGCCCCAGACATCGCTAACATCGCCATCAGCAACGAGCTCTTTGAGGAAGCCTTTGCCATTTTCAAGAAGTTTGACGTCAACACCTCAGCCATACAGGTGAGACTGCACCCATACAATTACTTCCATTAAATAGTTCTGAGTACTTGACATTCAATAGTATAACACAAATGTAAAAAGTTGCATTAATACCTGCATTAGTTTCATGGTGACCCCATTCTAGCATAAGTTACATTTTTAATTTGTTATCTTTGTTATTATATGGAATTTCTTCATTATAACATTTTCATTAAAGAATTAATAATTCTCATAGTGCAGTGCGTATTGACCGATATAGAAACCACTTTCTCTCTGCTGCTGTTTGGAACACAAGCAAAGAGAGCTACCAGAGATGTAGTAGCACTCTGTAGTCCTGTGTTACACCAAGCACATCAATCTCTTAATCTTTTTTTTTTAAAATGCTGCTTCATCTCCCTGTGAGTGAGCTTTCCCATTCTCTCTGTTCCTCAGGTATTAATAGAGCACATTGGGAACTTGGACCGGGCCTACGAGTTTGCAGAGCGCTGCAACGAGCCCGCCGTGTGGAGCCAGCTGGCCCAAGCTCAGCTGCAGAGAAACCTGGTCAAGGAGGCCATCGACTCGTACATCAAGGCCGTCGACCCCTCGGCGTACATGGAGGTAGTCAACGCCGCCAGCAAGAACGGTGAGCCTCCCGCCGCCCCGGGACGAACACATTGACACATCCTGAGCTGTCGCGTGACTACAGGGTTCCCGCGGGTCCTTAAGTCTTAAAATGTCTTAAATTAAAATTCGGGTAATTAAGGTCTTAAATTGTCTTAAATTTCACGTAAAGTTGCTGTAGGTATTCATTTTTTTCCCGGTGCGCTTAATGATGACGAGAAAGCACAGTGGCGCATTGTAAAACATCTAATAGTTGATTAGTTTAGTATTGTGCGAAATGAGTCTCCGCACCCAAAAGGCAGAGGTACTGTGGGTTCTAGATACTGTGACGAGGCACAATTCTTTTAAATCTAATGATGACATACATGGCGTCTTTGCTGCCATGTTCCCCGATTCGCAATGCATTGTGTTGTTTAGTGTAATGCAAACTTATGTATGTTATGTTGGCTCTGTTCTGCATCACAAAGGAATCACTTTGATTGTTTACATCTATATTTGCCAAACCGTGTTGGAAGGGTTATTGTCAGTTATTATACTGTCTCCTAATTTGAAAAAAAGTTTTGATTTCCATTGTAGGAGGCAATAAATTGCGTATTCCAAAGAAATTGTGACATTTTTGGGTCTTAAATTATATTTGTTGAGGTCTTAAAAAGGTCTTAAAAAGCATTACATTTTACTTTTGAAACGGTGCAAGAACCCTGGACTAATAACCGTACGGATTTAACAAGACTGCAGATAAACAGCCATGGCAATAAATCCAATCCAATGTAACATTAAAGACACAAGACGTGGTGTCAATTCCCCATATTATCCAGAAGAGGGCTTGCTGGTTCTAGTCAAATGTTGTTTCTCTTATTACTACACCAGAAGTTGTTTTCTCTAAAGGTATACAAAATTTATTTTCAGAGAACCAGCAAGATGACTGCCTGTCTCTTGCACAGTGGTGACATAAAAGACGTCCTGTATTTTTCTTTTGCAGATAACTGGGAGGACTTGGTCAAATTCCTCCAGATGGCTCGGAAGAAAGCGAGGGAGTCGTACGTGGAGACGGAGCTGATCTTTGCTTTGGCCAAAACCAACCGTCTGGCTGAGCTGGAGGAGTTTGTCAGCGGGCCCAATAACGCTCACATACAGCAGGTACACGCCGCGCCTCCCAGCTGTGTGCACTGAGAGGGCCGCCTCGTCACAGCCTCACCTCACCTCTCCCATGTCCCTCCCCAGGTGGGCGATAGGTGTTATGACGAGGGGATGCACGAGGCGGCCAAGCTCTTATACAACAATGTGTCCAACTTTGCACGGCTGGCATCGACGCTGGTCCTCCTCGGGGAGTACCAGGCGGCCGTGGACAGCGCCCGGAAAGCCAACAGCACGCGGACGTGGAAGGAGGTAACGGCGCATGAAACACCTCTTTAGTTGTGATACGGGGATATTCTAAGATTAATTGGTATCCATTACTATACGGAGTACTTGACTATTTTGAGACAAAAAAAGATTGTTAATTATTTTAGGGAGCTTAAGTGTCCAGTTTTGTCTTCTGTAACGTACATTGTTACCGACGGAAAAAGAAACATATCTGACTTGGCCGTCAATAATATAGCCAGAAAATAACACCCAGAAAATGTGAAAAGCGTCTATCTCAATTTCTGCAATTTGAAATCACAGACTGTAGAAGGTGTGTAGTCATTGTGAGGTCAAATGTTGATTTGTGGACAAGTGAACTGTAGTGAGCATATTCAGAATGTGGAGGAGCGACGTAGAAACACCATATTCGGCTCTGGGAGCGACAGCGACTGGACAATCCGTTTGTCCACCCTAAAGCATGCAATGCTTGACTCTCAATGGACCATCATTTCCTAAATGAAACTACTTTCAAGATTTGAGACTAGATAATAAATCGAGTGAGTAATCCCCAGTAGCTCTGTGCCTAATGGAAGGGTTTGTTTTGTTGGGGCGACTGTGGGTGAGTGGGGAGCACGGTCGTCCTCCAATCAGAGGGTTGTCTGTTCGATCCCAGGCTCTGCTAACCTGCATGTCCATGTGTCCTTGGGCAAGACACTTAACCCAACATTGCTCCTGTAGCTGCGACTACAGTGTGTGGATGTTATTTACTGATGTGGAGGTGTCACTGTGTGTGGTTCTCCTGTTATCAGTGTATGAATGGGTGTGAATGGGTGAATGATGTCATGTAGTGTTAAAGCGCTTTGAGTGGTCTGAAGACTAGAAAAGCGCTGTACAAGTACAGTCCATTTACCATTTGTTTTAAATGCTATCAAACTATAGCTATAAAGTAGCGTTTATATTTGACTTTTTTCCCGCCCCCTCTGATCATCAGGTGTGTTTTGCGTGCGTGGACGGCGAGGAGTTTCGGCTGGCCCAAATTTGTGGCCTCCACATAGTGATCCACGCCGACGAGCTGGAGGACCTGATAAGTTACTATCAGGACCACGGATACTTCGAGGAGCTCATCGCCCTCCTGGAGGCCGCGCTGGGTCTGGAGCGGGCCCACATGGGCATGTTCACTGAGCTCGCCATCCTATACTCAAAGTTCAAACCGCAAAAGATGAGGGAGCACCTGGAGCTGTTCTGGTCCAGAGTCAACATCCCCAAGGTACAAGCTATCAGTGTGTGTGTCCGCACAGTGGCATCCTCTGTAATTATTCAAATGATTTGTGTGTCATGAACTTTGTTTGATTTATTACCCTCCGAAGCTTTCAGTTATCCACAGCATCGGGGAAGGAAAGTTAATAGTGCGTGGATAAGGCTTCCTGAGGGTCTTTTCAGTCTTTTTAGAGTCTTTGATAAAGTCAAAGTGGCCTTTTTTTAAGTGCTTATGTTAAATGTTGTCCCTGCATAGGTTAATATTTGTCCGCTTGTTGTCCTTAATCAAACCACAAAATAAACCAACCACGGTAGGGTATTAAAACCATACTTAATTTCTTTGCAAGGATATGCACTTGTTCACATTATAAATTCCACAGTTGATATGTCAGGAAATAAAATGAATAAACCAAAACAACCCTACATTTAAAGGTTTAGCAAATAAAACATACTTATACCTTATACTTATATAAAAATAAATGAATAAAATGATGGTTTGTTATTTAAGTAAGTTAGTTTATATAAGTGCTGTATTTCCACTATTGTCTTGGCACAATGTGGTTGGTGGCACTGGTTTGATTAGAGATAAAGTTGCTACCTGTACACACATATGTAACAAATATATATAACAATTAGTTGATATTTTAATTTTGGAGAATTCCATAAAATGTCTGATCTCCAACCCGTTTGCTATCTTTCCAGCACAAACCAATTGTTTCATCATATTCTTATTTAATGGTCCAGTAAAAATGAAAACATAGCCGACCTGTGATGAGGGCCTCGGTGTCACACTGTTTGTACTTGTGTGTCTCTCAGGTCCTCCGTGCAGCGGAGCAGTCTCATTTATGGGCAGAGCTGGTTTTCCTTTACGATAAATACGAAGAGTTTGACAACGCCGCCATCACAATGATGTCTCACGCCACAGATGCGTGGAAAGAAGGGCCATTCAAGGACATCATTGCCAAGGTGAACTAGTGTGTGCACCTGATTGTTATCGACCTACTTTTATATTTTTGTGATCTTTTTATATATTATTGTTTCTCCTCAGGTCGCCAATGTGGAGTTGTACTACAAATCTCTGTCCTTCTACTTGGAATACAAACCTCTTTTACTTAACGACCTGCTGACCATCCTGTCCCCGCGGCTGGACCACAGCCGAGCTGTCACCTTCTTCAGCAAGGTAACCACCGGCAAAGTCAAGCCCCGCCTCTTTACAATCATAATGCAGTAGCACGGCGGGGGCGATGTGATCACTGTTGTTTTTGCCTAACCAGGTGAACCAGCTGAAGGTGGTCAAACCTTACCTGAGGTCCGTCCAGAATCACAACAACAAGTCGGTCAACGAGGCGCTTAACAACCTGCTGATGGAGGAGGAGGACTACCAGGTCTCCCAGCCGTGTTCCTCATGTTGATAACCATCTTGTCTGCCGCCAGGCATCCCTCTTCTCACCCCTCTGGGTTCCGTGATGTGATGCTGTGTGTGATCCTCAGGGCCTTAGAGCGTCCATTGATGCCTATGACAACTTCGACACCATTGACCTGGCGCAGCGGTTGGAGAAACACGAGCTGATTGAGTTCAGACGTATCGCTGCTTACCTTTACAAGGGCAACAACCGCTGGAGACAGAGCGTGGAGCTCTGCAAGAAGGACAAGCTCTACAAGGTAGGACCAGAAAACCTCTTGGTGGCAATATTTAATCCCCAATATATTACCCCCATATTTCTGTAGATGGCACTGTTTGTTCACAGTTAATGGAGATCCTCTATGCAGATGGAGGCATGCAGCACAGGAAAGCACAGAAAAGATTATTTAGAAGGGCTTCAACCATGAATTAAATATGCTCTCTGCTTCCCAACGCTTTCCCAGGATGCCATGCTCTACGTCGCGGAGTCCAAGGATGCTGAGCTGGCGGAAACTCTGCTCCAGTGGTTCCTGGAGGAGGGAAGGAAGGAGTGCTTTGCCGCCTGCCTGTTTGCCTCTTACGACCTGCTGCACCCCGACGTGGTGCTGGAGCTGGCCTGGAGGCAGAACATCGTGGACTTTGCCATGCCCTATTTCATCCAAGTCATGAGAGAGTACCTGACCAAGGTGAGTGCTCAGTGGAGTTCAGGGCAAAGACTGGTTAGAGTTAGAAAGTGTGATTAATGATTCAATATCATTCAAGAGGGGAAATTGTAGATTTGTACTGTTTTGAAGCTGCTTTATTGTTCTTATATTGTTTAATTTCTTGTGGCAACTTGTTTTGATAGGTGAGAGGTAGGCCTTAGTCTCCTGGAGGTATTTAAAAAGCACAGTGGTCATACAGGGAGTTTCAGTTTAGGTGCTCTTAAGTCATGCTAGCCAAGTATTTTTTTCGCAGTGAACTCCCCCTGGTGTAGAAATGATGAACTGCAGACATGTGAGGTCACATGAGGTCATCTCTTTGGCTTCTCTTCCAGGTTGATGAGTTTGCAGCGAAGGTGATGGTCTCTGGCACTCTTTTTCATTCCTCTTAAGTGTCCTGTCTGTGTTTTGTTGTAACTCATCCCTGAGCTTTTCTGAGGAGGGAACCGTAAGCATGGACCGTAGGGCGAAGAACTCCGGCCTTGGGGAGCTGTAGTGGTTTGTGCTGGCTTCTGCTCCGCTTCTGCCTTTTTTTTAAGAAATTTTGAGTTTGTTGAACCAGAGGGCTTTCTAAATTATCTTGTAGTGGGGTTTGGCATAGGTTAAGGAATTTTGAAGAAAAAAAAGAAGCCTTTCCAGCAGAAACAAATTCATGAAAAAGTTTGCTAAAACAACAGGAAATATCTTATCTTTTTATGTTTCAGCTAATTAGATTTGTGACATTTTAAGCTGCTGGTGTGATTAAAATACTTCAGCAGCTGCACTGGTATGGTTATGAACCGTTTTTTTTCCTTATGGCATTGTGTGACGGACAGTTGAACAAACCTCCAGGTTGTCCCTGTATCAGGGAGGTAGGACACGGTCCATAGAGTAGAGAGCTACTGTGTTGAAAGCTGGAGCCGAAGCCTGCACGCCACACTGAACTAACCGATCTAACTCAGGGGTGCCCACCCCTTTTCAATAGACTAAGTCATGGCGTTCTTAATTTCTCAGTATGATTTTGCAGAACCATTGTCCTAATGAATCTCCATTTACATCAGAAACCTTTTTTCTCTTTATTTGTATTGCTGTCTGCACGGCAGAAGCACAGTGCCCGATGATTTCTGTGGCCCTAAGTGTTGTGAATAAAAAGACGCCGACTTTCTGCGTTAATACTGTGCGCCCATGGTTTCTGATGGGAATGAAAGGTCCACTCAGCAGAGGCCTTTCGGCAGGGGCTGCTGAGCGGTGCATGTGGCATAGCATTAGCGTGTATATAACTTGATACACAGTTTAATATTTCTCTAACTTGCAATCCTGCTGTAGTTTTTCTCTGACAGGGTACGTTCACACAACTCCCACCCCCCTGCTCCAAATAAACCATAAGAATAAAACCAATTCCCCCCCCTAGTGGTATCTAGCTATGATGTAGTAGTAGGGAAGTTGCTACCTGCTTGATTTTGTGAATCAGCTTCTAATTCTGGTGCTTAAAGGTTTTAAAAAGTGATCTTTTAGAAATTCAAAGAGAAGTGATTATGTTGCTATGCAGAATAACTCACAGAGCTTGTTGTCTACTGTTTTCATTAGAAATTATTCTGTCGACAATCAAGGTTGGTGAATGATTCAAGGCTGATGTGATTGTCCATCTCCGTGCCAAAGAAGAAAGCTGTAAATAGGCGTATCCATGGTAAATCCATGGTAATAAATCGAATAAATAATATCAATTAAATAGCATAAATAAAGAAAACATATTTTTATCTGGAAAGCGACATTTGGGTTTTTAAGTGTAAATTCCCGGTGCTTCAGGCAGCACAAATCCATTTGGTTTTCTTTTATTGAATTGTGTTGACAGCAGGAGTATCCTCAGCATGATTGGATACAACAGGAAATAAATAGTTGCTTATACTTTGTGTTGTAGTGGGTGAATCGGCCCTTTGATTGTTCCACTTAACAGTTGAACAGGGATCTGCATTAGAAATTAGACATGCATCTCAGGTAACCCCCCCCCCTAATTGATTAATTGACGGCAGAGCCAGGCCCATGGGAGTTACGGGGATTTTCTGCAGGATGCGGTGCATGTGTGCATGCGAGCCCGCCTGATGCGTTCCTGTGTCTCTGTTGCCCTCAGGTGGACAAACTGGACGAGGCAGACAGCCAAAGGAAATCCGAAGAGGAAGTGACGGAGCCTCAGCCGATAATGTTCGGTAAGTTTTCAGGCGGTTGGCTTTCCCACCTCCGGTCGATCATTAATCTACCTGTTGTAGTACAAATTAAAGAAATGTTGAGCTTACTTTGTTCGTATGCGTAAAGTATTGCTGATGGAAAGGAGAAGGATCAATCTCGTCAATTTGTTTTTACATCTAGCAAGAAAGCAACTAAATTTGTGTTTGTGTGTGATCAGGTCAGCAGCTGATGTTGCCCCCCTCTCCTGCTCCGGCTCCTCCCCAACCAGGGTACCCCGGCTACGGCTACCCTGCTGCCCCCGCCGGCTTCCCGGCTCAGCCCGCTTACGGCTTCAACATGTAAGAGCCCAACCAACCCCCACCATCCCTGGCTCGTCCGCCCGCTCTTTCCTCCCTCGCGAACACACACACACCTTGGACCTGAACCACACTGGAACGTGCTGCTCCGAGTCAACTCCAGAAACCTAAGACGCGCCTCTAAACTGCAATAGAAACCCTTTCCCTCTACAGTCTCAACACGCACCTCAACAGGAATGGCCCTCAAGAGAACGTATGACCTCCCCCGTCCCCCCTTCCTCTCCCTCTTTTCCGATATTACAGCTCTGATCCCGTCACTGATCTACACAGCATGAAGTGGCTGAATCCCTAGGACTACTGTAGTGACCCCAGACCTCTCTGTCCTGCTGCTCCATGTAGACATACTAACCTAGAGCACCGTTGTTTTTTTGTTTTGTTTTTTTCCAAAAAAATCCCTAGAGATTCAGCACTGATGAGGAACAGACTTTGTTACAGAGGAGTGGTAAAAGCACTGCTTCGCCCTTTTAAGGAGGGGGCAAAAAGAAAAAAAGAACGGACTCAAATGTTTAATTCCACTACTGTCTCATGATCCAGATGGAAGGACTGTTACTGTGCAATAGTTTTTGTTTGTCCTCTCACAAAAGGTACAAAGTTTTGCTGTACCAATTAAGAACACACGTTTATGAGGTTAATGGTACTGTCTGTACTGTAGACTGTACTGTATGTGACTGCATGTGTGAGTGTGTAGCTTCTAAAGGTTTTGAAAAAGACACTCGATGAAAAGTCCATCCCCACGCAGCAGCAAAAAACTTTTTTTTAATTAACTTTTGGATCTGGAGATCTGTATCAGGATGCTTGTGAAAGAATGGAGATGGAATTATTATTAAAACAATAAAGAAAAATGCTGTAGTCTGTGCATGTGCTGCCAAAGTATAATGCTGCAACCAGGAGCACAATTTTCATACACTAAAGTATATCAAGTATTGCCAACGTAGTAACAGAAAGCGGTGATGAATCTCAAATCAATATATTGTAATTAAAACTGTATGATTTAAGATATATTGAAGCGTGTGTGTGCGTGTGTGTGTGTGTGGGGGGGGGGGGGTTAAAAAGCGATATGATTTTTGTAAGAAAATGGGGGGGGAAAAAGCAGGCAAGCAAGCGAAAGAAAATAGCTGGTTAATAAATGGAAAAGTGTCGAGGCCGCTCCAACACTTGGCCGTTCAGGTTCAGATTTGTTTACTTCCTATCGGTCCTCGCGGGACACGATGATGATGCGCGCGCGGTCATGGTCCAAGCAGAGGGGGATGCCCGGGATGCGCACTTCCTATCTATCTATCTGCGTGAGTTCAAAGAGTAACATGAATACAATCGTTTATACGCAGCGCTGTTGTTGCCTTTCTCCTAGCCTCCTTTAAGCCACGCCAGGGGAATTATGTGAGCCGTCAGGGCCCTCTATGATACGCGTGGTTCTGGAGGTGTGTGTGCGCGTGTGCACGTGTCTCTGTCCCGGCCTCCTCCCTGCTGCGCCGTGATGCCTCCTCGGGAACTACCCGAGATTCCTCGGCCTGGAGAGGGCGTGGCTGGCACATCTGGACCGACTGGCTGCTGTCGTGGGTAAACTGCTCCGGTTTTGGTTGTGCCACGATTCGATAGCTGTGGAATAGACTGTATCCCGCCACACGGGGCCACATTCAGATGGGAACGCCCTTCTTCTCCCGGGAGCCAACTCGACCGCCGCCCCTCCTCGCTTCCGGTTTCGCCCCGCTCCACTTGCGCACTACCTTCGTGAAACGGCGTTGCCATAGTTACAAATAACAGGCGTTTGATAAGGAGCGTCTGAACTTCCTCCTCGGTCCCAGTGAGCGCGCGCTGTCAACAGAGCGAGAGACTGAGCCGAGATCACCGCGCGCCACTTACGCACATCTGCAAGCCACTTCAGCTACTTGAGGATAAGTAGAAGCTGTTTCGGGGTGTGTGTGTGTTTTATCTCCGTGTGCATCTCCCGGTAACTATGCAGAATAGAGGGACGTTTATCAGCCCTTTCTCCAGACCGCGCTGCGTGGCGGCGGCGTCGGAGAAAACGAAACTAACTCATCCGGGAAAGGCGATTCTTGCAGGTGAGTCGTTTCGAATATGTCCTCCGAAAAGTTATGAGAAATGTGACTGTTTTTGGAAAGTAGTTAAGATTGAATAAGACGTTTTAGTTGCTTTTTTGTGAGTGGCTTCTGGTCCAACAACAACGAATACTTAAACGGTAGTAACATTTTTTTAAAGGCTAAAGGGCGAAACCGCGTGGAATTAATGGGAACTTGTATGTAAACTTACTCACGCCACGAGAGGAGGAACGCCTAGTAAAGTCAACAACTGAACAAATACTATGTGCAAATAGGGATTTCATTCGCACGAGTACTTTCAGGACATTAACCTTTTGACACGACATAAAAAAAAGCTCGCGTGATGTGATCGAAAGAGTCCTGAAGGCTACTAAATGGACCCGGGAAATATTTCTAACTAAATGGTATACTGTCTTCAAATGTATTTGCTTAGCTATGTGGAGGATACATTGTATTTCCCCTCTATTATACATTAATATATAACGGGAATACATCCCGTACAACATACATCCATTAAAAAAAACAACTATATTGCGCTGTACGCTGGGGATGTTTGGTAGGGACACGTGAATAGATCCATTGATGGATTTATTGGTTCAGAGCTATACTCATGCTTGTTGTAGACCGCTGTGATTCATCAGTTTACCCCCGCTGAGGTTCAGTACCCCCCCCCCCCCCCCCTCCTCCTCCTACAGCTGATGAAGAGCTTCTCTGTATTAAGGGTCCATGCTGGGGCACTGTTGATTTCAGTCTTGTTCTCTGGCACCGGCTCCACGCTGAATATTTCATCATTCGGAATGAATTCCCTTTGAATGGAGTTTGAAAGCATACTGTATTAGTTGCTTAGGATTGTTTGACTAATGCCTGCTGATATTTTAGTTTTTGATCAATCAATGAATATTTTTGGCGACAGAAAATGCCCTTGTGTTACCAGAACCCGGACTGTCGACTTCTTCGACTGGCTTACCTTGTCAAGAGCTCTCTATATTCATACATCATCAAAACCTCCCATTTGAGAGGTCAAAACTAGCTTGTCTCACTGTTTTGCCTGAAAATGGATGAACGCCGTGAATCAATGTTGAACGGTTACATCATGTGACAGAAAAAACCATGACACTTTTAAATTCAACTGTTCCAAGTAAATGATTTAAAGTGAATAAGGAAAAAAAAAACAGAAAAAAAAATCTCCTGACTGGTGTCGTCATGTCAGGCAGCGAGAAATGGAAATGCAGCCGCGGTGGGCGAGACCGCTCCCCCACCCGTCCTGTGCAGCCTGGTTGACTGAATGTGGCTCCCTGCGTCGGTTAACTCCTCTCCAGCCAGTTTTTCCGGTTTCACAACAGCAGCAGCGTGACCTCATCAGCACTGTCTCTCAATCCTGTTCTCCCTTTGAATCCTCCCGGCCTCGCTGTTAACAAGCCATTGATTTTAACACTCTTTCAAAAACGGTTTTGGGAAATTAAAGCATGCATAGAGTTTGATGTTTAAAGCGTGACTCTGCGAGTTGTCCTTTTGAGCTGTCAAAAGCCACAGCCGATAACATGCACTCCTCTCGCCCAGCTGCACCCCTTGCAGTGCTCCGACATGCTAACGCTGCTTCAGGGTTCATCTGTTATGGTTAGCAGCACGGCTATGTGTGGGGAGGGAGTGAGCCATGAGCCGCTTCCCCCATGGCCCACAGTAGACAAAGCAAGAAGTAGAAGGTCAAAGCTTAGTGGGCTTTAAGGCCAGCATAGAGTATTGAGTGGTTGGGGGGGGGTGCATGTAGCTTTTAGATATCGTGGAGCGCTCTCTGCCCTCATTGGCTGGAGTCGTCTCGCCCGGAGTTGAGACACAGTAGTAGTAGTAGTTTTGTCTGCGTGAAGCCTGAGGAGGAGAGTGCGGTGTATATGGAGTCTCTGGTTCTGATGCGCTGTGCACTCGCCTTCTTTTGTAACTCTTTTGAGAGATGGAGGGAGCCAGAGAGAAAGAAAAGTGGTCCTCGTGATGGATTTGATTTTCCACTGAGATGGGCTTGTTTTCATGTGACTTCTCTCTCTCTCTCTGGCCTCGGGGCAGCCGGTTAGCTTTCTCTGAGTGGTTGTCTCGTCTCGAGCTCGGAGGCCTCGTCAAACGTGCGCTTACTCCCCGTTCCCTCGCGTTACCGCAGCCCTCCCTCCCCCTCGCCTACTACCAGTGATGCGAGATGATAAATTACAGTGCAGGTGACTGCATGTCAGATATATGTTGGTGTAATGCTGTCACGCAATTGGATAGAATTGAGTGGACAAAGGCTGACGTCTGTCCGATTCATTACAGCAACACAGGTTTCATCCAGGAGAAACCTCCGGGTCCTGCAGAGCCTTATACATGGATTCTTTCTCAAGGCCACCCGGGGGCGACAACTCTGGAGTCCGATTGTATAGAAGTCTTTGAGAAGATGACTCCTCTCCTCTCATGATTTATTCCCTCAGTAAATATGAGTATATGATCTAAATCTCTAGTTTCAAGTCTTCAATACATAATGATGTTTATTTAGTGAAAGCTTTTGTGATTGACAGGTAGCTATCACGGCGGGGTCCTGTCTATGAATTGTTTGTCTCAGAATTTCTGGTTTTCGGTTCATAAAAGTTGATTTCAACATTTCCTCCAAAAATGTCATGTTTGGTTTTGGTAGGCTCCGCCCTCTGGCTTCTCTTCTGATTGCCAAAACCAAGATGTTGAAGGCCCAAAACTACAATGTCAACATCCAAAAGCAAAGACAGCAGTCAACGTCGGTCCACAAAGCAGCTTATGACGCCTCGGTTGACTTCGTTCACTTCCTGTAAAACCCAAACACCACTTTTTTCACAAGTTGTTAGATTTTCTTTGGGTTTAATTCTCCAAACAGTGATGTGGAAAATATCTTGACACTTGTTTAAGAGCATCCATCAGAGTGAAAATGTCATCGTAGTTATTTAATCACAGCAGGGTGATTCATTTTCAAGTAATTAGCTGCTGACATCTACTTCAAGATGGTCGCCGGGCAACCGTCTCTGCTTCTTGCTATGAGTGATGTGTTGTGTAGTTCTTAGGGAAATTCATTTAGCTGCTACACGTTAAATATATTTCACCAGCTAGTTGCTTGTTTGGAGTCGGTGCTTTTTACTGCCCTGTGCATGTGGAAACCACACTGAAAAGAGAGGAAAGACTGAATCAAGGGCAACGTATTTTGCATGCATTCTTTTTTTGGTTGCTCTTAACTTTCAGAACAAATTAAAATGTTTAATACAGATGCTTAATAGCCGTTTCTGCTTAAATATCAGAAGTCTGCTTCCTTGAATGCACTGCATCTACATTTCAAACATGATGCAAGATCAACAAGCTGAATGTACATTCTGTCGGGCCACAAGCTCAAACGTAATGAGTAATTCATCTAAATGTGAAAACATTGAAAACCTATTCCACTTCAAAGAGCCCGGCGGCACTTCTCTTCTGTTGTGCACGCTGTCAAAACAAACCTGTGCACGTTGGTCGCAGTTTAAACTGCTCCCACATCGAATGAGTTTGCATCCATCCTGTAATTAAGCATCAGCGCCGCATCAGGGGGTGTTGCTCAGGACAGGAAGCCTACGAGGCCGGACGCCAGACAAATTATTCCTTTCATTTTTCTTTTGGCGCGAGGCAACGGGCCGACCTTGTTAGTAGAGCACCTCATGTTTGAAGTACATCAGTCCTCTGGCTACGTTCTCTTTTTGGACTGGAGACATGGATGTGACAAACCCCGCCCCCAGAGAATTTAAAGTGAGATAATAATCTAATAAGGGATATCTGGATGAATAATGGATGGATTCTGCTAGAAAACTGCTTATTAATTTGCTAGCAAATACACACATACACAAGCAGATGCCCGTTGTTGGCTGTTTCTGGTGTAAACAGGTTTGCTTTGAGGAGCTGTACCAGTCAGACGTTGCTGGATTGTTAGCTGGGCGTTTCACTGGACCAGATGTGTTGGCTGCTCGTCAGAGGCAGACAGGACGCCGCACACCTGGCTCCCTCTGCACCCCTCCTGTCGTCAGCTCTTCAGTCGTGACCGACTGTTCATGCAGCTGCTTTATATGGTGTTTCGTCACGTGGTTAAATAGAGCCTTGACATATCAACATTTATATAATTATATTAAAATCATAGCAAAGAAAATAGTTTATTGATTTTTTTTGAATAGTTTAAAAATCAAAAATGTAGAGACAAATGTCTTTTTTGTTATAGATTGCTACTTTACAAAAATAAATATTAAAACCGGGATGGAGTTGCTTTTGCTAAATGGGATCCAATCCCTGCAGCCAGAATCCAGCTTGTCGTGGAAGAGAGGGAGGCTGTTACAGCAGCACGTTAATACATCTGGAATGATACATTCGACAATCCCATCTGGGTGTGACTGTCATGTGTCGGAGGTGATCGATGGTTTCCTTTACTAGCCGGAGTCATGAGGTCTCTGATTTATCAAACTGCTGCTGCGCAGCAAGTCTCAAGCTCATTTGTTTCCATTTCCTCCTGGTGTAATACAAAGTGTCAAGGATCCATGCGGACGCATTGATTTTATGACAGTCTGGAGGAGTGCTGCTGCTTGGAGGAGGGTGAGGGCGGTTGGATGCTAAGAGGAGAACTGGAGAGGGGAGCAAGCTCTCGGAGATCAAGACGAATAGCCGATTTACTCGAGTCACCCACATCTGGCAGCTGCACTCGAGTCTTTTAGGGTGTCCTCTTTAACCTTGCGGGTGTAATATATTTTTCTGTGTGTGGGATGCAAAATGGACTGATAGACAAACACAGCGGTTCTCCTCCTCGTGAGGGTTTATGGGGTGCATGCGAGCAGAGTCACTGCTGGATGTTGTTGTTTTCCTGTTCAGGCTGCCGTATTGGCTGGAAAGAGAAAAATGAGGTTTATTGTTTTCTTCTCCAAGACGACATGATCCCGGATCAGCTTGGCTGCAGAGGAGCATTGTAACGTCCATCACTTGACTCCTGTTACGGCTCAGCAAAAATGTACTTACTGTGTGCGTACGTGCGCGCAAATAAATGGATGTGTAATGTTTGGGTAGCTCCAAACACCACAATGTTCAGAAAACTCTTCAAGTATTAAAAATCTCATGTTGTGACCTTTTCAGTGTCATTTATTTACATGTCAAAGATGTGAATCACACAATTTCACTATTTCTATTTTGCCACAATGTGGAGATAAATTACACTTACTATTAGATGATTGTTCAACATTGTGTAAACGCCATTTCATCTTATTGAATCAGAGAGCACTCTCAGAGGAGGTTCATACAAACCGGAGCAAAGGAGACGCATGCTTTTCTCAGGCTTTGGACAACCAATTATATTCTCAGATCGGAGAGACTGCCAATGTTATGTATCTGCTTATCGTCCCAAAAACGTCCAGGGTTGAACATATAGTTTGGTCTTCTGCTTCTGGGGGCCACAGTGATGAAAGGTGGCGTAAGCAGCATGTGAGGAGTGTGAAACTGCAGAGCTAAATTAAGGAGGAGCCAGAATACACCGAGAACATAATAAAGACTTCTTTATCCCAAAAACATAAGGTAACATCAGCACATAGACTGCAACCGTTTTCAACTGGATTGTCCTCTTTCTCTACAAGCCAAAAATGTTTGCCATGTGAATATTATTTATGATGTTCTAATATCATGAATATTCGACACAACAGAAAGAAAACGCTTTTGAGCACATAAATAAATACATATAATTATAATTCCTCATCGTCAACCAGAAGTGTTTTAGATCATGGATTTTGTGTGTGTGTGTGTGTGTGTGTGTGTGTGTGTCAGTCATTGAGTTAATGGAAGGTCTTGTTCTCGGTAATGGAGCCCCTCCCTGCAGGCTGAGTGGATAATTTAATTAATGTCAGCCTTGTGTCCCCCACCTCCCCGTGCTCTGCCTCAGCCTCCCTTAAGGACACATCTCATCTCATGGTTCTCATCTTTGAGACTTGTGTGTCCCCTCACGCCGTCCCTCCTCTTGTTCTTATGGAGCAGAACGGGGGGGGCATAAAAAGTGACGTTTGGGCTGCGGTTGATTTATCCCCGCTCGGCTCCTCGCTCCTCCTCCCTCGGCTGCGGTGCGTTTGAATGTTTATAGAGGAAGAGCCATTTGTGGAGTCGCCGTAATGATCCATGATGCTCTGAGTCGGCGCCGCTACCACCTTCTTCCCGGTTTTAATCAGCTCTCCTTATATCCTCTACCATCTGCTCTGATTGTCTGTGTGTTCCAGGCGGCCTCGCAGGCGGCATAGAGATCTGCATCACATTCCCTACAGAGTACGTCAAGACCCAACTTCAACTGGACGAGAAGGCTAATCCTCCCAAATACAGAGGAATAGGTGAGCTAAAAACTAAAAGGCTGAACGTGGGATTTATTTCAACAATTCAAATAAGTCTTCCACATAACTTGTTTCAACAAATAGTTTCACCTAGCGACATACCTTGCATCCTTCCCTCCTACCTGACCAACCTCCCCACCTTCATTCCTTTCTTATACCTTCCTAGCTATCTACATACTTGCCTACATACCTACCTTCCTCTCCTACCTACATATTGCTGCCTTGCTTCCTTCCTTCCTACAAGCCCCCGTTTCTACCTTCCTATCTAACTGCCCTTTCTACCTAACCGCCTACCTGATTGACCACCTACTTAACTACCGTCCTTGCCACTTGCCTACCTACATTCGTTTCTACCAACCTTCCACCCTGTGTCCCTACTTACCTTCGCACCAACCTAACTTCCTGAAGAATATTCTCCTCTTCCTCCTGTCAGTGCGCCTCTCTGAGGAGCTCATTATCAAATTACCTCTCATCTCTAGGTACATAAGGGATTCTGGCAGGCTGTCACTGTGCTTGTTTATATGACTTGGAACAGACCAATGCACACTCCTATCCATGCGTAGCATGGTAAACATACACACACACACACACACTCTCTCAGGCCGGATGTGTGACTGTGATGTTGGAGGGAGTTCTGAGGATGAGAGATCCTGCTAATGAGAGCTTGAGACAGCTGTTGCTGTCTGTTGAATTGTGCATTTGACTCGATAGCAGGACCTGGACCGATGGGCGGATATCTCTGGACGCAAGTTCAAAGAGAAACGCAGAGTTCTGGTGAAAACACACTGTTGATGAATCACAGAAATTGGTGTAATCTTTATAAGTCTTTCCATACTGATGACACCGAGGGAATAGATTAGTGAATAAAGAACACTGGAACACCGCATGGATTATGCATTTAGTGAAAAGTACACATTCCTGTGGTGGATGAGTGGACTGTGAAAAATACACATTCTTACCAAAGAAATAAGTAAATTGATTGAATGTCATTTTTATTTTTGTGTCTGCGCGTGTGTGTTTTTCTCCAGGTGACTGTGTGAAACAGACGGTTCAGGGTCATGGTGTTAAGGGGCTGTACAGAGGACTCAGCTCCCTAGTATACGGATCCATACCCAAATCTGCAGTCAGGTGAGGCAAATAACAAAGCACACAACAACGAAATGAACTCTATATCAGGTTAAATGAATTATGTCACTCAAGCTTACTATTTTAAGGATAGATCTCAATGTACATAAAGCAATTGTAGAAACAGGGGACACAGACTGAGAGAGAGAGTCTGACATTGTGGTTCTCGTGGCACACGCTGTACCTCAGAACATAACCGTGCATGTGTGCAGTAAAGTCTGGATCTTCTACCTGGAACCACCAACAATTATTCTAGTCCATTACCCACAATGAAAGCCATAAATGCCACACTAGCCGTTGGTACAATTGCACTATTCTTTCATAGCGTTGACATTTATCTCCAGACAAGTGTGCACTATTGCAGAGCAACGGAACAAAGACAAACAACGTCAGGTGCTTTGGTTTTTGTTCGACGGTTCTTTCAGTCACGCCTTTCCTTTATTTCTCTTTTATTTGTGTATGTGTACGTGAGAGTGACGCCTGAGGGCAGAGCCTGTCTGTTCCATGGAGAGACAGGCCCAGCCAGGCAGAGCAAAGATGCCACTCAAACCCAGCGGGGGTCTCAATAGGAGCACACAGAGGGAGACTTGTGTCCGTATTCTGTCAAGGGTGTGTGTGTGTGTGCGCACATCTGAGTGTGTCAGTCAGCTTTTCCCAGAAGGTGTGACTGGTTTTCTCCGTCGTCATGTGAGACTGCACAGTACAGTGGGGTTTGTTCTGGTAAAGGTACATTTAGATTTGATTTACAGAGGATATTTTCTGCTGCCCCCCCCAAGTCGTCCATTCAATCCGTTCTCTGCCTCCCCATCCCATTAGCTGATTGCCTGTGCAGCATCTTGCGCCTAGCAGCCGGCCTGACGGGACAGGGAGGCTCAAGGGAGGAATAGAGGAGAGCGCTTTTGACCTCTCCGTCCTCTTGACCCTTCATCCCATCTACATCCTTCTCTCCTGTCTGCTTCCTTTCTTTCTCCACTTCTTAAGTACCACGCTGACTCTTTTCTCTCCGTACCCCCCCACTCTTCTCATCGCCTCAACTGACCTTGTAGAAAGACCCACTAATGAAGATGGGGAATGACTCATCTCCGACTATGTCAGCCAAAACATGTCACTTCCTGGCGGAGAAGTTCAGGCCACTCGGTAAATGGGTTGAGAGAGACAATTTGTAGAGAGAGAGAGAAAGTAAATTGGCAGAAGAGCAGGAATGACACAGGCACATTTCTCTTATGCAGCTTTTAGGGAATTGCCTTCGTTCCACCATGTTAGTTATTAAGTGCACTACTGTCTAAGTCTAAGAAAGCTGCGGGGAGGTTTTTTGTTCCTTCATATAAAAAAAGATTCCCTTTCAAAACAGTTTCATGGTCAGCTGGTGGCGTGCAGCGAGAGAGTCAACCAAAAGGATTTGTTTTGCTGTGCTGGTTGACAGTGGGGGGGGCAGATGGATGGGTGGAGAATTTCAGGAGTAAGCCTGAGCGAGAAGCAGGCTCGATGTTTAATGGAAGCTAAAATCACCCGAGCCGAGCGAGAGGGGCGAGTCCTGTAAGGAGAAGAGACCGCAACGAAAACAAAGCATTCATCAAGACCCGAGTGTCCGTCCTCCCCCGCCCATCCTCGCTAAATGTACCGGGCAACGTCCTCCCTTCAATTCAATTTAGTCTATAAATAACCTTTCTTGTACAGGACTCACTGGCACAACCTTTTCTGATTGAAGAGATACATAAACCACACCCCTCTCTCTCTTCCTCTGGCTTCCATGGCAGCTGTTCCTGGTCACTCCGGTTTATTGTTGCATCCTTAATGAGGACGCAAGAAGGAGGGATGATAAAGTAAATGCCATAAGCACATTCAGCACAAAAAATCCTTGTTTTACTATGGAGAATGTCCTCATGTTAGATGTAGTATTTCTACTTTTATTGTATGTGTTTACTGTAGCCATTTTTACATTGCCTGTAAGATGACTTTGGGCGATTTAAAGCCACATTGATCATATGATGGTTTAATATATGGCATCGGCCTCGGAGGCAAGTGAAACGAGACCAAAAAGCGCAGCCACAAAAGGAACTTGTTGTCACACGGTTGGCCGTGTGGAGCCACTGTGCACGCTGTTGAATCAGACAGTTCTTTGTCCTACATGCACACGTGCAGTAAGTCCGCACACACTCTGGCCGAGGGGATTCGCCCCCAATTTCTAGCTCTAATGTTGAGGTTCAAAGGGGAAGGACCGTAAGAGGACAGCGCATGGGTGTTTAGCATTGAATATTTCATCTCCACAGAATCATCAATATTGAGGATTTAAATGTTATATAACTAACGCATAGAAATGCATTCGTTGCACATATATTAATGCAAATCACTAGGTTTGTTAAATTGTGTCTTTCAATTTTTTGTTATAATTTATTGCCAGCAAGTGAATTGACAATTTGACGTTACTAGGGCATGTTAACGCTGTAAGGTGAGATCCTGGACATATTTCAAATCAGGCATTTTTTTCGTTATTTTCATTTTGAGCATTACTACCTGAGGGTTCAGGGACCTAACGTCCATTGATCTATTCCTCAGGTTCGGGGTGTTTGAGTTCCTCAGCAATCACGCGAGGGACGAGTCCGGTCGACTGGACAGCACCAGAGGCCTGTTCTGTGGGCTGGGAGCGGGGATCCTGGAGGCTGTCGTGGTGGTCTGCCCAATGGAAACTGTCAAGGTAGGCTCCTAAATCATCTGTGGACAGATTTCAGATGTTTGATCATTTTACTGTTACCAAATGCCCAGCGAAGCAAAATATACCTGCAGCATCTATACCAAGAATTTTTTATGATAAAGCTTTATAAGATATGTCTAATAAACAGATTGGGCGTAGTGTGCTTTTTCAAGGACTGAAACAAACGTCAAAGCCTTCAAGAACTCATAAACAAAAGAAATATTTGCAGCACAAACATTTTGATAAAAAGAAACTCTCCTCGACTTATCCATTTGGATATAGTGTCCCCTACACACAGTTTCCCTGCATCATTTGAAGGAAAGACAGACTAAACATTTCCTGTCTTGTCCAAAGATCACCTTGTTCATTATTTTGTTTTGTTATCTCTCGAGGTTAAATTCATCCATGACCAGACTTCCGCAAACCCCAAATACAAAGGCTTCTTCCACGGAGTCAGAGAGATTATCAAAGCACAAGGTAAAGCCGGGCTGCAGTGCATGTCATGTCCCTGACATCTACTGGTCAAACCGGGTAATGCAGCCAGAAACGGCGCTATTTTACAAAAGTGGAGGCGACCGTGCTGACCACCACACCTCCATGCCGCCCCCTGACATGATGATGTCTACTAAATGTATTCTGATGTCCTTCTTATTGTGTGTTACTTAGGAATAAGAGGGACATATCAGGGTCTCACTGCAACGGTCCTCAAACAAGGCTCCAACCAAGCCATTCGATTCTATGTAATGACCTCGCTCAAGAACTGGTACAAAGGTCAGTGTGTCTTTCTATCGGTATAAAATATATTTGAACAAAGAGACCAACACTGCTGATGGGCGATAGGAGAACTTGTTGGGATGTATGTTAGAAGTTCTCTTAGAAAGTGTTTGAAACTTCAGGGAGGGGTTCAGAGTGCAACTTTGTTGTACGGACTCTTGTGACTCTGTAACATCCTTTCACCAGGTGACGACCCAAACAGAGCCATGAATCCCCTGGTGACTGGGGGGTTCGGAGCCGTAGCCGGAGCAGCCAGTGTCTTTGGGAACACTCCTCTAGACGTCATCAAGACGAGGATGCAGGTACACATTTGTTTGTTTGTTTTCCTTGCTTTCCTTGTGTTGTAGATCAAACTTGTGAAGTTGTTGCCTACTGCTGACATTCATTAGAAACAACAATACTTTTATTTTGTTGCCAAAGGGTCTGGAAGCACATAAATACAAAAGCACAATGGACTGTGCTACAAAGATCCTGAGACATGAGGGCTTGGCAGCGTGAGTACAACTCTACTTTCTTTCAGTTTGTGTTGCAATGGGGAAGCACCCGCTGGCTTCCTTCAATGTTCTTAGTAATCCCATGTGATACATGGAGTCTACATGATTTAAATCTGCCAAACACAGAACACCAGGAACCATGTGACTGTGATGTTTCTGTCTCCTCGTGTCGCCCCGTAGTTTCTACAAAGGGACCGTCCCCCGGCTGGGCCGGGTGTGTCTGGACGTGGCCATAGTGTTCATCATCTACGAGGAGGTGGTGAAGGTCCTGAATGTGGTCTGGAAGACGGACTGAGCCGACTGAGGAGAGGCAGCTCCCTGCTTCATATCACGCATCACATGGGGAGTTTTTTTGCTGAACTGGGATCAGGGTGTATGCTAACCAGTGAGTTAAAGAGCGCGCAGGCGAGGATCCGCAGAGAAGAAAGAGCGCCTCAAAAGAGGCTTGTGTGTCACACAGTGTGCCAGTGTAGAGGTGGGATTATAAAGTTAAGACAAATAACAGCAAAATATGCTTCATCCTATACATACATCCTTTATTCACCATTTAATTTTATATGTGACACTAGGATGTCCAACATGATTCCTTTTACAACAACCTTTTTGCAGACATATAAGTAGGTTATCTGGCTCACTTTGTAAAATACCCTCATATCTTTTCTATTCAGACAGGTGTTCTACTGCTGCCTACCCTGAGTATGCATGCGTCATACTGGAACTTTCTAGGGTTAGCAGGTGTGGCTCTCTGCTTCTTCGTAAGCCTTATATGGTTTTGAAACCAGAGGAACCAGAGTGCACATAAACTGCAGCAAAATCTATAAGCCTTTACTAGTTTAAGTTTAAATGTGTCAATTATTTTTTATACAGTATAGATTCTTATTTGGTCTATTGCCAACATTGTAGTGTAATTACAAAGTATGATACATTTTATTCCTGTGCCAAATTTTGAACCTGTGTTCAGAGTAGCCTGGTGATCGTAACAAGAGAATATATGACTTGTATTGTGACATTGGTTATAAATGTATTTATTGAACGATGAATGTTTAATGTGGACACGGTTGAGGATTTTAAAATCCTGTGACCAGGTCCGGGTGTCAAGGTGTTTTTAATGTTGGGTAAAATATTTTATTTCGGTATTTCAGTCTAAATGACCCAAATACATTTAAGTCACCAACACTAAGGTACGTCAGACCTCTTTTTAACCCCTTAAAAGGAGCCACCCAAACAAAAGGTCCTCTGCTCACTCGTGAAGCAGATTTCATATGTTCCCCACTTCAGTGATACAGGATATGAAAGAAAGAAGAGAATTATCCTTCTGCTGGACCCATTTATTCATTTTTTTTCAGGAAGTCGCTCTCGGTTGGAGCTCCTCCCAATTCGTTGAAATAATATTTAACCTATGAGGAGAGTCGCTGCTTTGTTAATGTTAAGGTCTTTTCAAAGTGCCTTTTGCTGAGAAACATCCACTCAACAGTTGCAATGTGTCTATTACTGTAATAGTTGTAACAATATGCTGATGGATTTTCATCTTTTTCTGTTTGGCCAAACAAAATGCTTTTGTTCCTTGCTGCCAAATAGCGATGATAAATGTAATTGTCACAGCGAATCAATGTACTCACGCCTGTGTGTGTTCTTTCTTTGTGACTTGTGCAATAAATACCGCCCCTCCATTTGTCTGCACTTAACGTAGAGTCCTCTGTTATTCCGGGGAGTGGCAGGGAGGGGGCGATTCAAAATTCAATAAAACAAACATCTAAAAAATTGAGAGCATGCAGAATGGTGTTTTGCCTTTCTTTTTTCTCGTTCAGTTGCAGCAGATCCTGTTGGGACAAACTATGGCGGGCAGGTAAGGGAGGGATCGAACAGGGCACTCATTGTTCCGGTTTTGGCTGATGCTCATGTAAGCTATCGCTCTCTCGCTCTCGCTTCCTCTCTCTCTCTCGCACGCACACACACACACACACACGGGAACCCCCGTTTTTGTTGTGAGAAGGAATGCAAACTCCCTGCAGAAGAAGGTGAGGACAGTGTGTAGTGGATATTTAGGCCCCAATAATAAAGGGAGGAAACTATTCAATTTTTGAAATGTTTTTTTATTTATGAACTCAATCTGCAAGGTATGAAGCTCTAATGTAAATGTAGTGAGGTATAGAGTAGATGTAATATAATAACACCATGAATACCTTTTGGAAAGCGCTGATGTGTGCATGCAAACAAACAGTAGGTGGAGCTGTTGCTGGAGCTTCAAATACATGTGTTTGTGTGAGTGTGTGCGTCTGTGCGTGTGCACGCTTCCTTCTGTGTGACACGCAAGAATCAGTGATGGGAGAGAATTCCTCCTTCGTATCTGTACAATAGGGCTTTATGAGAAGGGTCAAAGAATCTACCCACCTCCCTTCACCCTTACATCATCACTCTTCCTTCTCTCCGCTGCTTGGAGAGACAATTGAGCCGAAAAATCTCATCATCACAGACATCTCAGGCCTTTAAGATCTCATTAAAACTGAGGGCTGAAAAAGTTCATCCTCTCTGATCTTTGAGACATGGTTTTAAAGTTCTGCTTCTTTATTTTGCCCAACATGTGTAAATAGGGGGGCATAAGTTTTTTTAAATCCTAAATACACATCCTTGTATATTTATACCTTGTTTTTCTTTCATTTTCTTTTTCTTTGCCATTGTTCTCAATACATATTTGGTCCATCTCTTTTGACTTGTGACGTCTTGTGACTTGATTTAAAAGAAGAGCAATTTACCCTTTCTTGTTTGATCCATCGTTTTGCCCAGAAAAGGCCCAGACATAAACCTGGTGTAAAGTTGAAATTTACAGTTCATTTTTGTATTCCGTAGTTCCTTCTTTCTAATACCCTTTAACTTTTAGCTGACCTGATATATTTAGTATTGGACCCAGATGTGTGTATCACTTCCTGTTGTGACTTTAGAGGATCAGTGAGCTCACTTATTGACCTGTGATGTGTCTACTTTAACTCTCACAGTGGGATTTGAACCCCCCCCTCCCCCCCCCCCGCTCAGTTTCTCCCCAAGAGTGGGAGGGTGAGTAATGTTATTGTTCTCCAGTCTTCCTGTCTGAAGGGTAGATACTTTCGACTCTTTTTTCTTTTTGTTTTGTGCTGCGGCTCCAAACGGGATCTCTGAGCAGCTGTTGATTATTTTTATGTCCGCATCTTCTTTTCTATTTAACGGTTTTCGCCATAAAGTGGCGGCGCCGCTGTCCGCGGTGCTGAACGGGATCTTCTGATTGGAAGCTGAACTGACATCGTCCTGCAGACATCAGTCCACTCGCCCTTTTTGTGAATCAATGGAAATATTCTGTAAGGCGTTGCGATTGCCTATTTTGGAACTTATTCGGAGAGGTTGTCTCCAAAACTAAATGTATCCTCCGTTTTCATCTCATTTGTGTCTCGAGAGGAGCAACACACCGAGATAAGACACCCTGCAATCACTCTGGTCTGTCGAGCAACAGATTAAGAAATCTGGCGTGTGTGTGTGGGGGGGGGGGCACTGTACGCCAACAGTAGCTGTAAGGGGCGGTGTCCAACACAAGGATAGAGGATAGCTGGTGCGCACACGGGCTCCACTTTTACGGATCGGTTGTTCGCGTCAAGGAGTCAAAGCCGACTTTACCTGGGATTTGGATCTACAGGGTCTTTACCACGTAACTCTGCATCAAGCGGACTGTGTGTGTGCGCGTGTGTGCCTGCTGTAGCGTGCGTGCGTGTGAGCAAGTGTAGGACCACCGGGGCAACTTCTCCGTCATGGGAGCGCGTGGATGGAGCTCTCCGCGTCTCGGTTGGTTCGTCGTTTGGGGATATCTCGCGTTTTTGGTCCCGCGGGCCGAGGCCGGCTGCGGGGAAAGAGAGAGCCCCAACTGCTGCACCGGCCGGAACAACGAATGCTTCGAATACAGCGAGAGGAAGACGGCGTGCTACTGCGATACCTACTGTCAAAAAACCGGAGACTGCTGCGAGGACTATCGGCGCGTGTGTCAAATGTCTGGTGAGTTTCCACCTTGCATCATTTGATGCGCTTTTTGAGAAGCGTGGAAGCTCAACTTTTAAGTGCGCATATCTGTGACGCCTTTTAGTTTGAGCCATGCCTGGCGTTGAGGTGACATGGAGACAGTTGGACATACTGAGACATACTACACATAGCTGTCTCTCTTCACTGCGCCAATGGTGCTTGTTTGTCTCAGCTGATGTTTGCTCTTCATGTGGTATTTTCCCCCACAGCAGGTTCCGTGTGTTTTTAAGTTTGTGGGGTTGACCCCTTGGGGCCCCAAAAGTCATCTATTTGGGATGTGGAGAGAGTGATATGAGCGTAGTGATTCAGAGACTTGAGAGCGAGTGTGATGGCTCTCAGAGTCCCTCTTCCTCCGCTGTCCGCTGCTATATATGGACAAATTCAGGGAATGGACACCATGGAAACGGAGTGCCAAAGATGGTCAGGGTCACAGCAGAACGTGCGTGTGAGTAGTGACAGAGAGGAAACAAACGTAGGTACGTCCGGTGTAAACACACCTACCAGGGCCGCTGTGTTAACGGGCGGCAGCATCCTGTCGCTTAAAAAGTGTGCGCTAAAGTGCTGTGACGCAGTTTGTTAGACCGCTGTTTACTGAGTCCCGAGCCGCCTGCTGGAGCCGAGCGGGACAGCAGCATCGCTCACTACTGCAACTATTAGGATGACTTGAACACTTGTGCTTTGTATTACAATATGATAAACTGTTCCGTTCATAAGTATTCACCCCGTTGGACCTCCCATTTTGGAGTGTGCAAACTGGTATTAAAATATACTTAAATAGACTTTCCATTTGATCAATACAAAACAACCTACTTTTGAAGGTACAAAATACCTTTTAATGTGACACAAACAACCATGAGTATAACAAAAAAGTATCTACCCCCCTACATCTAGAGATGGAAATCCATTCATCTTGGCAAAGACTGAAGCTCAGTCAGATTGGATGGAGACTGAACAACAATTTTAAAATCTCTTCTCAATCTTCTCATTTAGATTGATGTCTGGGATGACTCGTCCAATTTAGAACATTAACACGCTTTGATCTGGCTGCATGTTTAGGGTCATTGTCCTGCTGGGAGATGAACCTCTGCCCCATTCTCAAGTCTTTTGTAGATTGCAGCATATTTTCTTCAAGGATTGTCCTGTATTCGGCTCCATCCATCTTTCCCTCAATTCTGACGTTTCCCTGTACAGCTGAAGAGAAGCATCCCCACAGCATGATCCTACCACCACCATTTTTCCCTGTGGGGATGGTGTGCTCAGGGTGATGAGCAGTGTTGGGTTTCCACCACACAGCGTTTTGAATTTAGTATAATAAGTTCCATTTTCATCTGACCAGAGCAGCTTCTTCCACATGTTGCTATGTCTCCCACATGGAGGCCAGATTTGTGGAGTATACGGGGCTAATAGTTGTCCTGTGGACAGATTGTTCCAGCTCAGCTGTGGATCTTTGCAGCTCCTCCAGAGTTACCATCTACGTCTTGGTTGATTCTCTGATTAATTTCTCTTTGTGTGACTTGTTCGTTTGGTTGGATGGCCTTTGCTTGGTAGGTTTGCTGTTGTGCCATGTTCTTTCCATTTTTTGATGATGGATTTTATGGACCTTCGTGATATGTTCAAAGCTTGGGATATTTTTTAACAACCTAATCCTGCTTCAAACTTTATTCCTGAGCGGTTTGCTGAGTTCCTTGGTCTTCATGATAATCTTTGTTCAGTAATGCTCTCTAACAAACTCTGAGGTTTTCACAAAACAAGTGTATTAATACTGAGATCCAATTGCTGACAGGTGGACCCTATTCATTAATTGTGGGAATTGTGAAGGCAATTGGTTGCAGCAGATCTGTGTTAGGGGTCTATCAGTAAAGGGGGTGAATATGTACTCAACACTTTCCAGATTTTTATTTGAAAGTAATTTTAAAATCCGTGTAAACTTTCCCCCAATTACCAGATGATGGACTGTTTTGCGTTGGTTCATTACATAAAATCCCAATGAAAAAAAATTAAATAAATTATATCTAGGCAGGATAGCGCACCAAAATGGTTTCCCGCAATGATTCGTCATTTGGAATTAGTTATGGAGTGGTGGTGGCCAGTGTGCTGGGAGTCACAGTTAGGGATTGGCCAACCTCCTTCAAGTTTAGAGGGAATGTACCATACAAATTCTACTTTTACAGTGCTCGTTACACATACATTAGGCCCTATATAACCAATCCAGATACCCCAATGATTAAGGTATCTGTATTACCTACCAACCCCCGCCACAACCTCCAGTCCTCACCAGTATTTCTCTCTCGATTTATTCCCTCAGTAAACATTATAAACATGAGTATGGTCTCAATCTATAATTTCAAGTCTTCTTCAATACAGCATGATGTTAATTTATTAACGGGTTGCAAAGAAGCCAACATGGCAACGGCCAACCGTCCAAACTCAAGGCTTCAAAATGACTGTCCACAAACCAATGGGAGGCAACGCTTATGTCCATTTCTTAGACAGTCTATGCCAGCAACTGTTTCGCTCCGTATTTTTTCGCAGACACCGATTTTTTTATTTATGTTTACAGAAACTGAAAACTCAAGGTGGGAGTTGTCTCCTGTTGTAGGAGTACATTATGTCTATGTCAGCCCTACAGCGAGTCTCTAATTGCTCATTCCTCTTCACATGCTCCAGAGAGAGGATGGAAGGGTCCGCTCCTCTCCTACTGTGAAGCCTGGTAGTTGTCATTGTAGCAGGAAGGCGTACCGTAGCCTCTGCCTCAAATACACCAGAGGTTCGCTTATCCTTCATCCTCTGCTTCTCCTCTCCGTGAAGTGCTGTCATGTTACGGTATTTGCTTGTCTCCATCGACGTCGACTCCCTATTTCTTCTTCCTTCGCATCCCCCCACGTTCCTAACCTCTAGAGTGGTGGATGTTTTTGGCTGGCTAGTGTGAAGCGGGCCGGCTGTTGTAGTTTGTCGCCAGGTTTCTCCTAGTGTTTATCTGAAATCTACATAAATGTACACACATTAAACTAGAATGATCTGTCAAGATAATGATTGATTTCTTATAAAGTTGGGCAAACCAACCCTTCAAGACATAAAGAAAATATCCCTTATTAATTCCTGTGGGGAAATTATTCTCTGCTTTAAACCCACACAGTGAAAGCAGTGTGCTGGCGTGTAGGAGACCAGCAGTTAGGGTTTGGGTGTTTTGCTTAGAGACATGGAGCAGCCGGGGTTTGTAACCTGCAGATACCGCCGCACCCTCTCACACGTTCATGTACCCCCTCTTTCCTCTAGCGTTATGACCAAATCCCCCTGTTTATTTTATTTGGCGAATGTTAGCATGCTAACATTCGCCAAATAAATATGTGAACAACGTCAGTGTTTTAATATTGTTACCATGAGCTAATAGCATGCTAGCTTTAGCATATTATAGCCATATCTGGCTTATTTGATTAAATTAATTTCTAATTCAATTCAATTCATTTTGTATAGCCCAATATTACAAATTTGCCTCAGTAGGCTTTACAGTCTGTACACATGCAAAATCCTCTGTTCCGAAACCCACACGTCGGCACAGAAAACCCCCCAAAAAAACAAAAAATGAAATACCCTTCCTTGGTGAAAAAAAGAGAAGGGAGAACATCAGAGGAGGATCCCTCCCCCGGGATGGACGGACTACAATGGATGTCATGTGTACAGAATGAACAATGTATAATACATTCAATTCCTATGACAGAAATTATTCAAATAATGGTGAGTAGTAAGCCAGGTGTACGGCAGGACCACTGCAGGGACAACCACCATCACATAGAACCACCATCCACAGAAGCCTGTGGGGAGGGAGAGCACAAAGACTCACAAGCAAAGGGTAATGTTGGTTTATGATCAGAGTAATGGTAAAATTATTCATATTTAAAATAATAATAATAATAATGGCAGCAGTTGGCAGCAGGGCCGAGGCAGGAATAGGGTCCGGGAACCATGATCCATGGAAACCTGTGAGGCGAGAAAGCACAAATAAAGAAAGAAAGTTAGTGATGCGCAACAACGTTAACCGTAATAGAAATGGGAATATTGATTTGTGGAGTACAGGGTAGTTGAGTTTTTCAGTTTCAGTTGTTATGAAGTGCAGTCAGCATTGTGAATTCTTCTGTCCATGTATGCTGTAGCTCTTATTATTACGCTAGAACAAAGTGTTGGGAGGCCACGCTTGGCAAACACTTTTTTAGGTTGTGCAATTCTCAAAAAGAAAATCTGTCTCAGCTGTGTTTGGATCCTTGTCTCAAGGTGTACAGGAAACATTTATGAGCTAACCGGTTATTAGGGCTCAGTCCCGTGTCCCTCTCCACTATTAACGGGCTCCTCCCTTGTTTAGTCAAACGTAAGGCTTGTCTGATGGGGCCAAGGCGCAGATTAGTATTTGCGGCGGGAGGGTGTTGTGGTCCTCTGAAGCAACTGGACATCTGGGTCCCATCAGAGAGGAGATGGAGCGAGAACACAAGGGGTGGGAGGGTGAAAAGAAATGGACCCAAAAAAAGGAGCCAGATGGGGGTTAAAAAGGGGAGAGCTCGTGACAAAGTGGAAGAGGGAGGTGGACTAGAAGCCAATTGTGGCATGCAGGTCTGATAGGTCTGTTGTTAGTGAAACCCTTGACATAGAAGCTGACTTCAGTGGAAAGTGGAGGAATGCGTAGACACCATTATCTGCAGATTGTCTGTAAGGAGATAAAAGTGATATTTGATGCACAGCAAGTGGTTTGGTTCATTTAATTGCGTTTGTCACTTCCAGACTGGACTACTGTAATTCTTTGTTATCAGGCTGCTCTTGTAAATCTCTTAAGCCTCTCCAGTTGATTCAGAATGCTGCAGCACGTGTATTAACAAGAACTAAGAAAAGATCCGTAGATCGTAGTTCCTTCTGGAGCCTGGTCCTGACACCTGCCGTGGCCCTGCTGACGCCTGATGCTGCCATCATCATCATCATCATCATCATCATCATCATCATTATTTAAGATATTAATCATATTACTGTACTCATAAACCAACATTACCCTCTCCTTAAGTCTCTGTGCTCTTCCTCCCCACAGGCTTCTGTGGATGGTGGTTCTATCTGATGGTGGTTCTATGTGATGGTGGTTCTATCTGATGGTGGTTCTATCTGATGGTGGTTCTATCTGATGGTGGTTGCCCCTGCAGTGGTCCTGCTGTGCGCCTGGCTTACTACTCACAATTACTTGAATCATTTCTGTCATAGGAATTGCATGTATTATTCATTGTTCATTCTGTACACATGGCATCCATTGTAGTCTGTCCATCCCGGGAGTGGGATCCCTCCTCTAACGTTCTCCCTAAGGTTTCTTCCCTTTTTTTCCCTCTTGGAAGGGTTTTTCATTTTTTGGGGAGTTTTTCCTGTGCCGATGGTGGGTTTCAGGACAGAGGATGTTGTATGTGTACTGAAAAGCCCTCTGCGATTTTGGGCTATACAAAATAAAATGAATTGAATTGATTTGGCAATAAAAGCCATAGTGCCATGAACTCCTTCAAACAAACCCACATTCGTCACCATGTTTGTTAATGTAGCGGCGTTAAACCATCCTGTTAAAGGTATAATGTCTACAAGATTAAGGACATGTGAATAAACTTTGTTATGAGTTTTACACGCAATAAGCTTAATCAGAACATCAATGTGTATATACAGCATGTTTGATCATATTTGATCGACTGTGATTTGATTGAATTGTTTAACTTTTTTAAACTAAGCCCAATAATTAGAATTTCCAGTTTTGGGGCATAAAGTTTTATAGATTTTGCTGGTATCATTTGTCCAGTTTGTCCAAGGCCACTATATAAACTGGATCTTCTGCTCTAGAAGATGAGAGAATACAGATCTAGTCAGTAGCGGATAAACCGCCTCGTTTGAGTGGAACCTCACTAGAGTACTTTAAAACACTTACAACACTGAAAACTTAAAAGCTGATCCAAAAATAGGCCAAACATGCTGACAATGAGTGCCATTTGTTTCCTGTATCAGGGGGGTCAGAAGTTAATGGCTTGCTTTCCGACTGGGCACTTTCCCGTCAACAATGGGGGACAGGAGTTTGGTAGGGGGGGGTTGTTAGGCTGTGTCAGGCTGTCAGCAGGGTTAGCGTGTGGGTGGTGGGACTGTCGCACTGGTGGTTCCAGAAACAGAGCCGGCGACCCCCTCGGTTTGTTAATTGCCTTCTGACCTCTGGGGGCCAACAGGTCTGAGAGCCTCAGTCAGGGCCTTGTTGGTGTGTGTGTGTCAATTAGAGATGCCAATAGTTTCCCCCTCCGGTGCGGGAACTTGCTAGCCTACAGGTTTCATTGCCCCTCCAGGGTGTAACAAGCATTGTTTTTGTGTGTGTGTGTGTGTGTGTTGATGAATTGGGAAAAGCGAGTGGCAGGTGGGCAGCACTAATGTACAGGAATGCAGAGATTCCACAGTGGCTTTGTGGATCTGCTGTGTCACTGAGACAGCCCCCCCATCCCCTACAAAGCCCCAACGGGACCATGGGAATGAACTAAAAAGGCGGCACCTTGAAAGCTCTTTCTCTCTCTCTGTCTCCCTCTCTCACCTTCTCCTCATCACACACACATATTTAATCACAGCATTGTGCTGTGCGTGCATGTGTCTGTGTGAACAGGAAAGAGAGAGAGATATTAAAGACATTTAATGAGTTTGTGTATAATCATTTTGTTGTCTACAATTAAAAAAACAATATGAGAACATAATATGGCTGTTTTTTGGTGTTTGTCGAGCGGGGACTAAATGTAGCTTGATTAGACCAGTCTGGGCTTTCATCGAGAGGCCATCTGACTAACACAGCTTCCTCCTAGCGCTTGTAATTTCCCATATCCGCCTACCGAAGGGGAAGCCTGATTGTTTATGTGGTGTGCTGCATTTGAGTGTGTCTGTGTGTATCATTAAATGTGTGACAGAGGGAAACCAGTGAGAGAACAGGCTACACAATTAGCCCCCTGTTTAAACGGCCCCACACATACAGACTTCACAGGGTCACAGACTTCCTGAGTCTGGGGCAGACGCTAATGACCCGGTCGCCCACCGACCTGGGTAAATGCCTTGCCGCAATATTGTGCAACTCCCATATCTGTGTGTGTGTTGCAGCTCACGCAACAGCAGAGATTAGGGGAACATTTGCAACTACATTTGGGGTAGAGATCAGTTCCGGTTTGCGATTGGTTCCTCCCCTTCCTTTTCTGACTTTCATCTCCTCCAATCATGGATGATAATACCCTCTCTCTCTCTGTGTGGAGGTGACCACATTGTTTGTCACCTTAGACTATATAACTCAAAGAGAAGAAGGAAATGTTTGAGTAGCCTTGATGCATGATTGTATGTGCAACTCTGCTCCTGCTTGAAAATCTTTAATTAATAAAACCTGCTCAATGATTTTCCGCCGGAATAAAAATTTTCTAACATCATTGCTCCCAAAAAAATCTCAACATCAGCTGATCTTTGTCTCCCTGCTTCCTCCAGCAGCCATTGACTGTGTGGTGGGATCTTGGGGCCCGTGGTCGCCGTGCACGTCACCATGCGGGGTTGGCAGCACGGAGAGGATTCGCCAAGTGTCCGTGCCCCCAAGGAATGGAGGCACGCCCTGTCCAGACCTCAAGCAGCGCAGGGGATGCTTCGGCAACAACGCCATATGCAGCAGTGCCAAAGGTCGGACCCTGATCTCTTCCTACTTCCCTTTCTGCACGCACTCCCTGCGCTGAACCCCCTTAGTTGTTAATCTCCAGCCGCATCCTCTCAAACCTCTTTTTGCTGTTGAATTCCCAGTAATGATGCACCAGCACTTTGAGTAATTTCTATTCATGGCACAAGACATGCGGAATGTGTTTATACTTCCACTGACCTTTCTGTCATTTATTTTTCCAATCGGTGTCTGCCCAACCTGCAGAGGTGGCAAAAATCCTACCGGATTCTTTTAAGAGGAACTTCAAGGACCCTTGGCGTCGACCTCACATGCTGATGAAGGAGGAGAAGGCCAGGTAAGGCCCCCACCATCAGGCTGCAGACAAACACATACACACACACTGCTGTGTATACTTAGCCTCTGCACTGCTGGCTCTTATGGAATGTTAGTGCAGGGTGGGTAATTACAGGTGAAAAAGGCAGCGCATGGATTGAGCCTGCGTAGAGATTTAGATTTACAGCAGCTCCTTTTTTGAAACTGCTATCAATATTCCAAAAGTAATGATATCTTTAATACTCATGACTACGATGTGATCAGTAATACGTAGCTTTTATGCCAGCAATGGTTTTATTTCAGAAAACCTTTTTTCTGCCAGGTTAATTTCGGTTTCAACTTTGTTTTGTCTCAGAGTTCTCTTGAGGATCAACTTTGTGCTCCAGTAGATTAGAGAAGTCAGAACAGCCCCAAGGCTGCCACAGCACGCAGGGCCTTGAAATTGCTTTGACTGTGTAATATGAACGCTGTCTGCTGAATAGTTGCATCACGAGCTGACCTTTTGCTGATAAGGCCGCCGTGATCCATATGAAAAGCAACCCTCCCTCCTCACCCCCAGACCGTGCGTATGTCGTCTTTGATAGGAGCTGATTGCTGATGTTTTTATAGCTGGAACAATCAAGAGGCCGTGTAGTGAGTAAAATCATTGCGGGTTCTCTCTGATTAAAGAGATCATAGAGATCACTTTGTTTTGACTGAAATGCAAAGCGTCGGGGGGGGGATTACCCATAAACATACGTGTGTGTGTGTCACAGAATCAGGGCGGGCTTTCACACAAACATCTAGTGACCCCTGGGAATGAGGGTTGACAACGACAGGAAATGACGATCGTGATTGTCTCTGGATCGCTTGTTATTCTCTGATAAACCAATGATGGGAAAGTTTCAAATTGTATTATAGTTATGAAGGTCTGACTTTAAATGTTCTGAACACCAAGGCAGGTGTTTCCGTTCCACCTGAATGACCTCTTCTCAGTAGAGTGTGGGGCCATGTGCAGACTGACATGTCACATGTTGTTAGGGGGCGGGACAAATCACACCTCCATCATTCCCATTGATAGATTTGTGAATAAATGCTTAACCTGAGCCGATGTTTAATCAGCCGGAATAACTGAAACCCCTTTGTGGCTTTTCACACACTTCTACATAGCGTGTTAAAGTCTTTCAGGGATTAACACGTAGGGGTGTTGTTGATATTTAGGGTAGTATTTCAGCGCTACAAGGGCTAAGAGGATGCTTTGTTTGAGGTTCAGCACCACAAACCAGTTCAAGTCGGTATGTTGAAACGTTCCCTCATACAGTCTAGCATCATTTTAAAATAATCCCAAAGGTACATACTAATGAAGCATTTGTTGTTAATTGACTTCTATTTGTGTTTTTTGCTCTTGTTGTGTTTGCCTTGTTGCAAAGTTTTGAATCACAGTCCCATAATAATGATACAAGAACTTAAAAATGAAAAAGGCACTCAAGAATCACTATATGAAATAATAGTGAACGTTTCTTTCCAAACCACCCTACTGAAGATGATAAAAACAAAATAAATAGTGTCCTATAGTTCAAAGGGACAGGCAGAGATTGAGCTGTGTTGATATTTTCCGACCACACTGCTGGATCCCTTTCAGAATGTTTGTGTTGTAAGTTTGGATGAAATATTTAGTCTGACTGCTGTTGTGATTTCAAAGAACAAAATATCAGGTGTTTAGCCTAATCGACCGTTCTACCCTGACCCCTTTATTCTTTCATTTATTTTGAATAGATATGAGAGTCAAATCTGCTGCAAATGACTTTTGACACATTTCCCTGGTTGCAGCTACTGTGTGTACCTGCGGGTGAAGCAGGCCAGCGCAGCCTGTAGACTGAAACTGTGGAGTGCCCAGCTGGTGAGAGAGAGGCTGGTCTGTGCCGAGTGTCAGAGCGATGCCATGTCAAAGTCCGACCACTGTGGAGGTGACGGCCTGGAGAGCACCAGGTAAACCCAATTAACCTTACTAAACCGAACTAAACCCAACAAACCGAACTAAACCTTACCAAACCCAATAAACCCAGGTAAACCGAACTAAACCCAATAAACCGAACTAAACCTTACCAAACCAAACTAAAGCCAATAAATCCAAATAAAAGAAAACTAAACCCAATAAATCCAACTAAAAGAAAACTAAACCCAATAAACCCAAATAAACCTTACTAGATCCAATAAACCGAGATAAACCCAAATATACCTCACTTCACCCAACTAAACCCAAGAAAAACATGTTCATACATCAGGTGTCTCTGAAATTCTCAGTTTAGGGCAGAGCAGCTTTTAATGTCACGCAGCCATCTGCAGACAGGAATGAGCCCATGAGCATGGCACCAAACGTGACTAATTAATGTCTTTGCATGCAGTTAAAGGTGCCGCATGTTGAATGATGAACCGCCAATGTAGCTCAATCAATGGAGGTCTGTGGATCTGAAAGAAAGGAAAAACTTTGGGTGACACTTTGTACCCTATATATGATGACCATGTACATACAATAGTGAACAGTCAGAATAAGCATCCATTGGTCTGTCTAAAATTGAATCATTTGGAAAAAATTGTCGTCTACCCCCCCGCCTCTCCCAAAAATCAAAAATCAATCAATGTCTAATAAAAGTAAGTAATTAATTAGCTCAACGCCCATCTTTGTCTCTCTGTCTGTCTGTCTCTCTGTCTTTGTCTCTCTCTCTCTTACCAGAACCTTCTGGGCGGCGGCCTCGGTGCCGGGCTGTCATGGCTCCTGGGTGCGAGAGTTGTCCTCTGATGGTTGCCGGTGTCCCCCCTACTCTGTGCTCTTCGTGTGAGCCGAAGCGCGAGCGACCACACGCCCACACGCCCACAGGGGAAGACCAAGCCAGACGCCCCCCACCCACCGTACCCACCACCACCACCACCACCCCACCACTACACAACCCCTTCCAATCCAGATTAGCGGATGGGTAAACTCAAGGAGATCAGCAGCATCCTGCCACTTGTCCCCCCCCCTCATCATACTCTGTACTGTACACATTATTACCTAAGCACACCAAAGGTCTCTCCTTTAACTACTACAGCCACATTTTGTACTTATCCTCCCTTTCAAAGCACAGCAGCATCTATGTACCTTTGTTTTTCTTTTTACCTCTGAATCTCTGCTATCTACCTCCATCAATTCCAGTGCACTTGTTATTGCATAATGTATAAATATATAAATATATTATTTTGCTTTATACATTTTCTACCTTTGAGCGTTTATGTGTTATGTATATGTACTTATATATCCACACGTATTGTATCCAACAGTCGAAGAACACCAAACGGCAGTGGAAGCCCTCAGCCAGCCGCCCTTTAAATGGAGAATCCTAGAACTGGTTCTTCAGAATTTTACCCGACCACCTAAACCCCTTGAGTCAACATATCTGTGTTTTCACAGTGTTGTCCCTGTTGTTCTTTTTTTTATCCGTCAAAATACATTCATAGCAGCAAGTCAAGTTGAACATCAGATATTGATTCTCAGGTGCTAGTCGACTTTGTTCTCCTCCCCTGACGGTGTTTCAGTATAAAGGGACTAATGGCTTGTCGAGTCCTGACACTGTTGGAGAGAGTGGAGAGGGAAAGAAGGAGGGTTAGGAGGGTTTCACTACGCTTCTCGCTGTCCTCAGAAATCCTTTCAGCCAAGAGCCATCCAATAGAACCACCCGCGTACCGCCATATAACTCCAGTTCTATTCCTGCAACAATCTGCTCCATCTGCACTTCTTTTTTCCCTCTCCGCCCTCTACGGACTGAATTGTGACTTTCTCTCTCCATGTCTCTGTGTTTGTGTGTTTATTTATTATAATGATGTTATTAGTGCAGCACAGCATACTCTGTACACTGTCCATAAGTGAAAAATAAACTACTATACTGTCCTTTCTTCTCTCCCTCGGCCTGTAACCTTGTCATATTTTGTAAAGTATCTTTTTTGTATCATTCAGATGTCCCACAGACCACCCATTAGCATTTCTCACCCCTCTCCTCTGCAATTACTCCTATAGGGCCCCCAGCCCTGCTTAAGTATATCCCTCGGTTTGACCAAATGTTTGCACGCAGCGCTATGAACATACGCAGCGCGTACCTATCAACATCAACTTTTCTGGTCACATTCATGGCATTTTTTCGCTGGGATGACGACAGGCAAAAGGACAACTAATATATATTATTATGTTTGACGTTTTTTTATTTTTTTCCCCTGGAATTTGGGGGTGTGCTTATGTGATGTGTGGATGTCATACAGTCTACCCACGAGAGACACAGGACATCCTACATCATAGTAAGAATCTTCTGTGGTTTTCTCAGCAGCTTTGGTTAGAAAAGAAGACGTCCAATTAGAAAAAGCCAGCTTGCTCTCCTCACACATCATGTATGGGCTGATAATTTAACGCGTAGGGAGAGCGCGTGTCTAAGTCTCGTCCCTAAACCTGAGAGATGTTCATGAGGCCTTTGCACAGGGTTTTTTGCACCCACAGTGGCTTATAGCAGGAGACTCAGCTGCAAAGGTGGGCTAAAGCTCGACGGACATATTTGAGAAGGTAAATGTCTGGGCTTTAAGTTTAAGCGACTTTGAGACACATCAAAGGTCACTCACGCTTTTTTTTTCATGGAATCTAAGCATAAAACAAGAAAGATCAAATCAACACCTCCCTAGTTACTCCTTTGAGAAAGGTCACTTTTCTGTGCTCCATCTCTGAGCCACTTGAACCTCGATGTACGGCCTCCCCGTCTGTTTCTTCACTCCCTCCTCCCCCTCTCCAGATCCCTTCCGTCAGCACAACTCTTTCTTTCATTTTACTACCACAGTGGCAGTGGAGTACCGTTAGCCTGGCCGTTCCCTCTGAAGGGGGCTTTACCCCAGCCTGCACCCCTTCCTGGCTGCCCTGCTTTCCAAAGGGCAGGAAGGCCCCGTCTCTGGGCCGGCTGCCTGATGTGCTCCGACAGCAGTGTGTTCTGGGATTACGCGCGGTGAAAGGGGGGGGGCATTCCAGCACCGACGGGGCTTTGTCACAGCGCGGCCACTGTTTGCTTTTGACACGACAGCTGTTCAAAGCCAGCTATCCCGCCCCGCCCACAGTCCCCCCTCGCCCTCAGTCCAGGATGGCTAGAACCCGGGGGTCACTTCCGCTCATCTCTGCTGTCGCTGGATGCATGATGGTACCTCCACCTGAGGTCGCCTCAGCCCAGCGCCGTATCTGGAGACCCAGAGAGACATTTCCATCACACAGCAGTCCGTCCAGCTGGGGCCTCGCTCTGTGGCCCGGAATTGGTTACTGCTCAAGCAAGTAGGGTTTATATGTTTTTGGGGAAAGTCTTCTTGCCTCCAGTCCTAAGGTGTAAACTTTGCTACGATAACCTTATATCACCACACTTTTCATGGTACAGTGCAGGGTTGTAGCTGAGGATGATAGGCCCCGACACACCCACTTCACCACCGTCACCCTCCACACATGCACAACTGGAACATAACCCAATGCCCCAGCAGTTTGGTGCTCTTGGCCGGTGGTACCGTCATTTTACCCCCTCTGTGTGTGTGTGTGTTTTTGGGAAGTGTGTACTGTAATCAGCTAGCCATCCTAATGAGGGCTTGTTGCCACGGAGGGAGCATCTGGTCCAACACAGGAATGATAATGAATAGATGCCTTGACATGAGGACCCAAGCTACATACAGCAACACAGCTGGAAGACCAGCCGTCGTAGAACACAGACACACACACACACACACACACACACACACACACACACACACACACACACACACACACACACACAGCCTGTGGTGGTCATCAGCGTCTTTCTTTTCAATCGAAAAACGTTTTTTAAATGTTAGTTTACTTGAGATTTTAAAAATTCCCTATTCTACTTCCACCTATAAAAACATCACTGTTCATCATTCATTATGCTGTCAAACTATCAAATACCATGTTCCCATCAAATAATGGCAGGAGGAGCCCATGTGGGTCACCCTGGAAATGTGGCGCCACCTCATGGGAACACAAGTGTAAGACTTGCCTTTTAAATGGTTTTATTGGGTATGTGCCTTCCATTAAAGACTACATGATATAAATGTGACCATAGTTCCTCTCTTTTTAAACATTGGAATAGGCTTGTTTTTGTTTAAGTGGTTTGTCTACTCTACTCAACAGAGAAGAGATGATTCGTTAAGAGTTCTTTTCACATTCACAGCGAGCTTCTTCACATTCTGCCGAATTCAACACAATGTTCATCTGTGTAAAACGAGGTATATAAAGGCAGGGGGAAGGAACATGAATGATATACAAACAAAGGGAAGCATCTCGTGGTGAGATGAAGACAAAGGCTTGTGTACTGGACATATTATTGTAAGGCAGAAAGTGACGTGCAAGTGTTTGGTACATATGTGGAATGCAGGACGTTAGCGTTGACATGAGTCACACACACAAAAACATTCTAGCTTTGGAGGCATTCCATGTTGTTGTCCATCTACCAGGTTGTTTATAATTAAAAAGGAAAAATGAGCTATTACTTCATTTGTCAAACACTAATCGCCAGTGAAGCTTCGGAGGGAATAACAACAAAAAAAAGAACAGTACATTAAACACTGAATACACAAGTTAATAAATCAGTTTCTTGAGTTGAGAGGATTTGTTAAATCAACATGTCAGAATAAAATTGAGTAGAAAGAAGATGTTGTGGCCAAATGGAAATGACTGAGTAAGTCCCCCAGAGGAAAAAAAGGATCAAAATATCTTAAAAGAACACAGGACTCATTGAGCAGAGTCTGATGGAGAGCCGCGTTGAAACGGCGACCTGATGCCGTCTTCCGTCCCGCTAGGTCCAAGAAGTGGTTTTATTTGAGGTTTTTAATCTGTTGGTTCGTGTTGTGGATCTTAAGATCCATCTTGTCCACTTTGTTCATCAGAGAATCGATGGAGTCATCCTGGTCCTCTATCTCGGACTGAAGGCCGAGGCCGAGGTTCTTCAGTCTGCTCAAGCCGTCGCACATCTCATCTAGGTCAGTCAGAGGGGACATTAGTTAAAAGGGGAGCAGATGGGATATGGTGGCAAACAATATTCAGCTAAATTCAAATAATAACCACTTAAATTCAATTTATTTTATTTTTTATAGCCCGATATTGCAAATTTGCCTCATAGGGCTTTACACTCTGTACACATGCGACATCCTGTCCCGAAACCCACACACAAAAAACTCATGAAAACCCTTCCATGGGGAGAAAAGTGAAGAAACCTTAGGGAGAACATCAGAAGAGGGATCCTTCTCCCGGGATGGACAGACTACAATCTATGTCATGTGTACAGAATGAACAACGTAAACAATGTATAATACATTCAATTCCTATGACAGAAATTATTCAAATAATAAGAGTGTAATAGAACAGTGCTATAAGTCAGTGTTAATTTTGGCAGCTATTTTTAATTTAGTCTTAGTCTTTAGACAAAAAATGCATATTAGTTTTAGTCACATTTAGTCATTTTAATCCTTTATAGTTTTAGTCGACGAAAACTAGACTAAAATGTAATTAGTTTTAGTCGCATTTAACAGCCATATTAAACTTAAACAGGGACCCCCTGTGTTGTGTACTGCATAATAGTCTAGCTTGCAGTATCTGGTTGTCCATCAGATGTCCCTCCTAGGACAGGTCTATAGCAGGGGACGGCAAACTTTTTGACTCGCGGGACACAATGGGTTGTAAAATGTGACGGAGGAGCCGGGCCAAGAACAAATGGTTGAAGTGTTCGTGTGAGCTGATATAAATGACATGTGAAAAATCCTTACATGAAAGGATTTGGATTTTAACAAATAGCAAAGCATTTATTTGCAAGGCAATTCAACAAATTGGCAAAGATGTAACAACTTCACGAGAACCAGGGATCTAAACGCAACACTTTGTTGTCTTTGTCTGTTTACTTGCAATGCTTTTGACATGGCCACCGGAAACTTCATGGTCCTTTATTGTTTCCACTGTCCCAACAAAATAAAATAGAATAAAACGTCCTACAATCGTTGCAATACATTATTTTCTTGGCTTCAGAACCTGCAATGAGTTTATTATGTTAGACGCGTTTGTAACGGAGCGTCTCATCCAGCCGAGGAAACGCTGCCGGCTGTCGCCAGAGAACAGAGCAGAAAGGTCCGACAGTCTGTTAAACGGGTCTTCATGTTTCTGTGAAGCAGAGCGGCTTCATCCTGCTAACAGGCAGCTAAACCGAGACAGCTGAGCTAAACTAATGAAGCCACATTCAAACTCGCTAAAGCGTAAAATAGTCGTCGCGGTCCGTAGTCGTGCACAAGAACCACCGCTGCACCGATGCGTGCGCGCGTTCTGGGTTCGTGGATGACGTCATCATGACACGTTAATATCCGCCGTACTTTGCCTGTCTGTTGTCTGTTAGATCAACCACCAACATGTTCGTTGTCTTGTCTCATTAACGAAAGTCAGAATAGATTTAGTCATAGTTTTTATTTTTTAAGATCGTTTTTGTCACGTCTTAGTCTCGTCTTAGTCATGGAAAAAAGGTTCGTTAACGAAAAATTTACGTCATAGTTTTTGTCGACGAAATTAACACTGCTATAAGTACATCTTCTTTAACCTTTCCACTTACTGCGTTTTATTAAACGCGTAATAAAATCAATTTTGGTGAATAGGTTTTTTTACCCAGATTGTTATCGAGCGTCTTGTGAGCCTCCCTGAGGTGTCTGTTCTGAGGGTATCCATTATTGCCAGATGAGCCGTCATCCATTGACGCAGACGCTCCGAATCCTGAAACACAGACAGGGGGAACAATGGCAGCCGGCTCGTGTTAGCGGTTATGCCCCGTCGAGGGTCTGTGGCAACAAACTCTTACCTCCCGTGTCCAGCTTTCTTAGATTGGGGTGGCTGGCTTGGTACTTATCTTCGTTTCCTCTGCTGCTGGAAATGGCGGTCTGTAATCTGAGAGAGTCAGACGAGAACAGACTGAACACAACTCCCAAACTCGTACAAAGGATTTGAGTATGGCGCAATGTAAGACATTATATTGTTATATTTAGTAATAAAATGATGCCCAGATGTATTTATTTTTATTCAGCGCTTAATATTAACTGAGCTGCCTTTGTAAACTGTTCACAGCGCTTCACTTTTTCCATATTTTGTTATCTTACACCCTTATTCCAGAACAGATTGCACCCCCATAATAATTTTTGCAAATCTATTAACAAAAAAACCCCCACAAGTACTAAATAAAATATTCTACTTCCCAGCAATAGTTTTAGTCTAATTTGAATATTGCAGTCACACTCATATTTATGCTATTCATATTCATGCTACAAGCGTGTGCCACGCCTGTAGCATCATACTCAAGAAGGCTGTAATTGCTGCCAAAGATGCTTCAACAAAGTATTGAGCCAAGGCTGTGAATACTTATATACGCGTTCATATTTGGAAAAGGTGAAGCGCTGTAAAAACCTTACGGCTGTAACGTACCTCCAGAAAAGTTATCATAGAACCAAAATTAATAGAGAAACGGTACAGAGAACAATACAAACCAATACAAGCCCATTTCACTTTTGACCAGCTGGAAATGTGTATGATTCTTCATTGAAGAAAACATAAAAGACTTGTGAGAACAGGGACATGAATCTTACCGGTCGTTGGCCTGGTAGGCCTTTGGCTCCTCGGGTGGGGGCTTCACCTCTGGCTTGCCCTTGAAGTAGTTGACAAGGCCCCCCCACACGCTTTTGATGCCGTTAATGTGCTTCTGGCTGGTCTTCAGGTCCTGATCCATGTTGTCCATCATCTTGTCGGCCCTTTTCAGAACCTCACCCTGTCTAACCAGCTCCTACAGTGACAACGCGATAGATAGCATGTTGTTGTTCAGGCTCTGCACGGCAGGGTAAAGCTAATACTACATTGACGCACCTCTGCAGTTTCCACACCAATCTTCTCCGATTGATAGAGGAGTCCGAGGGAACGGTGACTGCTGTCCACAGCAGACTGAGCCGTGCGCATCACTTCCTGCTGGAGGTACCGCTGCCTTCTCTCCGGTTCGCTCATCTCACTGTCGCCCGGCTCGTCCTCCCACTCCCTTCTTTTGGGCCTGAAATCGTCCTCCTCATCGTCCGCAAATGGGTTGTGGGATTTCGGGTAGGCCATCTGTGGAGCACACACACACACACACACACACACACACACACACAGTGTGTTTTGACAAAAAAATAATCTCAACTCTTCTAGCCGTTTCCAGAGCTCTCGTCGTCTTCATCCATGCTTTCTGAGCTCAGAGAGAGAGATTAGGGGACTAAAGATAGAAATGGAAACAACATTAAACTTCAAATTGACTATCTGCAAGTTAAATAATTAGTTTTTAATAACTAAGTAACTCTATTGAGAAATCCAGTCTGAATACAAACGAAAAACCATGAATTTCTTTTCTTAATTTCATTACAATGTAAATATGCAATTCACTATAATTTGGGGGTGTTGTAGCTTCCATGTGCATCTTTTAACAGTATACATATATAAAGCATATTTATGTAAATTGTCATAATAATGTCAGGCAAGTAAATATTCTTAAGAATTAATGATGATTTGACAAATACTTGCTCGATTTAAAGCAGAGCTACTTAACGCTTTCCTGGTTTCCTTGTGATTGTTAGCTTCAGCTTCTATATCTGCAACACCTACTGGCTCATTTTGACAAATGACACACACGGTAGCTTCGTTCCAGGTGCTAACTGGCTACGGGGTGTTGACTGGTTGCTAACGTTGACCAACGAGGGTTGAAAGCTAACTAACTAGCAGCACCTTTGAATACAATGTGCTGCTAATCTCCTCGTAGAACGGATGGCTACAGTAAAACCGGAATGAGAATACCGTATGGTTAACTTAATGCACAAACCTTCGACCGTTGAACTTGTAGCCGATGTCGTTACTCTATCAGCTGACTGTCGGCAACTAAGCACTTCCTGTCAGATTTGTTGACGTCACCGCGTTCTGTCTCAGCGGCTAATGCTGCGCAACAAAAACGCACCCCGTGAAATTGCAGCCCAAAAAATAATTAAAATGACACTAGAATTTTTTTTACCTTTTACCTTTAATTAAAATACTATGTTTTAATCAAACGCCATGGACTGTATGTGCAATGCAATGCCACCAAAATAGCCCTACACGTTGTGGTTGTCCCTGCTGAGTTGCCGTACTGCGGCTGCGCCAGCTGTCCGTGTGTTTTCACTATCGAGGTTTCGCAGCGTTTCTGCAGTTTGATGTGTGGGCAAATATGTCTGCATCGGGAGGCGGTACGAGAGGCTTTTACTTCAACACAGTACTATCGCTGGCCCGCTCTTTAGCTGCCCACCGTCCAGCGCCGGTCGAAAAGGTGAGGAGAAAACGGAGTGAGCTTACGATAAATTAGTTTTTTTAAAGCGAAGTAGCTCGCGATAAAACAACAGGGTGTCGCTCCACTTCCGCGCACAGTCGGTGGCTGCTTTTGATCTAGCGTTATGATGTGACATTTGACAGCCGCATATATCCGTAAATAAAACTCCCTTCCTGTTGTTATTTTCCCAGCGCAATGGAGGAAGCAAAGCAATGGTGAATAAAGTGGCTTGGCGGCTTGCGCGGCTCAGCACTGCAGTCAAACAGGTTGATAGTGGAAGGCTCTCGGTGCGCCGTGTTTTCATGGCAAACTGTCACGAGCGCGCGCAAGTCCAACGTTCATCCCGGTTATTGGGGCAATAAAGGGAGATTAGTGTAAACACAAGTTGGAATTATGTTTGATACCAAAATATATGTCAACATAACAAGTTAATCATCAATGCACTGTTAACGAGACATTTCGTTCTATGGAGCATTTGCGTTTAATATAAGTTGACGCCAGTTTTAGATGTGTTTTTATGGGAACGTCACAATTAATAATATCATAATTCATAAATCCTTGCTATGTTTATGATTATGCCAGTAATAGTCGGCCGCAACATAACAAAAAATGGTTCATACCTTGACAGCATTATAAATATATTATTGATCCCCAGAAATAGATAAGATAATGTAGAACAGATATCTTCAAATTAAATCAGAAACATGTTTTCCATATGCCTTATGCAACAGCAATAGGGCAGATCTGCTAGATATTTCTGTTAAACTGTATTAAAACATGCAATCAGTCTTGCAGAGGTATTTTAACACCACACTACGTGCAAAAAAATCCAATGTGTCTGATCCCCTTGACTAGTTCATTTTCTTTGTTCTCTCTCAGGTCCAAAAGCTGCAATGCATGTGTCCAGTGGAAGTCAGGGGCGTGTTCACTCTGGACGTAAGGCGCAGAGATGCTGTGGTTGCGCTGGCTGTGTTTCTGGTGGAATCCGGCCTACAGGTGGGTGGTAGTCAGTGGGCGTTCCATTGTCCGTTCAAACATTCACTGTTTGGACTGTGCTTGTAGGTAATGGACAATATGGTTTCAGTTTTAAACATAGCACAGGTTACATCATTTATATTTTTTGTTTTTATCAGATAATATATATTATCATATTATATTATAGTATCATAAATACTTTCAGTACGCTTTTGCGACTAGCCTCTCAGCAGAACTGCACATATGTCTACATGGTCATTTTATTTGCATGATCTGATTAAACGGGCAATTAGGCACTCAGCTGGCCATCACACTAAGACACGGCGAGGAAAGCTGCCCTGCCATCTGATTATATAGGCATGGTATCTTGTAGTTGGATGTACACAGCCAGTGAAGTAAACAGTAGTGCCGTTCTGTGCCAGTGCAGTAGCTTGTGGTGTGTAATGTTTTGCTTCACTCTGGCAGCACAAAGACACACTTGTTCCCTACTTGCTGAGCCTATTTAGAGGGCTGCCACGGGTCCAGTGGATTGAAGAAAGGTCGGGCAATAAAGGAAAGGGTGAGAACAATACTCTTACAGTGGGGCCTTTTTGTTTTGCAATGGCCTCCATTTACTCATTGTAACGATCATATTAATTTGTAATATGTATATAAGATGATTTTTTGTATCCATAAAATGCCACTTGCTTCTTTGCCCTTTTCTGCTTCTCAGAATTTCTCCCGGTTGCGGAAAACTTCAGCTACTCTCTGGTGACTCTTTTGTCGGATGTGGCTCAGAGGGACCCAGACTCCCGACAAGAGGTCAGCTTTGAAAGTATTAAAATAATACACAGTTCCTTGATCAGAATGCAGTGTATTGCAGTGCTAAGATACCGTTTTCACTGCAGATCATGAACACTATAATGGAGGTCATGCAGTCACTGCAGGACATGTGCCAAACACCTGACGATCATGATAAAGGTGCAGTACACACACACACACACACACACACACACATACTCTCACACAAAATGGCAAAAAACACTTGCTGTAGCAGCAGTCCACCCAAACATCCTCACGGCTGCTCTCTTGCCTCCAGTCTACTTGTGCAGGTACGTCGTCCCCAGCCTGCTCGGCATGACTCGGGCATTTGGCCGGTACAGTTACACAGACGAAGCCCTGCTGTCCAAGCTGTTCCCCAAAGACTCTCCCCGGGCCCGCTGCGTCCCGGAGGAAACCGAGGGGGTGCGACGCAGGTCCTTCAACGACTTTCGCTCCATCATGCCGTCGTCGCTGCTCACAGTGTGCCAGAGCGACAGTCTGCGCAGGAGGACCGCCCTGGATCACTCTGCACAGGTGTGCGTTGTGTGTGTGCATATGTGTTTGTGTTTTTAGTGTGACTGCAGAGTTAGGATATCCTCACATGCTTATTAGGCCTCCCCACTGGCATTGTTTATTTTTTTCGGTTCGTCCGTCAGACCAAAAGATGTCCACCTGGACTCTAGAATGACCTGATTTAAATTCTGGTAGTCAAAGGTCAAGGTCACAGACCACAACAATTATAGCTTGGAGGGTTACACCTGTAGTTTTTTTGGACCTGGCACAGACAAGTTCAACAGATAATTGGGTCAATGGCGCATGGAGTAGAGAGGATGCGCCGGGAACCGCGCGGTTGGCGGTTCCAGCCCCGGTTTCTCCATGTTCCATGTCGAAGTGTCCCTGAGCAAGACACCTAACCCCTAATTGCTCCCCGGGCTAAAATATAAAAGCCATGGGTTAAAAAAAAATCCAATGTAAGTCTCTTTGGATAAAAGCGTCAGCTAAATAACCTGTAATGTAGTAATACTTTGGTGGTCAGAGGTCACAAAACATATTTCTCATGACTCAATAATTCATATCCCAATCATGGCAGTTTCACACCGATGTCGATCAGCGAGAGAAGTGTACTCTCAGATGACTTGTGTGTTCAGGCAGTGGTTGAGTAAGTGCGTAAAACGTAAGTTCAAAGATGCACATGGCAACAGACCTGTTGGAGCTTCTTGCCTCCATCATTTGAAGCAATTCTGGTTGAAACAGGTAATTAGGGCAGAACAGAATCAGCAAGAGATCATTCAAATATGTGCACATTTGATACAGGGACAGTTTTGTATTGGACAGTTGCTTGAGAAGAAGCAATGTAACACTTATTTCTTAACCCGGTGGGGCTCACACACTGTGATTAGCTTCCGGAAACCTGCTTGCTGCTGTTTGCTTGCTCATTACGTTGAGCATCAAGAATGGGTTCCAGGGTGCTAGTTGACACCTCCTTTGTGTGTAATGGGGTGTTCTGGACTATAATTAGGACGGGCAAAGAAGCTGACATTACAGATACAGATTAGCAGATACAGATTACTTACCGACTCTGTCTGAACAAAAAGCGCAGCACCACAGGCTCTTATTTCCCTTTTTATTCTCACTTCACAGCGCTGAATATAGACGGAGCTGCTGTAAAATACAAAAGTGTATGCTGTATTTAATAATGTACAGAGCTCCATCTTTTTGAGGAAGCTTATCCTTTCATCCCGCGGATGGTAAAATCAAGATCAATAAGATGATCCGAGAGCCTGGCTGAGTGATTGGCCTTATCCCGCACTCATTTGAGGTCACTGTGGAAAACTCTGTAATTGTTTTGTCTTGTAGGTGTGTTCAGATTCAGGGGGCCACTCGCCCTGCTCTCCCACAGCTGCTGGACAACATTTCTTTGAAGGTAAAACCAAAGAAACGCAATTTGCTTGTACTACATTTATGCCAACCCTGACCCATCACATTGTTTTACGTAACAACTACTGTATCTGTCAAAAGTTTGGACCCTTTTTGTCATTCAAGTCGATGAGAAAGTGTGTCTAAACTTGGACTAGTACATTACCTACTTTCATATTGGTGATCCCACTGCAGATATCTCTGGTGTGCTCTAATAATCCATGTTGTGCGTACAGTGAAGGGGATTTAATTGGGGTGAACCTTGTGCTTTGCTTGGTACCACACACCATGCATTCAGCGTTCCCCTTTTACTTCAGGGGCCTACCTCCCGGACAGCAGCACACTGGACCCCGACCACTATTTCTCAGCAGTCAGCTCCAGTTTCTCAGTGTCTCCTCTCTTTATGGAGGCTGAAGACGAGGTGGAGGTACCTGTGGATCTGCTTCGACAGCTCCTGAGCATGGTACAGTGGCCCGGCACACACTTACCATGAAGCCTGTGTCACCCCCCTTTAAGAGGATGTTGGTTCTTTACCGGTGCTTGTGGGTGTCGTCTATTTGCAGGTGAAGAAGTTTGTGTCTGAGACGTTTTTGAAAGCTCTGGATGCCATCATGACGGAGGTTGGAGAGGTAACTATGCAACCGCTGTCTGCACTAAATGTTGTGATTGCATTCCATTATCTCTTGATTAATATTCTGTCATTGTCTCTTCTGTTTGTTCTTCAGTCTAATCCTGGAATCAACTTCTACTACAAATCCTTCAGCGACACTCTCTATGTGTGCATGTTCAAAATGCTGCGGGACACTCTGTACTATATGAAAGGTAAAGCATCCGGAAAGGCTCATTTCTGATGCATTTTTGCTGTATAGTGGTCTAGAAACTAGGCTTCTTCATCTGAGCTCACTGATCCAAAACTCTGTAGCTTGAAGCTACAGAAGCAACTTGACACAGTGGTCCGCTCTCCCCACATCAGAGAGTCTTTTATAGGCTATGGTAACCCTCTCTTCACATGTCAGGAATCACAGTGGTTACTTAAGTTACAGCTTGTTGTACTCATTACTTTGACAACTACTCCATGTGTCTCAGCCTTGCAGCCAGCCTTCGTACGGCAAGTGCATGACTTTGTGCTGGAGCAGTTCAGCAGCAGCCAGTCAGAGCTCCAGCGGGTGCTTCATGACACCGGAGGGTTGCCGGTGGAGCAGAGCCCCCTCAAGCTTCGTTGCCAAGCCAACGCCGCCTGCGTGGACCTCATGGTGTGGGCTGTCAAAGACGAGCAAGGTAATCGATCAATGCGCAACACTGAGTTCAGATGTCGTAATCACACGCCGAAGGTGTTTATTGCTTCTTTTGTTTTGTTTCAGGAGCCGAGAATTTGTGCACCAAACTGTCAGAGAAGCTGCAGTCTAAAACCTCCAGTAAAGTCATCATTGCTCACATGCCTCTGCTCATCTGTTGCCTCCAGGTACGACGCTGTTCGGCAGACACAGCGCTAAGATACGTGCAATGTTAAACCAAGCACCACATAACAGGGTAGAAAAATGACCTTATTAAAAGTCAGCGAGTATCCCGGTAATGGCCCGGTACCGGAGCTGACCCAGACCCGGGTTTCATGTCATGAATTGGTAATAATCTTCTGTGCCGGCCTCCCTCTGGGTGTCAGGGCCTTGGTCGTCTGTGTGAGCGGTTTCCAGTCGTCGCTCACTCTGCCGCCACCTCTCTCAAGGACTTCCTTGTGGTTCCTTCCCCTGTCCTCATAAAACTCTATAAGTATCACAGCCAGTACACCACAGGTATTGATATTCATTTATTCCTTATTTCCGACTGTATTTGAGAAATGCCTTTACCTCTTAATTGACAGGACAGGAGTTGGAATGTAATATTCACTAGTAACGTGTCCATGCTACATGTAGCTGGAACCCTTTTACTTCTTAGCTGCGGCACAAATGATCCGAGCTGAAAGTGGACAATAGGAGCTAGTGATACACTCTGAAACATAGTCAATAACAGTCGTCCCATTTGACTCCCATCCACTATTGATCTGGACAAATACAGACGATTAGAAATACAATTGAGGCAAATGTGTCGGTCCACTGCTTCCTTTATAGAGTAGCTGCTAATTTGTGTTCTAAAAGATAACATGCCCTTTAGATTTGTACTTCTATCTGTATGATCTTCTGTATGATTTTCGTTTTTGAAGGCACAGGAGAAATAAGGATAAACGTGACCAATGAGCACTCTCAGCCCACCTTCAACCTGCTGTCGAACAGGAAGGATCAGCCGTCCATGTACGAGCAGCTCCGGGATATTTCCATCGACAACATATGCAGGTCAGACTCAAGCACGGCCCCCAGCTGTGATTGGAAGGTTTAAAGTCCAGACACTTCATCTCTGTGCATTTCCTCTTCCTCAGATGTCTCAAAGCTGGTCTCACCATGGACAACGAGATAGTGGCGGCCTTTCTGGCAAGTCTGTCTAATCGGCTGTACATTTCCCAGGAGAGCGACAAGTGAGCAACATTTCTGGTTGGGAGGGTGCTTCATTGTGCCCTTTCATCATTTATATTTTCAAATCCATGAGACAAACAGCTAAACATAAAAGTTGCCTCTCTGCCAGGGATGCCTATTTGATCCCAGACCACACCATCCGAGCCCTGGGCCATATTGCAGTGGCCCTGAGAGACACTCCTAAAGTTATGGAGCACATCCTCCAAATCCTTCAGCAGAAGTTCTGCCAGCCTCCATCCCAGCTGGATGTGCTCATCATCGACCAGCTTGGCTGCATGGTCATCACGGGAAACGTGAGTTCAAAGATGCACATGGCAACACACCTGTTGGAGCTTCTTGCCTCCATTATTTGACGCAATTCTGGTTGAAACAGGTAATTAGGGCAGAACAGAATCCGTAAGAGATCATTCAAATATGTACACATTTGATACAGGGACAGCAGAAGCTATTTCTTAACCCGGTGGGGCTGACACACTGTGATTAGCTTCCGGAAACCTGCTTGCTGCTGTTTGCTTGCTCATTACGTTGAGCATCAAGAATGGGTTCCAGGGTGCTAGTTGACACCTCCTTTGTGTGTAATGGGGTGTTCTGGACTATAATTAGGACGGGCAAAGAAGCTGACATTACAGATACAGATTAGCAGATACAGATTACTTACCGACTGTCTGAACAAAAAGCGCAGCACCACAGGCTCTTATTTCCCTTTTTATTCTCACTTCATAGCGCTGAATATAGACGGAGCTGCTGTAAAATACAAAAGTGTATGCTGTATTTAATAATGTACAGAGCTCCATCTTTTTGAGGAAGCCTATCCTTTCATCCTGCGGATGGTAAAATCAAGATCAATAAGATGATCCGAGAGCCTGGCTCAGTGATTGGCCTTATCCCGCACTCATTTGAGGTCACTGTGGAAAAGAGAACCGTGGCCAAGTAAAAAACGATTGCTGACTTTGAAGGCCATTCGTCACACCGCGTTGATGTACTCGTTCAGCCTTTGGTCGTTGGTTCCAGCGACAGTCTCGTATGGCATTTTGGGCTTATGTCCAATGTGTGTATGAGTGGGTTTTTTGTGACAAATTAGTTTCCCCAGAGCAGAAGATCAGCTAACAGAGCATTTCATGTCTGGTCTGTTTGTCCTGCAGCAATACATCTACCAGGAGGGCTGGAACCTGTTCCAGCAGATCAGTGTGAAGGCCAGCTCACTGGTCTACTCGTCTACCAAGGACTACAGAGACCACGGCTACAGGTCAGCATAGGCAGCACAGTGGTTCCCAAACAGGGGGGGCTGAAGCGGATTCACCATCTATCCAAATAGGCAAAAGAGAAACCAACATGAGGACATGACATGTGCTATGTTCGAACCGCGCGCCCCCACAGCGGCTCAGGGTACAAGCTGACTAGCGCAGAAAACAGGGAGGGAGGGCGTGGGACACAAAGGGGGAGAGGTCTGTTCCTATGTTCTTAAAGGGGGCCTGACTGGAGAAAAAACACCAGCAGTGTCACTGGGATTTGTCATTTTTGATGAAAACAGAGAAAGAAATATCTTTGAAAAAAACATCTTGTTCAAGTCTTGTTTAACTGGTCCGTTCATCTATGACCCCCTGCCCCCCCCCCCCTACCCAAAAGCACTGCTCTTTGGCAGTGATAAATGCTCTGGCCAACATTGGAGCCCACCTCCAGGGGGAGCAGCTGGTGGATGAGCTGATGGTGAACCTTTTAGAGTTGTTTGTGCAGCTCGGCCTGGAAGGAAAGCGAGCCAGTGAGAGGGCCTCGGACAAAGGCCCCGCGCTGAAGGTACAAGCGCACAGAAACCCTGAAGGATGCTTAACCGCAGTAGAAGTTGGTTAACTGATGATGGCTGTCTCCCGCAGGCATCAAGTAGCGCCGGGAACCTCGGAGTCCTCATTCCAGTGATTGCAGTGGTGAGTGTGTGATGTCGTAAGACTATGAACATTCAGGTTGACGAGAGTCGGTGTTGAAATACGGCGATCTGCAGCGTTTGAGTGCTCCAGATGAATGAAGAGGTTAGTTAGCGTTTAACTCTGTTGACAAATATTTACTCTTTAGCTGCAGAGCCAACATCTGTGTCGCCAGTTCACTGCTGAATGTTAAATGGTGGTTAGCTATACTCAAGGCACCACAGGAAACCTAATCCTCATTTTGAGTCGACTTTGGCGGCGGTTAGCGGGCAACGTACCAGAGTGCTTGTAGAGAAAATGTGCTTTTTACTACAGCCTGACTCCTTTACGAATATACATTATATAGAGGGACCTACCGTATGACTTGAAACCTAGATACATTGATAATAATAATAAAGATTTGTTGAGGTATTCTAGCAGACTCACAACACTATGAGAAATATGAAGAAAGAAGGGTGACGGTGGCACATGGACTAGAGAGGGTGTGCTGGGAACCACAAGGTTGGCGGTTGGAACCCCGGCTGCTCCATGTCGAAGTGTCCCTGAGCAAGACACCCAACCCCTAACTGCTCCCCGGACAAAATGTAAAAACCATGGGTTAAAAATGCGTGTCAGCTAAATGTTATGTAATGTAAAGACTCTTTCTTCAAGATACATACATATACATACTTATAATGACTCATTGCTTATATGTTCCATGAACATTTTGTAGTTTATTATTAACAAAACAACACCCTGGGTATTTCAATCAGTTATGTTTTAGCTGGATGTATGGAATCAATATGGAATTCGTAGAGAACATATTAGTTCTGTGAAGGATTGACCACCCGACCCATGAACACAAGGCAGTCTGTGCGGTGCTCGTAGATCAGGAAGAGGAAGGGGCGGTCCGCCGTGAAGCGTATCTGAGAGGAGAGGGGCATGAAGCCCACCTGGGTCAGAGCAGCAGCCTCCGTCCCCTCCTCGTTCACGGTGATGGTCCCCTGGTGCTTGAGCTGGGGAAGGAGATGGGAGGGCTTCCATTAGTTGGAACAGTCTGTTGTCGTTGATAGTATATGATTTCTAGATGTTTTTCTCAGGACTGATACGACCTTTACTCACCCAGCTCATGTGGACCTTATCGGAGGTCATTGCAGAGAAATCACCACTCTCCTGGAACAAGTCCGTGAGGCCCATCTCCTTCAAGTTTGCGATCAAGTCATAGTTCTGCTCCAGTTTGAACCGGGGTATCGCCACCTCTCGAGTCCTAAAGGGAGGCACGCAAATAGCCTTTTCAGCATTTTCACCCACGCCATTAACTTTAAAAAAAAAGTACTGCACAATAATAGTTCACATGTTCTGCTCTGCTGTTCACTAGTTCCTGACCTGTTTGTCATGTTTTTGAGCCACTTTTTGACAACAGTGGGAGAGATCTCCTGCTCCAAGGTCCTCATGCCGTTGATCTTACTCGGCAGCGCGATGAGCATGCTGATCTCTCCTGTGTAAGGGAGCTGCAAACAAGAACATATGCTTTAATGACCTGTGTGCCGTCTGTCTTCAGGGACCTCCGGAGGTCAGTGAGCGCCCACCCACCTGTAGGATGTCACACTGTAGCTCGTGGTCTGCAGCCGCCAGATAGTTCCCCTTGTTGGTCATCATTGGCACACGCACGTTTGTCTTTTCGTTCACTCTGAAGTTGCGATAGTGAGTCATTTCCTTGGGGAACTTCTGTTCCCATGCACCTGTTTGGATGAACATGTAAGGGACATACGTTAAGTGTGTTGTCAATTTTATTCCCTCAAAGTAGTGTAGCATGCGCACCTCTTGAAAGCGGCCCGGAGACACTGCGCTCTAACCTCGCTCTCACCTTTGAAGTACAGGTAGTTGAGCAGCATCAGCACCATATTTGGGTCCACACTCTTGAGTGGCTCCTTGATCAGCCCTTTGGTCAGCTTTAGGATGCGGCTGTTGGCCTTGTCTAGAAAGGCCGGGTCCCCGAAGTCCACCGACTGCGGCTCTGCAAAATAAAAGGCCTTGGTCTCGGCGCGGAAGGCATCTTTCACTGCCACCTCCCTCTTCACATAGACGTCGTTCACGGAGCGCAGCGTGTAGCCGAAGTTCCTTCTGAAGAGCCTGTGCGTCAGCTTCCTGAAGAGCTTGTGCACCGTGGTGTTGTCATAGTGATGGCTTGCGTTGACAAAGTCGGCGAATCCCAGCGCTCCGTAGATCTGATCCCGGGTTCCAGAACCCGCCCCCAAAGACATCATCCCCATGGCGACAGAGATCCCGGCAGGCGCCAGCAGGATGTTGTCGCTCTGGTTGACGTCGTTGCGGATGCTCCGATAGAGGTTGAACCCGAAGTGGGCGTTGACAATGTTGAGGCGTTGGAGGCGAGAGCGACCGTGGAACAGACGCAGTAGTCTGGCGCGGCGGATCTTTGGGTCGGAGGGTTCGGCAAAGATGTCGATATCTGGGGCCGGTGTGGCGATCTCATCGATCTCATCCCCTTCCCTGAAACCCGTCATCACCTCATCATCAACTCAAAAGTAGAATTGCTTAAAAGTAGTTTTTGTATTTTATGCCTGTTTTGTCAGCATGTGAATTAAGCAGTCGGCCTTCCACATGCAAGTCTTTTTTTTTTTTTTCAAATAAATATTCCTGCTTTCTTTACACCTCCACATTTTTTCTCAGCATTACATCTTTGATCCAATAACAACCCTACTCACGTGTAGTCGTCGCTGCCCGCAGCCAAGATCTTGTCAAAATCAATATAATCGTCGTCCTCGAACCCATCAAAAAGCAGGTCATTGGTGACAGTGTTTTCCTTGTGGAATTCCAAGGGGACGGCCTCCATGTCCGCGCCCCCCCCCACCTCAAAGCCTCGGGGTTCAGGGTCAGCAAAGTGAGACCCGAGGTCTTTTATCTCGGCCAAGGATGGAGCAACCAGCAGACAGGCCACGGAGACGGCGCCGAGGACCCACATGCTGAAGACATAAGGGACGGACATTCAGCTCGGCCCAATTAATAATCTGATCAACATTTAGAAGATTCAATGCCGTTGCGTTTCAGTAATTCTGTAGGACTATAATCACAGTGAAAAAAAATAGAAAAGGTATTAGGTAACAGCAGCCCAGCTCTGTAAAGTGTCTTACCTTGGCTGTGGACTGTGTTGCTTCTGTTTGTAGGACGAAGAGCACAAAGAATTGAACACAAAAGTGAACTTTGATGTCGGCTCCTACTGAACAAATAGAGCAGATCAAACAGACCCCGAAGAGCTGGGACTGACTCAAACCGTTAACTCTTCACCATTCAGCTCATCTCTCAGAAGATTTCGTTCAACAAGAGCTTTTACACTGGCAGGAGATATTTTGGACTTGAATGACAACATGCACTTTTATTTTTATGTAGTTCTCACTTTACCAAGTGAAATGGTTGGACCAAAGCAACATGAGACGCTCTGGGTTCAGTGTTCTAATCCTCTAATTTACAGTTGACCAGACGGCTTCCGCCGATCAAGGAGGCCAAGCCGCGCCTCCAGAAGCTGTTCAGGGACTTCTGGTTGTACTCTGTGGTCATGGGTTTCGCTGTGGAAGGATCAGGTGAGCAGTTGATGTCACCATGCTACACGTTTCCCTAGAAAACAAATATTCAGGTATGCGTGACTATTTGTTTTCTAGGGAAACGTGCATCAGATGATTTATTGATTCTGTGCTTTCAGGGCTTTGGCCAGAGGAGTGGTATGAAGGCGTGTGTGAGATTGCCACCACGTCTCCTCTCCTCACCTTTCCCAGCGGAGAACCTCTGCGCTCCGAACTGCAGTACAACTCCGCCCTGAAAAACGACACAGTCACGCCAGTAGGCTGCTTCTCTCCTCTTAAAGTTGTTTAAAAAGCACTTTAGAACGGCAGCGACTGATCACTTCATCCTTGTCCACCAGGCTGAGCTAAGCGAGCTCCGGTCGACGGTCAGCAATCTCCTGGACCCCCCGCCTGAAGGGTCCGCCCTCATCAACAAGCTGGACTTCGCCATGTCCACCTACCTGCTCTCCGTTTACAGATTAGAGTACATGAGGTCAGCATCTCTACACCAATGGATCCAGTGCACATTGTCACTGTCAAGAATATATGTTGTCCATAAAGTCATTACATTACATGTAATTTAGCTTTTATCCAAAGCGACTTACAATAAGGGCACTTCAACAAGTCATACGATCTCATAAGATTATCAGATATCGTTTGCTTGTGCTCGTAGCAACATCTTCATCGGTGTCGCTTTGTTCCGTAATAAAAATGTCCATAACACCTTTATGCCACGAAGATTATTAGAAGTCGGGAAATTTCAGCCAGTTTAGAATGCTACATTTTAGAGAGCGATCAGTATATAAAAGTGTCTAAAACCTCCATCCTGCTGCATCTTTTCAGGATGCTGCGGTCCAATGATCCTGACAGATTCCAGGTCATTTTTCGATACTTGGAAGACAAAGCCATCCAGAAAGACAAATCTGGTGAGGGCATTATACCCGTTATCCTATCCTACATGCCTTGTAAGGCATTCTCTCCAATTCACTTTAAAACGTTTTTTTTCATCGATGAAGGCATGATGCAGTGCATCATTTGTGTCGGCGACAAGGTGTTTGACGTCTTCCTGCAGATGATGGCTGAGAAGGTAGGGAGTAATTCTTCTTTTCACACTTTCAAACGCTTACCTTGGAGGGCCCGCTGACGGTATATAGAACTCTCCAGTATCACTGAGTAACAATGGAAGCACATTTCTCTCTTGGCTTTCCAGCCAAAGACCAAAGAGCATGAGGAGGAGTTAGAGCGTCATGCCCAATTCTTGTTGATCAACTTCAACCACATCCACAAGAGGATCCGCAGAGTGGCGGACAAGTACCTTTCTGGTTTGGCTGAGACGTGAGTGCGCCTCCTTCCCCACCATGTCAAATACAGTTTGAATCCCATTCCTCATCTTTTTTACCTCCACCAGATTCCCCCATCTGCTTTGGAGTGGCCGCGTCTTGAAGACTATGCTGGACATCCTGCAGACTCTCTCCCTGTCTCTAAGTGCGGTAAGTATGTGTGGACTATTCCACACTGCTGCAGCTTTGAGTCCACGTCCCTCATTTAAAACAAGGTGTAAGAACATAAATACAACAGCTTCAGTTGCAACAAATGTTTTCTCTCTTTCCTCAGGACATCCACAAGGATCAGCCATATTACGACATTCCAGACACCCCGTACAGCATCACCGTCCCTGACACATACGAGGGCCGAGAGGTGTGTTTAGAGTGTTGTAGACACGTAGGGCCACTAGAGTGCAGCACAGTATTGGTTTTAAAGACCGTAGTGGCGGTAGTGTGAGATTTAAATGGTTTACATTACCACATCTTTGTGATTTAATTGGATGTGATGATTTTACATAAATTACACAAACTAACTATTTAATATACCCCATATTTGCACAAGTATAAATCTTTGAGAAATGTTATTGCATAGCAATATATCTGTGTATCTGAGTTAGATAGCATTGAAGCTATTTGTCTGCATGTTCTTTTTCCTTATAATCTTGTCCTGGTCTCTTTCTCGCTTTCTAGAGCATAGTGAAGGACTTCGCCGCTCGCTGTGGTGAGATCCTGAAAGAGGCCATGAAATGGGCCCCTTCAGTCACAAAGTCCCACTTACAGGTCGGTTCCTTCAGCTTCATCCTTCCGCAGAGGGTCGACTGCTCTTTTTTTGATTTCAGAAAGATTAACTGAGTTGTCGAGTTTAAGAGAGGGTCAACAAAACAAATAAGTTATTAAGAAGTTCTAGTAATTGTAATTACTTTCATTATTTCATGGTAACTAAGATCACAAAACAAAAGGCACAGTACCCTGAGATACAAAAACTTTTACTTTATCCTGAATTTTTTGAATAGGCAAAGTTGTTTTTTCAAGGTTAACAATTCTGTCTCTTTTCTGCCACTTTTCTCTCTCTTTGTTTTCCATTCCTGCATGTTGTTTCCTGTACAGGAATACTTGAACAAGCACCAGAACTGGGTGCCAGGACTGTCCCAGCACACTGGCCTGGCCATGGCCACAGAGAGCATACTGCACTTCGCCGGGTACAACAGACAGAGTACTCCGCTCGGCGTGAGTCCCCCCCCCCCCCGCACACACACACACACACACAGACACACACAAGACATACTTGCGGGTATCCATGCACATCTACTTACCAACCCTTTCACCATACCAGAGGAAGGTAAAAAGCAAATGGTCTCATTCCGAGCTACCTGTAACATTTAGGCATATTTAAAGACTGCAGAACACTCAAGAAGTGAGAAATGCCACTTCTTGAGGGTAGTAGAAGGACGCAGAAAATGAGCAGAACCTACTGGTAACTTTAAAAGAAGATTCAGCCTTAATTTGAAGCTCATTAATGTTTGTCAAATATTGCTTTTTAACCGTGCCATCTAGTAGTTTTGTCAGGTGGTAACACAGAGCAGAAGGGTCATGTTTACACTGATTCTAGTAGTTTATTTATTTACAGCATTGTATGTCCATGTATGCATGCCTATTAGCCCGTGTGATATTGTTTTGCCTGCTATGCATTGCCTTTTGTGCTCTTGGGCTTGGAATTCTGCTATATCTGTGTCTCCATTTGCTTCATATGTTGCCCGCCTGGTTGCTTGGCTGGTTTGTGGATTTGCTGGTTACTTACCTGCAATGGACGGGTGGGTTGGTTGGCTGGTTGCCCATTTGGCTAACTGGGTTATGCTGTTGCTGTCCCTGTCTCCCTCCCTCCCCCCCACCATGTGGCCAACCCTAGGCTGCTTTCCCTCAGGTTGGTCTGAACTCTAAGCACAGAGAGACAGGGCTCAGGCATAACTGACTGTAGACACACAGACGTCTTTCAGGCAATGCTACGTACGGACCTACTGAGCCTCGGTCCATGTGGCCCCCTGAGTGCCCCCTAAACCGTGTATTTTCATCAGGCCACCCAGCTGACGGAAAGACCAGCATGCGTGAAGAAGGACTACTCCAACTTCATGGCGTCGCTCAACCTGCGCAACCGCTACACAGGAGAGGTGAAGTCTAGAAACGTTGTAAATATGAATGAGTACGGGACTTTCCTGGACTTTCTGCGATTGGTAGGATTCACACCTGCTTCTGTGCCGTCTAGGTCGCTGGGATGATCCAGTTCTCGAAGGCCACACAGTGCCAGTCAGACCTCACCAAGCTGATGATCCTTCAGATGACTAGCGCTCTGGACCGAAAAGACCCAGAGGCCTTCACCCAGACCATGTTCAAGATGGCCGCTCTGCTTATAACCACCAAAAGTGAGCAGCTCTGCCTCATTAAGCAATAGTGCCAGTTGTAGTTTTGTTACATTTCAGTTCTACTAAGTGTCATTATTGTGTCCCTTCAGACTGCAACCCTCAGCTCCTGCACCATCTGTGCTGGTCTCCTCTGAAGATGTTTACCGAACACGGCATGGAAACGGCTATCGCCTGCTGGGAGTGGCTCCTGGCCGGACACAACGGCGCGGAAGTGCCAGTATGTGAATCAATCCCAAGTGTGTGTGTGTGCGTGTGTTAAACGATTGTGGCTTTTGGTTTTAGAGATGTTATCGAATAGATCTTCTCTTTTTGTCCATCTGCCTAGTTCATGCGTGAGATGGCAGGAGCCTGGCAGATGACAGTGGAGCTGAAGATGGGCTTGTTCTCTGAGGCTAAGGTGGAGACCGGCCCTCTGGCTGTGTCAGAGGAGAGTCGACCGGCCCCATGCGCACCCGACGTTGTCCCCCACTTCCTCTGGATAGAGGTCAGTAACGCCACATGTAAACTACGTTAAGCTGGTTATGCGGGTTGGAACCACATCTCCTCTCTATTTCTTCTTTTTTTTCTACCTCCAGTTTCTGGTGCAGAGGTTTGAGATAGCCAAGTACAGCAGCGCTGACCAGGTGGAGATTTTCACCGCCATTATGCAGAGATCTCTGTCCCTAAGTGTCGGAGGGCCCAGAAGCACCCTGAACCGACATGTTGCTGCCATCGGACCAAGATTCAGGTACCACGAGTCATTGTTACGGCCGCAGATTAGTTCATTATCAAACGCTGTTATTATCAGCTTAGATAAGAGAAATGCTTGATCTTTAACACTTGACTATTGTGTGATCACTTTGCTTCGTTTCAGGCTGCTGACTCTAGGTCTGACTCTGCTGCATGCTGACGTTGTAACTAACGCCACCATCAGAAATGTTCTTAGAGAGAAGATCTATTCTTCCGCTTTTGACTACTTCAGGTAAAAAAAAAAGCTTAATCAAATTTGTGTGTTTTAGGTCTTGTATTTTAGTGTGATACCGTCCATCTTTTTGTGTAGTGTCGCTCCCAAATTTCCCACTCAGACTGATAAGCGGCTGAGGGAAGACATCAGTATTATGATCAAGTTCTATGCCAGTCTGCAGTCCGACAAGAAGTACCTGGCAGCCGGACAGCTGGTCCCCTCGGGTACAACACTGATACAACTACGCCTAGATCTGGCAGTAATAACAGAATTAGAAACTTCATGCAGCCCAGGAATTCACACTTCATCAATGTTTTTTGATTTTCTCTTGCGTAGATCCCCTAGACATGTCAGTGAACAGCCTGTCCGTCATGGCGGGCACAGATAGCAGGAACAGTCTGGATGCGGCCATGGGCCAGAGGCAGCAGGCGGCTCAGGGGTGGATCAACACCTACCCTCTGTCCTCCGGGATGTCCACCATATCCAAGAAATCAGGTCAAACCCTTACTCGCTCACACACACATGAGATGATGTGCTTTAATAAGCTGTGAATGAGCAGTAGAAGAGGGTTATGTTGAAGCTAAACCTTCTGTTTCTCATGCACAGATGAAATAGGAATTAAATATCTCCACTTTCTCAATGTTTCAGGTCCGTCTAAAAAAAGCAACAGAGGCACTCAGCTGCACAAGTACTACATGAAACGCCGGACTCTTTTATTGGCTTTGCTGGTATTTGCATTTTCTTAACCCCTTTATTGTTATAATTTATTTATATACATGTCTACGCTTAGTTCGGGCGAATGACTGTTATGATTATGTCTCTCTTTAGGCCAACGAGATTGAGCGGCTGACCATATGGTACAACCCGTTGTCCGCTCAAGAGCTCGCTATTGCCACGGAGCAGTCGGTGGAGACCAGCATCGCTAACTGGAGGTCCAAATACATTAGTCTGACGGAAAAACAGTGGAAGGACAACATCAACCTTGCCTGGAGCATAGCGCCTTACCTCGCCCTGCAGCTGCCTGCCAGGTGCTGCATCCCCAGGTTTAGATATTCAACCCAGAGTCAGTCATCTCCTATACCGCTTATCCCTTAAGCCTAGTTTATGCTTCTGCGTTTTCAGAGCGACGCAGACGCAAGCCCCCCTTGCGTGTCCCTTGCGTGCCTTTTTATACCTCCTTGCGTGTGTCGACCCATTTTTCTAGGCTTGCGTAGCTTTCATTGCAAGCGACGCAAGCCTCCCGCAGCGCACAAGGCTGCGATTGGTCTGCTAACTACATCCTTTACGGAGTCTCACATTTCCGCTTTCATAGCCCGATACCGCCATTATTAAAACGAAGAATGTTTACGAGAGATCTGATCAGATTGAAGAACTTTTGTCGAAAGAAATGCGTAAATATGACCGCTTATACAAGCCGTCATTGGCGGGTTGTAGAAGCGGGTTGGATTCATGGAGGGAAATCGCTGCAAACGCCGGTTTGCCGGTCGAGAGGTGCAGCACGGGGCAATAAAGTCTATAATAAATACATAAACAAATAAATAAATAGACGTCACTCTCTAGGTCGTCTTCAGCAAAAACACGTTACTCCGCCTGTTGTTCTGGCAGTGAATTGCTCTGCAACACACGCAGAACCATGAATTGAAACGAGTGCGTCGACGCAACAACGCAGAAGCATGCGCCAGCCTTTAGAGCAGTACAACTGTAAACATCATGTGTCTATCATAACTGGCCTGCCGGTAAATTCCCTGAAAGCACTGAAAAAGCTGCTAGCGACATGGCTGCTGTCACTCAGCAGCTGCGGTCAGAGCCGAGAGCAGACAACCTCTCTCCGCTAAGTTGCTCTGTGCATCGGTACGATTTTGCATGTGTTTAGTATTGATACTTTATTAAAATAGCGCTCGATCAGAGCGCTCTCACTGCTCCGCTCCAGCGCACGCTCACAGCGAGGGATCGCATGGGAGACGTATATGACGACCCTACTGCGCATGGCCACCAACCCTCAACGCAGTATCATTTTTAAATGGTGTCCCTCTAGATGATTGAGTTTGACACCACTGCTTTAGAGGGGGGCGGCGAGAGTCAAGCCCGGCTAGCATTTAGCCAGAGACGGGGTACAATCCTGATTGGTCGCCAGTCAACTGGGCTGACATAGAGAGGAACAGCACATTCACACAATTACGGTCAATTTAGAGTCACCTAATAATGAAACATTAGCAAACATAATGATGACTGTTTAGTGAATAATCAAAAATGTTTGACCTTCTTGTGTAAGGTCACAGTGTTAACCACCAGATCAATGTGCTCTACGGGTCAGTGATGGATTGATGTTCAGACAGAACATGGCTTAGTTACTCAGCCAAGCATGTTGGCCTTATATGAACAGTTGTATATGTACCAATTCAGCTCTTTGTTGTTCTCACAGATTTAAAAACACAGAGGCGATTGTTTCTGAGGTGACCCGACTGGTGCGAATGGACCCGGCTGCTGTGTGCGATGTTCCCGAAGCAGTTAAGGTGAGGCGGTCCACCTGCACTTGTGTCACAGCAGGTTCCGTTAGAACGAAGCAAACAGCTTCAAACGTGTGCCGGATATTCCATAGCTACACAGTGCTGTTGATGCGACATGACAACCTTTATATGTAAGAGAAGGATTGGTTGCCTTCAGCCTTTTGCATGTGCATACACAATATATTGATCCATTACAAGCCTCTCAAGCCATTCCGTAATAAGCGTTCATCTAAATAGACCGGAGTTGTGCAGCCTTTGAAAGATAAAGTTTCAACAAAAGTTAAGAAGAAAAAAGTTTTGGCATGGAGTCCTCGTATCACTTGAGGGATGTTGTTCTCCAGCCTCCTGTAGCCCTCTTGCTTTAGCTGCGGCTGACTAAACTCCTAATGAGCCGTGCATCTGTCTGAGGAAGAGGTTGGGAGGACGGAACACTCTTCCCCAAAGGCCTCCATCAGTTCAGAGAAAGATCCTCCTTGACATCTCCTGCTTGTTTATTCCAGTCACTTCAGTAACTAATAAACACCCTTTCCTCTGGAGGCTAGTTAGCACACCCTCAGTTTGGAGTTCGTGACCTTGCATCATATGGCTGTCATGTTTTATGCAGGAATATGGATCCGGAGGTGTGTGTTGTGCATTATAGTGGAACCTATCCAAGTATTGGTCTACATGTCTTAAACTGGAATAATTTATGTTTTTCCCCCTCTGTGTCTTTTTCATCAGTTCCTGGTGACGTGGCACACCATCGATGCCGACTCTCCAGAGCTGAGTCACATACTGTGCTGGGCCCCTGCAGATCCCCCCACCGGACTGTCCTACTTCTCCTCCATGTACCCTCCTCACCCGCTCACGGCCCAGTACGGGGTCAAAGTACTGCGCTCCTTTCCCCCTGTATGTCCATGCACACACACACACAGTCAAACGTTGCCATATCTGTTGACATTGTTTTTGTTACTTGTACAAAAAAATGACAAGGATTCTCTCAAAGTAGCAGAAAGTAAGAAACCCAATCAGAACTGGTTTAGCCCAATACTTGACCGGAGTACTGAGTTCAGCCATTTGGGATTCACATTATATACTTAATGCCAATTGTTTACTTACTGAAGTAAGTAAAGTACAAGTACTGTTTACTTGTTTCCATTCTCTGCTACTTTATACTCCAATACATGTCTGAGGGGAATGTTGCACTTCTTACTCCTACGTGTATTTGATAATCTTGGTTACTTTTTCTTTTTTTGGGATTCAGATTAAAAATGTAAAATGTAATCACTAAGTAAAGTAGTATAATGTATTATTATGGATTAAACATTTAAATGTTGATACTATTAAGAAATTATTTATACACGTTTAATTAAGTTAAAAGATAAAACCACACTTTTTTGCCACGGTGGAAAAGGTACTTTACTTTCGTCAGATGCCATTGATGATATTTGATTAGACTGTGACTTGATAGGCTAAGTCCCTATTAACTATTAAGTACTATTATTTTTAGAAGTTTCACTTATATATGAATGACAATGAATGTCGCATTTATGGTATTCCTTTTATTTATTTTTCTCGCCAGTAAATCCTTTCTTTCTCTGCACCCTTTTCTAGGATGCAATTTTGTTTTACATTCCTCAAATTGTCCAAGCGCTTCGTTACGACAAGGTAAAGCATCCGATCCAAATAAGTGTTCTAATGCAATCAAAGGCCGCTCACCTCTCGTGAGAATTGAATCCTCTCAACCTTCCCTTGCTGCAGATGGGTTATGTGAGAGAGTACATCCTGAGGGCCGCTCAGACATCTCAGCTGCTGGCTCACCAGTTCATCTGGAACATGAAGACAAATATATACCTGGACGAGGAAGCGAACCAGAAAGACCGTGAGACACTCATTCAACACCTGCACGCCCAAAACCCGTGAACATGGGAGTGTCAGAGAGCCATAACCTCGTCTCTCCCTGCAGCCGACATAGGGGAGCTGCTGGAGCAGATGGTGGAGGAGATCACCACCTCTCTGTCCGGTCCGGCTCAGGGCTTCTACCAAAGAGAGTTCGACTTCTTCAACAAGATCACCAACGTCTCGGCCATTATCAAGTACGAACACGCTCTTTTTGTTGTCCTTCTTTACGTATTCTTTACATTACAGCTGCGATTTTCCTCAGTCAGCGTAACATTCTTGATTGACATCCCACATTTTCAATTTTGAGGGATTCAAAATCTGGCTCCATCACAGTGAACATGTAATTAGATGTCGTCTTATGGTCAGTTTTCTTGACCAGAAGTCATTACCTGGATTTAGTTCCATTTCTCCTCTCTGCTTTGCTTATCTCCATATCCTTCTCTCATCTCTTATCTTTTCCATCACGTGTTTTAGTTTCACTATCATCATCAGCTGAATCTAAACTTTAAACCAATCATGTGCTGCATAGACAGAATAGTAATTGACATTCCTGCCGTAGCACCACTTAGTAGTGTCTGGCGAACAAAAAGCTTCTCTGATGGGCTGGTTATTGCTCTTTATAGTTAAACAACTCTCCTCTTCCATCCAGCAACACCTCTCCCAGAGTGAAAGTTTCGAGCTACATTGTAAATCCCCCAAAGCACATGAGAATACCTCCTGGACCCATGTCGTGCTCTAAACAAGCTCCTCCATTTCTCTGTAATGATGCATAATACACTCGTAATCGTAAGTGGGGCATTGAAAGAAAAGGAAAAGCACTTTATGGATCTGAGACCCTGGACTTTGCCACAGGCCTCGAAGCCGTACTACAGTGAAACTTTTGTTAGCTAGAAGCCCCTTGGTGATGTTCCCCTGAGCCCAGATGTTTTGCTCCTTTCCAGCCTTGTACCTTCTGTGATGTGATCTCCTAATCCCTTTTGTTGTTGGTTTACTCACTTATTGGTTGCTGTACCGTCCCTTTGATTGTGCTCCGGTCTGGAGCTTTTCTGACAGGCCCCATTATCGCTGGCTCTCACCAGAGGAAGACAAATCCCCTCAGCCCTCATTACACAGTGCTAATTGCAACTGTCCGGGGAACAAACTTCTACCATCCCCTGGCTTCCCCTCCCCAGTGACTCTGCTCTGCGACTAACAGCAGAGCTCCACTGTCACTTGTGGTCTCAGGACATTCAGTGAGATACCCATGCATGCTGCTCTCAGAGCTGTGGAAACTCTTGTGTGTTGAAGTTGTTTTTCTGTTTGTCTTCATCAGGCCGTTTCCCAAAGGGGAGGAGAGAAAGAAGGCCTGCCTGGAAGCCATGTCCCAGATCAAGGTCCAGCCTGGCTGTTATCTTCCCAGTAACCCAGAGGCCATAGTCTTGGATATAGACTACACGTCTGGGACCCCCATGCAGAGGTGGGCTTTAAAACCACCTTCCATAATGTGAAAAACAGTTTTCAAAAAGAAGCGTGACTGAGTCCTGGCTTGGTGGGTCCCTCTGTGTCTTTATCTAGTGCTGCCAAAGCGCCCTACCTGGCCAAGTTCAAAGTTAGGAGGTGTGGAGTCAGTGAGTTGGAGAAAGAAGGTACTTTTGTTGGCCTAAATTCACCGTTGTATTTCCCATATTTAGACTGAGGGTAAACACAGATTTCTTCCCTTCAGGTCTGAAGTGCCTCTCAGATTCTGTGGATGAGACAAAGAGTGAAGATGAGGCAAAAAGAATCTGCTGGCAGGCGGCCATCTTTAAAGTGGGAGATGACTGCCGACAGGTCTGCTCTCCTCTCACTTTCTACAGCCCCATCTATTGCAGGGTGTGTTCCATGGTCGTGACTTCCTCTGTGTTCCCAGGACATGCTGGCTCTTCAGATCATCAGCCTGTTCAAGAACATCTTCCAGCTGGTGGGCCTGGATCTCTACGTGTTCCCTTACAGAGTGGTGGCCACGGCCCCTGGAGTGAGTTCACAGGAAACCTCCGTGTCCCCTGCCGCGAGCTGCCGCTAACGAACGCCACGTTGTCCTCCTTCCTGTTACAGTGCGGAGTGATCGAGTGCATCCCAGACTGCAAGTCCCGGGACCAGCTGGGCCGACAGACGGACTTCGGCATGTACGACTATTTCAGGAACCAGTACGGAGATGAATCCACTCTGGCTTTCCAGAAGGTGGGTCACACCTGTGCAATTCTCCCGAGTTCTCAAGTGCTCGCAAATTCTATTCCCTTTACAGGCTTAACAGATTATCTTTTCAGGCGCGGTACAACTTCATCCGCAGCATGGCGGCTTACAGCTTGCTGCTTTACGTGCTGCAGATAAAAGACAGACACAACGGCAACATCATGCTGGACAGCCAAGGCCACGTCATCCACATTGGTGCGTACACACACATAACAGCTACAGCATGTTCAGTAGTCACATCACAGCGACAGCCCATAGAAATACACCTATATACTAAGGTCCATGCTAACGTGTAGAATAGGACGTACCGTACTAAAGGCTTCTCGGACGCTTTCAACTTCAAAAGGAAAGTTCCAGTTTGGACCTTGAGACGATGTTGGAACTGAAACTTGGTCTACCAAGGTTTTATTTTGCATCGATCTGTGCACACTTTACCGATTGTTTTGTATTGATTCGATTTGTGATTAAAGTGGTGCCCCATCCTCATGCATCATGCCGCAAGGTTCTGAAATGGAAGCCTAAGCCTTTGTGTTTGTGCCGGTCCCTGCGTTGCTATGCTTCCAGACTTTGGGTTCATTTTTGAAAGCTCTCCTGGTGGGAACCTGCGCTGGGAACCCGACATCAAGCTGACCGACGAGATGGTGATGATCATGGGCGGGAAGATGGAGGCGACGCCTTTCAAATGGTTCATGGAGATGTGCGTGAGGGGATACCTGGCCGTGAGGTGAGCACACAGAAGGCCACATGTTTGTTGCTCTACAAAGGATGTGACATTGAAAGTGTGTGTTCTCCGCTGAACCAGGCCCTACATGGACGGAGTGGTCTCCTTGGTTACGCTCATGCTGGACACTGGCCTCCCTTGCTTCAGAGGACAGACCATCAAACAGCTGAAGTGAGTGTGCCGAGTGACACGTTTCCGCCTGTGAAGCGGTGTGAGTGTTGTGGCTCAGACTCCTCTTTACCCCACATCCAGGCAGCGGTTCAACCCCGGCATGAGCGAGAAAGACGCAGCCTCCGAAATCATCAAAGTCATCCAGAACTGCTTCCTCAGCAACAGGTTCGCGACAAAGGCTCACAGCTGCTTGATGCTTAGAGTCCAGAGACATTGTTCTCATCTGTCCCCTCTTTGTTTGTCCTGCAGGAGTCGGACCTATGACATGATCCAGTATTACCAGAACCAGATCCCGTACTGAGCATGTGCATATTTTAGCTGGTACATAGTGTGCGTGTGTGCTCGTATGTGCCTTTTGTTGATGTTCAACATTGAAGATTGTGGCTCATGGTTTCTGCTGCGGGTTGGATGTTTTCTTATTTCCTCTCAAACCATTTTTCTTAGTTGTCTATCCCCTTATTTATTATTTTCTAAACCAATGTTGTTTTTAACCGTTACGTTATTGCACTTGCATCTTGACTTCTGTGCGCTTTGGTAAAATAAACCTTCTCGTTAATTTGCACATTCCGTAAATACCTAATTAGATATTTGGTGCCGATTTTGAATCTCTTGTCATGTTTGTGAACGTGGATTCCTTGAGTTGTTGATTTTAGGGGTTTGGAGTGGAATCATACACTTGAAGTAGCTAAAGAAGACCGCTTTCAGTCCTGACCAGTGTGGCCTATTGCGTCATCTTGTACCTGACGGTACTACTGTGTTTTTTCTTTGACGGACCGATCTGAGTACTTTGATCTGTAGCATGGTACTGTATGTAGACGAGTACTGTGTGTATTATGGGGTGTCTGTATTTGTAGTTACCACGGGAAACTTATGCACACAAGTTCTGGGAAACAGGGTGGGTTAGTGTTTTATATTTAGCGTTGCCAAAGGGAGGGGGCGGGGGGTAAATGATGCACATGAATCAAACTTTTCCATTGTTTGTGCATGAAGGTGAAACACAGCTTGAATGTCGGGCAGTTGCATGAAGTTAAGCGTAAACTACCATGTGGCTTTTGGTGGGAGCTTCTTTCGTAATCCAAAGTGCTGTGCCCCATGTCCGTGTGGGTAGCTTAAGCCATCTTCTGATGTTACTGATTCTAAAGATTTTGCCTCTTTGTATATTTATAGCCATAGCCCATTTTCATTCTCCTTTTCTATTGTCATGCCTTTTGAATGAGAACGCATGAGATAAAAAAAATCACATAAATATCTATTGACTTAAAAAAATTGTTTTGCTGGTTGTGTTCGATTCATTTGTATAGTATATAAGTATAATATAACCCAAGTATTATATATTACTTTTACAGGACATTTTTCCTCTTGCATAGAATGTAGTTTGACATTTTAAAAACTTTTTCACAAACTGTACTTTTTTTTTTCATCATATAGTAGTATGTCTTTTAGGACTAACTATGTCAAAATAATTTATAAAAAGGCATAGTATAGTTAGTTGCAAGAGTATAGTTTTTCAGAAAAAGTATTAACCCTTTAGTCCAGAGGTTTTCAACAGGAGGTACTGCAGGCGGGTCGCAAAATTTTTGGTTGATAAGGCAATTTTTTTAAACAATTAAAAAAAAATCCTCACAAATGTAAATGTCTTCAGAATCAGAATCAGAATTTTATTTATGGTCTTTAAATACACATTAACATGAATCCAACATATTGTAGCGAACTGATAAATTGATGGAGAAGACGTTATCCGTCAGTCCGCAACACACACATCCAGCTTCCCTCAGCAGCTCTCAAGCTGGGCACCGGTTCACTCACAGCTCCTTTCGACTTGACTTGACTTTCATGCTGATACGACAGCGCAGGCACCAGCCAATCAGATCACCTTTATGCTCACGTCTACAGAGCGTGAAGCTCAAAAATAAAAGATGGCGGACCAAACTCCGTAGAATAGGGGGTCCCTGCTCCACCTCGCCATCTGTTTGGAGGACCTTGGCTTGAAAAACGTTGAAGACCTCTGCTTTAGTCCCAATAAAGGCCGTGGTGGACCAGGAAGCCGATCAAACCTATTGGTTCTAAAAATACCATCAAGAAAAAACATAATATAATAATGGCAGATATCTCTGGAAACATCAGCGCCTGGGCTACAAAGATCTTAAAGTTGTTTGTACATGCTCGAAACACAACTCAAGCAATAAATAAATCTATGAAAAACATCCTTACATATTTCACTGCACAATTCATCCACCATCAATTGAAGCAACATGCTACAAACAAACAAAACCGAGACAATAACACACAGATTACAGAGATATCTGTATCACATCTTTCAGTCAAAAACGGCCTCAGTAATATAATATAATAATATAACTCTGACAATGACTGCTTTTCTGTCACGCTGTTCTACTAATTATTTGTTCTTTGACACTAGCTTATTTACGTTTTGCTTACGTGATAAGCCATAACCTCCTTTGACATACTGTACAATTTATTTTTATTACTTTTTGAGTAATAAATGTGACTTCTCCTTCTCCTACTTTCTACGACATTTTGTGGCACCTGTTTCTGACTTTTTCACATATGATACTGTCATATTTTCACTATGTTCAACATAACATGTAATGACTTTTTCAAAATAATGGCTCCTTTGACATACTATACAGTAACGTTTAACAACACTATCCCCCCACGTTCCTTTCAACATACAGAACCAGTCCAAGAAAGTGTGTCCAAACCTTTGACTGATCCTGTGTATGCTGAGACATCAGACTCTATGACTTTTTGTATTTTGATTAGACTTTTTTGATTAGTGCACTTTTTAAGGATTTTTTTTCCATAACATACCATGATCTTATACATCACCCTAAACATTTCTTTGACATACTAACTAATGGCCTTTTGATCCATGAGTTGTTTCACCTCACCATACTACTATATCAATACATAACTATGTTTTTAATTACACTTTTCTGTGACAATATTTATTTTTGCTCTTTTTCACTGATTTACAAGGGCCTTTTTACATACTATAGTATTGCCAATACTTCGCCATATTGCACAAATGATTTTGTCATGCAATACAATGACGCTCGTTCCTTTTGGCCTTTCCTTTGGCCCCTATTTATGCGTCCTATTGGTTTTAACCACACAGGGAAATCGGGTCCAGTTTGTCTGGCCTCGCCTCCAAACAGAAAACCAGAAACTATTTGCTGTTTACTTGTTGCTTGGTATTTATTGTAATGAAAACATAAAAGAAAAAGTAACATGCGTTGTTTAGAGGTCTGACGATACCAATCACTATCAGGAACAGTCACACCAACTCATAGGAGCGCCTACCTCACATTGCTTTTAAACACAAATAAAGAACAGAAAATTGTTATTTAAATTCATAGACATAAACTTAAATGCGGCTCCTACAAAAGGGAACCAATTTAGAAAAAGGGTTTATCATTGTAATCAATGTCAATTCAAGAGTGGAGAAAATAAATGAAGCGTTGTCCTGGTGTTTTTATTTAGAGAGATGTCCACAGCGAATCACCAATCTGAGAATCCTATTTCACAACCCAAATTGTTCCCCTCGTGTTCTTTAGCACACATAACATGTCTACAGATTCCCACAATATGTGATCATGAGCACCTCCAAGCTGAATCTAAAATGCACATCCACCAGAGGGCAGCACCTATCTACACATGTCACTGTCTCACCTTATCTGGGTGCCTGTTATGATTGATTCAAAGACCAAAGCATTCAATCAGCTGGTGTGAAAGCTAATCAGCTACCACAGCATTCAGCGTGGCTCTCAGTGTTGATAAGACATTGAGTACTAAAGTGATGTCATCTGAGCTGTCGAACCGTTTCCCCCTTTGGAGAGACTCTTCTGAGAAAGACCTCTGCCAGCAGCGTGACCTGAAGCGTGTTGCCCCAGCTGAGCAGCCCAGGAACAACAGGACCTCACAAAGAAGAGATGTGTGAATTATCGGAGACATTCAGCATGACTTGCAAACGTCAAGAATGTTTGTATCATATCTGCTGATTTTAAAGCTAGAAAACAACATGTATGTCCTCTTACCATCATAAGCCAATGATTCATTCATACATCTAAAAACAGCAGAAACCATGTTGAAATTGTATAATCTTGTCGTGTGTGTGTGTGCGTGTGTGTGTTTGGGGGGGCCATGCAGCTCAGGTGGGTGAGGCATGCAGAGATCCCATGATGGCACACTGCACTGCTCGGGCCTTTAGTTCTGGCAGCTGATCCATACCGGCAGTAGAAATGAAAAGCCGACAGATATAATTGATATAAAGAAAAACACGTGTGTGCTTGTTCATGGGCAGATCCCCAACACTCTATGTGGTTAATATTTCATTGCTTACAGATGTCTGTGGGGGAAACACTTTGATGTATTTTTGATGAGATCAGTTCCCAGTGGACCTGCAGGTATACTGATCCCATCCCTGTAGTTGCATGTGTATGTCTGTCTGTGTGTGTGTGTGTGTTTGTGTGCGTGTGTGTGTGTGTGTCTGTGTGTACAGCAGAATGGATCTTCAGGTATCATGACCTAAGAGTGACCCAAGTATCACGAATAACAGATATAGGCAACCTTCAGTCAGCATCCATCTTTTATTGTGGTGTTACTCAAGATGTTGTGAAATATTGTTAGGATAAGTTTCAATCGGACTTATCAAATCAAATTTGTTCCTAATATTGTGATTAATGAAAGGAATCTTTTCTGGGTTTCTTCATGTAGAAAAATAAAAAACAAAGAGGAGGATATCAACACGGACTCCACAGTGGGAAGAACACACAAGAAGCTGATCATATAGAACATTAAACACGTCATCAAAAAGATACAAATCATTACAAACAAGTAGTGGATGACTAATTACCACTTTGTGCAAAGACCTATATCGATGGTAACGTGTGTGTTCATGTGGGAGGCGTGTATGTCTATGCTCTCATGTGGATCCTCTCTCTCTGAACAAACATATGCTGCAGCTCCGTACATCCTTGTTCATCACATGCGTGGCGCTGCAGGGCGTCTTGTGACACATCCAGGCTTCATGCCAGCCTTGTGCTATGCAGAAATGAACTCTTCTCTGAGCCCGTCCAGCCATTAAAGCTGTGAGTAGTGAGGCTAAGCAGAAAGGGCTGTTTGTCCAAAGGCCAGACAGTCGGGCCTATTGATGAGACATTTTTGTTTCGTTTTTTATCGAGGCAAAGGGAAACTGGCGGAACACTAAGGTCAGGCTGTTACCATACCTACTGTAGTGCTAAAACAAGTTAGAGGAGGATGTAGCTTTCACCTTTCTCATTATTAAAGTCATAGATGGGGTCAGAACTGTACAACGCAATACAGTTGAATGCAGCAGCCCCATAAAAGCAAAAAGTGGACACTAGAACCTTTAAAGTGGACATATATATGCGTGTCTGATGAACAGCGTGTAAATGACATGACATGTCAGACTCAAACACATTTGTTGCAGTTTGCGTGAGGCTGGAGGGTGTCTGCACTGTTGTTTAGTGCTGTTATGTGATTGTTTGATGTCTTAATGGGTGGGGTTGGAGCAACAAGCTTAGCGGACACACAGTTTTCGTGTGAGCTAAAGGCCACAAGGCAACAGCGCACGTCAACACACAAACCCTGTACACGCTCACACAGCAGCAGTATGGTCCGACAGCAACACTCAACCCCTCACAAATGACATATTTCACTGTGTTCAATGCAATTTGCTTGTTATTAGCATAACAAAATATATGTTCTATAATGCTGCTCTATTTAAAAGACTTCCCCAGAACTCTCAAAGCGCTTCAAGACACACACTGGGTCCCGAACTCTTTCTTTTCCGCTCTGTTTCTGCGTGCCCACGTGTTCTACGCCTTCAGTCCGGGGCTGCTGAATAGACCCCAGTGTTTGCCCTCTCCTTATCGCGTGACCTTTGATCTGTTTGGACACAGTGCGTGACCACAGGCTGCGAGGAGAAGGAGACACCCAAGTCAGAACAGAGGGGAAAACCTAATCGCTTAAGGGCACTTAAGTTTGTATGTTCAACATGTAAGAATTTAATAAAGCGTCAGGGGCACATTTATGCTGAAAAACTGATTTGTGTAATGCTCTCTCAAAGGTCCACCTTGTCAGACAGATACGCCACAGCTGAGCTACCGTGTTATAACAAAGTATTTATAAAGTAAAGTTTTAGTTGCAAAGCTCCCTTTCTGTGGAACCGCAGCACAACATTAAAACATGGAATAATGTTTCAACTTTCATTGTTTGTCCTCGCA